TGGACGTGCTTGACGTCGTCGTCCGGCTTGAAGCCCGAGTCGGCGAGGACATCGGCGAGGAGGACGCCGTGCCACTGGGCGTTGGAGATGGCGCCCGTGTCCCAGGGGAGGCCGTTGGCCTTGCGGCCCGACTCGCGGCTCATGTTGGATCGGCGGTTGCCGGAGCACTGGAGGGCGGCGGTGACGGTGCGCTGGGGGAAGCGGGTCTTGAGGTCGTGGAGGGTGTACTTCCTGGCCGAGCCGTCGGGCAGCTCGACGGTGAGGGTGTGCTGCTCCGGGTCGGCGACGGTGGGCACCCACATGTGGTTGCGGACGTAGAAGAGGTCGTTGGGCGTGAGGAAGCTCGCCTCGAGGGCGTACCCTGGGGACTCGGCGTTTCTGGGCTTGAGGGTGCGGGTGATCAGGTCGGCGTGCCTGGCCGGATCGTCGGAGAAGGGGTCCTCGACATCTTCGCTCTGGGCCGGGCGGGAACCGTCCGGGGTGAGGTCTGCCGAGTCCACGTAGCCGATGAGGTACTGGGAGAGGATGTCGTAGACGTACTGGGACTTGTGGATGGCGAAGATGTCCCAGTATCGGTCAATGGATCCGCCGGCTGCTCGGAGGATCACGTCGCCTCCTGGGTGTGCTGGAACCCAGTCTGTTATGTCGTAGACTTTGGTGCCGTGGACGATCCATGGGTTGGGGGAGGAGCCGTTGTGCTTGCGGATTTCAGAGAGTCGAAACCGTGGCAGGCTGTCTTCTGCCTGGGGGGCATTTTCAAGGACTTGGGAGGCATCGAGAGATGCGGGAGGAAGTTGAAAGGTGAAGAAAGCAACGATGGAGACAACAAGACCGGCGGAGGCAACCCAAGGAGTAAGTGGTCGTCGTGCCTGGCTCTTCTGGCTCGCTGGGGGCGTCTGTGTACTGAGTCTCCGGAATGGTAACGACAGAGCAGCATGTCGGGACGAGTTGCACATCTTTGGAGTAGGAATCGCTACTCGTGAAAGCGACCCCAAGAGCCTTGGTCGCAGTAGTGCCTGGCAGGTCTGGAGATGTAATCGGGGCGGCATAGTAAAGGAGGATGACGATTCATTCAGGAGAGTGGAAGGGACGGGGACAAAGAGGTGGAGGTGACGGAGATGGGAGATTCAGATCATGGCGAGAGATTCGACTGAGAAGCGGAAGAGTCTGGCAGATGGTCAAACGCAGTAGGGAGTCGATGCGATAACGGCGGTCACTGCCAGTCGGTGCAGATAAGAAGCAGTTACACGGCAGAATGGATCGGCGACAGTGTAGGAGGGACGAATTGGAGGTGAGACATTAGTATATATAGTCAAGCAGGAGAGAAGGCGAGAGGGAGGAGGACAGAGGCCCTTCCCTCTTCATCGCGATGGAGGCAAACCCCGAGGTCAGCTGGTCTCTGGGCGCCCTCAGCATCAGGCACAGGAGAAACACAAGTACGTAACAAGATACGTAGCTAGCTCTTCGTATTTAACAACAGCCGCTGTGCTAACGCAGCCAAGCCGTGAGCTACGGCTAGCAAAAGTCTGGGGAAAGGGTCCGCCCCGTCACTTCGTTCGCCGATTGAACCGGGATCCTACGTAATGCAATCTAGCTACCCTGGATCCCTGCAGTCAATCGCCGGTGCATCCCTGTCAGACCTCGATAGGGACGAAGCTCGGGACGATGCTCGGGAGTCGGTCACCTATGAATCTAGTTTTTTTATTTACTGGGCCAGAATTAATAATTCTCATCTTTATACAGCTAGGTACAGGAATAAAGGCGGTTCCAATGCGTTATGCCGTTCTCGAAACCATCCCAGTAATCAATCAAAGCACCTAAGGTAGCCATTTCGTTGTCATCGCAAACGCTCATAAAACAAACGCGCTTCGTGTATCCATGTATCATCTCAGAACTACCCCTTAAAATATGTGTGACGGTTGCTGTGCGTGAATCCACCAAAGACTGGTCTATGGCAGTCAGGGCAGGTCGGGCAACAGTGGCGTCCATATTTTCTAGTTTTTATCAACCCAAATCCTGAACCGTCGGCCCTACTGCGTTCAGATGGAAGTCTATGTCAATCCTCCGAAAGTAGCTGATGTGGTGCAACTCGACCCAGTACTGCGCAATGCAGTCGTGGCTGAGGAGCAGCAGCTGGCTCTCGATGAACTTGTCTGGAAAGGCAGTTTGTTAGCCGCATGCATGCCTTTACAATAAGGAGAAATCGATCCATACCTCTCTGAAAACCTGTATTCGCCACATGGCCGCGGCTCTTTACCGCCCTTGCTCCCTCATAGTCAAATGGTGGACCAGGAGGAAGCTCAATCGTGCCCTCGGGGCCGATATCCTCGGCGACAAAGGTATACTCTCCGCGCGGCACATTAGCGTCTCCAGTAAGTTTGATGGCCTCCAGACGCCCGCGGTAAATACGGGCATCCAACCGTCGCTTCTCCCAATGTGAATCTGTCTCTCCCTCCAGACGCACCAGGTTAAGCTCCTCGTCGGACGCTGGCGGGTCATCCGGTTGGTTGAAGAGGAGGAACTCGCACCCGTGCAAGGAATAATCACCGACCCAGATGCCCCTCCAGGGTTTGGTGGGCGTCGGGGTGTACAGCTTCGGATCCAGCGTCGAGTAGGTCATGACATCCTCACCCATGTGAATCCCAATCGGAGCAGGGCGGACGAAGTTTGCGGCAGTGCCGGGGGAGCCGCCGCCTCCCACTGTCCTAGCCATTCGCTCCAGGAGAGCTCGCGTGGACGTGCTTGTACCCAGCATTTCCATCCACCGCCGTAGACGGAATGTTTTGTCCGACAATTCAGATCGCTGGGTGGGTTTGGGAGGCTCTTGTTGACCCTCGCTGTCGTTCGTCGTTCGGTCGCACACAACATGCGTGGAGGCAGGGATGGTTGGAGGGGGCCAGATGTGGCCATAGGGATAGTCGGCGGCGCGCTTCTGGTTCACCGTCTCCTCGTCCAGGGGCTTGGTCAAGATCAGGTTGCTGTACATGTGCTGGAACCGCTCGTCCAGCAGCACGCTGATCTCCTCGGAGAACTTGTTGCGCTTGAGCCTCCTCGAGTACTTCCTGTCGCCAATCCTGAATTGCAAGACGGGCTTGTCGAGGTGTAGATAGACCCTGCATTTGAAGGGTTGGATGACGACACTGGGGTTTGCGTCCCATTGCTGGGCCATGTCTTCTATCCGTACGGCGAGCAGGTCGTAGCCTTCGATGCATCCTCGCCTGGGATCGTAGCGGACTAGGATGAGCTTGCCAGGTAGGCCGGAGTCGCTGAACCAGATTTTATGCTTAGGGAGAAACCACAATGGATCGTACTCTGCGAATAATTGATGATAAGATTTGAACGGCGACGGGCTTTGGAGACGGGCCCCGGGGGCATTCTCGCGGACGAAGGGGTACCAGAGTATGTCGGAGAGCGCATGGCCGCGCATCTGACGGCAAGTTGCGGCTACAGAGACGAGGTCGTAGGGGGAGAGGTGGCCGAGGATCAGGTCGAGAATCTCGGCAGGCGCGCTGAGGAGGAGAGAGGAGCTGGGCTCGAAAGCTTGGTTGAGAGGCACCTGGACGCCATCTGGGGAGCTCTCGATAGAGTGGAAGGAGGTTTCGCTGTCGTCCTGATCATCAGCCACGGTGTCATTGGGTTTGGCGGCCTCGACGTGTAGCTCTGACTGCTCAGGCGGGCTTTCATGTGAGGGGGAGATGGGCCCGAGACTAGGTTTGCCTGCGCTTGGCGCCGAGGCTTCGACTGCGGCGGCATCGTAGAGGGAGGTTGGGGTAGGTATGTCCGATGGGATTCTGGGCTCTCTGGGCTCGGAGGGGCCTGGCTCGGGTGGAGGCGGGGTGGCGGCCATGTTGGAGGTGCCAGATGGGCGGCGCAAGTTTGGGGGCGGGTGCGGCAGTTTTAAGTGTTTGCTGGTACGAAGCTTATCAGATGCGACGAGGCGGATGGGGTTGGAACGAGGGAATGAGGCGGGCGGTGCTTGTTGATCGGGTGCCAGGGAGCAGCGGGTAGTTCGTCATTTGGCAGGCGAATGCGGAGACGATGCTGGTGCTAGTCGATCAAGGCCAGGTTAATAAGGTGCGGTCCAGGGCCGGGCCAAGGCACTACCACTTACTAGGTAGATAGCTGGTGGCACGTCGACGATGAGATGCTGCCATGGGCGGGGTGATGAAAGAGGAGACGAGGTGGGGTTGTTTCTGCTGTTGCATCATCAGCATCCTCCTGGATAAATTGTGGCATGGCAATGTGGCGCAGAGCCCATTACGCCTCACTACAATGTGATGATGGAAGCAATTCAGATGTCTTTGACTCAAGCTTGACGACCATCTTATTGCATTTTCCTACATGCAATAAACACACCTGACATTAGGTTCCTTATTAATGAACTCAACCCCACCAAAACCCAGTCTCAGTAGGTATCTCAAAAGTGCTTCCACATATTGCTGTTGTAAGTGGCAGATGAGGCGCTGACGGCACACTTCCTCTCAAAGAACCAAGGAATTGACTTTAATTTTGAAAAATATTAAACTATTGTGTTTAATGAGGGTATATTGTATATTTATTGCTGGGTTATTATAAAAGTGCAATGTCTTATGTCACCCACTTGGTAAGTGACCGGTCGAAACCTGTTGTCTTGGAGAATGGTGGCTATAACAGCCATTTTCTAATTCCCCTACCCCAGAGATGGCAACCAGGCCGGGCTTATATATAGATGATTGCGTAATAGACATCTTTTAGGGAGACGCCTCATTAATTGACCCCGGTATCCGCAGCAATGTTGACATTCCAGCTGCCTCCATACCACGCTGGACCACTTTAGTGATAAGAATATCAGTATCTGGTTGTTTCAAGTTAGGGAAGGACACGAGCTCTGCAGGATTGTTTGCTCACTTGGGGGCCCAATCACGGACACCGCAAATGCATGCTTCAAGGGGTCCAGGCCAGAGACTCTCCCAACTGAAGCAACTTGTAAGACGATGTATGATAAGGTAGCAGGCGTATCATTACATACCAACAGCGGCAAGCTCAGGCGCCTGAAGGATAGCAGACATGTTCGCGGACGCGTACCCGTTGAGGAGATCGCTGAGGCTGCGGACATCGTTATCTAATGCCCCATGATGAGGGCTCGTTCCAACTCACGGTTCGGGCTCCCCACTGGTGGTGCAGTTTGCTTTTCCCTCCACCCCTGGGATGACCATGACTTTAAGCCTTCCCTCCGAATCTGCCTCGAATATCTTTCTCAAGAGCCAGTCACGGTAGACTTCACAGCGGCGGATACACTCAGCTAGCTTCTCCTCGCTGATAGACTTAATGATATCCCTAGTATGCAACGGTCAACGAAGGCGACAATTCCTCGCAGCCAGCAGTTGACCCGCAATTTCGCCAGCACTTCTGCAGCAGGCCTGGGACCAGATAGGTTTACCTGACATTACCCCCAAAGGTGTTTTTGCCTTTCTTTGAATCGCGGATGAATGGGTAGATCCCAGCCTGATCCATGTCAGACCAAGAATTCCGGCTTAGGTAAACTTCTTACAGTCTTGAGATACGCAGCAATGTCATTGTTCTCTATTCCGTCCGGCATGTCCTCTTTCCATCGATTGGCGATGGAGATCACGCAACGTTCAGTTTGGAAAGCGATCTCAAGCCCGTTTATGAATTGATTGGTGACACGAGTCTCGTCTTCGTTGGCGGTAGATAGGTAGTCACTCGGGCAGAGTATTTCGATGCGGTCCTAAGTAGCATCTACTGAGCAACAAGCACTAGCTCCGGATGATTTGTATTTAGCAGCCTACCTGAGCGTCGAACACACGTTTGCGAAGACGGCAACGCCCTCCAATAGACACAGATATCATCTTAGAGAATGATGAAATATCCCTACTGAAGAAGCGGGGTATGCCAAAATCGCTGGTTTTGGTAAGCCATATGCCCGCTACGATCAAGAAGACGAAGGGAGCTAACGGGAATTGTTCAATAACTCCATGAGCTTTCACGATGCCTGCTGTTGGGCGCATTGTATGGCATACATTGTAGACCGCTGGCATCGGAAGGGTTCCACTTGCGATATACGAGTTGGCGAACAAGGGATTCGCCCCAGGTGGAGGGATGAATGACCACTTGCTATCAGACCCAAGTGAAAAGTCCAGCCAGTCGTACGAGCAAATCGCTGCTGCACTCCCACTACCCATCACCTGAGACACTTGGAGTCTATCGTCTTGGTGGTAGGGTGAATGAGCTGGCGTTTCTAGGTAAGTGAAGGTCATATGTTTTAGTTTGCCAACAATGATTGCACCGGCGTCCGTGAGCAAGTAAAGACAGCGAGCATGTGCCGCAGCCGGCCGGAGCCCCGACAACGCCATGCCATTGTCGAGAGCGGTGTAGTGGCCAGCGATATCGATATTGTCCTTTACGCCGATTCTTATGCCAGCAAGTGGTCGATCTGCTGTTGTCGTGTAGTAGCAGCGGGAAGGTACGATTACTCTCCCACCAGTGCCAGGTGCCGGGCAATCAAGGATGTCCAATGTGAGGGGATGTTAGCTTCCAGGACAGCAAAACGGCCGGGGGGAGAATTGGGCAAAACTTATCGGCCAAACTTCTTAGGGTTGGCTTTGAAGGTACACATGAAGGTGGCCTTGTGATCATGATAGACTCTCCAAGGCTGCCAAACCCTTTGCTGGAAGAACACGTAGGGCCCAGAGGCAACTTTCTGATCACCGGGAACACATTCGTGGTGATCAACACCCCATGTCACAAACCCTGACTCAAAACCCGGCATAAGCCTGGGGCACGGCTCTGGGCCATACAATACGAGCCTGGAGGCGAATTTACGTTGGTAGACATCGTCGCGCATCAGTAAGTCGAGGAAGAAGTCGCTGAGAGAATCTGAGGTTACGACCTGATAAAGGTAGAGAGCATAGAGGAGAAACGGCACAGGAGATGAGGAATCAACATTGAGAAAGAAGTTGACATCGTTTGGGATCAGAATGTACTCGACGCCATCGAGCTGCATCGTCATCTCCGGCCCTGCGGAAATTCTGGGCCCAGGAGGATGCTGCTGCATTGTGCCGGATTTTGGAAATGGTGTTGATGGTGGTAAGAGACTGCTCGACTGGGAGATAGTGTGTATGGGATGGAGGATAGAGACAGAAACTGAGATTACCTATAGAAACTGATGTATTTGGTTGCCACAGGCACGTGGTCTTCATCAAGGCAAGGCAGGTGGCGCTGTTGCTCCTGACTTGCTGAGCAACTGGTTAGAGGTACCAGTGGGCAGGGGAGAAGGGGTCCGGCTGACTTTTTCTGTATATCCAGCCCAAACACATGAAAGCGCAGCGGACAAGGGAGTAAGTGGTTGTTTGGCTAGCAAGGGGTGAAATATAACATGGCACATCGAGATAGTTCAGCACTGAAATTCAACACAATATCACAATAAATAACCTAGTACTGAATACAATATTAAGCTAAATATTATAGAGTAGGTAGCTTATTATTCTCTTATTATTCTCTTCTTTTTATATTTAGTTAAAAATTGAGGTCCCTGTCTCACGCGGAAAGAGCTTTGGTGTGCTATGTTTTATTCCAGCCACTTGCCTGCTTCCGTTCCAGTACGTGCCGCACTTTGAGAGCTTATTAATAAGGACGCTTTATACGTCCTGGGTGAATGAAGAAACAAGAAGAGTGTCCTCGGTGTGGCGGAAATTGGGCAGCTCCAATAGGAACTTGAAGCTATGAATTAATGAATTAGTTTCGCTTTGATGATAGAATAATAGTGTCATTTCTTTTCTCTAGGCCATAAAACAAATTTCAAAATTAAAGTCAATTCCTTGGTTCTGTGAGAGGAAGTGTGCCGTCAGCGCCTCATCTGCGGAAGAGCATTCTTGGGCGCAGTAGGTTTCATCTCTTACATTAAGTTTTCTAAGCATGTAATTGCCTGTCATGATGAAGTATGGTTGCGTATAAATTGAATACCTAGAAACTGGCCCGGCTCAAGGATTGAGCAAGAACTGACCCGAGTCAGGCGTCAGTCAGCGCCTGGATCCTCTGTAATTAGCACGTGGACGCGCTATCTGCGGGTGGTGGAAAAGAGCCAACAGTGACGCACTACGCTAACATCATAGACTTGAGCGCTGCTTAGTCAGAACTCATCGCGTCAGGCATCATGATCTAATATTTATTTATCTTGTCCATCCATCAATAAGCCTCATGATACCAGTATCCCCAGCTTCGACTCAAACACGTCGGACATAAATCACTCCTCCCTCGGCTAGCGTGTCTCATTTTGAAACCGTTACGCAGGGGCTGCAGCTGGGTGTCCCCGGGTGGAAGTTGTGCAACGCTTTTGTGACGGTTAGGTCTGCCATCGGCACACGACACGACCAGGCCGCCGAAGAGCAACCCCCAGGGGCCAGGGAGCACGTCGAGCGGGTTGCGAAACCAGCTCTCGGCAAGCGGTGTCTTCGTATCACTTCAGCTTTGCATCCCGACTGTCTATATTGAACTGCTCCCAAGTGGTATCAATACGCCTGAATCAAGCGGACTTTGAGTAGCACGCTTCTAACTCTGTTGATTTCGCCATCTATCTGCATCGTAAGGTACCTGACGTGCATACGAACCGCGAAAATGACTTCCTTCCTGCCACTCATCTCGGAGCTTCTCCCCATGATCCTACCGAGCTCGATACACGTTGTCCGCGCCAAGGATCTTCAGCCCAAACACCCAACCGTCGAAGGCCCCGTCCTGCAGCGTCAAGCCTTGGTCGGCAAGTGCGGCATGTGCGCCACAGGTGAGACTGTCTTACTCTACTAACTCTCTGCCATGCTGCTGTCGAGCGTTGGGCTGATCTTTGGTAGTACTCACAATCCGCCCCCACTCAGAGAGTGCAATCAGGCACAACAGCGAACAAGGTGTGTACACATCCGGCTTATACTATCTACGCAATGCGTCGACTAATTTATTTGTAAAGACGCCATCGTCTTTTTGGTGTCTGGTTCCGGGGTATTCCTGGTCCAAGGCGGGCAGAAAGAGGGGGCCCAGCGTAATGAGTTGACGCAGGGAGATCTCGTTTTCGTGCCTTCCTGGACAGAGCACCAGCTGGTCAACGAAACTGATGATGACGCAGTGTGGCTCCTCATCCAGAGCGGTTCGCGGCCTGTGGGAGCCGACCTGACTGACTGGGGAGGTGACGAGGTATTCACCCGCAAATGAAGCCTCATCACGTGCGTTTGATGCCCGAATCACGTTGCTAGATATCACAGCATGAACGGACAAGGTTGGCGACCTGGCCGCTGGTTGCTGGATCGTCGAACACCTGGGCGTGATCAAAGTCCGAGAACAGCGTCACCTTGACAGCATCCCCTGCATTTGGGGTGGCTGAGGCCTCGAGTCTCTGCGTTTGGAGGTATGTCGCCACGGACGCGACATCGACAATGAGATCGCGCCCCGACAGAACCACCGTTGCCCGCCTTTTCCTCCCCTCGACCCCTCCTATCCTGGACTTCCCTAGAAGCTCATCCTTCCAGATTATATTTTCTCGCCAGAAAAAGTGGCGGCCGAGACAGTGCGCAACCCCCGGGTCGGTGCTGGCAAAGTACCATAACTGCCACTCGTTGGCCCCGTTGGGGACCCGTCGCGTAAAGTTGAAGGCCACCGCAGGCAAATGCAGCAACACTGTCACCGGGTCAATGAGAGCGACAGATTCGATTCTGGACTGGAGCTGAGGCGAATGGATGAGATGAGACGCCTGGACGGAACCATACGAATGCGCTGCAACGGCAAATCTATCCCACTTGTGCTGGTCGAGGATGGTCATGATTTGGCTCAGAAACTCAGCCTTTCCAAGGGGCGGGGCAGTAAGACGAAACGAGACAGGCAAGAGTTCAATCGCAATGACGCCAACGCGACTTCGATTCTGCTTGCTGGTTGCTGTCTTCAAATCGGAAAGGAAGCGAGAATATGTCCAAAGACCGACCCCGATCCCGTGGAAGAAAAGGATGGGGACCGTGTCTTCGTCGCCTCTGTGCGGGGTGTACCAGTAACTAAGGCTGGGAGCGCTTGACTTTCGAGTCGCCAAGAGAGTCTGAGGTCTTGGAGGGAACACTCTGCGGTTGGCTTTCGACGATGAGAAGTATTGGAATCCTTGCGATGAGAGAGTGATATGTGTGACCATGTCCACCAGGAAAATCACCATATACCAAGCCAGGCTGCGATAGGTTGTGTGGATGTTGTCGAACGTGAGACGGAGGCTCTTGGCCGAACCACGGCCTGGTTTGATCTCCCTTCCCAGCTTCTCTTCGATGCGACGGACATAAATTTCGAGCTCATCCTCCAGACTGGAGTCAGCTTCCTCTTGCTCGAAAAAGGCCCAGAGCAGAAACTCTTTGATATTCTCGCGCCGGATATCGTCCAAATCTGCGCCGAGAAACCAGCCGCGCAAGTAGAGCTCCAGTGAAGATACATTTTCAAGACACCGGTGGAATAATTCCTCTCTCTCGGATTCCTTCAGTGGTACAGGGTGCACGGCTTTCTCTGTGAGACGGGGTTGAAACGACCGCCAAACCGTTACATAGAAGATTGCCTCGGCGCCTAGAAGCGCTGAAACAACCACGACAGCAATGCGATGCCATGACTGTTGTCCATTTTGGAGAAGCAGGAAACCAAGTGCGGCCGCGTACAGGAGTGGGGTGTAACGGAAGAAAAAGACGAAGAAACGTATAAAGACGTATTCTTCGTGGGATGTGCCGATCATGGCTGATGATATTTGTTGGTGAACAGGGGTGGTTGCTTGGTGGATACAGAGCTACACGGCCGTATCCCAAGTTTGGTGAGATGCAGGTTTGAAGTTAAAATATCCAGACCCAGTGGGAGCATGCATGGCAATAAATACCAAATCAAACTGAGGAATCAGGCCATGTGAAAGCTGGCGCTCGCTCTGGCGGTGACCTGCAGCCGAAACCGTTGGGCCGATGGACGCTTGTGTTGTGTCCATTGAATTGTGTTGAGGTCGAGAGTGACGTAGTGCCTGATTGATGTGCTGGCCCCAGGCACGTGCAAGCAGACGCGTCTCCCACCTGCGCGTCCAGGCCTCGGTATGGGTATAGGTTAGTCCAGCGGTGACTGAGGGTTACCCTTCTCTTGTCTCACCCGGCCATTCCACCAAGCTTCCAAGGCCAACACCACCTGTCTCTAGGCCAGCTGCAAACATGAGGCGGCTGCAAAGGCCATCGCCGAGGGCTCATCCCGGAAGAATAAGAATCCTACGGCATTCTACGTCCACTTATCCGGCGCTGAAAATATCTACTTCCCTGATTTAAATAATCCTCGCGGCCGGGCCAGAAGAGCACGCAGGGTATTGGATTGGCGCGCAGAGCAAACTGGTTTCTTTGACGACATTGCTGCTGTCGCTGCACCCGAAGCCTTGCATTTGAGCTATGAATAAGTTTTACGAAACCAGAGGTTCAGAGATTTTCAAAGATCACCCTACATGCAGGCAGCCTCACCGTATATTGAGGGTGTATAGCATACACCTCACACGACATCTCTACCGCTCCACGATGGCGACTCGGTCTGTCTATGGCGTGCAGCGGCACTGCAGCGTTTTTGGGGCGCCGCCCGGGACTTACGAGAAACAGATGAAATTGTCTCTCTGCTGCACGCCGAGCAAGCTGCACGCCGCTTGTCGAGGGTAGACGCAGGGTGAAAGCGCCGTGGCGCTACTGCTGTGCGACGACAACCGCGTGCCTTGCACCACCTGAGTTGTCGCAGAACACGAACTGGGCACAGGTAGGCAGCACACGCATCGCACCATGTGAAGGAGGCAAGGGCCCGGGCTGAAGTAGAAAACTTCGTCCCAGCTCGTGGCTCCCTTCACCCTCCTCGACCATGGTAGACCCGACCAGAGCATTCATATCACGATATCCGTCACCGCAACGCCCATGTTCATTTGTTGGAGAACAAGACTAGCCGACATCCCACACCTATCAGCCAGCCTAGACATTACGCAGCCGACCCTGGAAGCCATGAACCTAAGGGTCCCCGACAGGGCGGTCTACTGCCGCCCATACGACAACTACCACGAGCTCAAGCACTTCGTCCACGGCGCGGCCAGCACCGGCATCACCCTGACCACCAAGTGCGTCAGCTGCTCCAACGACCCGGCCCCGCTGGACTACGCCGACCGCAACCTCTTCTCCATGTCCTACCCGCAGGGCGGCTCCGGCTTCCCCTGGCTCGTGGCGGACAGCAAGGCTCAGGGCCAGCACATGTGCTTCATACTCCCCTGCGGGCACCTGATGGGCTGGTCGTGCATGGAGCGCCACAAGAGCGACCTCTCGAACCGCTGCCCTCGCTGCCGGACCATCTGGTTCCGCCTCGAGGCCGCGACGCACTGCCACCACCCCATCGTGGTCATCCCCCTGCGGCAGGCCACCGTCCTGTCCGAGGAGGAGGAGGAGTGGCTGATCCCGCCGGGCGGCTACCTGCTCGACAAGTGCCGCCTGTGCGCGACCGTCGACGCCCTGCGGGACCTGACGGTGTTCCTGAGGAACGCGATCCCGGGCGACGGCAGCTGCTCGTACGCGACGGACGGCACGCTCAACGGGTTCCTCGAGGGCGACGACCTCAAGCCGTTTTCGAACCTCGAGATTGGCATTGAGCCGCCCGTGGTGCCCGAGGGGTTGATGGAGGAGGCGAGGAGGGTGGAGGGGATGATTGTGAGGAACTATGAGGGTCGGACGCCCAAGGCTGAGTCGAGGATGGTGGGCGCCGGCTGGGGCAGGCAGTTTTGCTTCCGGGTCGCCGGGCTGGCGCGATCACCTAACTAGTTGATCGAGCATCATATACTTAGATGGGTACTCTTTAGGGAGTGGCTGGCGAATTCGTGCGCGCTAAGGATTCTATGAGGTCCAGAGGCTGGATGAGAAGAGGCGAAGGGGAAACGGCGATGAGAGGAGGGTCTTCTTGTGCACTCTCATTTTCATGTGACAGGGCGGGCGAAGGGATATGGAATACAATTACCACCAGGGATGTGAGCCAAGTATGGTTTTTGTGACGCAATTTCAATGAATATCAGTACTTTATTAAATCGCCACCTCTTATTCTATTATTTGACTGATCTCACTTCTATTTGCTGAAGCATCATGGTGAAGCGCTCATGGGCCAATCGCCACGCAGATTTACGACGTCATGAGTTTTTTTCTAGATCCCAAATTTTTTTAAACCCCAACAAAACAGTGAAGTAGACGGACACTCATCGCAAGATTGCCATCGTTCATCATACATCTCTCAATTAACCAGCATATAAATTTAGACATATACCACAGACCTGAAAGCTGGACCAAACCCCAACACATAGACAGAGCCATGGCGGACAGATACATCCTGCGCATCACGGCCGGCCCCGACTACGATCTGGCGTCCCACGTCGAGATCCCCGTCAACACTGCGGAGCCGGTTCACATCAGCAGCGACAGGGCCGACATCCAGCTCAACGTCCGCGTCAACGACTACCGGGGCCTGCCATACGGCTCGCCCGGCACCTCGCCGTACTTCGAGGCGGAGCCGCACAAGTACAACCAGGACCAGTACAGCATCTGCTTTCGCTTTACGCCGAAGCGGCCGGCGGCTGTGGCTAAAGCGGATGAGAAGGAGGATGGCGTGAAGGGGGGTGTTAAAGGTGAAGCCGAGGATAATGCCAAGAAGGACGTTAAAGATGAAGCCAAGGAGGATGCTGATGAGGATGCTGATGAGGACGAGGACGAGGATGAGGAGAACGAAGAGGTCCAGGGCATCTCAGGACTAGATCTACAGTTCGGCAATGACTTCGACCGGCCCATCCGCGACCGCCTCCCCCCAGGATTCAACACAGCCATGGGCATCGTCCGGTGGTGGGTCGACCCAGGCCTGGACGGCGACGCCTACGCCGACAGACCCTACCTCTACGGCCCGGCCCTCAGCTCCTTCAACGCCCTACACGTCGGCGAGGGCGAGTTCGACCCGGCCAGGGGCGGCATCTGGGTCGAGGAGGGCGGCGACGAGGACGCGCGGGCGGGAGCGGGAGCCCCCGCCGACCGCAAGGCTCGCATGAAGTGGGCGCTGAGCGAGGCGGCCAAGGAGAGCTGGGTGTGGGAGTACGGGCGGACGTACGCCCTCGACTTCTTCAACCCGTACCTGGACTTTGCGAACCTGGCGCTGCGGCTGCCGGGCTTCCACCTGCCCATCATGAAGTACTGGGACGGCCAGGGTTTGCGGTAAGTGATGGCACCCCCTCCCTTTCACCCCGATGAATACGCAATCGCCCTTGGTATGGTTTTGCGAGCGTTCTTCCTACATTATCTGGTTGATTTGGGCATTCATTTTCTGTGTGCGCGTTTTACTCATACAATCTTCTTGCGAATAAAGGTCAACGCCAAAGCGCTCACATACCCTCAGATATGTCCTTCGGAACCGGGCGACTGGCGAGGTGTACATGACCGTCTGCTTCACGCTGTACCTCAAAGAGGACGTCAACGAGGATGGGACTCTCAAGGAGGGTGTTGACGGCTCCGAGACGTCGGTTGTCGCCAAGGCTGAGAGCAGCGGGGACGAGGAGTTTGACGAGGAGGCGGCGCTGAAGGAGGCGGCGGAGAAGCTGCAGATCAAGGATGAACCCGCCAAGACGAGTTCGGACGATCTTGACTAGGCATGCTAGATCACGACAGGAAGTTACGAGTGTAAGAATTTGCGTGTATGATTTCGCTGGTGTTAGAGCTGGTGTGTATGAGACCATGACCTACTTACCCGAGGGATAAAGACGGGGAGGATATATTGTAAGTAGCGCGAGGAGATAAAGAGCTAGGCATACCAGCGCAATGTAGAACAGACACATCCACGGGCCGACAGAAATGCATACGATGTTAATGCGCTTTATTTTCATATGTTACAACGCCTCACTGTAGGTCATTATTGCCAACCTCCCGTAGAATCACAGGAGACATGCACGGCCCGTCAAAATACTCGGAGCGAGAGGTAACCTTCCCACCTATAGCGCCCTCCTGCATCTCAGCCCAGTGCGTCATGTCCCGGCGACAGATCGAGTCCATGAGACAGAGCTCGAAGGTCCTGACGGAGGAGAAAATATCTACCGCGTCGTCGCCGCCTCCCGGGTCTCGCATGCTCCTGAGCAGGCTCCGCAGGGGGATCAGGTCCTCCAGCTGCCACCAGTCCTCCCCAAGATCATCCTCCTGCTCCGCCACGAAGTTGGGGTCCTGGTCGCAGCGGTCGGTGGACGCGGTGAGTAGTCTTAGAGCCTCAAGTTCGGGGCATGTGTGCGCGACGAAGCGCCAGAAGATTTCCCTGCGCAGGCCGGGGGCGTAGACGGGGGATATCTTCACATCAAGCTGGGCGAGATGTGTGAGGAAAGACGGTCGGCCTTGCCTGCCGGTCATTGATCGGGGAGGGCAGCGGCCACATGAGGTCGGTAGGATGCATGGTTCGGGCCTTGGGTCGTTTCTCCCGCTTGAGGTTCTCGCCGTGCGAGGATACACCCACACCTGATCCGTGCTGCTGGGCACAGAGGAGAGACGGTGCTTGTGTTCCAAGGCTCTGCACGAACCCTGCCATCCAAACTGCTCGACCGCATGCAGTCGAACACGATCGACGCGAGAATTAAAGGGGATTAGTTCTGTAGCGGGGTTGCCGTACGCCATGATTGCTTCTTCACGAGAGGCCCGGCAGAGCTGGAAGTACGGTATGTCGCGCCAGGTGCGGCACTCCCAAAAAACAAGGCTGGGCTGGGAGGCAGCCTGTTCCATCTCGGACTCGCCCCAATAAAAGACTCCATCGAGAGTATGCGATTCAGAAGCGGAAATGGCCAGGCGGAAGATCTCAAGCTGAATCTCGGTGGGGAGGTCGGAGAGTGGGAATCTGGAGATGGTGCCCGATCCGCCTACAGATGGTGATAGTTCGGCGCCGTTTTCTGGGGCGACACTACTGCGGGTGGTGTCACGATCTCGTAGGTAGCGTACAGGAGGCCACGGCCTGCCGTTCTCGTCCTCGGTCTTGGATTTCACGCAGCCGCTCCGGCAGGCCATGATGCGTTGCCAGTGGAGCGAGATGGTCGGCCAGGGCAGCACGCTCCCGGGTAGCAGCTTGCGATTGGCGACGAGCGAGCAGGAGCCGTCTGGGTTGGTGACGCGAATGACCCGTGCTTTTGCCATGGTGGCGGTCTTGTTCTATGCATGTTCAATGTTGGAATGTTTCCGGTAGAGGTTGAGGCTGTTGAGTGAGTTCACGCTTGGTTCAGGCGCTTCTTGTGCTGGAGCGGGGTTTGGTGAAGGCAAGTACAGGCCAGCACAAATTCGAAAGAGCTGTGGGCGGTGTCGCTGTCGGTGAGGCCGTCACACAACCCAATCACCAAAATGTCCTGCTGGCTCAATCAATCCCATTTGCGATTATTTTAGCTAATAGGCACACCCGTGTTTGAACTTTCTATGTGCCTCGTCTCACCACTGCCCGACCCATATCCATCCCATGCGTCGCTAGGCAAACTATCCTATTTTGGCAGACATCGTCAACTCCAAAGGTTATCTGACACAAATAGCCCAGACAATTTTTTTAAAAAAAAAAACACTCAAAGCTCTATAGAATTAACTAGCGAGATTGAAGAGCCAGCTTGCTGTATTCTTAGATACTCATCCAATCCGAGTTCCTTCCTGAGATCTCCGACTGCCTGGTTCAACTGAGACAGCTTCGTACGTACCTCTGGCGGTGTTTCTCGTCGGTTCAAAACCCCCCCCAAGATTTTCTCTATTGGGTTAACGCATCCTTTCAACCTTCGTCGTAATGTGTCTCTCTCCGCTCTTATAGAGTCACTTTCTGACAGCAGTTGTTGATTGCTCTGCCTCAGCCTCTCATTATCTACTGTCAGAAAATCGGGACATGATAACTGTGTTGTGCTGAAACGAGTTTCGACGTGGAAGACATGGCGAGAGATGGGGAGCCGTGGTCGCTATCAGGTGGAGGCGGTCCTGTGCCGGGAATTGGCCATGAGCTTCCAGTGGGAGAAGATGGTCCTACATGACCGTCATCCCGAGAATAGCTCGCTACCGTTGCCGTGACGGTCGACTGTTAACGCTTCCTTAGGGGCCGCCGAATTCGCCATATGTTCCCATCGGTTTGCCGGAGGAACGATTCTCTCCGCGCGTCCCTCAGGCCTGGTGAAACTGGGCCAGCACGTTTGGCAGCGCAAAAAGGGACTGTGATGACGGGGAAGATGATCGTGACGACGGAAAAGACGAGATCTAGCTCACTGGTCAATGGCTGCCCTGGTTTCCGGGTTCTGAGCGACACAAACTTGAGTCTCGAGACGCTTTCTGCCCCGCCTGTTGGATTACGTCTGGGTAGTAAAAAACACAAAGGACATCTAATCTGATTTCGCTCATGACATTGGCAGCCATACGGCCATCCCAGGAGCTTTCTGGGTAGCCTCGTCGGTTGTTTCGACGGTGCGGGAGAATCATTGCCTAGAATCTCGTCATCCTGGTGCCAACCCCCTTTCTTCGGGTCCGACAACGGTGCAACTATCTGTCGTGAGATATTCGAAGAGCGCAGGTCGCTCTGGGAATGTATCTGCGCTAGGGAGTCGGAAGGAGGTGACTTATTACCACCATTCTCGCGATTTGTAGGTTCAAATGCAGGCAGACTGTCACCACAATTGGTGGTATATAACCTCGCTCGCTTTGAAACTTGCGAGATATTCTCCTGGGGGTGATTCGCGTGCTCCTGCAGCCGACGTTTGCTCGGTCCCTGCGCCTCGACAGATACTGAGGTGGACAAGTCGTCCGAGCTGGGAGAGCATGGGGAGTTGTCGGCCCAGACTACTGCTCCTAGATGTGATTCCTGAAGAAATATTATTCGGCTACTTCGGGACGAAGCTTGGGTGTTATTATCATCATCTTCAGGCGTCAATAGCACCTGAGAGGTTTGGATTCGATTATTCACATCGCTAGGCGATTGATCTGAGACCACAAATGGTTCAGATGAAGAGAAGGGGTAGGGACCTAAATTGTCAGATGTGGGAGCCATCATGCCAAAGCTATAGACGAAAATCCTGGGTTGGGTGACACAGGCAAAATTTGCGAGTTTGTGAATGAGGCTTTCTTCGGTCCGGTTGAGGGGTAAGCACACGTATACGCGTCGGTCTAACTGGGGACAGCAAACAATACAGGTACTTGATTTGCGCGACGTGAATACAAGTAATCACAAAACATTGCACTTTCACGTGTCGCGTAATGAACACAGCCGTGTGGCAGTGATGATAGGGTGGTATCATGGTGAGCTTCGTTAGTCAGTGCAGACGTCCCATCATGATTGGCCAATCCCGGCACATGTCCGTTGTCAAATGAAGCGCGGCAGGGAAAAGAAACTCAGCTCAACACTTTGCCAAAAGCTCCTGGAGTAATTTGGGATCTGAGAGGCTGTCTCCGAGCTGTGGCAATTGTCGGTCTTGACCTGCTTAGCATAGGCTTGTTAATTAACTAATGGAAGGGACAAACCAAGCAAATGGAAAGAAATACCCAAAAGAGACGGACGATTAGCAGTGTTTAGGCCATAATCTGCTTTGAAACACCATGAAAATGGAAAACTTCGGAACAGCTAAAAGTGGGCGTAGGTTAAGAGAGTGCAGGAGAGCAATGCTGCAGGTTAGTGACCGGTTGAGGGAGCCCAGTCTGGTCATGAGCGGCATTCTACATCCTGTTGGGTGACCAGGCTTTCATTTCACCAAAAGGAGGTGTCTGGTATAGACCGTGGGTGATGAAAGATCCGTTTCGCAGGCTTTCACCAGTCAGGCTGACCGGGAGCCAATGCAAGGTGCCCCATTACGGAGTGTAGGGCTCAAAACATGCTGCACAATAGAAACCAAGTCCCTCCAAGCTGGAGCCTAGGCGGCATTTAATGTACGGATGGAAGATGAATGTCGACCAAACACTGGGAGCGTACGTGAAGAGGATATAGGTGCTTGGCTGGGAAGGTCCTTGCCAAAGATGCCGAATGGAAAGAACCCCCTTGGGTCGGGCTTGCCAAGGAAGACTGAGGAGAAAATATACATAATTTTAGGCTGCCAGCAACTGATGGCGCCAACAAGGAAGCAACTCACGCGAATGAGGGCCGATGGAATGACCATGCATAAACCCATGTGGAGGCAACAACATTGCCTGGGCAGCCAAAGAGCAATGCAAGGTAAGCACCAGTGAGTTGCAGGGAGAGTAACTCCGGGTCTCGCCTGAAATACACGCCTGGAACGCGGACTGGTAGATTGCTGATGTGTAGCACAAACTTGGTGCTCATCCACGCCTTTTGCGGGATCTGTGTTCGGCCCTCGCCAGGACGATCCGTCTCGAGCATATCTCCTGACACTTGGCAAAGTTGGAGGAAATAGTAGCCGCTTGGCACGTTTGCCAGGGTCGTCTTATTTTCTGGATGAGGTTAATCGACACTTGCTAGCTCAGCTTGGCTGTTGCAAAGGCGAAGACTAGATTTCCTCCAATTTCGAGTCAGGCGGGGTCACTGAGTGATCAAATGGCGCTTCCTTCTCTTTCTCTCTTCAAGTGAAGGACGGGACATCCCATCCTTCCGAGGTCGTGGACGGGATCTTCAATTTGAGGTTACAATCGATCTTCAGACCGCTCACTCGGGACCAATATCTGCTAGTGAGCTTTTCCTCGGCCATCGTCACCGGTAGCCGAGGAGAACACGGAGCGAATTAGCCCGAGTTACTAGGAGAAACCCCCTCGAAGCTAACAGACAGCGGCCCCAGAAGGATGGTAACGGTGTTTGGTGCTTAATCTCACCGTCGCCGGGGATTTCTTGCCGGCCTGAGTCTTCCCCACTGTGAAACGACTGCATGGGGGTGTTGATCAGCTCGCAGTAACTTCCGAGCCTTGTATCATATATGAGAGGCCTGCATGGAATCAACGGTCAATGGCATCGGCACGGCTGGGGAGATATCGTCCTGCTTCCGACCTTTCCATACCGTGCCGCCTCCGGGAGCCTCCCTCCATCATCAACAACTTCTGGATTGTTCTCAATCACATCGCAGGCGCCACCAGGGCAGTGACAGGGCTGGCATTCCTTCGTTCTAATAATATTGAACAGCCACAACGCCCAGGCTGTCGGTAAATGAGTCAGGCTTTCTGGGCATGGAGACGAAAGGAGCTATGTTGGCCGACTGCGGAGGGTTTCCTCAGCCGGCCGCGCGCTGCATGGCCTAGCTGGGGTAAGTGTAGGGCATAGGGCGACTGAGGATCGATGCTCCTTGCTGATCCTCTCCACGGAGCGGTGGATCTGATTCCCATGAGGAGGGCCGTGAGCTTCCCGGACTCGACGACGATCATGATCTACGACTGCGGGGAGGTGATTTCTCTCTAGTGTAATCTCCTTCTCGGACGACAGCCTGTTACACTCGAGAGTGGCTTGACCATGGATCAGGATACTATTCCATAATTGAGCATCTAGGGTTTTTAGAACCCAGAACGTGGCATAACGCGCCAGGTCGCGGGCCAGCAAAAACACGCGGACCGTCAACTAAGGCTTGATCAGGCCAAGCTCATTCGCCCCCCTCCGTGATAACCCAGCGAGACCCTCGACCGCCAGGAACCGAAGGACTATCGATCGAATTTTGAACCCTGGGTCTGGAAATATCATGACTAAAACCCTGCTCCCAGCTCATCAACCTAGTGCCGATGAGGAATGCAAACTGGTAGCGGCGCCAACCACCATGCACAACACTTGGCCTCTGAGGGCGAGGACGGGGATATCCTTGCCTTAAACCTGAGCCTAAGCGCTCTACCACCCTTTCTGCCCCGTCCTTGGCCAAATTTGAGTGGTCCCGTGTTGAAGAAAGTCAACATGGCTGCCGTCACGCCGTCTGCCACGAGGAGGCTCTCGATGGGATGGAACATGCACTAGCCAGGGACTAGCAGTGTTGGAAAAGCCATATGTTCAAGGGAATCGTACGAGTTTACTCGAGGCCCGCGTTCTCAGTATATTCGCCGAAACCAATAGTGTGTTTCTGTTCGCCGTGCCACCCGCCGATTGCTGTTTTGCCCCTCACCCAGATCCCAGGAAGAGGTGTGGAGGCTGATCTACGATTTTACCAGCTATATCCTGGTTGTCGACAGCGGGTACCTGACATACATCTCCTTGTTCCTTGTATATGTACGGAGGACTCTGAACTGTCACATTCTTTCTTTTTTCCCCTTCCCGGCTGTTGATGCAAGCACGTTAGACTTGCGTCTATTACATCCTCATCCATTACAACGGCTCCCAAGGCCGGAACTCGCCCAAAATGAGCGACCGTGGAACGCTCATTCCGGAGCACTATGTACATACTAATCCGACAGCAGAAGAGATCGAGCTGTCATGTATTATTTGGGGACTGTCCTTGGGAATCTCCGTGTACGGCGCATTCGCCGCCGGGAAGCAGACCTTCAAAGCATGGAAACGAGCAAAGAAGGTTACTACCTACATGGCGCTCATCTGGCTGGCCTGGACTGCGAGTACGGTCATGGGAATCGTGAGCTGGGCCTTTCTGAAGGGATCCATCAAACCCGGACTTGAATTTTATTTAGTCATCCGTAAGTGATCCTGTGTTGGAGAGCATGGTTGGCGTATGCTACGGCAGCTAACAACAGTTAACTGCCAGTGATATCCTGGTTTTTCCAGATCCATACTCTCTTTCAGATCATCGTCAACCGAATCGCCGTTCTCTCTGTCCGATCAAAAACAATCTTCCGTCTCAAGTGGGGTATCTTCTTCCTTACCTGCCTCATTAACATCTCCGTCGCCTGCATCTGGGTGCCGGCCTCGCTGCAAATCAACGAGACTTTCATTGCCGTCAACAACGTCTGGGATCGTCTCGAAAAGGCCATCATTTGCGTGATGGACACGGGCCTGAATCTCTACTTTATTTACCTGGTTCGCTCGCGCCTCATTGCCAATGGTTTGACCAAGTACGACCTTCTCTTTAACTTCAACTTGGCTATGATCTTCGTCTCCGTGTCTCTCGATGTAAGCACTCCCACTACAAAAATATTGATCATTTGCTAAAGTACGCCTTAGATTCTCATTGTTGCAATGATGTCTCTACCCAACAAGTTTGTGTAAGTCAGCCCATGCCTCCCATGTACAGTCCACCGACCCTAACTCCATGCTTCCAGGTACCTCCAATTTCATCCTGTCGCATACCTCCTCAAGCTCCAGATCGAGATGGGAATGGCCGACCTCATCGTTAAGATCGTCAAGGCATCGAACCCCACGAGCCACAGCTCTGGCCCGTACGTCCGAGGCACTGAGACCCTCGGCCTGAACGCTCAGAGCCACACGGCTGGCAGCAGGGCCGACCCCTGGGGCAAACCTCAGCAACGTACCAGGATCGAGGGCGGCGCTGACGAGGAAGCGATGGAGATGGAGGTGTACGGCAAGGGCATCAAGAAGACTGTCGTGACCGAGATTGTGAGTCAAGACGAACGAAGCATCTCGCGGCAGGACGATGCCGCGATCGAGAACGACAGGGCTAGCCATAGTAGCTCGACGAGGCAGTTGAAGGATAGCTCGAGGCAGAGCCACTAATGAATGAACGGAAGCGATGGGTGGAGAGAGTTGATGCGATGCCCTCGATATAATAGATGTACATAACCGCCCTCGAGGGTTAGGGACGAGTCACGCTGGTTAGACATTGTACGTACCTTCTTCATTTTATATCTTGCCTTATTAATGAATAATTATGTAAACTGCATTCATTTGTTTTGTTCGGATGTAAGGGTGCACCGACGGGATAAGCCGCATTTTGTGATCAAAGAAGGGCGGGTTTGGCACATCTTCAGTCCTGCGTGGAGAGTAAGACATGGGATATGGTATGTCTTCTCAACCTTCTTTGGATATAAGACTGTTAGTCTCTGACAGAAGATTCAAAGGAAAGGAATGGACTCGTTATGAGAAAGCCACCAGTTCGGGTCTCTTTGGGTTTGTACATTGCCGACCTGAAGATTATGAGCTCTGAATGATTGCCGTATTCGCTCACTCGGAGTATTCGCCGGTCACATACTGCACTTTTCCGCCGCATGGATGATCAATTGAGCCTCTATTTGCGCTCTCTATAAAGTATAGATTCTAGTAGGAAGCAGCTTACTGGGCGACCGAAGAAATGTGACACCAGAATGAAGGGGGATTGTAAGCAGACCACCTTCTACGATGACCGACTAGAATGATGCAGCAGTATGAACTGATATAACCTGACGACATTTCTCATATTATCTCTTCAACTTTATTATTAGCCCTCGCTAGACTGGCGCTACCGGTCGCGGACTTGGAGATAGGGAGTATATGTTTGAGTGTCTCAAAATCAATGTCACCCGCTTGGCCATCACACCCAACGACAAACGCTCTCCCTTCACGAGTATGATTCACTGCACGACCGTAAGTGGCAGTGATGGCGATAAAATTCTTGGAAATACTCAGTTATTAGGTCTAGTGACCTTGTCGGACGCCATTGATACTTGCACAATGGAAGCTGGCGCATCAAACAGAGCTCCGTGGAGAGCGCGGGCGTTTCACAGCCTCACATCCTACATCCAGTATACGCCTGCCTACCTGAGTACCGAAGCACGAAGCACAGAGATAACGCAATACCATCCAGCCCTCTATCAAGGGAGCGAGACACGTATCAGGCCTTTGACTCTCTTGGCATGTAACTGAGGTCATCTCAGTTTTTCTCCATAAGCTTTCCACCAACACAAGCCTTATGTCCATTTTCAACACTTACTCAAGCGCCCCGGCCCAAGACCCTGAAGATGGACGTCACAGCGACCGTCGAGACTTTCACTAGCGGCTCGCTCACAATCCCACACATGACCATGACTGCAAAGGATATCCCATGCCCAGCACCTGTTCTGTTGAAGAACTTTGATGATTGTCACATCCCTGGTGGGACGGACCTTTGGGCCAGTGATGGTTTCTACTCTCCTGGACGATGTTTCTCCGGGTATGCGGGCATGTGTACGCAGACGGCTCCATTGTGGTCGCTGGTAGAGGGAGAGACCGCCGTGCGCTGCATCCCATCGTTAGTAACATTCCCCGAGCTGCTATGGTTATCGCATCCGTTGCCCGTTCATTCGAGCTTTACTTGGTTCATGCTGAAATATTTCCCAGTGGCTACGACTGCAATTCCCCGGGCGCTGATCCAAAGTATGCCATCTCTGAATACGATGATCTTGTCCTGTCCGCGCCCGCGTTTGAGATCCGGTGGAGGAGCGAGGACGTGAAGACCCTGACGGGGTACCAATCTTCAACAACAAAGAGCGGATCAATCGTGAAGCACGGGAGACCGACTACATTAACAACAGCGTCGCAGACGAAGACAAGCCTAGCAACTTCCGGGACATCATCTGGCATCGCGACGCCCAATTCTGGGCAGGCCACATCCATTTCTATGTCGGAAACTTCTGCGATATCGAATCCCACGCAGTCCAATAACTCTCCTTCATTGAGCTCTATCGCAGGAATAGTGGTAGGTGCTCTTCTCGGAATACTCGGCGTCGCTCTGATTACGGTGTATTTGGTCTTTCAGATCCGAAGGGCTAAGCGGGATGCCCCATCCGAGGACAGTTCGGCGAGCGCAATTCCGCGTGGTTTCCTAGAGTCAACGTCTGAAGCTTTAGGTCTGCGAGGACCAGCTGAGCTGGGTGACGAGCCCAAAGAGCTCGCGGCCCATGCATCTCGCCGGCCGTTGGGTGAAGATCCCCGTTTGTCAGGAGGTTCTTACCCCGGGATTGTGTCCTTGAACCAGTTCCCAGTCGAGCTTGAGGGACATGCTGCAGGCGGGGTAAATATGGGAGAGAAGCCGAGACCGCCTTGAGTTCGGAACTTCATCCTTGATTTGGCTTTTTGTACATATTTTCATCTCGCTAATGTGCCGTCTTCCACACCGCTCGTAAACGAGGGGTTATTAATAGCCTTGAGAACAATCGAGAATGTCATTTCCATGAGGTTAGTGGGTAGCCACGAGCCCTGGTTGAAAAATCCTCACTCTAGCTGCAGCGTCATCCCAGTGGATATGCCAGATCTAAGCTTTCACGTCCCATATCCTGATTATTCCCAGATCTTAGCCCCTTTACATGTCACCCAATCTCAAGCGAGATTTGCTGGAGGGGTTGGCATGTGGAGCCAGATGAGATCCCTCCCCGCGAAAAGGGCCCGGAGAGAAAAGTTGTTATTCCCGGTCGACCGGCAAGGATGATGTGCAACCGTCAGTCGAGGTCTTCGCCGATAGCTCGTAATATTCCCGTCCTTTGATCGTCATCCGGCACAATGTGGTAGCTGGAGCGCACAAAATTTGCTCAGAAGGCTAAAATTGAACATAAGAACGGGTGTCGACCCTCCCGTGTCGCAGAGCATACAGCCGATGGTTCTGTTCCTGACTCTTAACATACACACCAAATTCGGCCTCGAGCGATGGAGGCACTTGAGAGCAATCTTGGCCCGACTGCTGAGATCGAGACCTCAGCTGATCATGAAAAGGCGGAGAAGCATCACCGACATGGAGAGAAAGGCGAAGACGAATCAACAGGCGCTCATGCCCGATATTCGGAAAACAGATTGGAGGCGCAGCCGGATGCAAACACTCCTATCACCTACCTTTACCTTGAATTCGAGACGAGTCTCCCGACACTTCCACATCTGGAATATGCAGAGAACCTGCCACCGGTCTCTGACCTGAAAAAATTCAGCAATCCGAAAACATGGTCTCCGATGCGAAAGCTTGTACCGCTCATCCTTTCGTGTGTAGCAACCTTCTGCACCGCCTACTCAGCTGGCTCTTACTCTCCCCCGTCACGTTTGATAGCGAACGATCTAGGAACGAGCCATCTCACTGTCCTTGTGGGCATTACGACCTTCTGCATGGGATTCGGTCTCGCCCCAATGGCGCTTGCTCCCATGAGCGAGATCTGGGGCCGTTACGTCGTCTTCGTCGTCGCGGGCATCATCTTTGTCGTGTTCGAAGCCGTGTGTGCTCTCGCGCCAAACTTGGCAGGTATGTTGGTTGCGCGGTTTCTGGTGGGTTGCGGCAGCAGTGTGTTCTCCTCTGTTGTGGGTGGTGTGCTGGCGGATGTGTACGACAAGGCCGAGAGGAATGCGCCCATGTCGTACTTTAGCTTTGCCGTGATTTCCGGGACGGGGGCAGGGCCCTTGGTGACAGCCGGGATTGTGAATTCGATGAGAAGTGGGACACAGGCGTGGAAGTGGTCGTTTTGGCACCAGGCCATCGCTGGCGGTGTGCTCCTCATTGCCATTGTCGTGTTTTTCCATGAGACAAGAGGAAGTGTGCTGCTGTCACGCCAAGCTGCTACTTTGAACAAGTGGTATGAAGCCTTGGAGGAGCGAGGCCATTTTGGCGTTGCTGTAAGAGACTCCCTTTTAGAGGAGGTCGCTCGCCCTTCAGTCGCATATACCTCATCGTCGAGTGATCCGGAAAATGATGGTAGCAGCGAAGGTTTGACCATCCGACGAGTACGCTGGAAGGTTCAGGCCGACGAAGAACGAGCGTCACTGACCACAATCATGTCGACGTCCATTCGGCGACCCTTCTATCTTCTCTTTACAGAGCCCATCGTCTTCGCCTTTTCTCTCTGGGCTGCCTTCGCCTGGGGCGTCCTGTACCTCGCCTTTGCCGTTGTGCCCTATCTGCATGGGAATGACTTTAATGCATCGATGAGGACCTATATTGCGATGATAAGCGGAAGTGCATCGGCTACTGCCGTGAGCATCTGGCAGGAGGAACTCTTGAAGCATCCGAAATGGCGACCGGAAAGCCAGGATACATCCTCCAGGTTCTGGGCATTCATGAGACGGCGATTTCCCGCTGACTCACCAGACGCTCGGCTCTACTTTGCCTGTATCACGGCTTCCTTCTTACCTGCTGGTCTGTTCGGCGCTTTTATGGCTCCTAGCACAGGCCAAGAGGGCGATAGAGGCACCAACTTGGCGGTCGGGATGGGGTTCGCTACTTGGGGTATTTACTCCGTGTACCTGGCGAGCTTCAATTATCTAGCCGACATGTACCAGATATATGCGTCATCGGCCCTTGCGGCGAACAGTTTCTGTCGGAATTTGCTAGGAGGCGGTTTCCCGCTCGCCACGGCTGCCATGTTCAATAGATTAGGAGTCAAGGGTGCTGGAGGGTTACTCGCCGGTTTGGCGACAGTGTTGACTGTCATTCCTTGGGTGCTTGTGTTCTGGGGTGATCGCATCAGAGCCCGAAGCCATATGGCCCTCGTAAGTTCTTCTCCCCCGCCAGCCTCCAACGTCTTTGTTTCTGGAAAAGAAAGTTGCTAACGATGGGAAAACAGTTGCTACAAAAATAGAACGCTAGAGATGTTAAATATCTCGGCGTAATGAGTCACGCATTATGATATAGTGACAAGTATTCTGTCTTGCAGTTATCTTTTCAGATAGCTGCAGTAAAAGTGTCTTTTGAAGTTCGGGAGGAATCAGATCTCTTCACATTGCTGTGCATATTCAGTAGCAAACGATTAGGATAATATTGGGATAGAGAGGATGCACCTTGTAGAGTAGTTTTAGCAAGTAGTTATCAGGAAATTTGAGAAGGACGACGGCCCAAGCTTGACCATGTGTCGTGCCGAACTGGATATCTGTCTTTGTAAAAGCGGAAAATTGGCCGGGAGTGGCCATTCGAGAGAAAATTGGCCCAGGATATTGCCTGGTAACAACAAAATTTGCCCTCCATAATCGAACGCTCCTCTAATCGCACAAGTCGCGACCAGCGCTTTCACATGTATCCAAAAAGACTTTTCAACCGCCCATCATGAATAGTTTTGACATATGTCTTGTTTTTCTCTTTATTGAACTTATTTCTTCTCGGCGTGGGCCTGCTCGTAAATCCAGTCGTTCAGTCCGTGCTTGTTCCTGGCAATTTCAATCGCGTAAAACTGCATCCTGGGTACTATCATTTGCGAGTTAGACTGGATTTCTTTCGATGCTTGAAAGAGTCTCCACTTGAAACCTACCAAAAATAGTGCTCTTCTCTCCGTACTCCTCCTTTGCATTGTTTCGTACCATGGTACCAAAGTTGTAATCATCAATCTTCTTCTCGTAGGACATCATGAAAGGCCTCCACTTCTCCTTCCCGGCCTTGCTCTTCATCTCGTCCTCGTCGACCGTGGCAGCGGGGTCGAAGTCGGGGAAGGTCTGCATAAGGTGTTCGTAGATCTCGTCGTCCATCTTGGTCAAGCGCAGAGTCGAGCCCTTGACCTTCTCGAGGATGGACCAGTAGGTGGACATGTGCTGGACGACTACAAAGAAAGCGTTAGCATGGGATGGCCATGGCTTTGCCAGGGGATGCGGGGACGGATGAAGATCAACCCTTGACGGCAAATTGCTTCTCCATCTGTCGTGGTTTAACTGTAATTAGCTGCTTGCTCACAAGTTGCGACCCGGGGTAAGACAAAGGCACCCACATCCTCATTGTTCTCGGCATTCTCAGCGTCGAAGTTCTTGGGGAGAGGCCCCGAGGCTCCGGACATAGCTTCCATAGGATCCATCTTGGCAGTTGCTTCTTGGTGTTCGGCTCGGTATGCGCGTGGGTAGAGGCAGTTGTAGGTTTGGGTTGTTGGGTGCCTGGTGAATTTGTCGCGCGACGGAACAAATCTTTTGTAGGAACGTGGGGCAACGTTGGAGGCGATGGAGGGGCAGCAACGACCGGAATGAGGTCAGCGGGGCACCTTCCTGCTCGGTGGTACTGTGCCAAATAACAACGCACGGTGCATTTGGCACTGTATTTCCGCTGTTGCCGAAGGCCCTCTGTTTCCCCAGTGACTTCCCGAAGCTTCCCCAAGGTGAGGGCATCATCAAACCCACAGTGTGCGATATCAGATGACCTTTGCAGACCTGTCTAATTTCTCAATTGTCTATTGAGGAACTACCTCTACGCATCCTGAGCCCCCTGGAACCCTCGTTGCATTGTAGGGCTACCTCAATGAGTCATTGGCCGTTGATGACCTCCTCCCGCCTGAGGCTCACCTCACCCACTTCACATGCTCACCAGCAGAGGAAGAAAAGATGGAGAGCGAAAAAGCCACAATACAAGATATCCGGCGCTACTGGTCTGAAATCGAATAGGAATAGCTCGGCTCGTTTTCCAGAAGCGCTGTGGTAGAATGTGGTTGGCTGACTTATCTTCAAATGTGGAGGGCTAATTGTAGGAACAATACTAAGCCACGAGTTGACAATGGACGTCTCGAGCCGGTCCAGAATCCCTTGCTTGTCACCATTCACAAAGGCGCCATGTTGTATGGAATAGCGTTAAGGCATGTTTGTCATACCTTCTCCCTTCTGCCCTGCTCGAAAAATGGCAATGGATTGTGCTTTCAACTCTTCCATCTCCCTCAAAAAGGCCAACAAACAGCGCGACATCGCCGTCAAATAACAACATGGAGCAAACCCGACAAGAAACCGCTCCTAAATATGATCGCGCACCTTACCTAGAGGACAGTCCGCTGGCGGACGGTCTTCCTTTTCAGCGAGAAACCAAACCTTCATGGAAGATGCTGTTCGAATTTACACGATGGTCTCATGCGGCGCCCCTCGCCACTGCCCTCGTTGCTTCGGCTGCCGTAGCCGGTTTCAAGGCCTCTCTTTCGGTTATCCTCGGGCAGATATTCGAGATCATTGCGGAATTCGGAACGGGAAGTCGCAGTAGTGAAAGCAGCATGGCTGGCATATCTCGATGGGCACTCATTCTAGTTGGATTAGGGGTCGGCAACTCAATCGCCCACGCGGTTTTCCTCACTTTCTGGATAATTTTCGGGGAACTCCAGGCTCAAAGTGCGCGTCATCGCATGTTCAATTGCCTGGTGAGCAAAGAAATGGAATGGTTTGATGTCCAGGAAGAGGGCATCTCGAGCCTTCTCATTCGAATGCAGACGTAAGTGACCAGCTGTCCTATGCGTAAAGCACATTTGCTGATCTGAATACAGACAAACTCGCGAGCTTCAACTAGCGACCTCTCAAATACTTGGGTTTCTTGTTAGCGAAGGCATGACTGCCGTCGCTTCCCTCTGTGTTGCGTTCTACTTTTCTTGGAAGCTCACTCTCGTCATTCTCACAACCATTCCTGTCTCTATCGTCATTTTGTCCCTCGCTACTCGAAAAATAGAGCCTGCAATCCAAATGCAGAAGAAATATCTCGCTACGGCTTCGAAACACGCCACAGCATCCCTCATGGCGATTGATCTTGTCAAAGTCTTCGGCGGCTACGACCAAGAACTGAAACGCTACCTCCACTTTGCCAACCTCGCTTCAATTCATTACCTGGTGCAGGCACTCTGTAACTCGATACAATTGGGATATGTCTCTTTTTGGCTTATTCTAACATTCGTGGTTGGCTTTTGGTATGGGGCTGCATTAATCGATGATGGTCTGTCCCCAGGCAGTGTGATGAGCACATTCTATGCAGTCCTAACCGCGTTCCAAGGCGCCGAAGCGCTCATCCCCCACTGGTTGGTGTTTTCAAAAGGAATGTCTGGTGGCAAATTTCTTTCATCTGTGATGCCAAGTGGTAGAGAGAAAGGCCTACCTCGAAAAATGGGCGGTATGCTACGACCACAAATCTGCGCTGGCAACATCGAGCTGCGAGATGTAAGTAACTACTGTTGTAAATCGATATGTCTACTTCTGCTGACTCGCTAAACTAGGTATCATTCTCTTATCCGTCAAATCCAAATCGAATCACCCTCAATCAGTGCTCTTTCTCTTTCCCATCAGGTGAGGTAACCTTCATTGTTGGGAAAAGCGGCTCTGGGAAAAGCACCGTCGGTAGTCTCATCTCCAACTTTTATCAACCCGCGACAGGCGACATTCTGATCGATGGGAGGTCCATGCGCATCATCCAAGAAGATTGGTTGCGAGAAAATATTACGCTTCTTCAGCAGTCCAGCGTCTTGTTCAACGAGAGTTTCAAAACCAATGTCGCTTTTGGCCATCGCTCACCCGATTCCGTATCCAGCCAAGATATTATCTCCGTATGTAATGACGTACTACTTCAGTCTACCATTGCAGGACTTCCTCAGGGCCTAGATACCAATGTTGGTCCTGAGGGCCATAGCTTGAGCGGAGGTCAGAAGCAGAGACTCGCGCTGGCTCGAGCACGACTCCGAAATCCTCCTGTGTTAGTCTTGGATGAAGTCACAAGCGGACTTGACCAGGTAAATCGAGTCTTGGTCATGGAATCTCTACGCTGTTGGAGACGCAACAAGACCACCATCATTATCACTCATGATATTTCACAAATTCTCCCAGATGACTTTATCTACGTCATGGACGACGCAGGTATTGTTGAAGAGGGCTTCAAGCGTGACCTCGTTCAAAAACCCGAAGGGTTTTTCGCATCGTTTGACTCTCCCGGGTCTCAAGAAGGGCTCAAGCTTGAAATCAACGTGCGCTCGCCCACACCACCAGATTCTTCGCCGATCACTCCTATCATACCGTCGTCCTCGGGTCTCATGGCCGATCTTTTCCTACGGGGGCTAGAAAATCATTCTTCTCGATACAGTTATGGCGGTGGTGCTCGTAGGACGTCATTCGGGGCCGCAGCTAGCTATGCGGCTCAAATGAAAGCAGAACGTTCATGGGCTTCACCAGCTAATGTCTCGGCGCGCTCGTCGGCAGTCCACAGAGACGTAGAGCTGGAAGATCTGGGCGACGAGCGCAAAAGATTCTCGCGATTTTTAACCGAAAGATTTGTCCTCGACAAAGAACTGGAGAGAAATCATCTGATATTCCCTTTTTCCCGATCCTCGCAGGCGGGTGCGTACCTGCGCTTAGAGGACCATCCGAAGAGGCACTCAATCGTTCCTGGTCCCCTGTCTATGAAGAGGCCTTCATACAAAGTAGCAAGTGGCGCTTCGCCTTTCCACGACAAAGAATCCACGATACAAGAAGAAAATCTCTCAGTGAGGAGCTCGGCCAACCCCGAAAACTCCTCCTGGTCATCTGGTAACCACCACCATGATGAGGAAGATGCTTTACCTAATTCCGCGCCATTTCAGCAGCCGGAGGTGTATATTAATGATAAGGAACCGAAGGCCAAGGACTCAATTTTCACCACGCTCAAAACTGTTTGGCCGATCCTGGGCATTAAGGACAGGATCACCCTCGTTTGTGGCATTTTAGCCACAGTTGTTGGTGCAGCTGCCACTCCCGCATTCGCATATTGCTTCGCCCAACTTCTTGGTGTAATGACAACGCCTGGAAACAAGTCACAGCAAGGAATGAAGTGGGCAGTCTCGATGCTTGCCATTGCGATTGTTAACGGCATCGGAATCGGCGGCGGTCGTTACCTGCTAGAGAAGGCAGCCCAGGCTTGGGTGAGCAACATTCGAAAGGAGGCCTTGCGACGAATTCTTCTTCAACCCAGGTCGTGGTTCAACAAATCGAAGAATTCTCCTAGTCGTATCAATGAGTGCCTTGACAGGAATGCGGAAGAGATGCGGAACATTGTGGGCAGGTTTGTGCCAATTATGACTGGGGTGTTAACCATGATCAGCATCTCCCTTCTCTGGGCGTTTGTCGTATCGTGGAAGCTGACACTGGTGGCGTTGGCACCCGTGCCGCTAGTCTTTGCAACAATTCAAGGCTTTGGCTTGATCACCGGGAAGTGGGAGGGTCGATGCAACGAAGCTGCGGAGGAAGCAAGTGCCTCACTCACCGAGGTATTGCTCAATATCCGCGTGGTCAGGGCGTTGGCGCTGGAGAGGTACTTCAGGATCAAGTACGAGTCGCTCGTGAACGTTGCTCTAAACACGGGGCTTAAACGATCTGCCTTCTCAAGCCCTCTATTCGGCATCTATCAATCCGCCGGATACTTCCTTACCGCGCTGGTGTTTTACTACGCCACCACGATGTTAGTCGATGATCGAGAGCTAGGCGTCGCAGAAATTATGCAAGTGGTCAACTTGCTGATCTTCGGTATCGGCATGGCGACCTCCATGCTAAGCAGCCTTCCACAGCTTGTCATGGCCCAGGCGACAGCTTCACAAATGCTCGGTTTTGCAGGCCTGCCGACACAACCGCCTGAAGGTCACCAGGGGAGAAGGATAATGGAGAGTCCTCTTCCAATTAAATTCGACAATCTTCGATTTTCTTACTCCCCTCGAGGCGGCGAGGAAGTGTTGAGGGGTGTCTCATTTGAAATACAGCCAGGACAATGCACCGCTATAGTTGGTCATTCAGGATGCGGGAAGTCCACGATTATCTCTCTCATTCTTGCTCTTTATCCTCCCACAAATAAGAGATTTAATCCGCGTTCATCTTCATCTCTGACCTTCGCTGGCTTTCCCTTCTCCGAAGTCGACATCGACCGACTTCGTTCGACAATGGCCTACGTCTCCCAATTCCCATTTCTGTTCCCCGGCACAATTAGCGAGAATATCGTCTATGGTCTCCCGATAGACTCTCCCTACCGCCATATGCGCGATATACAACATGCGGCTCAAGCAGCCGGCATTGATGAGTGGATTGATTCGCTCCCCCAAGGGTATCACACTCGTGTAGGCGACGGCGGCCAAGCATTATCTGGTGGGCAAGCACAAAGACTAGGCATCGCCCGGGCACTTGTGCGTCGGCCACATCTTCTCGTGATGGATGAGCCAACAAGCGCTCTCGACGCGGAAAGCGCAGCCACGATTCGCGAGACCATCAAAGGGCTGAAGAGCAACCGAGATATGGGCATCGTCGTGGTGACCCATAGTAGTGAGATGATGAGTGTGGCCGATCGGGTCATCATGCTTGGCCAGGGGGGTGTTGTTCTCCAAGAAGGAGGATTCTCAGAACTACTGGCTGAAGGCGGCCCATTTTTGAGACTGGTTAAAGGCATCGGCAGTTGTGAGGGCGAAGCATCTGATGAAGATTCTCCTCTACAACCACATCGGTGACATCCGAGTTGAAATCTGAACTCTAGCTTACCTAGCTTAGCTTGTATTTACAAAAGTCTAGAAACGTGCAGCATATGTTTGTCATATCATTCGTTGTCTACAGAACAATCGAAATATCCGATTTTTTCAAGAGTTCCCTCCATCAACACCCGAGTAGCCGACGAATATCTCCAAGTCACCATGCAGGTGCGGGATCTCCCAGACACAAAACTCGTCTTGGCGACCGGATCTTGTATCGCGTGTCACAATGGCCAGCTTGCCCGCCGAGAGTGTCAGCGAAGACTCAATTCGGCGGCAAGCAAACCAAGACAGGTAAGCGGACCAAAGACTACCGAGGCCAACAAGCGAGCCGTGTCACGCAATGGATCAGCCAGCCCGGGTTCCTCACAAGATGATCCAGCTGCTCACATGACTTCTGTCTCAATTTTTTCATATACAAGGTAAGCACCTTCGGAAACGGATTGATCGGCTAGCGACTTGGCCAAGACAGCTTATGCCAATATATGTGGCCTCCAAGCTATCTACAATGCTCAGTCCCAACTCCCTCGACACAGCCTATCATTCTGCTTATGTTCTTGGCGAGTGTCCAGAACGCCTCTCATGACGGTTGGCGTGTATCTACTAAAGCCGCGCATTGGAGGCGTCGCCAGTTGAACACCTTGCCCAGGTTCTTTCAATCGGCCTCGATGTTGCGGAATTCTCCCACCTATACCCCCTGTGGAAGCCTCTCTCCAAGTCATATTCCCAACAGGTCTCATGGGTATGTGAATAACGTTCTCCTGGGAATACAGGTGTCGCCGTCAGGCAAGGCTTATATTGACAAACATGCCTCTTCTAGAATCCATCCTCACACATCCAGTCTACCGAATCATGTTCACTCGCTTCTCTCGTCACTCCCGTTGGCTCTTCTTAGCTGATAGCACTTGAGGTATTTATACAGGCTTTTTCCTGATCCGCTTGACATCCTTCACGCATGTTTGAAGCCTGTGGGATTTCAGACTGGCGTGAACGGCCACTCCATTCCATGATGAATCAAACGCTTCTAGCAATCTTATGCGCGTGGTTCATGGCTCTAAATGCCATGGCAGCTTGCCCAAGTCAGCGGACTGCATTGCTGACACCCTCGGCGGCAAGCAGCTCGGATGAGACGCTTGCTCCTCCCTTTACGCCCAAGGTCTTCATCATCTCGATGGTATGGCCCTTAATCCGGGAACATTGACCTCTGTCCAAACTCGAATGGTGCCCAACTGACTTCCCCAACCCGAGAGCAGTTCAAGCCAGAGGCAGACGTCTGGTACAGGAACCTCCCAGACTCCGGCCTGGGCAACCTCACAGCCCGCTCCCTCTTCGTCGCCGGCCTCTCCATGAAATACCCCCTCGTCCACTGCACTTCCGCCGGCGATATCTGCCAGGCCACCCTCGGCGAGGGCGAGATCAACGCGGCGGCATCCATGTCCGCCCTCCTCCTCTCCCCGCAGTTCGCCCTCTCCCGAACCTACTTCCTCCTCGCGGGAATCGCGGGCGTCAACCCCAACCACTCCACCCTCGGCGGCGTCGCCCTCGCCCGCTTCGCCGTCCAGGCCGCCCTCCAGTACGAGATCGACGCCCGCTCCGTTCCCCCCGGCTGGGCGACGGGCTACTTCGCCCTGGGAACCCAGAAGCCCTTCGAATACCCCGCCATCGCCTACGGCACCGAGGTCTTCGAGCTCAACGCCGACCTGCGCGACGTCGCCTACGCCCTCGCCAGCGTCGCCAACCTCACCGACGCCAGGGGGCCCCGCGAGTACGGCGGGCGGTACAACGTGACGAGCGACGGTAAAGTAGGCGCCACGGCCGCCATGGGCACGCCGACCGTCGTGCGCTGCGACTCCACCACCAGCGACGTGTACTTCTCCGGCAAAGTGCTGGCGGAGGCGTTCGAGAGGACCACGTCGGTGTGGACCAACGGGACGGGCGTGTACTGCATGACGGCGCAGGAGGACAATGCGTGCCTGGAGGTCATGGTGCGCGCGGCGATTGAGAAGCGGGTGGACTTTTCGCGCATCATACTCATGCGCACTGGTGAGTCTCTTGCCATTTATCTAGGTAAAACTGATTTCCCACTGACCCTGGGTATCGTATCAGGCTCGAACTTTGACCGTCCGCCTCCTGGAGTGACCGACTGGGAGCATCTGGCCGTCTTAGATCAAAACGGGTTCGAGATCGCCATTGAGAACATATACAGGGCGGGGATGCTAATCGTCCATGGAATTATCGTTGGCTGGGATGAAACATTCGACAAGGGGATACCGGCCAAGAACTACATCGGCGACATCCTGGGCAGTCTAGGGGGCCAACCGGACTTTGGGCTGGGCAGCATCACGGAAGGACGGGGCGTCTCTCTCGGCGGCGTGGATGGGAACACTGGGCAAGGAAGCTATGAGAGCCATGTAGAGCGAAGAGGCAGATCTCGTAGCAGGCGCTCGAGACACGGAGGTAGAGTCATGAGATGAGATAGCTCGGTCAAGGACTGCTAGATTATAAATATGCCTGAAGAAGCGACCAGATCACTGCATCCGCAAGCGAGCCACTCGTACCGATTTTGTTCCTCCGTCTCAATCTGAATCCAACTAATATGCATACCTGAAACGCCAAAGATAATGCATAAAATCTCAAAGCAATACCAGCATTTTTCAGACTACCTCTGCACCGTGATGCAGACACTTGTATTATCAAACCTCCATAGCCCTTTCATCCCTCGTATGATGGTCATGCTCCCGGTCGGTGGATATGCCGAAAATCAATCATCGATTGTCATAGTATTCATGTGAAATGCTTCGTTGTGAGTAAAAAATACGCGTCATTAATGTATGTGTAGTGAATTAACCCAGCACTCAATTGCTGGTGTGAAGTGGCGGGAATCATTCGAGATCGGCTGTTGTCGAGGAGAAGGTAGAAGGAATAGTAGACCTCATGTACCAATCGCTCCATTCCTGGTTTGGGGATACAGCGCATAAAGCATCCCAATTGGAAGCGGTTGCCAATACGGCCACATGGAATAGCAGGAAGATCACGCTGGCACCGATACCACGAAATGGTGGAGGAGGGGGTACTCCGAATTCGATCTCATCACCAGCGTTTCGCCTAGCCAGGGCATCATCCTCGGATGCTCGTGGAACACGGAGGTCCAGAACAGCAATCATCACCAGAGGTAGAGCAATTTCCCAATTGGCCATGTAGGGATAGCAGGGGCGGAACAACGAGACCATTTTCACGAAGAAGAAGCTGAGGCGAAAGAGGTGGTTTGGGAGGTCACGATCCACTCCCATCAACTCAGCCGTCTGTTGAGCCATGATGGAAATGCGGTGCCGAAAGGCTGCTGCTCTTGTAGTAGGAGGGGGCATGAGAAGCGGTCGAGAAGGTCGTCTAGCATCTGTTTCAAAGTTGAGTTGGGTAGATTGGCCGTCATTCTCCTCATCAGTCGTTTCAGTAATGGTCATTGCCGGAGGGTGTTCTGGGGTTTGTATTGGACTGTAATGGCGTTGATCTGAACCGTCGTCTAATGCCAGCGATTGTTGGTCAAATTTAGAAGGCGAGGGGACGATCTGAGAGTTGTTCAAAGGTGAGGGCCGGGGACGGCCAAGGGGCTCCTGTGGATCTATAACATTTGTTGTAAGCAATTATCTAGCACATTAGATGCATCGGCTTGATAGGTAGAAGACATACCGTTGACTGGAGTGCTGGGTGTCGCAGGAGAGTCAAGATTTTGGACCCGGTTTACTCGGAGACTCAAGTTTGACCTCTGATCGCGCTCAGTTCTGTTGATATTTTCAAAATGGATTTCTCCTCTCATAGCACTCAGCACTTCGCTCGCGCTTGGTCTCTCGGCGGGTTTGAGAGACAGCAGCTTCTTCAGCAGAATGTACAGATGTGAAGGGAGGTCTGGGCGCTCCCTCCTCTCCTCATGGAAGCCCTGCCATCCCGTGATCTCATCTCGAAGCTCGTCAATATCTTCCAGCTCCTCCTGGATAGCATTGGAGCTGCGGTACGGCAACTTTCCAAAGCACATGAAGTACAGGATCATGCCCAAGGAGAAGATATCTGACTTGGTGGTGAAATTTTCGTAATGGCCACTAGCGTTCATCTTGAGAACCTCTGGGGCGCAATAGGAGATTGTCCCGGTCGAGCCAGATGATTTGCGAACCACATGCTCGGGCTGTACCTCGCCAAAGTCGCTGATTAAACATCTCAGCCTCCCGCCCTCACGATGCAGTAGACAGTTGTTCGGCTTTAAATCGCGGTGGATGTATTCATTGGAGTGGAGATATGCAACGCCAGATGTGATGTCTTTAAAGAGAGAGAAGATCTCGTCAAATGACAATTGGCGAGTGGTGAAGGACGACTGCGGCGTTTCCATGTGTCCCTTAGATCTCCGGCGAGCCCGGGCCTTCAGCTCCTCCTTGGTCACCTCTCTTGATCCACTTCCGACGATGTACTGATGCAAATCTCCGCCGTTGCAGTATTGTTGCAGGATAAAAGCGCAGGCGACACTGGGGCCGAAGGTATTAGGCTGGTAAGTCTCGAGCCAGACATGACGGTAGGACACAAGGTTGGGGTGTGAGAGCTTGTTGAGCAGACCAACTTCAACGAGAACCTTTTCCAGCCAGTCATGGTCGTCGCCAACAGGTACACGTTTGCAAGCGAAGTAGCCAAGATCGCAGCCATCGATTTCGTGTCGAACAAGCAGAACAACGCCCTTGCCGCCCTTGCCTAGGACCCTCTCCTCCTTGAAGAAGGTTCTAAAGTATCCAGGGCTAAAGGCCTGTTTCCGTATTCTATGGCCCTCGGGTTGAGAAACGCCAGGCGTGCTCGAGATGAACTCGGCCTCGCTACTTGCGTCGTCGTGTCGAACCCTAGAGCTCTCGGTCTCGGGGGTAGAAGAGCGGCCTCGGCCAGTCCCTCCACTCGTCAGCGCAGGGTTAAACAGCCTTCGTACTGGGCTCGGGGGGAGATCTTCGCTCGATATGGCACCTCGCGTGCCAGCCTGAAGCATGCGAAAGTAGTCCGGGTTGACGTAAGAATCGTGGTTGTTCTCGTACGGTCGCTCGTATGTGCGCTCGGAAGGTCCCAGAGGACGACGACAGGTCGGACATTCTGTCAAGCCACGGATCTCGAGCCTGTGGGAGGTAGAGTCTCTAACAACGATGGCATTGCGATGGCGACTGTGCGGTTGGGGGTAATTGGTTAGCATGAGTGTCCAGACGCATTGATGACGGGCAACCTACAGTACAATCTCGCGACCCTCCTGGTGGTTGTATGGCATTAGCGACATGATCAGAGAATAGTAATGGCGGCTGGGAGGGCTGTTGACGACGGTTCAATGGTCGTCATGATGCGCTCAAAGCCAGGCAGCCGGCATGGATAGGGGACTAGCTGCAAGTAAATGCGATCCAGTCAGGTTGTGTATGTTGGTGGGATGATGACGGAGGCGATCAATCATCACCAAACAAACGGCTACTGTAGGTACCTGGACCTAATGTAGCGTCAAGTGGGGGAAGAGTGCACTAACAGGGAGGCCTAAAGTAGTTGGTGCCTGGGGCAAACTGAAGGGTATAGGGTATTCTGATTTCGCTCAGGGCAGCTAACCTATACCTGCGTGTGTGCCACCATGCCATCCTCCCGTCATCGGTTTCTTCCGATTTCGACAAGAAAACCTTGTGAGAAGTCTTGTGGTGGAGGATTTAATCAGCTTGTTTCGTATTTCATGGCTTCTTTGGTAGGAGAGACAATTTCTTAACACCTGCATCGACCATGAGCAGCAAAGTTTAAAACCAGATTAGCAGTTTATTTTTTCCATAAACGTGTGGGAAAGAATTAAAGGATCTAAGCCTTGATAAAGCTTCTTTACTGAACGCGACTAAGAACCGAAATAGGAACAAGAGCCTATAGTAGCCCTCTCAAACTCCAAGCAGGGAGATCCTTGAATATTTCTCTTGAGTGCCCAACATACAAGCACTCTTCGCGGCTGTATCAACACGAGTGTTCCACTCGCGTGGTATCGCCCAAAATGAAATCTCGCAGCCACCTTCGGCATACTGTCCCATGAGCTTAGAAAGCTCCTTCCAGAGATCGGGATTCGCGGTAGGCTTGCCAGCAGCGGTCTTCCAACCATTGGAGGCCCATTTTCGAATCCAGACTGTTGCTCCTTTGGTCACATACTCAGAGTCAGTTATGACCACGATGCGGGTCCAGCCTTCCCCCCACCATGAACGGCCTTCGAGAAAGTCAATGACGGCGCGGAGCTCAGCTCTGTTGTTCGTCGGGGTGAAAGCCGTGCCGGTGGGGCCTTTATCCTCAAGTCGCCGGGAGAACAGCCCATTTCCGTCGTTGACTGAGAAGGCGCAGCCACCTTTGGGCGTGGCGAGGCCATTTGAAGCGCACGCGCCATCCGTAAATACTGCCATGGTCTTCAGGCCTGCTAGCCATGGGGTATACCTACGCCGGATCATAAAGCGCTCGAAATTGACGTGGTGGTTGAGTGTGTCGATCTGACGGGATGCGAATATCGATTGGGGAGAGAGGTTCATAGGAGGAGTGTTGAAGACGCTTCCTGTCCAAACGCCAGCTCTGGCAAAGGTAAGCGCTTGAATGGATATCATCATGTTTATTGGAATTTCTCACTCTCCATTACCCATCGCGTCTTTAGCATTGGTGATAGATTGTGGACTCGGTATCGGTCGAGCCGCGAAAAGAAACCCAGGCATTTGGGCTTGGAGAGCAGCGAGCTGGTCCATCTTGATTCTCACCTGTGGCTGACAGTCGACGAGTGTGAGGTCCCCACGACGGTCACAAATCTTTCGTGGTTGATCATCCTCTTCTGAATCATAATGGGCCATTTTGAATGTCAATTCTGTCAAAGAAACGAAGAGTTGTGGTGGTGAGAAGAGACACGAAGGTCCTGAAGCAATTGCGATTTTGCAGAAATAGGGTCATGTTTGAGGCAAAAAGGGACCAGACAAAAACTGCGTTAAATGAAACAGCTAGGAGGAAGCGTTTAGGGTCTACATACCCTGGTAGTCGTACAAAAAAAAAAGGAAGGGCCATCCCGAGAGCTTCAGAGAAACGTTCTTGCCCAAAATAGGGTGAATCTTCCACTCCAGCCCTGCAATTCTTATGAAACCGTCGGAAAGAATTGAAATAGCTTCTCCTTTAAGCAACGCAGTTACCTAAAGATCCTCGAGGAGGAGTACTAAGGTTATAACTTGGGTCAGAGTAAAGCAGGATACACCACGATTTAGACGCAACCACTACGTTATATCTATTCTGTCAGTAGCCCGCCAAGTTTTTCATTTCCCTGACCTCTCTGTATTCCATGAGAAGATTCAATTCTTAACGTTTAATACAACTAACGCTATCTTGTTATGACAGAAACATATCGTTTTGGTCATGCATGTTATGCCGCATGACAACAAAATTGATAGGATTCGTATTGTTCCTTACGTATACGTAGGTAGCTAAATACCATATTTAGAATAGATCCCAGACACTGTGAAGCGTTGATGGTAGAAAATTGAGGATACTAGTGACATAAGAATCAGATCAACAATTCTTCTTACTTTCTAGTCCAAGTGCTATGCTGAATATCAAAGTTTGATTCTGAGCTGGTAGCACAGACTAATCAAAGTGAATGATCATAACCTATTTGTATATGAAGGATCTGATATCTCCTTTTTTGCGCTCAGATAAGCGGCATCTAGATTACAACCTGCTCTTTTCGGCCGTCAAAAAAGAAACAGCTACATCGGCACCTCTCATACCGGAACGAACAGTACCTTCCACATGGTCTTCCATTCATAAGCTGTCCCTGTACCATTAAAGTGAATGTCCTTGAACGGAGCTCGTAGCGAATGACTGAGCCTGCCTAGAAGGTCTGTGCCCATCACTGGGCTTGGGCATCCTTGACTTCATTGTTTAGGAGCCTATATGTGTTTAAACGTGCCGATATGCGCTGCAGCAGCACTCGGATTGAAAGAACGTTGCGAATATGCGAAATCACGTTGTTGCGACGTTTCCGAAAGGGGAGTTTACCACGCTCTGCCGGTGTCGCCCTGGCCATATGCGCCACTAACGCTCGTCGTAACAACCGATCGTCTTCGCCACCTACCTAAAACTTTTGCTGGAAAGAAGGTTTTATTTGTCGTCAGAAAGACCGGGAGGGAGCATGGTGCCCTTATAGAGCGTTCTGGGAACTGAAAGATCGCCCCTTTGCACCTAATGACCGGCTGCCTCTAAGTGGTTACTTTGGTGAGTAATACTGCACTTTGCTTGATCCTCTCAACGGGGAAGCATTCTGCCTTACCTGAACCAATGAATGTCGAGGGGTAAGCATTAGGCAATCTCATCCAACCACAAACTGCAAGTACAGTCACGTTCAATTATGCAGAAATCAGCTTATCTTAGTTTCGATAAGCTTGGATCTCAAAAGACCTTGGTTCGGATATCAGTGAGCCTTTGTCGACGAACGATGGCGGCCGAAGACAACCCCGAGATGGTGCTGAGGCGCCAATATGACGTTGTCTTGGCGCTCCCTAAAGATCATATCGAACGAGCCGACCGTTTACTAGACCTGGGTAGTCAGTATAGGATAGATTTTCAGGACAGGGGAACCGGGAAAGCCTTGATCTTGCTCTTGAGGTCCTGAGCTTAGGTGTTGAGAGCACGCCGGCGGACCATCCCAAATGGTCGGAACTGTGTGTTGTTCTTGCGGGGGCATACCGTGAGAGGCATGTGCTAATGGGGGCAATGGCGGACCTAAATAAGGCAAAGGACCTGGACCAACACAACTTCGATGTCCTCCCTCCCACCCATCCGAGTAGAGGAGGAGCATGTAAGGGCCTCGGGTTGGATTTTTGGCTCAGGTTTAGGAGGACAGAAAAAGTAGAAGATATTGACAAGGCCATTACGATACACCAAGATCTGTTCGACAATACACCCCTCGATCACCCCGAGCGAGGCTTCAGAACGGGCTGTCTGGAATCTGATTTTGGAGACCGATATGCGGCTTTTCACCAGCCTAGTGATCTGGACAAAGCCATTAAATTTGGAGAAATGGCTATCTCGTTGACGCAGGGTATGGACGATAAAGCCACCGCTCTCATGAATATAGCCCATAGCCACGTTTTGAAGTACCGAAACTCCAAGGAACGCCCCATGGAGAACTTCAGAAAGGCTGCTCAGTATCTGCAGGAATGTATCGAAATTACGCCGTTGGATAATCCTAGACGGGCACACAGGCTTTGGGTATTAGGAGAGCTTTATGCCGTGTCTGCTCTTGATATGTTCAGCAAGATTGAAGATATCAATGACCTAATTAAGGAAGAAGCCGAACTTCGAGTTAAAGCTGTCAGATTATTACGCGAAGCACTCTACATACCATCCTCTCCCGTGGTCTGGCGTATCAATTCTGGTATGATATTGTACATCATGCTGGGAGAGTTTGAATGCTGGGAGGGTGCGTTTGAAGTCATATCGGAGGTTCTCTCCCTGCTACCAAGCCTTATCCCGCGTTGCCTTGCTTTGCAGGACAAGCAAATATTACTTGGGGAGATGTACTGGTTACCTGGAGATGCAGCCGATTTAGCCCTCAAAATGGGGAAGCCGCCAGCAGTTGCTCTGGACACGCTCGAGAACACCCGGGGGTTGATTGCCGGTGCAACATACGACATCTGCGCCGATGCATCTATTCTTGAGTCTCAGCAGCCGGAACTTGCTGAGACATACTCCCGAGTCTGCCAGCAGATTCGCATCTCCACGTCGCAGGGACGTCGCGAAAATGACTCAGCTTATCGGGCTCAAAAACAGTTTGATGAAGTGCTGGGCAAGATCCAGTCTCTTCCTGGGCTCAATTACGTCCCTCTCTCCTCATCCAGTAATGATCTTCCGATGATGGCGGGAAACAAGCATTTAGTAATTGTCAACGTGAGCCAATATGGCTGCGGCGCCTTTATCGTCCATCAAGGAGAGGTATTGCGGAGAGACTTACCTTTGCTGCGGGTAATCGACATTGAGAGACGGAGTTGGAATCCCACTCCAACCACTGAACTGCTCGAATGGCTTTGGGATTGCATAGCAGAGCCAATTCTTGATAAGCTGGGCTTTAGGGAATACCCTGGGGATAGATATTGGCCTCGGGTTTGTTGGATACTAACTGGAAGCCTCGCTCGCTTCCCTATCCATGCTTCGACTTCTTCCCGGTGGACCTCGTCGAATGGCTCGTCCGATTCTGCCATGGACCGAGTTATATCTTCCTATAGCCCGAGTATCAGGGCGCTTAGTCACTGTGAACAGCCCCCAAGACGCAACCAGTCAACTTCACCACATCAGAGGAACATGATCATTGTTGGAATGGATAAAACCCCTGGACATGGAAGCCTTCCCTTTGTGCAAGAAGAGGTTCGGCAGCTGGGGTCTCTTGCCGGTAAGATGAACTTAGAGCTCCATGAGCTATCCAAAAAGACAGAACTTTTGGCTCTGCTTCCGAATTGCGAGATATTCCACTTTGCAGGCCACGGATTATCAAACTCCCGCGACCCTTCTCAAAGTTGCCTTCTTCTCCAAGACTGGGAACACGACCCTCTGACGGTGGCTAATTTGTTTGAAATGGACATTGAAGGCAAGCGGCCCTTTCTTGCCTACCTCTCTGCATGTGGTAGTGGCCGAGTTAAACGAGACAACCGCTACGATTCCATTGACCAGAGCATCCATATGATAGGGGGATTCCGCCTAGCCGGATTTCGTCATGTAGTGGGCACCCTGGCTGAGGTACGTGATGAGACTTGCGTTGAGATTGCTGCCTTGACGTATAATTGGATCATAGACCATGGTATGAGCGATGAGTCGGTGAGCGAAGGGCTTCACCATGCATGCAGGGCGCTCAGAGAGCGCGAAATGGCAGGCGGTGGATATGCAGATACTGCTGATAGGAGAGATGGCAGGGATATCTTGTTTCTTGACGAGGTTTTCGCCTCATACTCGTGGGTGCCGTTTATGCATTTTGGGCTGTAGTTTCGAATGGAGAGATCTGTTAATTAAGCCTGCCAACTTGCTTCTGTATGATTTGCCAGGTAACAAATCCAGGCTTTGTTAATGTCCGCCTTGGCTAGACCCAGGGATACACTGGTGGCTCAGAGTAGGTATTTAATTGAAGGTGAAATGGGATTTCGGCAAAGTTTCTAGATATTGTAGGTATTTTCTGCAAAGAATAGGCTCGATGGAGCTGACAAGGCAGGTATTGATAGCATGAGCACATGAATTAAGTGGTAGCAAAATTCCACCTTACTCTTCTTTGGCCTAATTACCCCTGGACACGGCTTAAACATGTGAAATCTATGCAACGATGACGGTTTTGTCGGCAGTATCTATGTTCTATAACTGTAATGCGTTGTGATAAGAGAACTCGAGCTGACTTATCAACATGCACTCACTTGAGATCTAGCTCTCCAAATCTCCTCGGCTTCAAATACAGCTTCATCCTCGGTAGTTGAAACGTGTTGTCCACGAATTTTGTCGAGGACTCTCGCGGCTTCGGATGCGTATTCGCACTTCATCCGAATCCTGTCACCATATTTGTAGAATAAGAAAGGGCAAGGGACGCAGGCGAGAGCTAGGAAAGCCGGGATGGAACTGGCCCATTGACTCCCGAGCCCGTCGTACATTTGTCGAGTGAATAACGGGAAGGCAGCACCAAATAACGACCGCAGGACTGAATTAGCAGCTAGCACCGAAGCGGCGAAGACGACATCTGATATATATGAACATCAGCATCCATCTTGTTACGTGCAGATTGTGTGAGCTTACAAGAATCAATCAAGTAGTTTGTGAGGGAGAGGAAAACCGACACAAGGCCAAAAGAGAAGAAGCTCGTTCCCATAATTGGCACAACCCAATGGACGGTTGGAAATGTCGTCCAAGCGAACCAAAAGAGGCCTACAGGAATGAAGATGGATCCAAGCAACCCCATCGGAAGTCGAGCTTCAGGATCTACTGACCCTTTCTGGGAAGCTAGGAGACGAGAATACCGATTGTTCTCGAATATCGACATCAGTGTGGCAAATAAAACGCCAACCGCAGATCCAATGAATGCCAGCCCCCCGATGCCAGGACCCCATCCTCGCCCTATCTGGAAGACGATTGGGAAAGCGGCAAAGCACATGTAAAGTGTACCGTATATGATTGAATGATAGAGTGAGATCAGGAAGACGATGGGTTCCTTGAATAGTAGAATCCATGGACGTGTTAGGGCTGTCTTGAGTTGGTGTTGAATTGATTTCGGTGGCTGACCAGCATCCAGTGTCGAAATGTATACTTTCCCTGTGATCTTGGATAGTGTTACGGCGCGGCGCCGAAGAGTAAAGGGCGCGTATGTCTCGGGGAATAGAAAGATGCCTAGAATCCATAGAACTCCCGTGAAGATTGCGAATAGGCCGTGGAGCCATCGCCAGCCCTCCGCCTGTCCAAGGAAGCCACCTACAATAGGTCCTAAAAGAAGTCAGCTGCATGAAACAGTGAAATAGAAATATCTGTTCCCACCGATAACCGGTCCCATGAATGGAGCCATGGCAAAGATGCTTGTCGCAAGCCCACGCTCAGACTGATCAAACATATCGGCGATCACGCCGCCAGCATTCGTTAAGATGGAGGACCCAAAAGCGCTGGCGAAAAACCGAAGGGTGAGCAAGGTCTGAATATTCGTTGCGCAAGTCGCACCAACGTTGAACACTGTCAAAACCAAGAAAGTGATGATGAAGATGTTCCGCCTCCCATACAACTCCGACAGAGGAGCCCAAATAAGCGGCCCAATAGCGAATCCAAGGACGAAGATTGAGACGCCAAGGGTAGCGACCTCTTGTGAGACATGAAAACTACCAATGATTTCCCTAATGCCGCCAGAATATGCTGAGCTTGCGAAAGTGAGCGCTAGAGTTGCCGCTGCTTGAAGGAGAGTGATCATCCACTTCTTGCCTCTGGGCAAAGTCGTGGCGTCCTGCGGATCATCGGGCATAAATCTTACAATGAAAGGTGCCTCTTCCGTCCCGTTTCCCTCATAACTTTGATTGATAGCTTTCGTTTGGTCAACGCTCCCGAATAGCTTGGCCTCGACCCATTCGGAAAGATTGAATCTTGCCGCCTCGATATCCGAGCCGGCAATCGTTGAAGACGAAGAAGAAATAGGATGATTGATGGACATGATGTCTAAAACGAACTCGTCGATAGCGCAAAACGCACCTGGGCATGTAAACACTGAAAAACATATTCATATGTGAAATTGGCGGGGACCGAGGTCGATCGGCCTTGGCCTTTGGATTTCTTCTTGCTCGGCCTAATCGTACGGCACGTTACCAACCCGTCTCTTGTTTATTCTTCCCCATCGGGGTTGAGAAACGCATACATTTGATGAAGTTGCGAAATAATTCCGCGGACTTTTCCTCGGTATTATCTTCATCTTGGTGGAGCCGCCCGATCACGTCAGTGTTGTTCTCAATAGCATCAAAACTCTTGGTGGCATTGAATTTGAGATGCTAAAACATTTCACTGATTGCTAAATCATTCTAATCATTGTTTAAATTGATTTGCTCACAACTGCCCGTCATCAAGTTGAGCTCTCATTTCTTCTGTCGGCCTTGTAGCAATTTTCTAACAACTACCGTAGCGCCCAAGGGAGGGGCGGGCTAGATTTAAGTTATATCTTATGCAAATAAAGATTAGATATACAGTTCCAACATTTGCAGAGCCTATTGCACGCACTTAGCTGTTGGCGAAGATGGGCCCAAGGCCTGGCAACCGAAGTGCTCAAGATCATCCGTGCACTAAGGCAATAATATTAGTTACCCTCTCTTCTTATGCAAAAACGTTGTTTTATACTTACTGGATAGAGGGGGTCGCAAGGAAGCGTGATAGAGTTACCCCTCAAATCACAGGTAGAACAATCGCCAAAGTTAAGGACGTTAGCCTAGCAGTGCTTAAGTAAGTACCTATGCAGAATAAAGTGTTGGAAAATCATACCGCAGTTGGTAATGCATTGGCTCGCTTAGTTTTCTTTCCTTTGTTTCCGCCGACTTTATAGACCAGAGCTTTAACCGGAGTCTTAGCCTTATTTGCAGACTTTGGGGCGTTAGGCTTAGCTCTTGCAAGAGCTTTAGGGTTTCCAGGCGTTTGGCCTTTGCAGGAGAAGCTCTGACTCTTGGGACAGATGCTCTCTTAGCGCTGGCAGCCCGGGGACTTCTTGTAATAGCTCTGCCTGGCCTAGAAGATTGTTCGAGGGCGAAGATTCCTGCGAATAGGAGAATGAGCGAGGTGCTGATAAAGACCGGAAGCTGTATTTTAAAAGTCGAGAGTAATATAAGCGGTTGGGGTTAGTGTTGATAGAAAGAAATAAGAACTTGATAGAATATTTAGTAACGGAATGATAAGGTAATTGGATTAGGTAATAACGATAGAATTAAGATAATTATCAAGATCTAGTAGAAAATAGGCTTTATATAAGGAATATACGAGGCTGATATCCTACTAGATCAGGTATTCAAGCGAATACTAAATTTCCATGGTCTGTTAATATACCTTCTTATAGGGGCTAATGGTATATTAGCAGGGTATATATAGTACGCCCTGCCTTGTTAAGGGAGTATAAAGCGAACATTGGAAATTAAATACTCTTGCTCAGTTTGTTTAAGAATCTGCCAGTATTTAACATCTGGTTATAAACTGATTCCAGTAAGCTTGTAAGCTAGAATACTAGAACCCGGCCTTCTCGTTCTTTCTATAAATTCTGCTTGACTTAGACGCTTCTTATATGTAATTATATAAAGCTGTCTTCTAGACTACCAGCCATCCTTTCGTGGCCTAGTAAAACCCGCTCAGTTAGCTCTATCTAGCTGTTGGCTGTTTCCTGGAATAAGGCATGTATGTATCACTTCTTCAAAGGTCAATTCCTAGGAGAGCACAATACTCCTGAATAGCCTCCTCAATGATGCTCGGATTGGTTAACTTCAGGTGGTCTGTCCGTCGAGTCAGTCAATTCTGCTGAAGTGACTAGCTTCACGCTCTTGTCGAAAGCTCCCGCGTAGGATCATATTTTGACATGCTTTATTGTAAGTACCTAGTAAGTGATAGAGCTTTGCAATTACACAGCAAGTGCTAGAAAAAAAGGGGTGGAATCCCTAAATGCTAAGAATTTAATAATCTAATATTACAGTAAAAGGCGAAATAGATATTACTAAATATTAAATAACTTTTTTAGTATAATAGTATAATCCCTTAGCTTTATCTATTATAATAGTAGCTAGTATACATTATAACTTATTACTTTAATAAGTAAAAACCAGTAATTATAATAGTATTTATAGTTTATTAAATAATAACTATAAAGAGCTTAATAAGATAGATAATAATAGTAGTATACCTCTATAGTAGACTATATATAAGAAACACAAGTTAATTATCAGTCTATTCTTAGAGATAGAGATATTCTTTATATTTAGTTAGAATAAGTAGTAGAATAAAAGAAGTACTTATAAATAAATTAATAAGATAGAACTACCTCTAAACTCAGGAATTTAAAATTTTAAGTCCTAAGTAAATCTAAGTATATCTAAGATATATTAAACTAGTACCTAAGTTCTTCCTACTTAGGGCAGTAATAAGAAAAAATCAAGATTTGATAACTGAAACGCCTTATCCGGTTATAAGATTCTACAGATTTGGTCCGGGATATAGTCTATGCTAATAAATACCCAGATATTCCGATGAGGATCTTCAAGGAAAGAACATTAAAGGCCTCTAACAAACCTAAAAGTATTCTTGTCGGCCTCAACTCCAGATATCAGTATTTGATCAGGAGGAAGCACGAAACTATCTTCTCATCTTTTGAATTTCACCATCTCCTATACAAGTGTGAGGGTTGAGCCTTGGCCGGACCAGTTAGAAATCCATCTACCAATCCCTCCTACTCGAAAGAGGCCTATTCGTCTGTATACATTCTTCGCATGAGGTTCCAAAACCAGGAATTTATTATGACCTCCGCCATAACCCTCATAAACGCCAAACAAAGGGATGCACACACCCTCGATCTTGTCCGCTTCGTCAAACTTTCTTACCAGGTCTGATGTATCCAGGTTGAAATCGCCAGATGCATGGCTTATCTCAGCATGTTGGTGCGTCATTTCGTTGTCTGAATAGAGTGCAACCGTCTTTGAGTCCCCTGTCCATCGATAATGATATATCATGCACTCAATATCAAGCTCTGCTGACTGAAGTAGACCCGTTGGGTCACCATCGGGAGGATCTGGCACGATACGTTCGGCAACAAGCCTGATGAGAGACACTGGAAGATTCGCAAATTTACCCCGGGGAATATCGAGTTGCACATGGTCTCCTACAACTGATACCCAACTCCAAGATGGGGCGTAGGCTTTATTACGCCGCGTTTGAATCCCTCGGCTTGCACTTGTCTCCCACGAGAGATCTGTATGTAGGGTTCTCTTCCACAGCCCTGCGAGATATGTGTCAACTTTCACCTGTTGAAAGGCCTTGGCGATACCAGACATGGCGATGAATCTGTCAGATTCCTTGGTAAGGTGGCAAGCAATGTAAATCGAGACCATTGTACCCCAATGCCTATGGTGTATGTACTCTGGACGTTCACTGGGCTGTGCTGGGGTTGGAACCGTCTGGGCTAAATCTAATCTCGAAGATTTGTAATCCGTGGTTTCGAGACATGCGCGCTCCTTCGCTCCAAGGCTTAGCAGTGTTCCCTCAGGGTCGCTTGAGCAATGAACACTCTCCAGACATTCCCAGTAGATTTGGTTTGGAGTAAAGTGGACGATGCGGGGGCTCAGGAACCGTTCTTGAACAACCCAGCCGCGCGAGCTCAAAGGCGAGTCCTCAATATCGCTTTCCCAGATCGAATCATTCCAAATTAGCCAAGGCCCCTCTACCATCCCCTTATTTCGATCCTTCAACGGCACATTGACTGCGCAAGGCTGGAGAAGTCTTGGGTTAAGCTTTGGCGGACCAAACAAACCAGTGGTGGAGGGTTTATGCGACGCCCTAACGGCAGATATGTTGCAATAGGAATGGCTGTAAATATTAGCCATTGAATTGGCTTCTTTCTGCCAGTCGGCACGTGAATCTTGGATTATACACAAGGAGTCTATCCAGATATATCGATGCCCTAACCGGCGAACGAGAAGAATGGCATCGCGGAAAGTTGGTGATAGGCTGTGGAGGGGGATTCCTTGACGGAATTGACGCTCGGTTTCTAAGCATAGCTTCAACATATTTTGGTTTCCCCAGCGGTGCGATAAGGTCAAGTATGGTGGATATCGTGGCGAATGCTCCATTAAGTTTTCTGTTCCATGTTCCCTTTCGATGTCATCCCTGTGCCGTAGGTAAACGTCACCAGACTTTAGATCCGTGGCTTTGACGTCAAGGATCCTAGTTGGGAAGAAACTTCCTCTAGCTGGTTGACAGTGTTGGTGATTTGCTTCACATGAGGATGTCCATTTCCCAATGAGTTGCAGGTCTTGGGCCGAGCCAAGCTGTCCGCTAATCTTTAGCCAAGGGCGAGTTTCGAGCAGACGCCAAACTTCGGGATATTGGTTCTTCTGGGATATTGAGACTAGTAGAGGAGTGTAAGCTGAGGACGTACAGTGAATCATCAGGGAACACTTTACTATGCAACTCAGAGGGAATAGCCCAGCGACACTTCACATGGAAGTAAGCATCTCTCACATCCCACATCCGGCAGTAAGTGTGAAAATCTTCCGTGAAGCGTGATGCTGCCGCACTATCACTGTGTAGTATTGATGACTCCAGATGCTCCCACAGCCAAGTGCATACAAAGCACCCAAAATTGAGGCTTTTTTGGAGGTCTTGATATCTCGTGTGATGTGAGATGTTGAATGGATTGCCAGGACGGCTTGGAAGATAATGCCACTGGTCGCGGTTTTGGATATCACTCTCGCCCTGAAAGCTCCTCCTGCAAGTATCGCACAATACACCCTCAATACTTTCCATAGCTGTGTGTATCAATTCATATTAATATGAGAGAGTTGTCACAGGCATAGAGTGAGATAATTGTGTGTAATATTGCAATGAATCAACGAACGATTACCGTCGTCGATATGTCTGCTGCCCAATCTTTGGTCAGGCCGCAATGAGCTTGAGCTTAGAGCCAATATATCCTCTAAAGTGCATAAACTAACACGTGGTCGTCCCCTCCATTTCTAACTACATTTCTCGGTGGTACATTAGGAGACTCATGTCCTATGTATGTTTCCATGTCTTGAGTATGCTTTGTCATAAGTTACGCCCTGCCAGTGGCGCCGGGAAGGTGAAAGCCAAGTTCTAAGCCAAGACGATCTTACCAGAGCTGAGGGAACCATTAGCATGGCACCAATGACGAATCAGGAAGCTAGCGCACGAGGCTTGATCTCTTTTTTCGGTCCATAATCGTGCTGCCATTTGCCAGCAATATCAGCTTGGTAGGACCTCGATGAAATTACTGGCTCCGCCCAATTCATCGTCTCTCTGGGGAAAAGTAGCATGTTGGTGGGCATTCAGCCTTCCATAGGTTCGGCTCGCATTGAGTGAATTAGACGCTGTAGAGGCCCCTATTTAAACACTCGAGGTTTTTCGAAAACCTCCGATTGAAAACTTGAGAGGATCGAGAGCCAAACGGCCAGTCCGTCGAGATCTCTCATGACTCTCGGCCTGCAACTAACGCTGAGCCATTGCATGTCTAGTGGCCGCCACAGTCTCGATATGCTCTAGCCCCAGGGGATATTGGCAATTGGTGTGTTTCTGCACGCGAGAACGGACGCTAGCCTCTTTGCTGATGGATATCTGCAGCCGATCAGGCCTCGAATCGGGCCCTAAGTCAAGCGAGAGAAATCGCTGGATGTTTTGTTTTTCTTCTTCTTCACCTCTTCACTCGTTAATTTCCCTTTTTGTTGCGTCAGGATTATTGTTGAGCAAGATGAGGCTGTCACTCGTTTATCTTGCCGTCTTCGCGGCTCCATCCCTCGTTCACGGACGCAGACACAGATGCTCCCGGTCCACGCCCCTTTCATCAGCTGCTGCCACGCCAGACACCAGCAGTAGGTGGACTTCCACTCCTTCGGCCAGCGTCTCTCCTTCGTCTGTTATTATCGCCTCGTCCTCGACCCCAATCTTAGGTGAGAGCTCTGTAGCCAGCCCATCAGCCTCGGCGTCTACACCTGGTAGCGATGTGCCTACTACTTTCAGCACTGCAACGACTCCCGCTGGAACACCATCCTCAACTGAGTCTTCCGCTACACCATCGTCGACCTTGTCTTCGACTTCCCTGGAAGTAAGCAGCAGCGCTTCGGAAACTCCCATTGCTTCCACAACACCCGCCGAATCGACCACTCTCATCGCTTCGACAGTGTCCAGCGAGTCTACCACACCTGTTTCGTCCACAGTTATAATCCCCTCTTCCTCCAGTTCCGCACCAGCCGCCACCCCGACCGGTTGGCAGTTACAGTCAAGTGGCGCAAACAGCGCTTTCGCGGGCAGCTTCATGCTTGGTTACGCGCAATACAAAGATGCACCCCATCTTGTCAGCCCCAGCGCGACCACGCCAGATGTCTACTCAAAGCTCGAATTCTACATTGAACCCGGAACGGGCCACCTCTTCTGGGTCATCGATGGCACTAACAACCAATATCAATTCTTCACATCTTACGACGATTTCAACGAGAATGGGGAATATTTTTACAACGTTAACCCGGGTTTCCTTGGTGTCTTCGACAAGAACCAGGTTGGGAGCAGACACGTGGTGCCTCTCGTGTGCTCTCGGACTGCCGCTTCATTCAGCTGCTCGGCCAATACGCCCGCTGGCGTGTTCAGCCACTTCATGGTCAACCCTACACCGAATCAATTCGACACCTCGATTGCCTTTGGGAGTTCCGTCCCTTCACCTTACCAGGAGGTTACCTTTGCAGCCGTTGATGTCTATTAGATCATTGAGATAGGGGATTACGATTAAATTGTGTACATAATGATGCCTGGGGTAGAGCGTTGAATGAACCGCGGTTGACGATACTAGAATACTCATACTATATTATTTAATTCGATTCTAATTCATGAGCCAATAAGACTGGCTGGAAACCGGCATTTTCTCTTGACGGACGAATGCCTGGGATGCATACTGAGATAGGGATTTGTGTCACACCGAACACACGATGCGATGTCTGAGCCCGTGGATCTCGGGGTTATAAAAATTGCCGAGTTGATATAATGCCGAAATGCCGACGGGCCAAGAAAACCGGTGGCCTCAGCACTCCCAAAAGCGTCACGAACATCCGATTGATTTTACCCCCGCGGGATTCTAACAACTCAATCAAATGGATCATTCCGACCCCCAGGCTCGGCCATCTCAAAGGAATGGGTCAATTAAATCCAGCCCATTGGCCAAGCGCAGCAAGGCATGCGTGTCTTGCCGAGCACGCAAGGTCAAATGTGATGCTGATGTGGTTGGTCTGCCGTGTAGTAGCTGCACAAGCAGGCAATGTCCCGAGACCTGTGTCTTGTCCCTGCGCAAGCCACGCAGGAGGTACCTCAAATCTCGACCTACCGTTTCGATAGCTCGTTCTCGCACTTACATGCGTTGTAGGAAATTGGATCTCGCTACGGCTAAAGAGAAGTCTGGAAGATCAAGTGTTAGTTTGACGGTAAGTAAAGTGGGAATTATTACCAGTAGGCCGTGGTTTTGATCCATCTCGTTTGTGATATTCTTTCCATGGTCCTGGTAATATAAGTATTGTGTTTATTAACAGGCCCCATTGAAAGCCACCAGAATACCGACCAGAACCTGTGCCAGAGTGTGAACCAGTTCCTCAACCTCGCACAATCGAGCCAGCATCTGCTACCAGTGTTGTCAGTTCCTATCAGAGCCGCGACCACCTAAGCGACTCTCGTTCTCGGCGTACACGGCGATCACGGTCCGACATACCTTATCTCAATATGATACAAGACGCCGTGAATAGTGCTGCATCTGGGGAACAACTCGGCATGAATGGAAGAAGTCCCTCCATTCCAAGAGAAGAGGAGCACAACGACCTTGATAGTTGGTTTGGAAACAAGCCCCCAGGACTAGATGATGTTGACTACGACTATCTTGTCAAGAAAAGAGTATTCGAGTTACCTGCTCAACCTCATCTGTGAGACTGAACCTCACTGGATTTTGTAGACATGATTGTGCTGACTCTTCTGTTTAGCGATACGCTCATTCGGACTTATTTCGAGTATCTTTGGCCATTTGCGCCTATAATTTGCAGGGCTGATTTCATTCAACGCTATAGAGCAGGTAACTGTTCTTTGTTTTTACTATACGCAATTTTAGCAACCACAGTTCCGTTCGCGCCCGAAGATGCAATATCTGGATTGGGCTTTCAGGACCGATCAACTGCCCAAACAAGTTTCTTTACCAAATCGAGGCTGCTATATGACTTTCATTGCGAGCGAGATCTTCTCGCCATGTTACAAGGCTCAATCGTTCTAAGCATCATCATTCTCGACTATCCCACGGACAAAGATTTTCAGCACTGGTTCTACAACTCCATCCGCCTGTTTGTCAAACTTGACGTGCCTGAAATGTATGTTATTTTTTTTAAAAAAAGATTCTGCTCACAAGGATTTATTGCTGAGATCGAGATATAGCTGCTCCAGACAAGAGGATTCTTGCAAGGCACAAAAGCTGTATAGGAGGATATGGTGGGTTCTTTATGTACGTACATCTTGCCTTTGCCACCCGTCTTCGGCCCAGATTAATCATCGATCAGGACCGAGATGTCTTTCATTCATTTGTGAATACACGAAACCTACGGCTCCTCGAAATTTTGCCGTATATTAAGCCAGTCAACAAAAGCGACTGGGAAGAGGAGGACACGTCAGAAAGGCATGATTTATTAGAGCCGATATCAGACAGGCAGAAGACTTCACTGGTTGCTCATTGCGAACTGGCTCAAATTTGTAAGTGTCCCGCAATTTATATAATCTACCAGGTATGTCGAGTTAACCAGAGAAGTTTCGACTCATCCGCTCAACACCACAAGCGACATAGCTGGGCAAGATCCCCTCACATTTATGCTCCCGCTGGAGGAATGGCGAATGTCTCTCGCCGAAAGAATGGGCATCCGAAACCAGTCGTACGACGGAGAAGCATATTATCCTGAAGTAATGGCAAGAAGTTATCTATTCGAATGTATCTTGTGTCGGCACTTTCGAAGACGCCAGGAGGTCAAGTGGGGTGATTGGGCAAAGCAGAGGCTTCGGTCCGCCATTTTCGAGCTCGATGCCATTGTTGGCAGAGTTTTGGCAAGCGGAACGATAAAGAAATTCCCAATGGGCTTGTAAGCGAGCCGGATTCTCCAAGAAGGACATGACTTGCCGGGAATGCTAATCATCAGTAGTGTCGCAACTGTACCGGCGCTACTCGCTTTGCACATCGAAATGGCGTTGGACCTCTCAGAAACCGAACTTGCACGATCTATGGCTCGAGTGTCCATCAACCAAACGATGCTCGCTCTGGGGCAGATGCAGCACGTTCCAGCGATAAAGCGAGGCTTACCCGCCTTCGAGTCGGTGCTTGCCAAGAAGGATTTGTATCAGGCAACTGGCCGCAGCCATGCCGAAAAAGCCTCCCCGAGGATACCTGTAGCAGGGCAGCATGCTCCAGATGATGGGAATCATCCATCATCCGTACCGCAGCCTGGCGTCTCTTCAGCTGACCCTAGCCTTGCAGACTACCCTAGCTTCCCCGAGGATTTTCTTGGGTACGATTTCTTGGATAGATGGCAGCTGGAGCAATGGGAGTTCATACATATTTAACAAGCTTCCCTTCCATTAAGTTTGAAAAGCTGATGGTGCCCTTCATAAGCCCTTGCTGGCGTGCCTTGCCTATAGATAGCATAATTACGGCAAGTTAGAATGATGGAGAACAAACTCTGGATGCTGTTATTTTCTTCGAGTGCTATTACAGTTTATGGCGCTGCTACGATGACTTTTCGCTCTGCATGAGCTTGACAGTAAAGACTAGAGTATGTTGAAAGGGGCGCCTTCACGGCACGTGTTCATTATATACAACACATCAACTCACAACACACCAGGAAGAGATATTTTCTATGAGATAATAATAAACATGCTGCTTGAATGTAAAATTTAGAATTCGATCTTGAGAGCTAAATAGTTACCTTCAAGCCCGCCACCTCTTATAACGTCGCGCTAATGCAGACATGTGTGTAGGGTAGGCAGCGCAAAGAGATGATGGCAGGGGTCAGTCGGTGGAGAGAGACACCGTAGAGGTGTTTCTATTTATAGGTAGATATTTTTGCTTTCTTCGTGTGCAAACATTACTATTATCTAAAGATATACCACTGGCATTATTCGGCAATTTGCTGTCTGGGCTTTTGTGGTCTCTGGTTTGCTGACAGCCAATTGGAGGGTTATCCGGATTCCGGATTGAAGACATGAATCAAGTTAATGATGGGGCTTATTACTGGAGTTTGAAATACATAAGCTTGGAGCCTTGCGCGCGGCAGTTCCTCAGCTTCGGCTCAGGGATATCTCTGCCGAGTGAGTCTGCCGACCCCCGCGGGAGCCATCTACACGCGCGGTTGCCCTGCAGGATCACCCACGATTACTTGAAGGATGCACTACGTGGGCGGTAGCAGCCGGACAGAGCGACTGCCAAGCAGGGGCAGCGCTCGACTATCAGCCCTAGACAGACGGACCGCCCGCCTGATGCCGTTAAAGGTTCCCCTCTGACCAGAAACATACCTGATTTAGTGGTAGATTGTGCTCCCAATAGTAAATGGTCGGGGATTGGAGCTGCTAAATGCAGGCGCGGAGATGTTGCCTAATACGTGGGCTGGTTTTCAATAACTTGCGTGCATCGTGCGGCGGTCTACCTGGCTACTACTCCCTGCCACACGATCACCTCATGGCTACTGAGCGGAGATTGACGAGCCATGTATAGCAATGGATAGCTTGGCATGAAATGACCTAGGAATTAGTCAATCGATTGGCACTGAGTGGACCTACTTGGTTAAACCAGTCTATCTCGTGCGCTCCCTGGCCTTAGTGCCCGAGAATCGAGGAAGAATTATCGGCAGTTCGTGTGTCTCTAACATGGATACCCCTTGCTTGAAGAGCTTTCGACCCTGAATGATGTAGACTGCCAGCTTGATGACAGCGGCCAACTTGATTGCGCAACTACCTACCAATATGAGTTGGCTAACAGGTGCAGGATTAGCAGAGTAGTATCACCTATTTTTAACTCCTCACTTTTTCGATGTAATAGGCGGCTGGGTCTAATGAGAATCCGTCGGTTTTAGCAGTTCCCAAACCTGCCAAAAATGGAAGTAAATATCGCTGTGGGGAGATATTTAAACCTGCCGTCCTCGCTGTCATCTAGCTGCTCTCTCTTTCCCAACATCAAAACACGAACAAGCGCATTTTGACGATTGCTTCGTTTCCCTTGACTCCACGTTTTCTTGTTTCATCATCGTCTGAACTTTGCGTTGCTGGTCAACACTATTTTTTCCTTCATTCTTTCAAGATGCCTTCCCTAAAGCAACTCTTCGTTCTTGCGGCCCCTTTCATGGGCCTCATTCAACAGGTCGCTGCCAATCCTGACATTGATGAGAGCAACGACCTCATTGCCCGGGATGATTTTGACAGTGACCTTTATGTCCGAGGTGCTGGGAACGGCGTGATCAAACGCCCTGGACCTGGCCCCAGGCCACCAACTATAGTTGTAACTCCTCCCCAGCGACGACCACGATCTCTGGACCTTCGTGGCGCTGGTAACGGTGTTATCAAGCGTCCTGGTCCTGGTCCTAGGCCACCAACCATCGTCGTTACTCCTCCCCAGCGACGGCCACGATCTCTGGGCCGCCGAGGCGCTGGTAACGGCGTCATTAAGCGTCCTGGTCCTGGCCCTAGACCTCCAACTATCGTTGTTACTCCTCCCCAGCGACGACCCGGGCATCGATGAGGTGTTTGAATCGACAGCACCACGCGTCTTCGGTTTCGCCCCACTCTGCTAGTTGTTCACTTGTCCGCACTACTACGGATTGTAACCAACGACCGAAACATGGCTATCATCGGCTCCGCCAAACTTCAATTCAGGTTGCACACATACCACAAAGTTGGGTGATTGGGTCGACGTCGTCAGAACCTCGCTGGCTACTATTGAATGGGGATGTGGGTGTTAAGCTGGACTTTTGACGACTAGACTGTTCAAGGACAGCATGGAGACAGACTTGTATTATAGTTTATATTTATAAAATCTAGCATTGAATGTGCTTGGTACCATTGTTATAGTCCGTTGAGCTGGAGAGGGGCCTCCGTTGTGGAGAGATCACTTCAATGGTTGTACATGTAGTGATTTGACTCCTGGATAGTGTAGAAGCTCAAAGTGTTATTGTGGTAGGGAAGTCTTATTTTATTTTATTTTTCCTTTAAGGATAGAGTCACGCCGATAAAAGAGTCATCATACCGGGAAATGGACCAAAATTCAATATGCTGTGATGCTTGGTATAGCATCAAGTTGTCGATTTCGGTGTTTGACTACTCCCCTCTCCCAATTTCCCCATCAGCTTTGGCAAAAACTGCATAACTCTCTCACTTGCTACTACTCTACTCTCCAGGCTCACCATTTTACGGAGAGTCCTACCCTTTCCGGTAGAATCAAGTATATCTTTCTCTTATTGTTAGTAGCGATCTTGCTCTTTAATGCGGGAAGAAGGCTGGAAATAGCTGTATCATATAAACTATTTAGCCTCAATGAGGCAGAAGATAACTCAGTCTCGATGGAAGCATTCCCTTACCTAGGTGGACATCCCAATGGCCCAATTATCCATCTCGATCCAGCTTAGCATCATCTAATACACCAGCTCTAGTGGCCTCCGTGAGAATCAAACGCTCATAATCGTCGCTGCGAATCGTGGCCCTCACAGGAAATGGTTCATCGGTGGATTCTAAGTTGAGGATCTTGGGGTTGTAGGGACCATCCTGCACGTTTGAATTAGCAACACACCCCAGTAACCGTTTTATGAAAGAGCTGGGATAACTCACTGCTTTGAAGTCAACACACTGTATAAGCCTCGCAATATTGATGAAGAGACTTCTCTGAGCCAGGCGATAGCCAACACAAACTGCCAAAGTCCATGGCTAATATCTGTCTCATGAACGTTCATCCATCGATCCGGGTCAAATGCACGGGGGTTCTCACACTCGCTACCGACTGCCACTTCGTTGATCACGAATCCAGTGTCTAGCAGAAATCTATAGCCTTCCAAATCAATATCCTGGGACGCAACATGGTCGGGTGTGACGACAAAGATAGGCCGCCAGCGCAACACCTCCTTTGCAATGGCGCAGATAAAGCGCAGATTATCCATGTCTGCAAGCACCGGAAGACGCGCATCCTTTCCATAGCCGCATATGTGATCAATCTCGGCTCTGACCTTGAGGAAAGGCGCTGGGTATTCAAGCATCGCCATTACCATGATGTTCAGCGCTTCTCGTGTGGTGTCGCTTCCAGCCTCTATCAGCTGCATGGCGAGATACATACAGTCTTCATCATCTCCCTTGTATCTTGTGTCTTCGTTAAGCAGAACATCTCGCACAAAGGATGGTGGAGCGGTTCCCTCTTCGACTTGTTGCTTGACTGGAGCCCACCATGAGTTATACACTCCGTAGTTCCAGTCGCCCAGGGATTGCCAATGGGCACGCCAAAACTGGAGGACTTTGGGCAATCGTGGACAGCTCAGGGAACCAGTCGATAATGCTGGAGCCAATCTCCCGACGAAATAGGTGACACAGTTCTGTAGATCTGCTAGTTCTTGAGTCGACTTGGCAAGCCGCTCTCCCAGCACAATGCGATGAACAACAGAATTCGCATACCGATAGTGGTGCTTATACCACTTCTCTGGCTGGAAGAGATACTCCGCCATAATCTGCGTACTCTCCAGCTCTTGCCATTCTCCGTACTGTTTCAGCGCACTGCCTCTCAGGAGACTGTGCATCACGCGCCGGCGCTCCGACCAGGTTTCTTGGGGGAGAATCAACGACCGCCCATCGCGGCTAACGAGGCCACTGGCAATTGGCATGGGTGAGCGGGTGTTTGTCACGCTGCCGCGCTTGGCGATGATCTCAGAGACGACTCGGTGGGAGTTTAGGAAGATCCATGTTTTGGCACCGAGATGAACCGTTGTCATCTCTCCATACTTCGCGATCTCCCAAAGCTTGAAACGGCGCTTAGTGGCGTCAATAATCATTTCGGAAAATAGCTGATCTTACAAACTTGTGATTGGGATCTTGGCGACCGGTTTTTAGGTCAAGCAGACTACCAAGTAAAGGAAGACCTTTCGGCCCGGGAGGGAGATGAGAAGAGCGGCCATCGATAAGCTTTCGCTTGCCAGTTGGTTTAAAGTATTGCGAGACGATAAAAATTAACACAAGTAGAAACGCAGCCGGTCCTATGGACATAGCCAAGATTCGTGTCGCTTGACTGGATTCTTGAAGATGTGAGCTAATTTGAGTGATCATGATAGACAACTGGCGAAAGCTTGTGATGGGAAATGCGCATTACAAAAGACTCACAGCCGTCCGGGAGGCTCATACAGCCATACTTAATCATTTTCACAGGGAAGTGCAAAGCTAGGACCAAGTTAGAGTATAGAAACCGCAGGATAGGAACTCTAGATATTCAAGATATCGGTTAAGCTTTATTAGTAAGCTTATCAGACTATACTATTTATACTAATAAAGCTCGATTAATTTACTGTACATAATAAATATATATCCATAGATCTATTCCTAATCCCTACTTCTCTTAAACTACAAGCCTCGGAGATTCTCATCACCTGCTCATATCCGGGTTCCCTGTTACAGGGTAGACTTACTGCGAGTGGGGTTAAGTAATTGGACCCTTGTTATGATTTTGGCGTTACAGCGTGACAATCATTGAGCCAGCGGATCCAAGTTTCAAAGACCCGACTCTGGTGCCTCGGTACCCCTCAAAGTTGTTGTATTTCGGGATGATCCCGTCAACTTGGAAGGCTTCCGGTGTGATACCTGGGCATGTAATCGGGATGGTTCCGTGAGTGACTCCGCTCCTATATGACCCTTTCCTATGCCAAGATGGAAACCCGTGACATACGGTCATACGGTCAGTCATTTTTTCCTGTTTCGTCAGCAGAATGATTTCACTCCGATTTATTTTCTTCATCATACTCGCCATGGAGCCCGTGGCCTCTGCCCTGGGCATCGACACCCATTTTCATGCCTTGCCTCCAGCATACATCGATGCGCTCTCTGTAGCTGGTGGAGATCCTTCTGGCTATCCAACCCCTGAATGGACTCTGGAGGCTGCCCTCGAGTCTATGGCCTTAGTGGGAACTTCGCTAGGTATATATCAATCTCCCCTCGTCTTGACGGTTAAAGGCGAATTTGAAAATTTGACGTCTCTTACAGGTATTCTATCTGTTTCATCGCCTGGTGTCTCAATTGCTGGGACAGGCGAAAGCGCAAGGGAGCTCGCGCGCACTCTCAATGACAATCTTGCCGAGTACGCCTCTTCCCCTTCATTTAAGGGAAAGATTGGCTTCTTCGGAGCTCTTCCAGACTTTCAGGATGTCAGTGGTACCGTAGCCGAGATCGAATATCTCTACGGCGAGCAAAAGTTATGCAATGGAGTCACTGTTTTTACAAGCTACGGAGGGAAGCTGCTCGGGGACCCTCAGTTTGCACCAATCTGGGCGGCACTTCAGAAACACAAGGCACTCGTGTTTCTGCATCCTTCAGTCTTGAGTGTCGAGCCTCACTTGATCGGATTCGGCCTCCCACAGCCAATTGTGGACTACCCCCTTGCCACAACTCGTGCTGCCACCGATTTGGTTATGACGGGAACTCTTCGAGCGAACCCAGATATTGATGTCATCCTTTCTCACGCCGGTGGTGCCGTGCCTTTTGTGGGCAGCCGCGCGATCAATGCATTGGGCATTGCCAGTGTCGCCCAAACGGCCAATGTCACTTTGTTTCAGGCTAAGGAGGACTTTGGGCGCTTCTACTTCGATATCGCTCTGAGCACGAGCTCTGCCCAACTAGATGGTTTGCTGGACTTTGCTGACTCGGATCATATCTTGTTTGGATCCGATTTCCCATACGCACCTCAGTATGGCATTGAGGCAGTTTTGGTGGAATACAAGAAGTATGTTGCCACGAACTCCAGGGGAGCTCAAGTGGCTCCGGATGTTTTGCGACGAAATGCGGTGCAACTTCTGAATAAACATAGCCAGGGTCAAAATTATGTTTAAGGCAGGGACTCGGTTGTCTTCAGTGCGGCAGATGAAGAGGCATACCTCGTCACGTTTAGCAGAAGGCGGAGCACGTCTACCAATAGAAGTTTCGGCGCATGCAAGTCACCGTCATCAGTTATTAGCTTAGCTATTTCAATAAATGATTGCAGAGGAGAGTTTATCATAAAGCTGCCGTCTAGGGTGACAGATAATTTAGCAGATGGTTCTGGAGAGGTATAATGGAAATTGTATGATGTGAGAATATCGGCACTCTACCGCGAATCCCAGAAGCAATTGCACCAGAATTTGACTGAAACTATTTGAACCAAATACTTGCCTGAAATTACTTCATTGTGATATCCCTCGGCCCCTCACTGTGTTGTCTTTCATTGTGTTAAAGGTTTAAAAGCTTTTTTATTAACGCTATCTTCCGAACCCTGATTTCATTCACGTCTTTTCCTCCCTTCTTGTCATATAGGTGCCACCGACCGCCCTACTTGTTCTTCTTGTTGACGGCATTCTGCTGAAATGATTCCGCCTTGGCCACGAGGAATTGGAACCATTCCAATCCTTAACTCCTCAACGCCGTGATAGCCGTAGCATTGAGTTCATCCTCGGGCATACGCCCAAGGATATCTTGCCCAAAGTTATATAGGGCTTTGATTTGCTCCTCAGAGAGGCTTTTAAGCTTGATTTCATCCAGCCCGTTAACCTCATCGCTCTTTATAGCCTTTACGAAGCCGGAAAGCTTTAGGTTGCTGGTGCTAACCTTAGGCTTATTTATCTTTGGACAGGTAATCTGGTTACCTTTGAGAAAAGGCACTAGGATCTCTTTGCTTGGTATGATGTATGTCGAAGGCTGCGGGCGTATTAGTGTTAGTGCTCTGGCCAAGGGGCTACTGATACTCACTGGGTTGGTTGGTATACTCGCGTTCGGTTGAAGTGTGTGGATTAGCGTAAGACAAGAAGCCAGGTGAAGAGGGCAGCTTTAGTAGTTATTCGACGCGCAGCTCGTCCTGACGGCAAGCGAGTCATCGGTATGAAGGTTTACAGAATTTTCTGCCGTATGACTGCAGCCTTGGGCTAGCAAAGTTTTTTTTTAACCTTTCGTATTCATTGTATTGAGTTGTTAGGTCTGACTTCTTCTTTTGTTTAACTTTCTATCAAAACTCTCTCCGGTGATATCCCTCGGCAATATCTCACGTGCGGCGGAGTCTTTCCATATCATATCGGCCCCAACCCGCTGCTTCTCAACTATCTCTGCGGATGTCTACAATCCCGGACAAAAGAAAACAATCCCGGAGCCAATCCGACGCTGATTCGCGAATAATATGATCTGTCTTGGATTGTCAAAGACTGTTAATAGACCAACTGATGATGTTTCTACCTCGCAAGTGCCTTGGAAGACCACAGTTTTCTTCCTCTGCGACAGCAAATTGCTTCACCATGTTATCACTACCACGCGAAGGATTCACAATCGACTTTGTGGGCTCTGTAGCCCGCAGCACCATTCTGAACCCCTTTGTTCTGATACCGCTTACCGCAAGCTACTACATGCTCATGCCTACATACTCGACTGCATCCAGTATTTTTGTGACAGTCATTCCTATGCTCACTGCGCTGACTCTGTATCTCCGCATCACCGATTTTTTGAACAAAAAGTACCATAATAAGTGGGCTAGCGATTCGACGTGGGATTGGGAGAAAGAGATCGTCGTCATAACGGGTGGTAGTGGCGGTATCGGCGCCCATCTCGCGCAACAGCTTCATCGTGGACGATCTAATCCCACCCTCATCATCGTGGACTGTATTCCGTTGACATGGACTCCTCTAGATGGCCAGCGCGTCTTTTACTACCAATGTGATCTTGGTAGTAGCTCGCAACTCCGCGATGTCTGCCAACGCATCCGCGCAGATGTTGGACACCCCACGGTGCTTGTGAACAATGCAGGCATCTCCCGGGGGGTGACCGTTTGCGATGGCTCCTATGCAGATGTAGAGGCTACTATCCGCATCAATCTTATAGCTCCGTTTCTGTTAGTGAAGGAGTTTCTCCCAGAGATGGTCCGTCAGAATCATGGCCATATTGTTAATGTGAGCTCCATGAGCGCCTTTCTTCCGCCAGCGAAAGTGGCTGATTACGCCGCGACCAAAGCGGGACTGAAGGCCTTTCACGAGGTATCTACACGCTCTTCAAGCTCTCTCATTTTCTACTAACGTTCGGGTACATAGGCACTTCAACTGGAGCTAAAAAATGAACACAAAGCGGACAGAGTCAGGCTATCAATTGCCTTCCTCAGTTTTAAACGAACGCCCTTATTCAAAGGCGAGACTAGCCAGTCAAATTTCTGGTTCCCCCTTCTGGATGTAGACTCGGTTAGTGAAGAAATTGCAAGAGTATTGTGGAGCGGTTATGGCAAGACGATATTTGTGCCTGGGATCATGCGCTACGTTGTGACGATGGTTCGTATGAACAAGACAAAACAACCAAGAGAATGAACTTGAACACTGATACTTGACGCTAGGGCTTAGGACCTGGATGGATTTGGCGTCTTGTGAGAGAGGGGACTGGTAGGACCCGGGTTGACTTCAAAGGGAGGCAAAGGCTAAACCCCACGTCTGGGGCTTTGCTGTAATATACTCCGTCTGGCAGCTATCTTATGTCACTCAGGGAATAATGAATTCTTGCGGTAGCTTCATTAGGGATTATTGATCGTGATTTCAATTGCTGTACTATCTTTGAGGTCTCGCCAACTTGTGACGGTTCGTTATTTTGTATGAAGTAAGAAGCAATATTTGGCCCATTAATCCTGTGTGCGGTTGAAAACATCAATACTATCTCCGGGAGAACATAGCCATGTACGTCTTTCACTGGCTGGGTACGGTTACATTAGATCGGCACGTAGTTAAGCACCTAGGAGAAGGCGGAAAGCACCCGACACCCAGTGACGGAAGTGCCCCGACGGCTAATATATTTCCAAACGTGGCTTGTGACATGCCGAATGCTCGAGAACTATATAAAGTTTCAAAAGATTTATTGATGAAGATTAGTTTATTCAGGCCACCCCGGTTAATAACAACTAAGAGCCGGCGACGTAAACGTTCATCAGAAGAATACCACTGAGCCATGACCATGACATCCAAACATACAAGCAGAGAGAATTACAGCCAATTTGCATGCGTTGGCACAGGCTTCTCGGCAATCTGTCTTGGCGCGACATTGAAGCGTTGGTACGGCATCAGTGATATCCAATTCTTCGAGCGATATTCTGAGTTGGGCGGTACATGGTTTACAAATACATACCCAGGTATGCATAAATCCCAACATTGAAGCAAAATAAGTATTGACTTTCAATAGGCTGTGCTTGTGACGTTCCTGCTGCTCTCTATAGCTACTCCTTTGAGCCCAATCCAAATTGGAGTCGGGTCTTACCATCTCACGATGAGCTCTGGCGATATCTTAACACGGTGGCAGAAAAGTATGCGTTGCCTCCCAAAATGGCCTTTGGGATGAATGTGGAGAAGTGTGAATGGATTGAGCAGCGCAAGAGATGGCGCCTCACCGTGGGACATCTCAAGACGAATAGCGTGTTCTTCTACGAATGCCAGTTTCTCTTTGCCGGGACAGGCCGACTTGTTCAACCTCGCGAGCTTGGAGTTCCGGGTGTTGATAAATTCCAGTGGTCTATCTTTCACTCTTCGAAATGGCCTAGAAATCTTGACTTGGATGGCAAAAATGTCGTCGTGTTTGGGAACAGCTGTACTGCAGCGCAGATTATACCTTCCATTACGCCTAAGTCAAAGCATGTCACGCAGATCGCACGATCGAACCACTGGATTCTACCACCCATTGACAACGCCAATGCAGCGCTTGTTCGGAACATCTTCAAATATGTCCCAGGAACCATGGCTCTGCAACGGCTCATAATGTTTCTGGTTGCGGAGAACGAACTCAGAGGGTTTCCCATGACTCGATCAGCAGCCAACTTTCGCCATCGCCGCCGTGTCCAAGCGGAAAAGTACATGAGAGATACAGCACCAGCCAAGTATCATGACATGCTGATCCCAACGACTGAGGTTGGGTGCAAGCGGAGAATTCTTGACTCTGGGTATCTTGAAAGTCTACACTCTGAGAATCTTACGTTGACGAACAAAACTGCTGTGGAGATTTTAGCCAATGGCGTTCAGATGGACGATAGCTTCATTGAGGCGGATGTTATCGTCTTAGCTAACGGTTACATCACCAATACCTTTCTGGGAGGTATCGACGTTATTGGTCGAAACGGCTCGCTTAAAGCGCATTGGAAGACATACGGCGGTGCTGAAGCATACAATTGCTCCTCGATGAGCGGGTTTCCTAACTTCTTCATGATTTTAGGTAGGTTTCTTTTGTGAACAGCGTGTATTGACTTGTCCTCTAACCTTCTCCAGGACCGAACGCCGCCACTGGGCACACCTCTGCCATCTTGGCTGCCGAGAATAGCGTCAACTTTGCATTGCGTATCATCAAGCCAATTCTGTATCAGGAAAGGGGCGTCGTGGACCTAGATTCGAACGCTGAAGGCCGCTATGTCGAGCGAATCCAGCATGATCTTTCCAAGAGGGTTTGGAACTCGGGTTGCCAGAGTTGGTACATTGAGACCAGTCCAGGAAAGGGCAAGACATGGAATGCAATGAACTATCCATACTCTCAAACACATTTCTGGTATCGTAGTCTGTTCCCGACGTGGAGTGACTGGCGATTTTCTGTGAGTAGTGTTCCTTTGCCCATCTTGGCTCAACATTGCACTGATACAATTAGGACGCTGGTACTTCGCCATCTAAGGTTTTGTTCAAAACATTCGTGCCTCTTCTTGGGCTTGTTACTGTGGTCGGTATATATCTCTATTCCAGCCACGTTAAAGCAGCTTGGTCGTGGGATCATTTTGGGCTTGCGGATTTCAGAGAGTTTTAGAGATAAAACTGAGCGGAAATTTTCATACCTGATTACCTACTGAATATAACTTGATTGCCATTTTTATTTCCAAAAAGAGATTTTATTCTTTGATATAAAGAACGTTATGTTTAATCCAAAAACTGCTCGCCTGAAGGAGAAAATGTTCATGTTGGAGGGTTACAGAAATACAAGCCTGGTGCTAGCACAGGCGACGGGATTTAACAGAGGAACCACTTTTGTGTAATGACTTGTAAATTAAATTACAAGAGGAATAGGTTTAGTTTTATAAGTTCAGTCTTGTTACCGGAAATGATTTTCATAATTTATTACGTACCTTATTCCATAGTTATTGAGGCCCAAGCTATAGAATGGCCTATCCTCTAAAGTCAGGGACTTTTTGAAACAATCTGCAACAACCGAGGGACAATATCCATAAATTTTGTTTATGAGATCCAGTTAAGTATTTTATATAGATTCGACCCGGCTCAAAGGTTGATTCTGTAACGTTCTTAGCATTCCCCTCGCTCCTGATCAAATCTTCTTCATCAACCATTCTCTCATCCATGTTCTCATAGACTGAATACATTCCCCATCATCATTTCTCTGGCTCTCAAGCAAGATAAAGTCACGCGCCTGTCTTGTCTGCAAGTCAAACTGTAGTGACGACATACACTCCGCGCGCCGTAACTCATCAACAAATACTTCCACTTGATTCAGGAACACCTCGTGACTTCCCACCGTAACGTACATATGACTTAAGACTGAACCAAGTCTTTTCAGCCAGACCCTATCCCGGTCAAGGGGAAAAGCAAACTTGCTTAGATAGCCATGTCCGTTTGGAAATAGCTCTCTTGTTGATTTGTCCACCGTTTTCGCCGAAAGTATGTCGATCGATGAATTCTTAAAGAATGAAGGATCCCTCGTAGATTGGCTCAGCCACGGAGACACGAGAAATGCACCTCCCAGAGGCTCAGATATGACCAATTCCGGGATTGATGGATGTGGCTCAACAAGATGGCAGAGTACCTGCGCGGCCAGATTCCCGCCTGCCGAATCCCCGCCGATAATAACATTTCTTGGGTGGAAGTTTCGACCTAAGATATGTGAAAGGGCTGTTACGGCCTGGCGCAGTTGCTCGGGGTACTTTGCGCCAGGACACAGTTGATATTCCAAAACAGCCACTGCCACTTCGGTGTCCGTCTCCCGGCCTGCAGCTACATACGTCCTCCAACACCATTCCAAATGGCCGGGGAGTAATGGCGCAACATATCCTCCGCCATGAAAGAACAGGTCGACCTTTTTAGCCACATGGCGACTTCCGACCCATAGAAGTGTTGCATCAGACTCCAAGAATTCTATATCATAAGAAAGCATATTCGTCGTGGCTAGGTCAGTTTCCGCTGCTTTCTTCTTCTGTATCCACAACTTGTATGTTTCTCTTGTAGAAGGGGACAAGTGCTGGATTTGACGCGAGGAGAGAGTCCCTAGGACAACCTTTAGAATGGCAGACACGAGGAACAAAGACGCTGGGATCCGTCGAATTTGAGTGATGACCAACACTCGAATTACAGAGAACAGGATTTGCCAAGGAGCTGTAAAACATAATCAGTTAGCTAGCAAGCAGTGGAGCAAATCAACTGTAGTCATGCTGAGTCGTACCTATAAACACCAGACGCGTATACAAAGCCGGCTTCTCAGGCGCAGAGAGTGTGTACATTGTGACAAACCCAGTGATGATAGTGTTGCCTCTTATCTGAATGATTTGAGAGCTTTTTGGAAATCCGGTGGGCTGCAAGCCTTGTGTTATTCATGAAGACTACGACCATCCTTACCCCATGGTCCTAGTTTCGTTTGCCGTACTCAACTTGCTCGAATAAGGTCCGCTTTCAACTCGGGTCCTTTCCGACCTATCCAGGCCCAGATGACATGCATAACGGAACTACCCCGAAAAGTGACGCCCTATAATTAGCGAGTATACAATGATTTAGGCCTCCTGAGAGCAAAGGGAATTGGTACAGACTTTCAAAGCTCTGAATGTATCTTATTTCACCTAAAAGACAAAATAAGCAGCCTTATATTACAGTGCTATCACTACTATTACCATGGACACGTGCGCCATCTATTCCCACGTCGTCTGAGCTATATCCATGTCGAAAGGAAAAGTAATATTCAACGCGTCGTGGAGAGAAAAGTCTCCTTCCAGCATGGTATCTAGAATGTCAGTACCAAGGTCAGTAATTGGATGCTCATTTGCATAACCTATTATATATATCAGTCCAGCTAGCACTACGGTTGCTCGATGGTTAAACTGACTGGTTTGTCTAGTGATGACAATTTGGTTGATCTTGAGCAAGAGGTCGAAAGATTTCCGAATAAAGGGGCTAAAAGATGAGATACTCTCGAGGACGAGGTTGCATTTCTCCCACGATGCGATGATATCGCTCTGATCTGGTGTAGCCCAAAGTGACGGGCAGAGACGGCAAGTGATGAGGACCAAGCTGGCGGTGCAAGCATCTTCAGGCAAACGTAAGCAACAAGAGCTTGCAAGGTACATCTCAAGGAGACATGATACATACATAAAGCATTCCATCACCAGGCACCTGTATGATCAGTGGAGAAGGTGTCCCGAACCAGAGTGATCAGCGATATAGCTGAGTTTACACAGGCTCTCGCCCCATCTCTGTTGAAGGAGGCTTGTAAACCGTTATTCAATTTGCCTGAGATCTCGGATGCTAGCAACCTCGTCAAAATGAGCCGATAGAGCATCAGTCTCACGTAAATAAATCTAGCCTACCGTTAGCAATCAACCGGCCAGGAAGGTGAATGGACAGCCTACCGCGCGTGAAGGATATTTCTTTGCATGGCAAAAAGCTTGCCTGTGTCTCCAGTGTGAAATTCCATTGTTGTGGCTGCTTTCCACGCTAGAAATGCGGGCACTGATGTCTCAAACGCACTCAATCGTCCATCGAGATCGACAAAAGTATCCATGCTTTCACAAGCCATATCCGGCTGTGCTGCGGGATGGTGGTCATGGAAGACTGTACTCTGCCAGGGCTGGTACACATTTGACAGGATCCTTTCCAATATGATGCTCAAACGGACATTTTCGTTTTGAAATTGCATCTTCATATCTTCACATGCTTCTGGATCGAACTCCACAGGGGGCGGTACGACCAGTGAAGAGAGGCTGGTCAACATCGTAGGCCTCCCAAAGTTCATGCTCACAACCCTGTTTTTGATTTTCTTTAGCATAGATAACGACATCGCTCACACTTCAGGGTCCTTACGTATCAAGTACAATACATCCATGCCATGTGCGGCGCCGAATCTTCCACACTCGGGACTCTTGAGGGTCGAACTTTGGCATACTGTGCAAACCTAGACTTTGGGCTATGCGGCAGGCCATACCAACTGCGTTCCAACATCGATCAGGGAACGGCGTCCCTTGTAAAGTGAGAGCCACCAATAACATTGTTTGAACAACACTGATGTTGTTCATGTCGACTAAATCCAGGCTAATGTTTTGTTTGGACCGTGAGAAGAAGACATCATAGGCGGTCAGTTTAGCTGATGTAGATAGATCGGAAACGGCACTTCCCAGCGCAAAAATACAATTGAGTGAAGAATGAAACGCAATGGTTGTTGCGCCTCCGCCACGTCCCCCGAGACCTATATCTAGGCTTGAGTCCGGGTGACCCTGGTGTTGCCCACCTGGTGTCCATAAAGATTGATATGCGCTCTCAAAGGAGTCCCTATCAAAGACTGGGTATAGGTAAAACACTCGCTCAAAGTATCTCTGCACCAAGTGATCGGCTAGGTTCCGTGGTGGGAGCACGAGCCCTTGCTCGAAGTCTCAATGCCTTCAGTCGCAGCGGACGACAGGGGTGTCAGAATATGCGCTTGTGAGGTTCCCATGACCAAGGCGTCTAGGTTCGCCTGGCTTTCTGATGGGCCGCTCTCTACATTGTCTGCAGTTGAACCAGATTCAGGGTCTATGCCATGCCTCGAGCAAGTCTCCTCCAATACACGGATTCGTTCGTGGAGAGATTTTGTGTAGCTGATCTGCCGTTAGCTAAGAGAGCAGCCAGGCAAGTGATACCGTAGGAACATCCGCTCACTCATCAATACATGCTGTGCGCGCATTGTCCACCTTGTAGATGCACTGCTCAAGACCTAATGCCAGACGACGGCACGTGGAGCAGAGTGGCTTGACTCCATCACAGCGAGCCTTGCGTTCCCGACAGGGTTCGCAGGCCAGCGCCACCTTGAGACGCCGTGGACGTCGTGGCTGGTCTGACATTCTGCAGCGGGATAGATCGGTGAGACAACAGCTTTCCTTAGAGAGACGTCGGGAATCGTAGTCATGTGTAAGTAATGGGAGGGATTATCCCGGCCACCCTACACACTCCCACCAACGTCATCCAGTCATGTTGTGATCAGGGGCCATGAATTCTTTTTAGGTGTAGCAACCGAGGCTTTATCTAATTAACTAACTCCTCAAAGAGATTATGATGTGATTAATGCCGAGGCTGATTACAAAGATAGTACCAGGAATATCTCACAACGGTGGATAACGAAATGTCATAAGAAAGCCATGATTTCGAACTCGTAAATCATATCCAGCTCTTTCACCCTTCTATGAATATGGATTCTAACTAGAGCCTTGTGATCCTGGACTTGCATAGTAAGGCTCGTTAGGCATGTACGGGAACTTACGCACCACGACATCGCCCTTGTACTCCCAGAGGTCGGGAAACGATGGCTCGTAGGACAGCTCACATGTCTCCTTCGAGGAGCCAAAATTCACCACGTCCGTGACCTTGCCGTCACTATAGTCGACCCGTACCATGTTGATTGTCTCTTGGTTGGGGCCGACCTCGAAGTAGTTGGAGGGCATGAACTGGATACCCGAGTGAGCCGTGGTGAAGACAGTCGTGGGGAGATCGCCCTGTAGTCCGTCATTAGCATTCTTAAGTCCGATCTCATGGATCGATTGACCGATCCTTGAATAGTTGAGCACTTACTGTATGGGGGATATGATGCATGCCGAGGTTGAACCAAACAACCAGATCCGTCTGGTTGAGGCTCTCCCCGTCGAAAAAGTTATCAAAATTGACGGGCGGGTCGTGGGTATCTTGATTGTTGTACCGGTGTATGCTATGGGGCTCTGTATCCTTGCGCTGCGAGACCATGATATCATGGCGAGCCCAGTTGGAGGCGTTGTGTAGAACAGTCGAATTCTCAACCGTGAGGTGCGCGGTGCCTGTGTATGGCAGAATGCGGTAGCCTCGGGGCTCGCCGAACCGGTTGGGTTCGTCGCGGTTGACAACGACGACCTGAGCCTGGGCATTAGGAGCCCAGTTGAATCGTCCCTCGTCCTCATTCTCGATGAATGACCGCTCGATCTTCATCGTATTGAAGACTTTGCCCTTGGACCAAGGGTAGGTGGTCGTGAACGGCACTTGCTTGATGAGCTCGACCGTGTTATCGGTACCAAGGATATCAAAATCAGCCTTGAAGTTGAGGACATGGTCGTGCATAGAACCCGACAGCTGATCATGGATGTGGAAGCCATAGTCTTCGTTCTTGGCGTAGAAGGCAGCCTGGATGTAACCAGAGGCGCGCACTTCAATGGCAAGAGAGCCGTCCATGAAGAAAGAATAGCTGAAGAGATAGTCGTAGTTGCCAAGGGTTGAGATGGAGCGGACGACGAATTTGATGTTCTTGGTTGCCGCAACGTATTTCGCAGCGCTATGACGGGCCAGGGGGAAATCACTCTCCGCTTCAAACACACAGATATTATTTATATGGGTGCGGGACGTCTCTGACACGTAAAAGGTTGAGTTAAGGTAGGTGGCGTAGTCTGGGCAGTCGTAGCCCTTGAGCAGCTCAAACGAGTACGGGCCGAAGCCATAGTAACCATCAAGGTAGGCGGTATGCGACTGGATAGGGTCGCTACCAGCGTAGTGAGAAAGAGCTTCCTCCAGGCCAAGCTCGTAGATGATTCTCTTCCCCTTGTATCTTATATCGTTCAAGATCATACCAGAATCGCGGCTAAAGCCGATATAGAACGACCAGCCCATCCACTCGACATATTTCCGTTTGGCATCAACAGAGTACCGGGCTCCTTGGGGAGCAACAGTCACGGGCGGCGATAAAACGTCCTGAGGGAGGATATCGCCTTGCTGATCTGTGTGGGCCCAAGGGCCGTCGAAGTTGCCTCCCAACTTCTCGACTTTTCCACTCCAGTAAGCATCGCGGAACTCTTCAGTGGACTCGTAGAAAATGCCATTATAATACCAGCCCTCGACGAACCACTTTGAAGGGTCTCGTCCAGTAGTATCAGACATGAAATAGAGGCCCATTGGCGTCATGGAACTGGAAGCAAAGATAGACTGGGGGAGGCTCCAGAAGCCGTCCCATCGCCTGATACGGTCACCGTCCTGGTATAATGGGTCGATACTGCCAATAGCAATACTGTCGTTGTCGAGTCCCAGCGCGGTTGCATTCCACAAATCGAGAGTGATATCGGAGACATTTGCACTGACCTCTAATGTCCACTTGGCGAAGACAGTGTAGACATCAGCCGCAAGATTGCGCACACGGCCTTGAGTCTTCCTTGTGAAGGGATATTCCAACGGCTCCCAATGTGTAGTGCCATTGACAACAGGAAGAGGGCCGACCAACAAATCTTGATAGTAGGGCTCCTCAGTGGCCTGGTTGTTGATAACTGCGCGAGCATATCGGACAGGAGCGGTGCCGTTACGGTCGATATATGCAAGGGCATCGGTCTTGTTGGGGTGCATCAACTCAACTGAAAGCCTGCGAGGATCGGTTCACGTTAGCGAAGGGCGGCCATGGCGCATAACAAAAAGAACAATACCTACAGTGTGTTGTCCCAGCTTCCAGCATTCTCAACGGTGGTCAGATTGAGTTCCTTCTGAGCGAAGAGCCACGCAACAATGGTGGCGGTTTCTGGTCCCGACAGCTCTCCCCAGATGTTCTCTTTGGGAGCCTCAATGTTGAGGGCATCGCGGACCGTGCAGGGCGCTCTGGGGAATTTAGTCCGCTGCTCCAGGCTGGCAGCTAACGCCCTCCGACCGACAGCTTGACCTTGGCCCGTTGGGGCAAACTTGGGCAAAGATTGGGAGCAGATTGTCGGCGCCAGAAGGCCGGCCACACCAATGCCGATCCACATGTGAGGGACCATGTTTTTCACCCTGCTTTATGATGCCAATAGGTGACAACTCTCTTGAGAGAAAGAGACATGTCGTAGGTTCTGGAAGATAAGACGCTGATCTTATATGTGTTCCCAGCGATGTGCCCTTTCAGCCAGCTACACGAGAACGGTCGTAAGACCTCTCCACTGCAATGCGTCTGCCCTCCACTCTTGTGCGGAACTGCCCGTCCGGCCCGTGCGACGATGCTCAACAGAGTGTAGCTAGGATCGGCTCAAGGATTAGGGGTCGCTCTAGACGAGATTACCATGACTGAGCTTTGCCGGCAAACCGAGTAGAGTTGCGTTCGAAATCCTATACCGGAGCTTCTGCCACGTAGGATACCGTTAAGCCGAACCAATTCAGTTATGATCTGCGACCCAGTAACCAGGTTCAACTCAACAGTATGCACAAGGTCCAAGCCCTTTGCCTGCCCATTCGCCAGATGCAGATCCCAATATGGTCCTGCTTGGCAACCGGCATCGCTTTGTATCCGCTGTCGCCAATAAGACAATTCAAAACAGCCGCGCCATAAGCGGCCCCCCCAGTACTTGCATAGGTGCACAGAGCTAGAGCAGGTGATGGTCCTCGGTTAAGATGATGACCAGGAGGAAACGCCACTAGGATCGAGATCTGCGTCCTGGTACCTCGATCAGGCGCCGAGTAGTTGCGCCCTGGGGAAATATTGGGCAGAGCTGTGGCTAACCATGGCATGCCTGCATACCGCTCTCAATAAACCGCGCTATGACCAATAGCTATGCAGCTGCACAGGGCATGCGTCAATGCGCAGTACAGTGGTGGGTTGTTGTCTCACGTACCCAGAAGACTAGCGACTGAATGCATAATTCTCCTCAATAGTACAGCCACATCCAAGAACTTTCCTGGCTGATGATGTCATCTAATCAGTGGAAAAAACAAATCTCAACGTGCTTTGTCCTCGGCTGCCTCCTGGTGCCGTAAGTGGCTTGCCTCTTGGCCAACGGTCAGGCCGGCAGTGGTCACTCGTCTCAGCCCCAACGGGTAAGTCGGCTCTTTTACCTTACGAGTGCACTGTTTTGAAGGTCTACTGCTAGACTGACTTGTAAATATGGCTTGGTGTAGGGAAAGACGGATAGTCCCGGTTTGTAACGATCCCCGGGTTGGCGGAAGACAGTAAAGTCGGCTCTTGACTTCTGGTCCTACTTGGTGGCATTATGCACCCTAACATATATGCAAACACGCGGAAAACATGTGGGGACGGATGCTATTCTTGGCTGAAAACACATTAAGCGAAATGGAGGACGACATGATCGATCGAGGGAACGCAAACTTCTTCCATGATGTGGCAGTGAATGACTCTGGAAAGAGTGTTTGATCGACGTCCCCCCCCAAAAGCCTGTGTAACTGATGGAAAAAATCCTTTGATATACATACAAATATTCATTGCTTTTGAAGTATTCTGTCAAATTTCACCTTCAGTACAGCCGAGTATACAAACTGGATCCTAACAACCCGATTTCTAGCACTCGATGTGAAACAAAACAGTACGAACTACTTATCTAGTTTTTTGCATCATCTGGAGCCTCGCAGTGGAAATACCGAGGCACAACATATTCTAGTTGCTAGCACGATTGCTTTATGATCATAACCTACAAACTGACTTTCTAGGGACAGTAGTAATAAGGAGACGAGGGTATAAAATTCGATGTGCCAGCTTTACCTCGTTTGCACGTTGTATCATTCGATTTCGTAAGACTTTACGAATAATTTCTCTCAGATATAAAAATTTCCAATATACTTTCAATTAGACAGCTGTGTTTTTGAGTGCACTTCCATTTGTTTCTATAGAGGAATTCGATAACTTTGTGGTGTGTTTAATATAATATCTACGGAGCAATTGACTCGCCCTGACTCTTTGCACAAAGGTGGAGGACTCCTGATTGGCTTTCTATGAACAATCTTGGGATCTGAATCCATATTTGGGTTCTGCAACGCCACCTATACACTCCCACACCTAGATCATCACCTTCGGCACGCAATACACAGCCCGTCGTCGTCAAAATAATGCTCATTCAACTCATCATCACAAATGTCATGAGGCTCCCCATCATTGCAAGCATCGCAATTCGAACTATAGGCACAGTCCCGAAACCATTCAGTCGAGTCTGACCATTCATCAAACAGTCTTCCATTGGTGCCAGGAGTGTGCCATCCGTAAGCGATCCTCATGTGCTCCTCGGGATCCACGTCGGGATCGAGAAAGCCACGGTTCGGTTGGTCTCTGGCACATAAAAGCTTACAATCCACGGGCTTGCACAAGTCCAAGCCAGTTTTCTGCACAAGCACCCATGCAACGTTGTCTCCTGGAAGTTCACATGGTTCGTTATATTGTCCATCCCAGCAAAAGGTATGCATTGCCGGTGTGACATCAAGGTCAAAGCGCACAGAGAGAAGACCCTTTTCCATCACATCTTCCCATGATAGGCGGTCCTCTGGAATGATAATAATCCAAGACCGGTAACGATGCTTAAATTCAATTTCGTTCCAAAAGGCTTCTGATGGGCACCAGGTTGGGACAATATGCGGGAGGGGCTCCCTTCCGCGGATCTTGGTCCTCAGCTTCTCGGCAGCATCTTCCTCCGAGAGACCTGCGGTTTCGCTCCGTTTCATCTCTTTGATGGCGCTCTTTCGGAAAGTTTTCTCTCGACGATGGTGTTCGATGCAACTCTCGACTGTCTCAAAGCCGGAATACGCGTCAACACGTGGCCAATGCATTCCCCGCCAGCCATGAATGGCCTCGCAGCCAAGAAATCTTCTCGCTAGCTCTTGGACGGCAGGTTCAGTGCGACTTCCAAGGAGGTAGAGTTGTAGACCCAATTTGGGCACCGCTTTCGTCGCTCGTGGAAAGGTAGGGCGCACTGAGTAGCTCTGGCCAGCATGGTCTTTGAAATGAAGAACTTCATGTTTAGGAGCCTGTTTCACGATCGCTCCGCCGCCGAGGGACTTGCGAGGACCTTGTTTGGCGCGTGGCATCCCGTAATAAAATCTTCCACCCAGGAACTGGATTCAATGTGATGAGGTTGAATCGGAAGAGTCGGTCAATGTCCGAGAGTCCCATTTTGAAAATTTAAAAGCCGGATATTACCGGTACGTAGATTCGAGCTATGGCAAATTTGTCGCGGCCTAGCTGGACTCTCGGCTCTGTCAGGTATAGGTTAGAGACTGCTTATATATACAAATGCTGACAATGGTCTGAGCTGGGGCGTGCCCCGTGAAGCACCAACTTCTTTCTTCATTTTGGAACGCTACTATAGCTGGTCACCACTTGACCGACCCTTGTTCTGTGGAAAGCGGAGCTTGAGCTAAAGTCTGTCCTTGCAAACTCTATCATATCTTCGAGACTATGATCTTATGTGAGCCCTAGAAAGCAGCAGGATCTTCAAAGTTCTATACAGATATAATAATAAGCGGTCTGTCGATGATTATGCATCATATGAGATAGGAAAAGGGGCTTCATCTAGTCCTATTTGTTTAGTTAGCTTGTGCCGATTGGTCAGGGCTTATTGGCAATTTTTTTCCAATACCATATTTCTGTCTAGAAAATTGATGAATGATAACTAGATGAGATTACACTACGCAGAACAGTTCAGTATCCGAAAACCGGATACACCGCCAGCTATTCGTTCTGTTGAGTTAGAATATGCATGAGAAGGGTACACTGTTTCATAGACCACATGCACGGAAGAATCACGTCGGTAAGTTAGGAACCAAGAAAACGGTGATCTTTTAAAACGGTGACGTGAAACGTGAACGTTACATGTATAATTAAGGTGTCACATAGTGACGTAGCTTGCCACTTCCATTTCCACCCACAGGTATGTGTTTGCTAACCCCTCATTTACCAAAACGACAGATATTCTACTTAAAGGCCTCCAAGCCTCTTCTTCTCGATCGATTCGGTTCTTCAGCAGTTATTTCACTTGCTTAGTTGACAATTTTTCTTTTTCGCTGATAATCCATCAAACCAAACACGCAATGTCTGTGCTGGAACAAGTGAAAGAAGACTATAGCAAATTCGCCGAAGTGTATAATAAGTTCCCCGCCCAGCCAGCGGGTATTTTGGGATCTCAGCTCATGAAGAACGCCATTGGAGATGCATCGGGCCTCGTTGTGTTGGACCTAGGAGGCGGGACCGGAGTTCATGCTCGCGACGCCCTTGATGCAGGCGCCCGACGAGTAGATCTGGTAGACATAACCCTTCAGATGCTCCAGGTCGCCGAGGACATCGAGCAGGCCCAGGGACACAGTGGCCGCATTCGTGTCTTCGAGGGGGATGTCGCCTCAACACTTGGCCATCTCCCACTGGAGCCAACTTATGACATCGTCATGGCCAACTGGGTCTTTGACCATGCTGAATCCCCGGAGATGCTTGAACGCATGTGGCAAAACGTGGAGAAGTATCTGAAGCCTAGCGGTAAATTTGTCGGCATTCGCGCTGCAGATTTGGGTCCTGATTTGCAGACCGAAAAGTACGGTGTGACCTATTACAATTTCAAGTCTATTCGAGGGGGGCTTGCTTACACGTTTATGCTCCATGGGGATTGTCCAAGGGCGTTTGAGGCGACATCTATGGAAGCCAGCTACTCGGGCTCTACTGCGATGCACGAGAAACACGGTCTAACAGATGTGAGGATCGTTCCTTTGGAGAGTGCCGCGATCGTACAACAGCAGGCCGAATTCTGGAAGACGTTCCTTGATAAACCACCTTTTTTCGTAGTGACAGCGGTCAAAAAGGGCTAGGCCTAGGACAGGGAGATAGCAAATGACGATTTCATTGATTCATCTTGTGCATATTTGGTCCTTCATTTTGAGACAGCCATTCGCTGCCCTAAATCCTATCGCGTGGGCTTCCGAAGAGATTCTACATAGTCCCAACCATCTTACTTTTCCGAAGCAAAGATAATACCGTTACTCTTGCGCATATCTTCCATAGAAGTCAGCACAGCAACACTCAGTGCTCTGAGATGGGCTTCAGCCTCCTTATCTTTCTGCTGGATAATCCGCCCAAGCTCCTTCGCCTCCCAGGTCAAGTTGAGTAATCCGGTATATTCAGGATTCGTATCGGCCAATTGCTCACCCTCCTTCGACCCGCGTGGGACAAACTCAATAGAGTTGATATCAGTCACGCCAGTCGCACCGTTAATTCTAATCGTGCCCTTCTCACAATAAATTTCCGAGGGGGCAGTGGAGGTGTAAATCTTGCTTGTCTGCGCATGGACTGTGAATTGCTGCTTGTGCTTAGATGAGTCAGGCGTGTATTGGAAAAGGATGTGACCGCCACCGTCTACCCCTGTGCGAATTATGACGGGAATATATGACTGGCCAACAGGCGTTCCAAAAAGAGCCTGGGTGAACATGACGACATAGCATCCCATATCCCACAGAGAGCCTCCACTAAACTTTGGGGAGAGTACGTTAGGCTCCTCGCCTTCAAGAACCTTGGCATATCGCGACGAGTAAACGGCCATGTTGACGCTGGCACCGTAGATGGGGCCGAATTTCTCGTTTCTCGTCTTCTCATCGTCCAACAATCCCTGGAGCTTCTTGAAGTTAGGCTCCTGGATGTGACGGTAGGCTTCGAGAATGAATAACCCTTTAGAGTCAGCAAGCTTATACAGCTCCTGAAGCTCCTTGACATTGGATGCAAAAGGCTTCTCCACGATGATGTGCTTTCCAGCATCCAGGCCCTTGATCGCCTGCTCATAGTGCAGCGAGTTTGGGGAGGCAATATACACAACATCGACATTGTTGTCGCCTAGCATGGTGTCTAGGTCGGTGTATGGCTTGACAGAAGAGGCATCCTTGATCGACGGAGTTTCAGATATAAACTTGTTGGCCGTGTCAAGGCTCCGCGAGTAGACTGCTGTCAACTTGAAGAGTGCGGACTCGTGGGAGGATTGCACGAAGGAATTGGTGATCCAGTTGGTGCCGATGACGGCAAGGCCTAGAGGAGCTGACATGTTGACGACTTCTTTGGAACTGGGAAGCTGTGGTTTGACTCTTGCCGGACGCTGATGAATTCTGCGAGTGCGCAGTTATTCGTAGTTATTCGGTGCGGGGTGAGAAGCGACCCGCTCGAGAAGTGGATGCTGTCTATGATCTCATATCGTTACCTTCACCGAATTCTGCTAGTGCAAACTTATGGGCATGGTTTCTATTGAAAGTCAGATTATGGGCGGAATAAATTACTAGTTTGGTCATTTCGGTCAATGCTGGCTAACGGCACCTAATTTAACGACATAGCCAAGTCGAAACCATCTTCTGTAATCCAATTGTCGCCAACAATGTTACTCCTTGACCTCGATTTGCTGCCCTAACGGAGTCGATATAATCTTAAATACGCCCACCTACCTCAAGACTGAATGTGGTCTCGGTGTTTTACTTGCTGAGCTGTCGCTTGAATATGTTATATTATCGCTCGTACTGGTTGGAATACATCGGAGCATAGCTTCTCTATAGATGCTGGTGTGTTTATTATGGAACTTGTAATCAATGAATAAATTAGTGAGAGAACTATAACTAGCCCCTGTGAATGAACGAAGAAATAAAAAACTTGGAAGTCCCCCAACCGTCTAGCTCTTTTGCAGGCTCGCCCTAGAACCCCAGCTTCTCAATGCTGCGGATCAGATCTGAAGGCGAGCTGTAGGAGCCCTTCCCACGGTTCCGCCATACGAAGGGAACAGAGCCGTTTATCTCCAGCTCAGCTTCAGTCTTGTTCATGTTATCCAGAGCACGTGCAATACAAATCTGGAGTTCTGCATCTGAACCATCATCCGAGAAATGGTATTCTCGTAAATGTCGCTTCCACGCTCGCCAGAGCTTGGGGTGAGAGCCGTCGTCGCTGTTGATATGGATATCCGCCCAAGCCTTCCTCGGCGAGTGGATAAACCACATGCAAGCTACCCGCACATCTTGAATTGAAAGCGATGTCTTATTATACATCTGTCTCAATTGGGGATAGTCCCAAGAACTGTTATAGCCAAGGCCCTGGAATTTGGCATTCGCGAGCTGGGCATAAAAGGCCACTAAATTCGCAAAGTCAAGATTAGCCAAACGGCTACTATGAGTGACCCTGGCTAAGAGAAAGTTAGATAACGGCGAGCACCAAGGGAGAAGATTTTGACGACGGTGATTGACCGCCATAGTGTGTCTAGGCTTACAGTTTCTCAGCCATTCTGTAGACAAATGATCTAAAAACTCAGGCATCCCCGACCAAAATGGTATCTTTGTTATCCCGGCGTGGAAGCATAGCTCCCCTCCCTCTGTGGGGTCAGGCACGGTGGTCTGTCCCAGGCGAACGGTGAACTCGACAAGCTTGGATTGCTTGTCATGTGGTATGCGCTTGGCCAATGCAATCAGAGTGGCAGTTACGATATTCGCGAGCCCGGATAGCGTATCGGTCTGGCTAGCTGCCTCGGTTAAAACGGCGATTTTCTCTACTGCGCTCACTGTAGAGACGTCATCCTGGTTGATCATCCTGAGGAGGATCTCGCGTGTCGGGCAAGGGTTAATCTATTTCAGCTGGTCAGTATCTGATCTTTCTCGCTAGACATGTTTGAGAGCAGACCTACCAACTCATCGATGGAAATTGCCGGGCTCAGCGCCTGGCTTTCGGGAGTCGAAGCCATTGATGGTAGAGCGTCTTGTTCCTCGGAGGCAAATGCAGATGGGAGGTTGGGCAGGCACAGGTACGAATGCATGAGGCGGGGTAATGACCCAACAGTCGCGGTGACTGAACGACCATCTATGGTAGTACCTTAACATGTCGCATGTCGGCAGTGGTAGTTTTCTTCCGTCGAACGAGAGAATATTGCCTCTCATCTAGCAAGAGATCTTTAGCTGCTGTTGATTTGTTGTCCGAGGTCTTTTTGACCCCCCTGCGAAAACAGGCGTTCCAAACTCCCAATATGCCGGCTATGCCGATTGTGTGTTTGTCCTTGGGTACACGGGCTATGGTGACATCAAGATAGGTGCGTATCCTTCAGTGTGCCTGATTCCTGCAACACCATTGGCAGTAAACCCAAACCCGACGGCGCCGAGTGCCCAAAGTGTAGAAATGTGCAGCAGCATTTGTAAAATCATCAGTTTTGGCTCAATTCTGCTTGGTATTGCACGGCAGATTAGTATAAGGGCAAATTTCCTAAGACTTCAGTATGTGACAACAGAAAATTCGCCGTCTACTTCGTCTCGAAATAGCAGATTTGAGCTAGAATTGAAATTGAGAGGGAACCACCTCGTCGTATTGCGGACGGAGCTGAAAATGCTACGAAATATGGTTAACATGGAGCCGCCGTTATAGATGTGCAAATAGCAGTAGTTCCAGTTTGGTACGTCGTCATGGGGATTTCTTTTTGCTGAATCTAGCATGTCCGCAGCAATTTGAGATGACTTTGGGAGAGGCCAAGCACATAAGGCAGCACAAGAAGACCATGATTGCTATCTAACCAAAATCAATTTCGCTTATTACATTCCAAAATTTCATGCAGACCGAATGAAACATCTTCATTTGGGTGTTCAATCAAGACAACTATTTTGAAATCATGAAGTAGGTCATTATTAGATGTGGGCGAAATCTGAAGGATGTGTGCCAGTCTCGTTCGCACCCTTTTGTCCAAAGATTCGTTCGTTTATACAAGCAGAAGCTGCAAGAAATATCAAAATCGTATAATAGTTGATAATTGGTTGCTTTTAGTAAACACAGACTAGGTTCAAGAAAGCTCGTAGCGAAGATGATAAAATGGAAGATGGACCAATGAGCAAGGGAGGAAGTGATACTCAAGTATCCTTAACGAAGCCTTCTTGAAACCCAACTCGAAACCGACTATACTAGTGCCAACCAACCCTCTTAAGTGTCTCGAAGAGGATCTTAAAATATTGTCTTATTAAAGAAGTTGGGCTTCCCTCTCTGAACACGCCTAGGAGCCTTAGAATTTGGAGGGAATGATGAAGTTAGTATAAGCCATTTTAGACTGCTTTTTTAAGCCCGGGGTTCCATATTTTCCCTATCCCTTTCAAACTTGGTGACTAAATGGGTATAGAGTTGAACCCATGCCCGAGCTCAACTTGTGGAGAAATTTTGCCTGTCATAAGATCAGGACCTTGAATGTCAGCCGAGAGGTAAGAATCTCTCGAGTTTAAGCAATGCTTTGACTATGCGGTGAGATGATTTTACGTAAAGGGATTCAGAAATTCGGTCGCCCCCGGCCGAGAGGCGACGCTAGTGCTCTTCGTTTATCCCCTGAGAAAAGAGAAGAAAGGGAATAGTGTCGATTAGCTAATCCCCAGGTCTTCTCTTTTCAGCTTATTAAATAACAAGGAGTCCACCGCCTGTTGAAACAATTTACTTTCCTTCACCAACCCAACGCAACTACACTGAAGTCTTAGCAGGACCACAATCTTTTTTCCAGTTAGTGATTACAGAAACTTACCGCCCTTTAGGGCTCTCTCATGGCCATTGCTCATCACAATGCAGAGGACAGCTGCCTAAAAAACCAGACTGAGCCAATTCAGGCTGAACCTTTATTTACCCCTCCCCAACCACAAAAAGAGTCACCACGGTTGGAGACCATCGAATATCGCAATCCAAACTCTCAACCCATTGATAGCCAAGATGATGTCGAGAACTCATCGAGGTTGTCTGCAGACATCTCCTATCCTGAGGGTGGTATGCAGGCCTGGATAGTAGTGTTCGGGTCATTCTGCGCCATGGGTGCCGTTTTCGGTCTCATTAACACCAGCGCGGTTTTCGAATCTTATTTCAAGGAAAACCAATTGAGTGCATACACACACTCAGAGATTGGATGGATATTTAGTCTATATCTTTTCCTTGTCTTCTTCGTTGGCATTCTGGTCGGTCCGATCTTCGATCGCTTTGGACCTCGTTTGCTTGTTGGAGCTGGCTCGATACTGATCGTGGCCAGCTTAATGCTGTTGAGCCTCTCTAAAGGTGAGTTTTATCGCCGTTTCCGTCTAATTAATGAATCTCTAACACATGTGTTTTGAAGAGTACTATCAGATCGTATTGACCTACTCCGTAATGGGCGGGATCGGCGGCGCTTTGCTGAACTGCCCTGCCTACGGTGCTATCGCCCACTTCTTCAATAAGCGACGGGGCTTAGCTACAGGCATTGCATCCACCGCTGGAGGCATCGGCGGCATCATCTTCCCCCTGTTACTGCAATTCCTGTTGGCAGACCAAGGGGTCGGTTTCGGCTGGAGCTGCCGCATCATGGGATTTATAATGCTCATTCTTTGTGGCCTTGCGAATCTCTGCATCCGCAGCCGACTCAGTTCGGCCAATGCAAAGGAAGAGGAAGTTAAGTTATCGTCAGTCCTTCCTGATGTTACAATTCTTCGGAACAAGGGCTTTGCCATGGCTGCCCTAGGCATCTTCTTTATGGAGTGGGGGTTATTCGTCCCTCTGACTTATATTGTGTCGTATGCCAAAAGCCATGGGAACGGGGACGCAGCCAGCTCGGTTCTACTTTCTTTATTGAATGCAGGGTCGGTCTTGGGGCGTTTCCTTCCGGGGCTGGTTGCAGATAAACTCGGTCGTTTCAATGTGATAATTGTAACGATTGGTCTCTGCGTGACCACCATCCTAGCCATGTGGCTCCCTTCGGGCCATTCTAAGCCGACACTGATGGCTTTCTGCATCTTGTTTGGATTTGCTAGCGGAAGTAATTTGGGATTGACCCCGGTTTGTATCGGTCAATTCTGTGACTCGCGAGACTACGGCCGGTATGTCACCACCGCGAATATGATCGCTAGTTTTGGCACGCTCTCCAGTGTGCCTATTGGTGGTGCCTTACTTGGCCTCGGTGAGCAGAGTATTGGGTGGATGGCCTTGATCATCTTCTCCGGAGTTTCATATGTGGTGGCGATGATCTGCTATATTTACGCCCGTGTTTCTGTCACGGGGCTGAAGCTGCAAGCGAAATTTTAAATTGGGATGGTGAAATGAGTTTTGTGTTGGGCCGGCAGGGTTTTTTATCCGACCTAGAGACTGGGCACGGTTTTCCCTGAGCTCTCCTATTGGCTGTGGTACTTGAGGTTATGCTTTGATGAGAACATCAAATTATATATATATATTTTAAGTCATTCGGTTTCCCTTACTCTCTAATCAATTCGTCTGCGGAAGTATTCGAATGACCGAAGTTGGTGATATTTGTCTTGATAGATTCAAATTTAGCTGCACATAGAGCAGCTCCCAAAAGCAGCTTCGCGTTCAATCAGGTAGCAAAATATGCTTATATGCTTGAGCTCTTTACTTCCCCAGCAGCCTCACTACATTCAAATTAAATATATTGCTTCTTGCTTGGGGAATTCATTCTATTCAGATGGACGCTCTTCGTTCTCAACGAAAGTTTATGAAGGAGCTAATGACCAAAGCCAGATATAACTCAGATTAATGAAACCGAGATACCTTGCGTCAGTTCCCGTCTTCTGAGACACAACTCTTCACTGAGCCTCGCTAAATCTGCCACGAGCCCCAAGTCGTGAAGTTTGTCCCAGACCTGATGCCCGCGTTCCAAGTCATCACCTTTACTTGTCAAAATAGTCTGCTCAAGGCCAAACACCTTGTATTTGCCGCTGTCTGAAAGTCTCTCCCAAGGGTCCTCTCCGCTTGCAAACCTAATCCATGCCTCAGCCATAAGCTCAGAGACCTTTGCATATGACTGTGGCATCTCGTGTTTCAACAATCCCCATATTAACACGTTGTCGAAGGAATGATGCGCCATCCCACCCCAAGCATTTTTGAACGGCGAGAGAACGTCGAAATGGTAGGCGAATATAGACCCTTTCGCCGCTTGCCGAGCAAAGTATATTGGGGCAGAGAACAGACCATGAGTTGTCATTTTCTCAAGGTTCATAAAAAGATCCTTCTCACTAGTATCGGAGGTAATGCCGTAGATATCTGAAAGCACTCGGGCCTTGGTTCAACCAAGGTAGGACTCCATCTTGGCTAAAGTCAGTGGTGCAGTAGGGACTGTCAAATCTTCGCCAGGGGCAAGCGGGGAATCGCAGATATTATCCCATGATTTATTCCAAATGATACACTCGTTTGTTGCGTCCCCTATCATCACTCGAGGACACCATTCGGGCACGTTGAATGTATTATACTCATCATACGAGGGTATGGAGCCTGTCACAAAACCTCCATCATCGCAAAGAGGTGATGTGACTACCGGAATAAGAAATGCTGGAACCATTGCCTTCGTTAGAGTTGAGCTATCCACAGAAAGGAGGCGTTCGATTCGATCCTGAGGATTCAAGTCGATAGGAATATCCAGAGCTTGTAAGATACTCTCATAAACTGACTGATACTCGTCAATGGATAATACTCCACAAAGACGAATCAGCCCAGACTGAAGAATCGCACTGGAAAATAAGGGTTCTCCACTGAGTAGGTGAGCATGGACAGATACTGCGCCAGCACTTTGCCCAAACAGTGTGACCTGTTTCGGGTCACCGCCAAACGCAGAGATGTGCTTCTAGACCCAGCGAATAGCAAGCACCTGATCCCAAAGGCCATAGTTTCCAACTCCTGCTTCGCCATGGGCACTATTGTATGTCTCGATGTCTTTACCCGCGAGGAATCCGTCAACGCCTAGCCTGTAATTCACTGCGACGACAATAGTTGGTCGCTGGAATTTGGAGGCCGAGGATTCCACCAAAATTCGCGAGTCGTAAACGGGCAATGAATTCATAGAGTAGGTGAACGCACCGCCGTGAATGAAAACCATAACAGGCAATAGATTCTTAACTTGATCAGTGGGTAAATGAGGGACCGAAATGTTCAGATTCAAGCAGTTGAACTCATTAGCCTGAGGCATATCCAGCCAAGGGCGGGGAGCATTTGGAACTGGATAAAAGTCTCGAGGCGGCTGTGGACAGTAAGGCCTAACAACACCGGCGAAGTCAACTTCAAATTCCGCAAGGCGGAAAGAGAGCGAGCTAGAGTTACCCCAGCCTCGTTCCATCCCAGTTCTCATTTTCCCAGGGCTCAGACGCGAAAACAGAACGCCGAAACCGGCCTGGAACAGAAGCATACGGGATACCAAGATATATGTTTTTCCGTTTAATGAAATCCCCTTTAGCGTCCCCAGGCTTGCAACCTCTAGAGACACCTGATTGATGCTTGGAATCTCGTCCGACTTCATTCTTGTGCCTTAAAATGGGACCCTTAAGGTAGAGACAATGTGACTTGAGAGCGTATCTCTTGGGTGGGCTTGGTCCAATGTGAAGCTGAGGTAGAATAGCAAAATAATGGTATATCTTGGAGCGATAATATTAGTTTATTAAGGAGTACACTGCGGAAATAACAAGGATCTACGAAAGTTCGAGATATCCGGGCAGTTGCGTTGCAATCATAATCTACAACCTCCGCAGTCAATCCATCACTTAAATCCGGCGACCAACCGGATATGGAACGGCCGGGTCTGAGCCGAAGCCGTTGCCGGTCCTAGAAAGCGCTCGCTATCGAATCTCGGGTTTGATATCGGGTTTGACCCACGATTATTACGAGCCCCAGATAGCTTGCACCCGCTCTCCCTGCCTTAATTGCAATAGTGTGCTCTTGGGTTATGAAAGTCGCGTCTTCCCGGAATCGAAGAGGTTTTGGATTGAACATTAGCAGTACTTTGCCTGCCATAGATTCAACCTCATGGCACCCTCAATTCTCCAACCTGAAGCTGACGCTTCGGCGCAAAACTGCGTTGCTGCTAAGCAGCTCGCTCAATCTGATAGCCCCTCTCTTCTTCACCGATCTTTACTAGAGAGGCCTCACACGGTGATCAGGGCCAGCGGAAGTTATCTTTACCTTGAAGATGGTAGGGAAATACTGGATGCATGTGGGGGTGCCGCTGTTGCCATCGTTGGCCATGGAAACGATGAAGTTGCACAGGCAGCCCTGGATCAGATGCGCCAGGTCAGCTATGTGCACACTCTCTCTTATACGACTGACTCGGCTGAAAATCTCGCACGGAGAATCCTGAAATCTGTTGACTCGGGTTTTGACCACGGTTTGGTGAAGGCTTTTTTCGTGGGAAGTGGAAGCGAGGCCAATGATGCGGCAATGAAATGTGCTCGGCAGTACTGGTATGAGAAAGGACAAACTCAGCGCCGTTATTTCGTTTCCAGACTACAAGCCTATCATGGAAATACAATAGGTTCCATGTCAGTGTCGACGATGGTCGGCCGCAAGATTCCCTACGAAGATATTTTACTTCCTCATATTTCGCATGTAAGCGCAGCGGATGTTTATCATGGCATGAAGGATGGAGAGACAGAGGAGGAGTTTACGCAACGCCTTGTCGCAGAGATTGAGTCAGAATTCTTGAGGCTAGGACCGAAGAACATCATATCATTCATGTACACGCTTCCATTCTTATATTTTATAAACAGGGTGCATCCTAACTGACATATCTACAGGGCTGAGACGGTTGTCGGAGCAGCGTCAGGTACGATGACGGCTCCAAAAGGCTACTGGCCAGCCGTACGAGACTTATGCAACCAATATGGAGTTCTTCTTCATCTGGATGAAATAATGTGCGGGATGGGCCGCACAGGAACATTGTTCGCCTTCGAGCAAGAAGGGATCCAGCCTGACATCGTCACTATCGGAAAAGGCCTTGGCGGAGGGTATTCACCTATCGCAGCGATGCTTATCAACAGCACTATTGTTGATAGTCTTCGGAAAGGGACGTCAGCTTTCAACCACGGGCAGACCTACCAAGCTCACCCAGTATCATGCGCTACCGCTCTCGCTGTTCAAAACATTTTGAGACGAGATGGCCTTCTCGAAAGGGTGCGATGTCTGGGGTCAAAGCTATATGATCTCCTCTCGACCACATTCGGAGGTTGTGATTACGTTGGTGACATTCGGGGCCGGGGCTTGTTCTGGAGCCTTGAGTTTATGGAAGATAAAGCGCAAAAATGTCCCTTCTCCAGAGAGTTCCATTTTGGTCCTCGCGTCCAGCAGGTGGCTTTTAACATGGGCGTCGCTATCTATCCTGGGTCAGGTACTATCGATGGTCTGAATGGTGACCATGTAATATTTGCTCCACCATACACGACAACAGAGGAGGAGCTCGAAGTTGCAGTTGCTGCCGTTAAAAAGGCCTACGACGAAGTAGTTGCAGCCTACTTTAGTCTAGAACATGCTACATAAAATATGAGAGCGTGATGACGAGAGATACGTAAGTGGAAAATACTGGAGCATTAAGTGCTCATACATATCAAAGGATTGATATTTTCCTTGTTCAAGAGAAATGAATAAATTTCATGAGAATTATATGAGCCTGAATTGTAATGTGTTGTCTTGATTAGCCCCTGGTTGAACAATCATAACTTAAAGCCCAAATCCTTTCTACCAGGCCATCTTTGATAGGATATTCTCTCTCTTTCCAGCCACAAGTCACAGATCAGCTAATGGCATGTTGTAATCAAACGGTACGCCCTCGATGGCGAAAGGAATGAAATCTTGCTCTCGCCATAGTGGCCATGTTTGGTTCCAATCTCTGTTTATAGCCGCATCATCCTGTGTGAGACTCGTTTTCTGTATGTTGTCGAAGCCGGATAGCTCCTGCAGACTGAGAGCTGCAGCAGTCTCATTATTCGTAGTAGAGCCAATCTCAATCTCATCAACGCTGATTTCGGGAGACATATAGTCCCCAATGGTTGGTGGCTGGCCTCTAATATCGTGAATCGAGTACTCTAGAGCGCTAAAATCCTCACGAGTTCTGCCTCGGAATTGGCTGTGGTCTTGGCGAGCACTCTTGTAGAGTTGCTTGCAATGACCAATACTAACCCACCACCCCTTGCCCATTGCCCAGATGCCCCTAAACTTACCCAAAAATTCGACGTTTCCATTGACGGCATGAGATGAGATACGATTCCTGTCCAAGTTCATTTTTGGGAATGAAGAGACATAGAGGTTCATGGTAGCTGCGGAGAAGGCACAGAATCCAGGAAACGGCGTATAGAGAGGTTCGTTTTCGTCTTCAAGCTTCCTGAGCAGAGATGCTATATGTGCCGCAGACGTGAATATTTCGTCAGCTCTATCCTGCCACCAACCTAGAGGTGCTGGAAGTGGTAAGAGTGGAGGATCAACAGGACCGTTGGGCTCAGAATCTGGGGTCGGGATAAACCTAAGATATTCTCGACCGAGGAATAAGAGGCTATAGTTATCAGTTAGTTCCTCCCATTGAAACCGATTGTCGGGTAGGTTCCGTTCGATAGATTTACTCTTACCTCACATAGTATATCAAATTCAAGTACGCAAATCTCTCAGCCGTACCAAGCGCTGAGTGTCCCTCTAAAGACGCTTCAGGGTAGCGAAGACGTTTCTCTTGCCGATCTCGCCATGCCATCAGTTCTTCATAAAGAAGCTTCCACCGAGATCCATCTACCCATGGATGGTTTTCTGGCAGAGACATTCCCGGCAAGCGTCTCCCACCACTGACCACCCAGGAGAGTATTCGAGCCCAAATGTCGAAACCTCTGACAAGAATTCCATAGTAATGGTTCATGTCACCTTCCATAGTTTCCAAGGGTCCTCGCTCTTCATTCATTAAAGGAGCGTGGCCAGAACATTCGCCAAACGCGAAATCGTCTTCGGACGTTGGCCACAGTGTATCCATAGAGTAGACAGACAACGCGAAAGGCTGAGTCTTCCCGCAATGAACGAGTCTATCCATAATGAAACACGCCCATAATGTGCGGTTATGAATTCCCTTCTCCACTGATGCAAGAGAAGCAACATGCACCATGACTCGAAGAGACTGCATCATCCTTGTCGCGGCACCGCTGTACATCCAAGCACGGTATCCGTTACCCGTACCCCACTCGTACATGGACAACGTTAAGAGTGCCTGGATGGTTAGCAAGTCTGGAGGACTTGCAATTGAGACACAGCCCCTAGCAAAAGTAGCGAAAGCCTCGGGCGGGGAAGCATGTGCAAGCTCATGCGTGATAGGTAGGCATAGCGCTACGATAGACGCGCATAGCATGTGAATGGCTGATGACTCACTGCAAGTTCGCTGAAGGAAATTTATCTGGCCATTTTCTTCGATACTGTGGATAGATTTGGATAACGTAGGCAAGTGAACAAAGCGGAACTCTGGGAACTTGGAGGAGAAAGTCTTGAGAGCCGCCATGACGGTAAAACTGTCAACCGCTAAACCTTTCTCATGATTACCATTTAGTGAGACTTGCAACTCGGAAGACTGGGTAAAAGGAGTATCGCCTAGAGTGGAGCGAATATTACGGCGAGTCTGATCTATATCTCCTGACGGGGTACTGCATCGTGTCAATCTAGCGAGTGCTAAGCATTGGGTTTAGATCCGTTTCACGTACTCTGGCACACGCTTCCTTTTCAGCTCAGGACCGGTGAGAATACATTCCCCAGAGCGTGTCCGACCCTTCTTTTTGCAATTTTGGCATGGTGGTGAGCCTTCGTGAACGCACTTAATCTTAAGTTTGCTAGATAGATTCGGAGTGTCAGCATCTCTCACCAATTACAGCGAACTCCATTATCCGTCAACACATGAACAATATCCAGACCTACCGGCAGTGGGAACAAGCGATTGTTGTCCGAACCATGACTGTTGCCCGTGTGAAATGCGTTCCCTGTTTGTTGTTGAGGGAAGGAAATGCGAGAAGGTGGATTCTCCCCGGAGAAACACCGCATTTGATTTAGAATTTCCGTAGTGCCGCTGTCGGGTTTCGCATTTGAGTTTGCGGCTTTAAGCGGCATGATTCTCTTATCAGTTCCGTTCCGTGTGCCTCGTCAACCCCGCTGAGACTACAATCGAGTCTTGACACTTGCACCATGATTTTGATAAAATTACCACATTATTCCGTTCATTAGTAGCTTGCCCCACTAGCTTGTATCGATACTTTCATGATGCGAAGCCAGCAGCCAAGCAAGCGGATGGATGACATGAGTGACGAGGCAGACACTCAAAACTCTGCTACAGTATTCTGCTTATTTTCATATCTGCGAACAGTATCCTCAGAGTATTGAGGACCATGAAAAAAGTCTAAAGGGACAATAAACTGTGCACTACTTGTCATTACATTATTTAATACTTTTTTATTGTTCCAGCCATCATGGAAAAGGGCCTGCTCACAACCACCTTGCAAACTTGAATTCTGATTTCTTACAGGAGCTTCTTCCCGGTGCAGCACCGTTACAAGCGGATGGCCACGCTCCTGACAAGATAAGAATAGCATGGTGGTCTTGTTGAAACCGTGGTAGAAGTGTTGCGATGACCAAGCCCTATCCCCACTGCCACCTCCGACGACCCTTAATTATCAAGGATGTCTTATATTTCATACTCCTCGCCCAATAATAAGACCCATATCACCCCGGCGAGGGCAAGTATTGGTGGACTATTAATGATGCTCTGTGATATTCAAGTGCTTAATGTAGCTTGCGCATTTTTCTTCTATGGATACAGTGCATTGAGTAATCAACCTTCTGTATTAACTTAGATCCAGCCATGGACCAATCCAAAGGCGTGAAGGAGCCTTCCAAAACTAACAATGACACAACCGACTTTGAGAAAGAAGAGGTCTTGGACAAAACCGCTGATCTCGGTCTTCAGTTTCTGGAAAAGAATGACCCTGTTGAATTTACTTGGAGAGAGGATAGAACCGTGTTGTGGAAGATTGACCTATACTTGCTGCCCATTGTAAGTGTGATGTATGCTCATTGGATAACAAGCGAATTTATTTTCATCAAATTTTTGGTAACTGTATTAACATAATTCTTCCATCTAATGCTCACCTTCGGCCTCCAATACCTCGACAAGGTCACGATATCGTATGCAGCCATCTACAATGTAGAAAGACTTGAATCTCGTCGGCCAGGAATAACTCCATCTTTTACTTTGGATACCTCGTTGGTGAATTTCCAGCCAACTACCTTCTTCAAAAGCTGCCCATTGGCAAATTCAGTGCTGGATGTATTTTCATTTGGGGTGCTTTGGTCATGCTCTGTGCAGTTACCAAGAACTTTGCCAGCCTTGCCACTGTCCGATTTCTCATAGGCTTCTTCGAAGCTGGCATCCCTCTTTGTTGGATCTACATCACATCTATGTTTTACAAGAAGAGTGAACAGGGACTCAGATGTACAGCCTGGTATTTCATGGTTGATGTTGCTGCGATTGTGGGTGGCTTGCTTGGGTATGGCGTTGGCCATACTCACACCGCCATGAAGCAGTGGCAATTCGTCTTTCTCATTTGCGGTGGCTTCACCGTTCTTTGGGCGTTCGTCATATACTTCTTTTTGCCCGATTCTCCGCTACAAGCATAGTTTCGAACCGAAAATGAAAAATCTATTGCTGTGGAAAGGCTCCGCGAAAATAGAACGGGAATCAAGTCAACCGAGGTCAAATGGGATCAGGCACGAGAAGCACTGACTGATCCCCAAGTCTGGCTCTTTGCACTGTGGAGCGGTATCAGTCAGGTTCTGAATACTGGAGTCAGCTTTTTGCCGCTGATGATTCAGGATATGGGCTTTACTGGTCTGCAGACCACTCTCCTGACACTCCCTGTTGGCTGTGTCGAGTGCATTGCAATGGTGGTAGCCGGTGGACTCTCCTCCTACTTTAGGAAGGGCCGCACTATCATCATGTTTGCGGTGGCGTGCCCAACTCATGCTGGTGCAGTTCTGCTTGAAAGATTGCCTCTGAGTAGCACCTGGGCTCGGGCTACCGGTGTCTGGTTGCTTCAATGTATTCCTGCCTCCTACGCCATTATGTTGAGTTTGATTGCATCCAATGTCGCAGGTACAACCAAAAGGTTACCACAACCCTGCTATGCTTCGTATGTTTCGTTGGAAACATTGTGTCCCCACAACTATTTCTCTCGACAGAAGCTCCAACCTACGGGACGGCTATGCGGTCAATGCTAGTTGCCATGGCTTTGACTCAACTCACGACACTTTTGCTTGGGGTTTATTACGTCTACGAGAACCAAAGAAGAGATGCGCTGCTCTCCCAGACCCCACAAGATGTTATTAACGCTTCGACAGTATATAATGAAGAATTTCGTGACCGCACTGACAAGCAGGACTATCTACGGGTCCGGTACGCATGCTAAAGGTCGAGGAACAGGATTTTACCAAGCAAATGGACTCGAGACGTCGAAATGGGCTGAATTCAAACGAATTGATATTTACTAGTCCATGAGGGTTATGTATTCATAATATCCCTGAAATTTATTGTAGACCCGCATCGGTTCTTCTTAGCAATATCAGAGAGTATCTTCATTGTCTTAGTGGTATCTCGAGGGGCGAGCGGCGATGCTCGTCTTTGATACGTGTGCGCAAAACAGGCATTTGAGCAACAAAGTACTGTACTGTGCCATTCCTCTTCCGTCAACGTCTCTCTTTTTACCCGTATTCGTAAAGGGGCGAAATTTGCCGGACCTTTTCCATCTCGTATTTGAGAACGCTCTAGAGGCTAATTGGAAGCCTCGTATTGGTAAAGTTGGAATTCGAACTCCAAATTGCCATCTCGTTCCATTTCAAAAGGGCCGACGTCCAAGAAAATGGCTATGAATTGAGAAATGAGTTGATACCTAGTATTCTCACTACAGGGCTGGCTAGGTTGAGGTGAATACTGAATCACACAATACAGCATATGAGTATGTGGCGTGATACGATTACGACTATATAGATTCTCTCAGCACATCGTGGGAATCAGGACTCGTGCGGCTTTCATTCGATGTTTTAGGTAGAGTTTGAAGGCAATGGGTCACAGCCGCGTCGTAACTTTGTATCTGCAGCTGCAAATCTACGTTTAGGCGCGAACCCTTTATCAAGCTTTCGCGATGGTCCTTGGTATTTTTATGACGATCTATCAATTAATGTCAGGATGACTATAGCGTACGTGGCCCCAAATCAATATTTTATTAAAGCTATTTTGGGCTAACCCGGCTTTTTGTTTTGTCCCAACTCACATCCAGGCCGACTGCAAATACGTCTATCACTTCGCCGCTTGGTACCATCTCACGGCAAGCCCTTCTCGTTGTCCCCAATATACACAACACGCTTCCTGAACCAATCAAACCGAATAATGTCTCTCAATATGCGCCATTTTGTTACCTTAGCAGGACTCGTACTCTTGGGTGCTTTTGTCAATGTAGGTGATCGTGACATCTACGCAAAATAAATGTGTTTATGTACTAATTCTACCGTCTCAGGCTCATTCCAATAATACCTTCGAGGGAATGGAGATTGTTGATGCCAAGTGGAATCTTGAGCTCACGCCCGGTGGTCAGGTTGTGAACCTTTCAGGCACTGTTGAACAAATCTACCCTCAGCTTCTTGCACTTAACCCTACCTACGAGACAGACTGGGCTCAAAATAGCGAGGTCAATGTATGGTATGACAACTTTGTTGCTGAAGACGAGAATGAAGGACAGACAGAAAACCCTGCTGGCTCCTTATCGGTTAGAGGTCCACCAAAAGCAAAAGGTAGAGGATACAAACTCGGAAAATCCAGGATTGATCGCTGGCATTGGATTACTTGGCAACAGGCCATCCCTAAATGCAACGTTAGAAGGTGGGCTATGTGCTATGACATCAAGAAGGGATGCAAACACTTGGAAAGGGTCCAAGGAAGACCACAGCTTGAAGATGGGAAATGCAGTCAAATGAGCTGTAAGTACACCCCACTTCCAGATCGTATTGTCTCAGGGTCCTAATACTAACCACGCCCATAGGTTCGAACAAATCTGCTATCATCTGGTGCAATGTATCTGGAAAGACTTGGACTGTGCCCAGCTATCGACAAATTGCTCAAGGCGCCTGGATGATCTATGAGCAGTGCCAGGAAAAGGAGCCGTACGCGTTCAAGGACCGTGGGGCACGTTGCTATGTCCGTGGGAAAGTCTTTCCTTGGCAGAAGAAGTGGTTTGTCCAGGCTACTGCCGTGGATTCTTGCTAAGGGAGCTATCCTGGTCTAGTGCTCTCCCATCAGTCCTCGACATATCTATCTACTATGTACTTATAGCTTATAATCTTGATCGGAGAATGTCTTGGTTAGACAACAGAGGAGCACGGTGGCTTAGGAAAACGTACATACCAATACAACAAAGATTAATGGGAGGCAGAGAGAAGAGAGGCCGATCGCAAGGGGCCAGGGGGGGGCAAGAAGAAAGACAAGTCAAGAAAAAAAACCCACATGAACGCATCGAATTTTCAAGCTCACCACATTTTATGTTAAATCAGGGTTATTCACTTGACTACCTAGCAAAGATAGAGTGCCCTGGCCGAGTTGTTGCCCGAAAGCAAACAAGGTCGAAAGTGTTAGTACATCCACTCAACCATCACCAACGGACAGAAGCTAGATGTTAATAACGTGACGAGCACCAAATTATACAATATAACTGCCTATGCGATCGACGAGGCTAACTACCTTGCCTCCCAAGGCGTGGTCGTCGCCCAGCCATACGTCACCAACTCCCTCATCCCTGCCAGGCTGTCACGTCAACATCTTCCGCAAAGAACACTTCCCGCTGACAGTGACTTTGCCTTTTGCAACAGCTTTGTTCGGTCTACCTGCAGCAATGTTGCCGCCGTCCCTACTAAGCTAAGGTCAGACAAATTTGGCAATGTTATTATCCTCACTCGGTACGTCTTGGGCGGTGTTACCTCTACCACTTTCACCACTACCTTCGCCTTCGGAACTACCACCTGGTGGGACTATACCACGCCAACGAGGGTTCTCCTTGGAGCCTGGATTAACTGCAGAGCCCTAAAGAGCACCTCGCCTTGTATTTACAGTCATTCTTCGGCCTCTAACCCAGTATCCACTGTCGCCATTTTCCTGCCAGCTACAGCTAATTCGGATTTGCGATTTCTGTTGATCTATCTGTGATAGAACAGAGTACATGCTAATGTAGTTTGATAATCTGTGTAAAGTCAGCTGTGCGAGGGAGGTCGTGCAAGCGGAATGCTGTCATATTTTTTCTTACTAACGATCAAACTGATTTTAGCACATTATGATCTGAACAGTTCTATACTGCCACTTAAATACCAGAAAAAGTTGGTCTCAAGGGGCTACATGTACTTCGTTGATTTCTACTGGGTGGCCAGTGAGTGGACCTTGCGCGAAACAACTCACAATGTCTATTCAGCAGGTTAGGCTGGAGAGATGTCAACAAAATAATCACAGACGTGAAACTAACCTGATGGAGAAAAAGAGATGATGCTTATCTCCGACAAAGGGGTGCAGGGATACTCCTTTGCTTACAATTGGAGATCTATACGGAGTATAAGATACTAAACCGTAAGCCTTCCCACTAAATCCATTCTTCACTCTTAAAAAATCCCTTACCTAGCACCCAAGATTCCACAGAGCAAATACGGATATCTGTCCTTGTGGACTTTGATATCAGGGCAGAAGTCCGCTATATGAACCATGTCATCCCCGATTCCACTCTTCTACCGGTTTATCTTCCTATGGTATGAGCCATTGAACGCAGCGTACGGTGTTTACCTTACTCTCGTCACCCCCAACGTTTATCTGGGCCATTATTTCCCCGACAATTCTGCGACCTGGAATCATGAATACGACTTCTGGTTTGGCCAAATGGCCGCCGCGTTTTTCTATGTCGCCACTAGCCAGGCCATTCTGTTTCGCTATACAAACGACATCGGAGTGTGGAAGATCCTCAATGCCTGTCTCGTAGGCTGGGACATTATCTTACTCTACAGCTACTGGATTGCATCTAGTGCCCAAGGAAGAGACTCTCCCCTTCAATGGCTACCTGGAGAATGGACCAAGTGGTCTCTTACATTTGGCCTCGGACTCATTCGAGCTGCGTTTGTTTTGGGCGTGGGGCTCAAGGAAGGAAAGCCACCTGCTAAAACGAATTGAAGTTTCTCATAGAATACATATCGTAGGATCCCACTTGGCTAGCCTGGGGAATTCCCCTTTTTGTCTAGTGGGCTAGTTCTACGATAAAGGAATAGTTCAGTCTTGAGTAACTGGAACATTTAGGTCATCAGAAAAGTTCTAAAGATGATGGGGTAGCAAGAGAGCCCTCGACGGCGAATAGGGGGCAGATGCAAGTGAGCGTGGGCGCCCGTCTCAGCCAATTGAACATGGCCAGCTGTGACTTCCTGCGTCTCGACATCTTGCCATTACACCCAACCAAATCTTGGCATAGCCGCCCTATTTTAATGAATGAATCAATAATGCATGTTGGTACAGCTTAGCCCAAAAGCAGGCGAACAGAGAGCGGCCCGTGTTCATATGTTCCCTCCACGCTTCAAGCACGCCTGCGAGAACCCGGAAGGCAACCACGTCGGTTTAAGCCGGGGATTGAGAAATAATAATATACTAAGGGACTTAGAGAGGAAAAAATGTTGACGGAGGTCTTATTTGTTTTCGATGAATAGACTATGCGGATAGTAATCGATTGGATACCTCAACATCGATACTTCTTTCCAATGTTTATGACGCTCTTTAATTGCGCGAGCGCAGAGCTTCAATCACTTCTCCCGTCGAAGCCGTACCACCGAATATTCGTAGGGCGTGCAAAGCGGCTAAATGATCTGCCTCAGTGCATGTTCCTGTTGCGTCACTAACAGTCGTCGTGCCAAAATTCCTCATATATGCGTCTCGTGCCGTCGTTTCGACACAGACATCCGTCCCTACTCCTGTTAGAACGACATGATTAACACCACGTTCCTTCAAGGCCTCTTCAAGTGTTGTATTGAAGAAACCAGAAAATCTCGTCTTGTCGATGACAGCTTCGTCAGATTCGGGCGTAAGTTCGTTGAGAATTTCGGCATCCCAAGAATCTTGCACAAGACCATGCAGCCGTTCAATCTTGTCCCCTCTATCGCGGCCGCGCCTGTTAGAGTAGTCGGCGTTGTAGCTTGTTCTTAGGAAAAAGACCGGCATATTGGCGGCGCGGAAAGCGGAGCGTAGTTCGTTGATTTTCGGAATAATCGAGCTTGGCTCGCTCTGCATACCTATCTGTGCAAAGCTGCCCTTTTCGTGGCAGAAGCCATTTTGCATGTCGACCACCAGAAGGGCTGGAGCAGAATCAAGTTGCACCATCTTGTTTTGACTGTTTGGGGCTTTATTGGAGAGGACGCTAAAGACTCGTGTAAGTTGCTCACGCCTTGAGGCATGTAAGTCGAGCGGGGAAGAACCACAAAATAGCTCATCGAGGATGATTAGCAGGGAGCCATTAGGATTACGGGTACCCCACCCAAGACTGGTCAGCAGGGACTCAACCCTTACTACGAGATCTTCGATAATATCCGTATCGGCCATATGAGGTAAGACTTTCAGCAACTCGATAGCTTGGGGACCCTAATGTGGCTGTACTTATCGTGAAGCGAGATAGCTAGCGCAGGTTGGAAGCAAGAGAAGATATGTAAGTATGGGCGTGCCCGCTGTTGTTAAGGCCTTAAGTCTTATATCACCATCACCAGAACCAGCCTTAGCCATTAGTCTCGGGAGTTATATTGAATAAATCTATGAATTTCCCCTTCTTGATACTGATTTATTTATTTTGAAAGGTTAATGTCTCTAGTATAGAGAGAGTCAGGAATGTTCAAAGAGCTGTTGTAATTGTTGATTTGACAGTTTCTTGGTGGAATTAAGTTTCCCCGTATGGCCTTTCAGTTGATATTAACTCCGCCGAGCCCTTGATATAGATTCCGTTGGGATCTACAATATGGCGTAAAGAGTTTCATTTGTATTCTTGTTTCTTGATACGAGGCATGCTTGCTCGGAAAGTGCGTCTTACTAATTGCCTTATGGTTCGCAAATGGTTCGCAACCTACATACAGTATGTAGCCACTGCGCTACACAACTGGATTTAATATGGCTGACACCTCTGTCATCGCACGAGCGTCTGAAGTAGGTACACTTAGGGTGCGTCGATTGGCTGTTGATCACTTAACCAAGGCTGCGCCACGCAGCTAAGATTCAACATAAGCCAGTTTAATTACAAGCTGCATGAGGCTACGAACCGTGTGGAGTTGCTTATTTCTTTTTAATTCTTCTTAATAGGGTTTTCCATCGCTCCTTGATAGCAACTTGACTTGTTCGTGTAAACCTCCTGCTTCTTGTGTTCCAGCAAGTGAGAAGAATCATGGCTGATCCCTTGAGTATTGCAGCATCGATAATCGGCATTGCAGCTGCCGCGGCTAAAGTAGCTGGTTTCTTATCAGCTTTCATCTCTAGCACTGCTGATGCACCAATTTCTGCGGCATCGGCCCTGGCGTCAGTAGAGGAGATGAAGATTACGCTATCCGCCATTCAGCCACTCATGGACTCTCTCCATGCCGTTCCATCGTCTCGAAAGGGGTTGATTCAGCTGGACCATCTTTCAGTCATCATCACACATTCCGTTTTGACAATATCAGAGTTAGAATCCATTGTCTGCTATGAAGACGGACTCATGTACCGCATTCGATGGGCGTGGAACGAGAAGCGAGTGCTTGGGCTGCTGCCTCGGCTGGACTCTCAAAAGTGCTCCCTGGCCCTGATGGTCTCCATTTTACAAAGGTAAACTTCGACCTTCGCTCATCATCTACTCTTCGATAGATAGAATGACTAAATTATATTGACTGTGATACAGTGAATCCGATATCAACGCTCGCGAGTGCCAAAATCGGCTGCTCCTGAAAGTAGACGAAATCTTGAAACAGAACGAGGCCCTAGTAGAGCGTTTGCAACCAAGACCAGGAACGTTCAACGCTGGTGTGCCTTCTGTGAAATTCCTAGATGGCTCGGCATCATTCATGTCCGAGAGACGGGTGTCAATTCAAAGTGTCATGAGTGTCGCTAGTTTAGCTCTGAGCACGGCTCGAAGACAGTCATCCATTGCGATTTCCAGATTTTCCATCGCTTCTCACTTTGAAGCGGCCCTTGCGAGATCAAGAGTGTACACTCGCGCCATATCGGAGGAAGACATGTCGTTCACAACTTCCACAGCACCGACCAACGCCTGGAGTATGCTATCTGGTCTAAGCTTGAACGACATCTCCGTGGTTTCTGCATTCCGGCTTCCACTGAATCTCGATGATATTGATTCATTCGCCCCTGTGTCGACATTTGCAACTCTTCTCACTCAAGAATTAGCTGCTCATGAGGTGGTGCAACCAGAGCCATTTTCAATGCGTTACGTCACGAACACGGAAACAGATAGTGCTACTCCAAAGCAGTCACAGAGCTTAGAGCAGCAAGCATCCGTCCCTGTCACTTTTCCATCCACAATTAAAGCGTCCGGACCTTCGTCTGAGAAAGGTTCAATGAAGTAAGCGATTTTCGTTTGAGAGAACTTGGTAGTTATACTAAATGTAAAACACAGAATCGTTCTAATTGGGAACAAAAACTCGCTCAAGAGTGAGATGCTTCACACCTACTTGAATCCAAAGGAGGCTTCCGAGACGAAATATGTGCCACCGGGGCAAAATACTTTCAATGTTATAGCTAGGTATGGCCCACATTATGGTCTAAATCACCCTTTGGTCGACTCGACAGCCAATCGATTAACACAAAGTAGTTTCAACCGAAAGAAGTACAATATATCTTTGCAAGACACAACCGGACAAGAAAAGTATCACAGTCTACGCCAGCTTAGCTATTCAAACACAGACGTGTTTCTGGTTCTCTCAAATGAGGAAGTTGACACAGATTTAAAGTCTGTTAGAGAGCTGTGGCTTCCCGAAATCTCATATTATTGCCCCAGTACACCTTGCATTGTGGTTAGAACTGGAAAACGGACGCATTCATCAGCCCCGTCATCTCCAGTAGTGACGAGAGAAAAACTGAATCGCTCCTCAGTGACGATGAATTATGGCTCAAAAACCTTCAAGCAATTGTTCTGTGACATATGGGATCCGAAGAGTGTTAGGATCATATTTGGACAAGTGGGTAACCCCTCCTTGACTTGATTGCTACATTATTCCAAAAAAAAAAGTGTTGAGCTCTAATGTGTTTCAAAAATAGGCAATATTAGCAGCATCAAAGGATCGTGAAAACCACACCAACCTCAGGAGTTTCTTGGAATCCCGGCAACAGGCACGAACCATCGCATCTCCATCACAGCTCTTCAGATAAAAGTTTCCTTCCTTTCCAACAAACTAAATCTCGAGGACGAAGAAAAGCAGGTACATCTACAAGTGCCAGCTATGATCACTTACTACCCGAGGCGGGCCAACTCGGGCCCAATCAAGTTCAGGCTTAAGGAAACCACCCACCGCCCCGTCCTCAAATTTATCTTAATCGCATTGAACTATGTATACGTGAGTTTCGACTTGATGGTCTTCGATCGTGTACGGTTGGTGCAGTACACTAACATTCCAAAGTTCTGAATAAAACAATTTGGACCTTTCTTCAAGCCGATCAAATGCCAAAGTATCTCTAACCAGCATCGAAAAAGGTCGGGATAAAGGGCCTGAAGTCGACTAAGGAAGGAAAGTTAAGGATGGGTTAAGAAAAGAGGCTGCTGTAGTAGAGAGGCTATTTTATGAAGTTAAGCACCAAAATAGGAGTAACAAACAGTATAAAGGCTTCCTTGACTACACAATAGGTTTAATGATTAGTCTATTAATATTGGTCGGTCTCAATATCTCGTGTTTACCATGAAAACTGTATTGTCCCTACTCTTCCAGACAGAGGGTCATATGCGCCTATGGCGTTTTCATCCCAGAGCGTGCCTTCAAAACTATGCTTCCTCGCCCACATTTCCACCGAGCCTCTCGGACAAGGCTCTCCCAATATGGGAATGCCGAGTTCGGCCAACCAGGCTTCAGGTGGCGTGTCACTCGCTAGTACTCGGATACGCTCTTCAGGATCCAATGTATTCCAAGCGGAGCGAAAACCCAGTAGTGACGGCTGGGCGCCTATCATATCGACGCTGATATACGTGAGTGGAAGTATCGTGTCATCGTAAATATCCTTGGTGAAGTCGTCGTTACCATCGAGAGCGGAAATCCATCGGCGCTTGATATCCGCAGGCTCCAGATAGTTGCCATCAGGCCGACCCGTCATGACAACTTCCAAATTGGGACTGCGTTCCACATTAGACCAGAACTCTTCCTCGATCAGAGGGTTATAGAGATATAGGCGGCGAAGTTTTGGCCAGCACGTTGCCCAAACCTCATCCTGGAGATCTCCAAAGCGGTCCGGGGCGGTATACAGAAACAGTTCGTCCTGGACACTAGCACACTCCTCAAGGTTCACGAGTGGCTCGAATCCACGCTGCAAGACAGCTTTCACCCCTTTGGTCCTCTTCTGGGTAAAGAGAGCGGAGAGGGATGTTCACCATGAGCCTCCGCAGCGTGGGCGCAACTGCAATCAAAATGTCGTGGACGGCGGTCGCCACCGGCAGATCGTTGATTTGAGGGTGGGGACATGGACGCATGCCCATGGAATCGTCTTCGTCGTCCTCATCCTCCTCGTCAGCTCCATCACCGGCAACCTCGTCTGCTTCATCACCGCTTTCTTCCTCCTCTTCTCCAACCCTACTGCTACTGTGGCCTTCCTGAGTGCGATCACTTGGGCCGTAGGGATTCGGTTCCACCAAAGCCAATGTTCCCTCGAGCTCATCCGTGTATTCCAGAAAAGACTCCATAAAGACGGACGTTATGCCTAAGATTGGCGGCCTATGTCCTGGCATAGGCCGAGAGCCGGCAAGAGGGAGGCATCTCGCAAACCTCAGCGTGCGATCTTCCGAGTCAAGGAAGGTGCAGTGCCGGGAAAATATAGAGCTTGCAGCTTCGTTTGTCGTTTTGCCATGAGTGCCAATAGCGTCATGGTCGTCTGGTGATCAGCGGGTAAAAACTCTGGCCCCGCAGGCTCAAGGAAGCTGATGACATGAAGCAGATGCTCATTCGGGAGGCGTTGTCCCTGGCTTGGCCGCGCGGCCTGTTTGTGAACGGAGAGGCTTTGCATCGTGTCCGGCTGTTGTGAAGGAGCTTCCATTGAAGTGTGAAGGGTTTCTGGCTATCTTATTATAGGTACCTTATTAGGCACAGGGCATAAAGTTAGGCAGTAGATCCAGTCAGCTGATAACAAATATGAGACATCAACTCGAGTGGTGGCACGTATTGATTTGCCCTGAAGCCTTACGAATGGGTTTGCACAAGTTGTTTATTTGTGCTGCTCTTCGCTATCTCTATGCTTATAAGCTCTCAATTAATATCAGACTTTGGCTTGTTGTTTTCTCGTTTCTGATCATACAAAAATCAACATCGCTTCAAGTTCGTCCCATATACTAAACTATACCATCAAATTTGCCATGGATATCCTGAGTGCAGCGCGGCTTTCCTAACTTCCCCATAGGCCTCTCCTAAGACGACCGAGCCACCCGTCTGGTCGTGGCGTGATATTCTGCTCAGATTCCTGCTCAGATTCCAACTCAGGTTGAGTCTCACGAAGGAAGGGTGTGTCCGTAGCAATCCTTGACCATTCAGGATTATGAAGCTTCAGCTGGTCGCTTTCTACCATCATGCTTCTCTCCGCATATTCGCGAGCTGTCGCGCTGACCTCGAATTGCCGGCGCTGAAGCACAATATCCGGGCGAAACACTACCGCAACAATATAATAGTCAATGATGCCTTCCGAGGTCTCGTCACGAATCCATCTCTGTTGGCCCCATCGGCTTGTGCCTCTCCACCGGCTCACAGCACTCTCCGCGGCAAAAAGAACCTTGCCATCGGTTCTTCGGAAGGACCACTTGTCCTTCATTTGTCTTGCTATCTCGTCGACCTGTGACTTCTTGCGCTCGAGCGACTCGAGCTCAATCCTGATTTCGCCCACGCTAGAAGGCACCGATCCAGATACAACTTTGATCCATTCCCCCTCAAAGCGCAGTGGTTCATCGTTCTCCCAAAACCACCAATCCGCATGCCGAATGGTCAACGTGATGACACGAGGGCGAAGCTCTGGGGTGGTCAACAGCTTATGAAGGCCCCCACCCTCAATCATGAACATTTGTGCAAATACGTGGAGCCTATCAATCTCAAAATCTCGCTGCTGCTGGGCCCTGATTGTATGTAGACTAAAGGCGAGCTTTGGCAACTGCTCGTGGAAGCGGTATCCTGGCGGCGCTCTGTGCTGGTTTCCCACGACCCAATGGACCTGCTCACGGAGGAGGAACGGAAGAAACCAGCATTCGAGGTAGATGGCTCGGCATGTCTGCAGTAACGCCGTGTCGCTCTTGCGGGGTGCTAAGTACGACGGGCGGGTGTAGAGAGTTGATGTGCCATAGGCCCTATCTGGATCGGGGTCGGGATAATCCGTCAGTGCGTAAGAGAATATTTCATATCGGATCTCTGGTGGCAATGTCTGGAGAAGAAGTGATGTGATCTGGGGATCAGGGGATGCTTTGGCCAGAATTCGCTGGTGCAGTGCGACGGACGAGGATGCCATTTCCACAACGTTGAGGGAGATACGAATAGGCAGAAAATAACTACCGATGATGGTTTTCTGATGATAAGAAAGTACCCGGAGTAGGGCAAATAAGATGGGCAATGTCGGCCACCTTTCAATGACTTGAACCCTGGACGGTAATCCTGATGAAATTCCAGGCAGCAGCGGGGTTTATTGATGCTACCTGGTGCCTCCTTTAAGCAGTATTGCACGTATAGAAATAGACGAGTGCCCCTGGCGTAGGTTTCGTCTTGATTACGTCGTGCATTTCATCACGTCTGGTACCTACATTAGGTACATTGTACATGTACAGTGTGCCTGCAATTCCACGTGACCGCACTGTTGGTCCTTGATGCCCTGCTTAAAACCAACATGAATTCCCATTCACGCACAATTAAGAGCATCATTAGAAAATTAGAATAAATCAGATTTTTTCTCATCATGCGTCCAACCTCAACCTCAATACTTGACCTCTCGCCGGAGATTCTGGTTCAGATATTGGAATATCTGTGCCCACACTGCTCGGGCGAAGTTGACGGCACGGACACTCGAAGCCTAGGAACTTGGGATTCACACGTCGTGAAAGACTCACAATCCACCCTATATGGACTCTCGACATCTTGCAGGGCCATGAGAAATATAGCGGAACCCTTTCTTTACCATTATATCGTCCATACTGAAAGGGCCGGGCTGCTCGCTCGCACTCTTTTGCAGCGGCCGGCCCTTGCGCGAGCAGTTGAAGAGCTAGCCATCACTGCCGTAGACTTCACCAGTAAATATGACGAAAAGGTTTCTCGGGAGGACCAAGCGATATTTGAGGTAGGGATATGGGCCATGGCATTACTTCCCAACTGCTATGGGGCTAGCTAACGTATGTACATAACTTACCAGGTACAGATGCAAACAGCTGGCACGAATGCCCTAGAGAAAGACATATTTAAGCGAGAGAACATGCTGGGAATGTTGATGCTAGCACATACCCCCAATGTACAAAGGCTCTCTGTGCTCACAGAACCCAACGTTCCTGTGATGTGTTATCCGCATGGAGCCTTATCTTGCCTCACGATACTCCGTGCCAACTGCGATGACACTGATAGCGGATTTGACCTATCAGTTCTGTCGGGCGTTATGAAGGCCGCTCCGAATTTGAAGACCTTCGTTGGATTTAATCTTACGCGCGTCGATCTCAAGAGAGGTGAGATATTTAGTGAGAGCGTCACGGAAGTGAATCTCGCGAAAGCCACAACTTGGACTGTAGATTTCAAGATGCTCATTAGAGGGTTTCCAAGCCTCCAAGTCTTTCGTTTCGAGACTGGCAGGAGCCGTGACTTTGCACGGGCGACCCCAGCTGAAATGGCAAAGTATCTTTTAGCTCGCAAGGAGACGTTGAAGGAAATCAACATCAGCGCAAGTGCTAGCGCTTTCCCCGACATGTTGCTACTTAGGGATGAAGTCATCAATTACTTGGCTGGTATGACGTCTCTAGAGACCATCATCCTGAACAGTGACTCGATCTATAGTGAATATGACAGCGCTTCTTACACAGATGGATCATTTCTTATTGGACTATTGCCAGAGTCTGTCAGAGTCTTGGGCCTCGTAGATCCTCCCGATCACCTTGAGCACGACATTTTTCGGCTAGCTGCTTCTGCTTCTAAAAGATTTCCGTTACTTAAGAAGGTCATGCTCCAACATGTGGGAAGGTCTAAGCTAAAGGCGTACAAGAAAGCATTTAAGAATTCGAGTATAAAGTGTGTTGTAGCCAAAGGCTTGGACACCATCGTACGTCCATAGCAAGTCATACATTACTGAACAGAAATACCTCTGCCCTATAAGTCGTTTCAACTTTGTGAGGTCTTCGAATTCTAAATAGAATTCCTGATGACAGATAAGAAAAAAACAAGCAGCTTTATAGGTTCGGTGTTTCAAGAATCCAAAAACTTGCGTCTTCGATAAATGAATAGAATTAGATTCTCTAGACCTTATTTGATCTATCTCTCCGCGGACATGCTTTGAAATCGAGTGGCAGTCGAGGCCGAAATACGGCCTCAGATGGCCGGAAACCCTTAATCCGTTCGTCTTGTAGGAAAATAATATATCATAATGCATAACAATTGTAGCATCCTTATTATTATTTTCTCGTAACTCTTTTCTTTACTTATCGGTCTCGATGCTAGTTTAACGACCTTGAAGGTCGTGCGATCATTTCGACCTGGTCACAAGAAATACTCAACCTATCCCGGTATATGACCTACTAAACCCCTTTTATTACCACAGGGGAACATTGCATTGTTTCTCGCGTGAGAATTTAAGGTTAAGCCCAGCTGCAAGAACGACGCTGTGGCAAATTTATATACCAATAGAGGAAGCTGAGTAGATACCAGTAACAGGGACTTGTTGCTTTCTTCTGACTGAGGTTTAGCTTGAATCGAAATCTAATCTTTTAAGAAAACAACAAGGTCGTCAATTACATCGTACAAGGATCAGTAATTGGGTTACCACATGCTGACGGCCGCTGACCGCAACTCTGTTATTAAGTAAGCGCCGACATGTTGGCAGAAGCAGAGGCAAAAACACAAGGCGGGGCTCAGCTTTTTACACGTCCATCTTTTTTCTGATGTTTATCCTCCAATTCATCATTACGAACAACAACACGCGATGGGCAATTCATCTTCAACCCAGTTTCGGCGATGCGGCCTCTGCTATTTCGAGCTCGAACCGGGTACACCATACCTCAAAGACCCTCCTGTATCCCGCCGCGCAATACCAAGATACCCACCGCAAGATTGGGCCGAAGGGGCACTTGATGAGGTGGTGTTTCCTATCAAAACTGACCGGATGATAGATGTTAAGACCACCCTCGACGCTTTTTTCATATCTTCGCGTCGAAATTGCGGCGGTTGCGGGACGATTGTAAAGCTCATCCAGGACCAACTGAAACACAGTGGTTCTGAAATAGACAAGGACGCACCCACGCCATGCACTGTGATTTGGTCGGTGCCGGACAAGAGTAATGCCACACACTGCCTGCATATATCTTTTATGAGTATGAAGAATGGAAGCCTATTCAAAGAGTTTCTTATGCTCTCGGTAATTGCGGATACTCTTCCATCCCGTGAGTTCAGCGCTGTGGCTAGACACATGATAAAAACTTGCGCTGATTCAGCTTCATAGCTCATATTTTCGCCAAGAAGGTGTCGCCTGGGTATAAGTCAGGCTATACGGGATCGAGCTCTTCTCTTCAGAAGGCCAAGGGATGGGTCGAGGAGTGCGACTCGTCGCACAAGGCCTGCCAAGAACAGCGCTTGTCCCAATCACCATCTTTTCCTCATCGAGTCCTAGAACTCTCCCCCAACCAAAGCGGCGAGATAACGGTTCGGTTAGTACAAGGTCTCAGCACCCAAGAGCCGTATACCTGTCTGAGCCACCGTTGGGGTCCGTCGACCCTTCGCTGTCGAACGATAACCGACACTTTAGATTCACACTTGGAGTGTGTGCCGTGGACAAAATTGCCCAAGTCGTTCCAGGAGGCGATATCCGTCACAGTGTACCTTGGCGTCAAATACATCTGGATCGATTCCCTTTGCATCATCCAGGACGATAAAGAAGACTGGAAAATACAGGCCGCCCAGATGTGTAACATCTACCGAGGCTCTTACTTAACTATCGCCGCTACCAGTACAACTGACAGCGACGATGGCATGTTTTCTCAAACACCTGTCCTGGCAGTCCCTACGCCGAGCTCGGCTAAGCAACAGCTCTTCATCAGAAAATACCCAGGACACGCCTATAGTGATCTCAAAGATAGCACAGACTTCCCTCTTCTCAGCCGAGGTTGGGTCTACCAAGAGCGGCTGCTTTCTCCCCGGACTTTGCACTTCACCAGTCACGAAGTCAGGCTTGAATGTCTAAGTACCGAAGCACTTTGTGAGTGTGGCATGGACTACATCTGGATAGAAAAGGGGGAGCATAATCAAATGCTCGCGGAACAGGATCCGATGACCGTCGGAAACAGCTGGGATAGTATCGTCAACTGCTTCTCTGCTCTCAACCTGACCTTTCAGTCCGATAGGCTCCCAGCACTGGCAGGTATCGCAAGGCTGTACGGAATGACTCACGGCCCAATCCTTGGGCAGTACGTGGCGGGTCTTTGGGAACACAGACTCGTCAACAGCCTGTTGTGGTACACAGGATCGGGATCTAGTGTCAGGCGACCGGCCCAGTATTCAGGGCCCTCCTGGTCATGGACTTCGACTCCTTCAGAAGCGAATTTTCCCAAGTTCCAATGCGTGGAAACTGTTCTTGAACTGGTCAAGTTTCACATTGAGCTAGCCGGTCCAGATGAATACGGCCCAATCACAGATGCATCAAGTCTCACGCTTCGCGGCTATCTTGTTATGGGATCATGGAGGCCAGTTACCTCAAATGGTGTGGAGAGGCCGCAATTCTACGCGCATGACGATCCAGAGGAATCGTACCACATTCACCTGGATTATAACTTCAACGAGGGTGATTCCCCAGGATACATACCAGAGGGCCATGCAATCTACTGCTTGAAAACAGGCTTTCTAACCGCTGGGTGTCATGTCTGTTTACTTCTACGTGCGCTTGGTCATGAAGAAGATAAGTTCGAACGCGTCGGTCTATTGAGGACGGTGCCGCGGAAGAGCGTTGACGATTGGTTTGCGGGTGTTACCACTAAAAGGACTATTGAAATTTTCTAGATCTGAACATCAATCAGAATCTGCTTGTTCAATGCCATAGGATTCTCTAAGCCTCTTCCTAAATTCTTCCTCACTATCATCCATTTTTGAGAATCGCGTTAATCAGCGGGATGGATATGGTGCTCCTAGTTGTATATTCTAGGGTAGAATCATGCCAGGCCTTTATCTTGGAACGTATACTACGTATCGAGTAATAAAACCTGGGATACTGGTGAAAGGACTGGCCCAAGCACATAAACGAATATTAATATGTTAAGTAGTTGGAGTAGTAGAAGCTACAGTCAAGGATACATAAATGGTATCATCCATGGGCTAGTTCTGACCATTCCAACATTTGATCTATCTCCTCATTCCCCTTCAGGCCTTCTATTTCATCTTTTACGTGTAATTTGCCTTGTAGTGGCGCAGGCTTAAGTTTAATGTGTTCAGAGAAGCTAAGCCTCTGAGTTCTGCCACCTCTTTGAGCAAAAGTCCCAACTCAGCCAGGTGCCTAGGTGCTAAGCGTGACCCCCAGCACAGACTAACCATGGGCTGTAAAGATACAGGGTGGGTAAATTCGTTCCCCAAAAGGAAATTCAAGGCCTATCACTGTTCTCGGGCGTTGCCTTACCAAGAGGTCATATCTCATTCCGTCCACGTCTGACGTCATCGGCGCAATGATCGATATATCCGTATATGATCATCACCCAGCACCCAATTGAGTGGCGAGCAATGCCACAGAGCCTGTAAGAATGGAAAACATCATATTTGGGACGTTTCTGGGCTTACCGAATATTTAAAATCAGAGAATAGCCCGGATTCGATGATTAGAATCAAGTCAGATTACTTAGTCGAACAAAAAACGCAACTACAACGATTATTCAACCTACCATTATGAACCAAGTAATTGCCACCCCATCTCCTGACTCAAAAAAGAAGCAGTACAGGTTTTCGAAGCGAGGCGACAGTGGTGGCTGCAACTTTGATCCCGAAAAGGGTACCTTTCAAGCATATAGCGTCAATGTCGGCGAACGCAAAATCGGCGACAAGCCTTTTATCTTCCTCTACAAGGGCCCTATAAATCAACCAGGTCCCAGAACGACAGTTCTAGCAGCAGGTCGACTTCAAACATCTGCCGCCTTCAAAATATACCTTGGGGATCCCAAGTCTGATTATAGTGACTACAACAAGTCCCTTGCTTGGGAAGCGATGGATATAGAGCGTCCGGAATCAACATGGTCCTTGGACTTCCCTGACTACGATCTCAGGAGGGAGTTTGTATGGAAAAAGACGAAACATATTGCTGTCGATGGGGTCGACAAACCTTCCCGCTTGTTGGCTCGGAACTGGAAGCTAACAAGCAAGAATGACCCTGATGACATTCTGGCCGTATTTACGGGCGACTCTGGCTTCTCGAGAGGAAGAGGAATTCTTCAGATTAACGTGGACTGGGGTGCCCATTTTGAACACATGGTTCTCATGACTTTAGTGTGCCAATTTTTGAAACATAAACATCCAACACGACAGGGCAACGGAGTCTTCGTTCCTCCTCCTCCGATGGGTTCGGCATTTTAAGGTGTTACATATCAAATGGAGTTATGGGAGGTTATGCGGAATTGAGGAGTCTAAGATCTAACAACGAGAGGCATTGGTGTACCTGTACTGCTTTAGAATCTCAAGTGTACCATTATACAGGCCACCCGGAGGGTTTATTATTTCAGCATATCAGCAAATATTAAGTCTATTAAATGTTTTATTAGCACCACATTGATTGAATTCCTGGATATATTAAATACCAAGAAGATTTTCAAGCCAAGGCAACAGTGTGTCCTGAAATGCGAGGTTTACACCGCTTGTTTCTCTTATAGTAAAATTCTTCCTTCAGATACGCCCTTCAGCTGCTCGCTTCGTTGCTATTGTCTTCTGTCAGATCTTTCGGTTGTGATTTCCATTTACGTCATACTAGAGAGATGCACAAAACAAGTTTATTGCCTCGTATAGGAGCCGACTAAAGTATAATCCCCCCTTTCCCATCTAGTAAATTATCATTAGAAGGGCTCTAACGATGGCGTCGTCGCCTCATGTAACAGCTACGGAAGGTGGAGGATTACCACTCAAATCTGCCACATTGAAGCTCACTCGAACAGTTTCCAGACGTTGATTCGACTATTTTAGGACATGTTAGAATGGAAATATGAAGAAATGGTGCGCTTTTTTATACCTGGTCAAGAATAATAGCTCAACAAGATTCAGTTGTGTAGTCATTATGATAAAGCATGATAATGACACTCAGTGTTAGCATTCAAGCTTAAGCTCTTCCCAGGCAAGATATCCATGTCAACCTCTGCATTGCTCTAATTTACAAACATATTGGACAGGGAATGCCGTAAACAGCGAGACTCTCAAGATGGATTCTCGAAAACTGAAAATGCAAAAGCCTCCTTCGAAACTCAAACTCCACAGAGCAGCAAACCTTGCCTTCTCATCCACCTATTGCACAATTTTTATACCTCGCTTTCTGTGTGCAAATACCCGCATAGATCGCAAGACTCCTTTCCTTCTTCTTGATCAACAGTAGCCATAATTTTCCCATCAACGTATCGAAAATACCCCCGGTCAAGCAAAAGTGTCAACATTGAGCTTAAGCCGTAGCGCGACATCTCTTTTGCGAGTTCACTCCCCATGCCTACATACAAGCATTCTTTCGTGTATTGACCCAAGAGTAAGTCAATCATGTTTTCATACTCGCTAAGGAGTGCTTCCACTATATCATAGAAGTAGCACTTGGCTCCGTATTCGAGGAGCTTCTGGACGATATAGATATTCCCTGATTTGATTGCACCAAGCAAAGGGCGGAAATTGTTCAGGCCAGTTCTTTCAACATCGGCGCCGCGTTCCAAGAGCAGGTTGACTACATCGGCGTTCCCATAACGAGAAGCCAAATAGAGAGGGGTCCCTCTGTGGCCTGTCCTTCTTACCACAATTTCACCATCGACATGACACCCATTATCCAATAGGTTCCTGACGATATCTAAGTTGCCATACTCTGCAAAGCGTCTTATAAGTCCGCGTCGAAGGCTGGCACTTGGCTCAGGAAGAAGAGAAGCCAATCTAGAGTAAACTGCCCAGTTTTTAGCGAAGAATTGTGCTCTTTCAAGCAGCCGTTGTGTTTCCAGTTGTTGATGAGAGGTGATGGGCTCCGTAGGGATATAATCGAAGTAGGCGGTGCTATTGGGATCGGCGCGAGAGGGAGGGTATAATGCCATCTCCAAGAGCTGTATATCTCCATTCATGGCAGCACCAACAACCCCCTGAATATCAGCCTTGCCTTTATTATGGATTTCCGATAAAGAATAATGGTAGAGAAAAGGTTGAGGTGGATTGGCTTCATCACGGACTGGTTCAACCATATCCGGCAAGTTTTCCTGGATCATGTGGAAAATCTCAAAATTCCCGGCCAGCGCAGCTGCTTCTATTGCGGACGGAAAAATCCCATCACTTTGCGTTGGGTCAGTCGCTGTTTCCAGCAGACGCCCAACCAGAGTCACATTGCCCACAAAGGCTGCAGCACTAAGCAAGCTCAAGTCTTGATTCCTTCCTACATCGCCTCGGCGAACAGGTTTCTTCCAACCCCTCCCTAGGGTCACTCCAAGCCCAAGCCAACAAAGGGCGTCGATAGTGTCCCGCAGATCGGCTCCCTCGCAGCATACGGACTCTGCAATCCAACGAACCTCGACATATCGATGAATGGTCGGATCGCGTTCATTCCTAACCCTATAAGCAAGATACGAATGGAAGAACTCCTGGAAGCCATAGTTGCATCTGATAGGCCAATGCCTTTCAAAACTTGAATCATGCAATGGGTGTGGATCGGGTTTATAAATGTCTAATATTCGTGTCTCGAATACTGCTTGCTTGTACAAGGCATTGAACAATTCTGATAGGAACAAATTAGAGCATGCAAGAAGATGAATAAACTATAGCTTACTGCAAACAAGTCTCAACCTCAAAGCTCTTGAAAAACGGTCCGAGGGGTAATTGTCGGACGGCTGGAAGCGAGCCTGCATAGCCCTTATCAAAACTGCGTTGAGTATTTCCCGAGGGAGCATCAGAATAGTAGGCAGATAGACTTGCATTGTGGCAGCAAAATCGAAGGAAAGAAACCTGGACAATGATGATTGGCGGAGCATGCATATCACGGCGCCAGAGGAGTGACGACGTTGTTTAGCGATCAATTTTGAACCTCTGAGGGGATTTTTGATGTCACCTGATGAGGGCCAGAAGTATATGCTGTCAATTCCGAACCTCACTACGTTGCTGGAGCCTTTAGGCAGACGTGTGTTGGTTCTGGTGACATGCTATTGCCAGCATCACAGCCTATCCCGGCTTGGGCAGATATGCGGTTGGTTGGGAAGCAAACATACTATTAGTAAATGCCGCGCAATCTCACATAATATGTGCAAGACAGGTCCGGTTAAATCCATCTCAGCTGCAAATAGAATCTAAGGACGCCATGTTCGATATCATTGGTAGTTTGGCCCACGACAGCAAGCCAGCATCTTACGCCTCGTTCTGCACGAATTATGCTAGATTTTACGGCGACAGCAAGATATTTTTATCTCTTTTCGTCTATAACCATGCTGGTCATAACAGAGGATGATATCAGCATATAAAACTGTGGTTTTGTTCCAGTCAAAGAGTTAAATTATCAGATGTTTCTCTTGAGGATAACAAATCAATACTTTTTTTTTAAAAAAAAAAAAAAAAAAAAAAAAACAAGGCGATCCTAGTAAGTACTTATACAGTTTTTTTTTTCATTAGAAAGCTCAATAACTTTTTCTAAGTATACCATCTCAAAGATTACCAGCTTCTTCTTTGGAATCACTTAATGCGCGGCTACTCTCTCAAAAGCAACACGTGGTGCGAGTTCATAATTATCGAGGGCTCAGCCGCCGAAGGTGACACATTTGACGATGTTTTCGAAGGTAAGAGATTTGAGACTACAATACTATTATTGGTTGATGATCCTAGCATAGGAAACCACTGCCGAATCTGTGGCAAACAAAGCCGGGAAGCCAGTTTACATTGTGAGTGCCGGTGAGCTCTGAAAAGACACCGAAAGGGTTCAGAAGAAGCTGAACACGATTCTACACCTTACCGAGTGGTGGCGGACTGCTCTTTTGTTTGGCGAGTGCAATGTTTCTTTACAATAGCGGTCAACAAGCGACCTTCAACAAAACGAAACTATGGTTGTCTTTCTCAGGTATTTATCTTCTCTTTCTTCCCTTTCGTGCCTTACCCTCTCTTTTGTTAGGAATTCCACGTATATGATAGAGTCATTGAGTATTATCGCGGGATTCTAATTATCACATTTAATCGTGGCAAGACAACTAATATAGTGTTCCAAACCAGAGGTAGAACATTGAGCAAACATCCATAGTATTACAAACCACTCGAGACGTAAATGAGAAACTATTGATCGTGCTTGGTACTACTTTTTTGTAAGTAGCTTTAGGTAGTATTAGATCCCGACCGACCAAATCTTGGTTCTAGGTTTTGGGAAAGTAATGAAAATCCTATTCTATTTTAAAAAGTCCAGGGTACATCAGATCGCGAGTCAAAAGACCATTAGAAGCACAGTTTACAGATGCGAGATCAAATAAGCAAGAGATGTTGGTTTAAGAGACCTGGTGGTTCTAGAGATACATGAGATAGCTGGTTCGCAGAGATCGATTTCGTGCCTTCAAGATCTATAGATGCTGTCGAGCCCACTTCCCATGGCTGCGTTCTTGGGGGAGACAGGGTCAGTCGCTACCATTGGACTTTGGAGTTGGATTCAAAAATCTCAACCGTGAAGATGCGATGCATCACGCCGCCCTTCACCCATCCGACCAATCCGTGGAGATCACGCGTTACCATAGATATCCGCGTCATCATCGAGGCAGCGCAAGAGATGACGCTTTTGCTCAATCTCAGGCGGCTTTGAAAATGACACAGCCCGTGTATCCAAACAGGGAAACTGTCTCTCTCAGGTTTCAGTACGGTCAAAAAGTAGCGTGCGTAAAACTCCGAATCGGGCCATTTCCACGGACTCTCCCAGCACCCCGACAGTTGGGACAGGGGGTCGTTGATTCATACATATCTTACCTTACCTAGAGCCTAGGAGACCTTGTCAGGCACTCAGGCAATTTCAGCACAGCCTGAGTACAAGCAAATTACCTATTATTTTCCCTCGGCGTCGAGTTGGGCCGTTCACCCAAGTCCGACTACCTGAGAATTATGAATGATCGTGTGGAGATGGGGCAGCCCATTTTTACGCTGACGGGATAACTCTACAATCATGCTTGTTCTTAGTCTCTGAAGAGGACGACACTAGCCAACCCTTGCTCTCCTATGTCGAAGATTAAGCAAGAACACGAAACTAGGCATCTTGCAAAGCAGAAACAAAACGAAAAGGAAAAGCTAAGAGAAGGCAGGCGACCGGAGAAGTAGAGTCCGAGATCATGCTACTTGACCTTCCCGCCCCCTGTTCATAATCCGCCAAGCAGGGAGTGTCGTGGGTCGACGTCTCCCGTGACCAGATTGATTCCGGTTGTCAACGTCTCCAGAGTTCCACATCGACTCTTAACACGACAAGGCAATCATACTGGGCAGGGATTCGGCTACCCGGCACATCTAGGCGGATGGAACCTCACACGAGTCATGACAAATCGAGGGTCTGGTCAGTCGATGAAGAGACGGCTTCTTCGCGTTCTAATGCGCGAATCCCGAAGCCCGCCTCTTCAAAACCCACCACAGCCCAGCTCAGGGCTCATTCTTCCCGATCCCGGCATCTAGCATCTAGCTATTTCCTAATGCAGACAATAATCCCTTGTCAACTTACTGGTTTGAGAATTCGAGATGGAGCACACAGCAAACCAGATAATGCCCGGCACAGACGGGTCAAGCAATCTTATCCCTCATGGGAATCCATGAGCATGTCTTACCGCATGTTGGGCGGACTTAGCAGCTTTGCTACCTGGTGAAGATTTGTTATTTCAGAGAGCTATACCCCTCGTTGCGTAGCATTCGCGTCTTGCAACCTTGTATCTTTAGACTCGGGTACCTCATCCCAGTGAATGATCTTATAGATGCTTGGCGCTTCTTAGCTACGACAATAGCACTGACTCTCACTACAATCGACAATACATGTACTAACTCTGGCACCCTTACCGACATGGTGGCCAACTCAGAGAAAGAGGTGAAGCCAACTGAGGCAAGCCAGAAAGAGGAGGAAGCAGATTCTTCACGGGATTCTTCACGGGAGCAACAAGCTGTTGCTCCAAATCCCGTGTTAGAGAAACTTATTGCGGAAGAATCCACGGCGAAGCCTCCATCAACCATCAGTATGACCAAACAGCCAGATAGCGAGAACGTCACAATAGTTAACGACGACGAGACCCCACTGCCAAGTAGCGAGGAGGGCGACGTCGAGAAGCAGCGCCTTCCAACCAGTGATGGGGATGTAACTGATGATCCCAACATCGTGTCATGGGACGGCGACGACGACCCAGCAAATCCCTACAACTGGAAGAGCTGGCGCAAGGTTGTCAACTGCATCCTCATCAGCGCCCTCTCCTTCCTAACACCCCTCGGTTCATGTAAGAGAAATCGCCAGTCCTTCCTTTAGGGAAGAGATGACCAAACTAACTCAGCCGCAACCCTCTAGCCATGTTCGCCCCCGGCGTCACAGATCTCATGATAGAATTCCAAATGACTAGCCGCTCACTCGGCTCCTTCGTCGTCAGCGTCTACGTGCTCGGCTTCGCCGCCGGCCCCATGATCTTCGCGCCCCTCTCGGAGATCTACGGCCGCGGCATCATCTACCACACCACCAACCTCTGCTTCCTCGCCTTCACCATCGCCTGCGCCGTAGCCCCTACCTTCTCCTCTCTCATCGGCTTCCGCTTCCTCGCCGGCCTCTTCGGCTCCGTGCCGCTCACCAACGGCGGCGGCTCCATCGCCGACATGATCCGCCAGGAGAAGCGCGGCGCCGCCATGTCCGCCTTCGCCGTCGGTCCCCTCCTCGGCCCCATCATCGGTCCCGTCGTGGGCGGCTACGTCTCCGAGGCGCTGGGCTGGCGCTGGGTCTTCTGGATCCTCTCCTGCGTCTCGGGTTTCATCACCATCACCTTCTTCGTCTTCTCGGCGGAGACCTACGCCCCCGTCCTGCTCGAGAGGAAGACGAGGCGGCTGAGGAGGGAGACCGGAAATATGAACCTGCGTTCTAAGCTCGACGAGGGCCTTCTCCCGAAAGATTACTTCGTCCGGGGCATCGTCCGCCCCTTCAAGATGCTCTTCTTCTCGCCCATCTGCATCATCGCGGCGCTCTACGTCGCCCTGGGCTACGGGTACCTCTACCTCATGTTCTCCAGCCTCTCGCCCCTCATCCAGCAGATCTACCACTTCGGCACCGGCGCCGCGGGCTTAGCCTTCCTGGGCTTCGGCGTGGGCAGCATGATGGGCGTCGTCTTCTTCGCGCGCCTGAGCGACGTCTACATCAAGAAGAAGGCCAGGGAGGAGGCCGAGCTGGCCGCGGCCGAGGGCCGCGAGCCCGCCGGCCTCAAGCCAGAGTACCGTCTGCCCCCTCTCCGATTCGGCGCCCTGCTCCTGCCGACCGGTTTGTTCATCTACGGGTGGACGGCCTACTACAAGGTCCATTGGATCGCGCCCATCATCGGCACGGCGGTCATGGGTGCCGGCAACCTGATGATCTTCATGGTAAGTTCAAAGTTCAAGCTCAACCTCCTCAATGTTATCCGTCCATCGAGACCGACAGCTAACGGGGATCGATTCTGTAGTCCTTCCAAATGTATCTCGTCGACACGTTTGCCCAATACTCGGCCTCGGCACTCGCCTCCAACTCGGTCGTGCGATCTATCCTCGGCGCCGTCCTGCCCCTCGCTGCCTTCCCCATGTACGACAAGCTGGGCTTGGGATGGGGCAACAGTCTACTGGGTTTCATTGCCGCGGCGTTGATCCCGGTCCCGTGGCTGGTGCTCAAGTACGGCGAGTACCTGCGAAAGCGGTTCGAGATCAAGAATCTGTAGGGTCTCTTTGGAAGGGTGAAGGCCGGCTGGTTCGGTCAGTACAGGAATAAAATGATTGGCATATTATAGGTTGATAGGTTTAATATCTGTTACTTCGGTCATTGGACGGCGTTTTCCAGGAAAGGGATAATGAGCAGCATTTAAGAAAACAATTGGTAATAGTAGTACAGACACATAGAAATGGATTAGACAATTCAAACCACCTTCGCTTCAGTCAAGGACGAGCTCAGAAATAAGATCTTCGCCTTGAGGGATTGAGGGATCGTTGAGATAGATGACCAGCACATGCAGGGCAAAGAATAATCACAAGAGTCAACAGAATTGCACAAAACATAATCATCTAGGTATTTTTGTGTATCAGAGTGATGTTTATCCTCATTGCACCAGTGGACGGAACCCATTCTTCCCGCCGGATACATTTTGTACCAGTGTCTATCAGACTCGTCATTATCAATAACATCCAATTGCTCCCTGCCGCAAACCAGAAAAAGAAACCCAAACCATAACTAATCAAACCAGTACTTATTAGAGGAATTTAGGAAAATGGTTGTCCCACACAACGACCATTTACAGCTGCCCAACACCAAGGTGCTCGGGGTCGGCGCGGACGATGCGGAGGGTGTTGGTGTTACCCATGCCGCCCTTCCAGCCCTGGACGACGACGACGGTATCGCCGACGGTCAGGGTGTTGAGCTCAAGAGCACGCTCAATGCACCACTTGATGCGCTTGTCAACATCCTCCTGCCAGTTGACCTGGCTGAAATCGGGCTTGGACTCGGGGAACAGGAAGGGGTAGACGCCACGTGACAGATGGCTGAAGCGGGAGGCGCTGGGGTTACGGGTGACCATGAAGATGGGGCAGACAGGTCGGTACTTGGAGATGAAGCGAGCAGACTCGCCGGAGGTGGACAGAACAATGATACCACCAGCGGCAAGATCGAGCGAGGCACGGACAGCAGCCATGGCCACAGACTCGACAGTGCTAACAGGGCGCTTGACGAGGGTGCACAACTCCTCGAAGTGGGAGACGTAGGGGATTGTGTTCTCGGCCTTGAGACAGGCCTCGTGCATCTCGTGGACGGCCTCAGCAGGGTAGGAACCCTTGGCGGTCTCACCAGAAAGCATGACGCAGTCAGCACCATCGGTGACAGCGTTGCCGACATCGCTGATCTCGGCACGGGTAGGGCGGGGGTTCTTGATCATAGACTCGAGCATCTGGGTAGCGCAGATGACAGGCTTGCCAGCCAGGTTGCACATGGCAATCAGCTTCTTCTGGGCAGCGAAGACCTCAGCAGCGGGAATCTCAATACCAAGGTCACCACGGGCAACCATGACACCGTCGGTCTCGGCGAGAATCTCGGGGAAGTTGTTAAGACCCTGACGGTTCTCAATCTTGGCAATGATCTGGATGTGCTTGCCATCGTCACCGAGGACCTTGCGGATATCTCTGATGTCCTGAGCACGGCGAATGAAAGAAGCAAACACCATGTCGACGTTGTTCTTGACACCGAAGAGAAGGTCGGCCTTGTCCTTCTCGGAGAGAGCGGGAAGGTCGACATCGGTGTTGGGTAGGTTGACACCCTTCTTGGAGGAGATGAAGCCGTTGTTGCGGGCACGGGCCTCGATGGTCTGGTCGTCCTTGATGCTGAGGACGTCGAAAGCGAGGACACCATCGTCGACGTAGATGATTCGGCCGGGCTGGATCACCTTGGTGATGTTCTTGTAGTCGACGTACCTGCAAAATAGTATTAGCTTCCCGGTAGGGCTCTTGGGGGAGTGAAAGTAAAGTCTACTTACATGTTGTCAGTGTCGCAGGCCTTGGCGTACTTCTCATCGGTAGTGAAGTTGATAATCTTGCCAGCGGAGATGGGGATATCGACGTCGCCGTCGGTGTTACCAGTTCGGATCTCTGGGCCCTTGGTGTCGAGGGCGATGGCCACGGGACGGCCGACCTGGCTGGCCTCAGCAGCACGGGCATTGTCAATGACGGACTGGTGGTACTCGTATGAGCCGTGAGAAAAGTTCATGCGGACAACATTGAGACCAGCGCTTCGCAGCTTGTTGATGGCCTCAACAGAGTTGGTCTTGGGGCCGATGGTGCAGATGATGGAGCTACGACGGTAGTTCCTCTCAGGGCGGTAGGCAGTGTCAAGAGAAGCGAGCCAGGCAATCTTGCCTCCAAGATCGAGATGATCCTGGGAGGTCGAGGCAATGAAGCTGTTGGTTCGCTTGCGATAGGGCTTGGGGTCAGACATATTGGGCGGAAAGTAGGTGTGGGTTGGGTATTGAGTTGAAGTGACGTTGAGGTGGGAAGCTGTGAGGAATGGAAGGGCTGGATGAAGACTAAAGAACTTCAGAAGCTGCAGGAGATGCAAAAACTGAAGGACCTGGGGGATTAAAAGGAAGAAATTGGTGTGAGGGAGAGTGGCGCTGATGAAGAGGAGAAGGTCAATGGGCTGGGAGCTGTCCTGATGTAGTAAATTTAATTTCCAAGGCTAGAGGAGGGAGGAGGGGTCCCAAATCCAGTGAGGGGCAACAAGCCCCAGCGGACATGCGTGGATGACAGCACCAGCAAGAGTGCGTGGGCTTGGCTTGGCGGGCGATGCATGTACCCAGCAAGGGTTTCCGGCCACCACTACAGTGCTGCAGGCCCACTGTGAAAAGGCGGCACCCACCTGGAGGGGTGCCAATGGGGAGCTGGGATAAGATACTAATGATAATGACAATGACTGGCCAAACAACGGAAAGGGCGGGAGCAAAAGTGCTACAATCGATTTGACAAGCAGAAACTGTCCTCGCGCTCATGACAATGAGACATTTTGCCCAGCCATCGATGAGATAAAAAGAATGACCATCCTATTCCTCTGGCCATCCCCTCCCAGACACGCACGCACCCATCTCCAGTGACCCCTTCACGTGCAAGAGGTCAGGACCAGCTGCGGCCACCTTGGACGCTCCCAGTGCTGTGTTGCTGCACACCCCACGTAGCTGATTCAGTTTCAGCACTTTTAGGTCGTTACATGCTGACCCAATAGTTGTACCGTTTATGACGAGGTACATCTCAAGATCCTTCCATTCCTGCACTGTACCGTGCTCCCCGTAGGCAGATTCATACGATTATAGGACTCTTACCTACGCCGTGCACAATAAGCACGGCCCCCCAGAAAGTGATGCTCTTCAGCTGGTTGGTGCCCTGACTCCCAGCGTAAATTGGCCGCCACATCATCCCATGAGGCATGGTCAGGTCTTCCTATAAATCATGCCATTGCTGAAATAAGAGCTCAGGCCGTCGCCCGTGAACACGAGTCGAGCACTGAGACGCATTGAGGGATTTGCTCCTGAGCTGAGCCAAAGTGCGGAATAGCTCAGTTAGGCAAAGGATAAAAAAAGGCCGAATCCAGGAGCAAGAAAAAAAATCACCATCGAGCCCACCGACTATCCCACGTAGTAGAATCTACCTACCAAGGGTGGGTAGATGGTAAGCTGTTGACGCTAGATGGTGTAGCTTGCCGCGCTGCACGGCGAGGGATCCATGATGGATCCATCTCGCTCGCTAGACAAGTCCCCGTTTTTAAAGCTGCAGCAGGGTGGGAGTCCCCCGGGCTTTGTTTAGGCCGGCAGCTCGAGACCCAACCGAATGCACCGCGAGCGCCCCTCAACAAAAAACTATTGGCCCAGAGGCGTGTTTCCACATCATCGAGCAGGTGTTGTTGTAAAGCCGCCGAAAAAAAAAGAAAAAAATATCCTCAAGGTTGGCAAACTGCTTCCCTGATACATTGCGACGTCGGCAAGTTTCACCTACTATGTAAACGGACATGACAAAAATAGCACATCAATGGCCTGAACAATCAGCAGTGAGGCTTCAGGCAGCATGACAGAATGGTACGAGGATCACCATGGCATGAGGCCTTTCTGAAACTAGGAACTCGAATATTACTATGATGTCTCTGCCTGGTCTGCAAGGAGTAGAATCGCCGCCTTGGCCTCAAGCACTATCCGAGCGCCACGACCCCGCTCCTGCCGTTCATGGAACCCAGAGTGCTAGCTCCGGTATGCTCTAGTTCTCACTGCTAAACAGCAGCTACTCGGGGTCCACGCCCGACAGCCCCGGGGTGAGGCCGGTGTGAGAAGAGTTCTCTGACTTTGCTGACTCATCAGATTCGTCTCATCACGTGAGACCGGACCTCTTCTTATCGGCACCTGACCACCACCGTCATTTCTTATCGTCGGCCCACAAGGCGTCTCTGACAGGAGCCTCAGGTGGTGATCACGGACCACATCTCGGTTTCCTTAGTTACGGCTCAACCCGACGACGACAACCCAAGCTCAGACAAACATCTGTCGGCAACAAATCTCCAGCTACATAACGATCCTCTTACGATTTACGAACCGAACAGGCCCAATCACTCGTGCCCAGATAAACCCTAGCAATCATGGTGGTACGTCCCGATCCCTCCCGGAGCTTGCGCATCACACCGATACCTGATCGGTGACTGTCCCTAGACTTGTCCAAGTCTTTTGACATCATTTCGCAGTTTCTCATCCTCAACCTACTGACACTGGGTCTCTTCTCAAAGGTCGGACGATTAACTCACTATGCTTTCGACGCCGTGCTCAGTAAGTCCAGCCCAGCTACGCCCAAAAACGCCCGGCTAACCTTGGTGTCCAGTCTCTACGGTACTCGCCGGCATGAAGCGCTCGACTGGTCTGAAGTAAGTGGGGGAACTCGAATTGAAATTAAGGGATTTTGGTAGTGACAACGGGACGGACATGTTACTGACTCATCATCGCTGCGGTACAGGTTCAGGACCGAGAGGGTATCTGGCGAGAACACCGAGCTCTCGAAGTGGATCAACAAGTATCTTGGAGTGGGCGAATGGGTGATGGACCAGGGTGTTGCTATTGCAGGCTCCAGCGGCTACTTTGAACGATCTCGATAAACGACCGGTGAAAAGCCTCTGGCCAGACAACTCCACGTCTTTCGGTCTTTTATTGGCCGAAAGATCCAGGAGTGCCTGCTCCCGTTGCAAACTTTCCCGCTCGCTTTGGCTTCACCCTGCGTTGTGGCAACATTTATGTTGAATAGGGCGTTTTTTGGAGGTTTCTTGATGCTATCACGACTTATTGGTGACGAGTTCCGGCAATGACAGATATGCCATCGTTATGCACAGCTTCGCTCATGAATATATTTACACCACAATCTATGAATGAATTGATCATATATGACTGACTGTAGCATTATCTATCGCTTGCTCCATGTTGTGATATTCGTCACCCAACGCCCCCGCATTTCCAAACCAAGGAGTTATCAAATTGAAACTGCCCAAAGGACGGCCGATATGAGAGAGCCGTGCCATTATGCGTCGTGTTCTGCAAGCAAGTCGGGCGGCACATCACTATCGCTCGTCATTGTCCGTTGAAATACTGGGCTCGTATCAGCACTGGAAACTGAAGGCGGGTTGTTCTGATCCTCGTAGTGGGACACAAGAAGATCCGGGGGAACTTCATTATCGCTGCCCTCTTCATGGTTCTGGCCCTCATCTGCTACCAAAGATTGCGACGGCTCTTCAGATTTGTCCGACGTCTCGTCAAGCACATGCTGAAGCATGCTCCTCGCTTCTTCAAATGCTTCCAGCTCGGCTCCAATGGCACAGATCAGAAGATTCCAGCGCTTCTCCTCGGCAGTCTTCATATGACTCTCCAATGCTGTAACAACTTTGTCCATCTCAGGGAGCTGACTCTGTATGATAGATTCTTGCGAGGGCACCTTCTCCTTGCCTTTGCTAGAAGAAGTTTCCGCAGGCTCTTGCATCAACTGCCTCAAACGAGTCTCGTAATCAGATACAAGCCGCATTACTTCATCCCATATCTCGGAGCCATTGTCCAGGGCCTCTTTTTCTTTCTTGATCTGTGACTTTCTCTTCTCCAGTAGCAAAACCTCATTCTCCCACCATGACTTGGCCATATCCAAATTCCTCCGCTCTGGTCGGAGGCGTAAAAACTCCACTCCACCTGTCGGCGGTAGCTTCTTCGCACCCGTCTGCAACGCTTCGAGATCAAGGGGTTGGAAAGGAGGTCGGTGCATGAGAGCAGTGACTTCAGAATCGACATTCTTAAGCGCCCCACGATACCCGCTAAGTCCAGCCTCGCGCCGGTTCTTGACATCCTCCATCCTCTCCCGTAACCACTTTCTCTGGTTCCTCATTCCAACCAGCTTCTCCTCTAGGACACGAATCTCCTGATTAACGGAGTCGTGCCTGGCACTCAGGTCGCGAAGCTCCTTTCCCAATGGCTCCTCCTCATCCTCTTCTAACATGTGCATTTCACTGGTGACGTTGTCTCTCTGCCGGTTCAGTCTCTCTAGTTTGTTAAGTGCTCGACGACGCTGCGATAACGCTTCATCCACGTACACATCCTCCTCCAGCTTCAACTGCGCCAGTGCAGCCATCGACCGCCGCAAGCCAGTGCGCGCCGACCGCAAGCCTCTCGCTTTGCTCGCCTTGGGCTGCCGCACCGGGAGCAGATTGCCGTCTCTCGTGGAATGGTTCGGAACATGGAGGGAGTTTATCATCCTCGACTTGGAGGTCGCAGTGGAGTAGAATGTCCCCGTCGGTGTGCTGCTCCCCGTGTCGCTGTAATCATCGCCCCCCAAGCCATCCAAGCCCGCGACGAGACCGCTGGCCTGCTGGTCCAGAAGAAGCTGGACCTCCTTCTCCAGGGACTTCTCCTGCCGCCTCAAGCCGCGCCATGTCGCATCGGGTCGGTAGGAAGCTTCGCGGTCGTAGTTGTAATCGAACAGCAAGCTGCCAAAGCCCGCGTTCCGGGCGGACGGAGAGTCGCTCGAGTTGGACGTCGGTTTCTTACTCAGCGCAATTGAAGCTGCTATTGGAGGGGGCGGGCCGCTGAACATGGGCTTCGGTCGGAACTGCGAGAGGGAGCTTGTCGAGCTCTCCCTATCCTGCCAGGCATCGGGGCTAGGCGACCTGGGCAGTCGACGTATCGGCGAGTAGGGCTGCCTCGAACGGGACCCGGGACCGTCGTCATCGTGGTACAGGGAGTCGATGGGGCGGGGCTCCAGCTCGTCCATATCATAGCCCTCTACGGTCGTCCTCGGCTTGTTGTGGAAGGGGAAGATGGAGGAGGACAGGCGCTGCTGTCTGGAGAAGGATAGCGACGTCATGGTGGACTGGGCCGCATGGCATGCCTCAGCAAATTACCCACTGATTAGAGCCCGTCTCTTGGCGTGGAATGCTTATTTGTTCTTCTGGCCCCGATCGGAAACGATGATCAAACAAGCAAGCAAACAAGAACAGCAAAAGGCAATGCGACCGGATTGTGAGCGCCCAGGTCCTATTGATGTGTGCGGACAATGGGATAGACTATCGTGGTGAGAACTATGTAAGCTGGGTGACGGCCACGGTGCACCTGTACTCTGGATGCTAGCGGGCGCATGCTCTGCTGCCCTTTGCGCTCACGCGCCCCAGGCACGAGGGTCGTCCTGCATGTCAAGCCGCCAGAAAACCGACTTGCCTGCAGGCGAGGATGCATGTGTGACCAGGGACCAATTACGTATGCACGCCAGCGACACAGACAGGCACAATGATATCCGTCCAGCAAACTGCCGTCGCGAACAATAATACGGCAAGGTCAGTCTTATCGGGCCTGCTAATCTGGGTTACCGATGATGAATGTCACTGTAAGACAGCAGCCGTAGGCAGCGTAGGGAGCCAAGTGGGTGACAGGAGAAATGAGACACCCCGTAGGAAAGTGGTTATTAATCGACTACTTTTTGCAATAAATGTAGAAATTCAATAGTATAAAAGTGAAGAAAGTAACAATATATACAGTATTATCTCTGAATTATATATTATTGGGACTTGATAATTTGATAATACCGGTCGCAGACTTAACAATAAGCAGCTGAATGATTGAGGGTGTCTCAATTTCAATGTCACCCACTTGGGAGTCACGTAGGGAGGAGATGGGCTAAAGCAGCTCCCTGGCAGCATCAAATGGCTGACGGACCTACCGAAGGCAATCCATCTGGTGGAGGTGTAATATCTCGGTGCCAGGGCAGTTGGGGGAATAAGCTCAAGTAGAGTACGTGTAGGTTTTCTCCGTTCAATGCCGTGAGGTGGACTTGTCATGGTCCCCTCCATCCATCCGCCGTGGACAGTTGTTTCTTCCTCCTCCAAACTCTTCCACGCCCTTCAGCACTGTCGGTCCGGCGAACAGAGGCAGGATCCTCAAGGCCTTGTATTCCAAGACCTATGGGGCAGACCCAACTCTGGTGCTCCTCGCCTCGCCTACTCTCCTCCTCTGTTACGTGATGTGCACTCTCCCTTAATTTATCGCTTCCTACTCTCTTTTCCTTGACAGGATACACGCATTATTCGTCTCACGACAGGGACAGAAGCGCTCGTTGGCGCATCTCGTGTGTGGTCAGGCAGGTCGAGTCTTTGCGCAGACCAGTCACTTACAGCAGACCAGCTCTGTCACATTTTGACGGGCAATTAATTGATTAGGGTGCTGACCAGAGCTGGCACAGTACCTACTTAACGTTACAGGAAGTGCGATTATCTGTCTACCGACATTCATAACATCGCCTCTCCAGACAGCGACAGGTTTTGTCCATTGGCACACGCACAGAGCTCCCGCACTCGCCGGAACTCCAACGAACCGCCCACTCCTCCCAGCGCATGTGGCACGGCAAGGTTGGGTGCGAGCACCGTCAGGAAGCGCTTTATCCAGCGCCACAGCCAGTGTCTGCTCAAATATAGACTCTAAGCGGCACGAGCACTGCGCTGCGCGACAGGCTACTTAAGACAAAGTTCGCGCAAGCACGCCCAGACAGCAAGGTAAACGCCTCTGCCCAGGCCCAAAGCCAAGCAGCAGCCACCAAAAACCCTGTGCCGCCGCCATTCGACTCCATTCAACCTCGCACCAGCCCAGGTGCGCCCCCCAGACCTGCCATGGACCAATCACCGCTGCCCTTTGCCCCGCGACGGCATAATCCCTCTGGATCTGGCTCAAAGGTGGGCTCGACGTCGGGGCCTTACCACAATGATTACACTTCTGCTGCACCTCCCGCCGTGGTCTCAGCAGCCCAACCACCACCCGCTGCTGGCACCGACGAATTACACATGTCCGGCATGAGCTCAGAGCTGCACATGTCTCCCCAGGATTACGCGCCGCAGATCAAGCTTGACCAGGCCCCGTCGACCGCCTCAACTCGCTCGCAACCACCTCCATCTCTCACCCACGCCCGCTCCCACTCCCAATCCCACTACCAGTCTAGCTCCGTCCCCGACGTCCTGCAGCCTGCGGGTGGCCTGTCGACGCGACCGCCCGTCTCCATCAACACGTCCTCGTCGTCGCTGCAGGCTGATCGTCCTCAGCCCTCTCCCCAAAACTATCAGACCCCGTCCAAACCAACGCTCAGCATGTCCCACGCCTACTCCCGCTCCAGCCCCGCCGCAAGCTACGAGAATGTGAGCTACCATCCCTACACTCCCACGACTCCAGGCGGCAGCGGTATGCCGTCATCCCAATTCATGTCGCCCACCGACACCTCCAAGTACGGCCCTTCCAGCTCCTCGCGAAATGTCTCCAACACCCCGCTTGGTCTAGCCGACATCCGGCCTCGCGCTGATTCCAGCATGTCTGATGGCGGTCCGGGTACTCTGGGCTACAACATGGCTGAAGCGCAGCCCGGTAGCAGCAGTTATCTCGCCCCGTGGCCTATTTACGCCTTCGATTGGTGCAAGTGGCGTCCACATGGAAATGGCTCCGGCAAGCTGGCCATTGGAAGCTATCTAGAGGACGGTCACAACTTCGTAAGCTCTTCCCTCATTTCCCACTCCAGAGAAACGTCTCATTATCTAACAATTTCTCGCCCCAAAGATCCAAATTCTGGATAGCCATGTCGTTCCAACACCCCAGGATGTCTACGTTCCTGGCACTTCCAAGTATTCTCTAGAGTTCAACAAAGTCGCCGAAGCTACCCATTCATACCCCGTTACCAGACTCCTCTGGGAACCACCTTCAGCTCAGAAGCAATCGACCGACCTGCTCGCGACATCTGGCGATCATCTGCGACTGTGGTCACTACCTTCCGAAACCCCGGCGACGCCTGGAAACAACATCACTCGGAGAACCGACCCAGCCACCGCCAAATTGACTCCTCTGGCCCTTTTGTCGAATTCCAAGACTCCCGATCATACCGCTCCTCTGACTTCCCTCGATTGGAATACGGTTTCTCCTAGTCTCATCATTACTTCCAGCATCGATACAACTTGCACAATCTGGGATATCCCTTCCCTGACTGCCAAGACGCAATTGATCGCCCATGACAAGGAAGTATATGACGTGCGTTTCTGCGCAAACAGTGTGGATGTATTTGTCAGCTGTGGACAGGACGGTAGCGTTCGAATGTTTGATCTCCGTAGTCTGGAGCATTCGACTATCATCTACGAGCCAACCGGCAAGGACGATAGAGGTTTGTTCAGCTACATAACATCTCCAATATCTATTCCCTAAACCTGAAGACACTAACATATTCTTCCAGTGGATACCAACAGCGGCCGAACGAGCCCAGGAGGACAGGGTGCGGCAGGAAACCCTCCTCCGCTGCTGCGACTTGCAACCTCTCCTCACGACACTCAGCTCCTCGCTACTTTTGCCCAGGATTCAAGCACCATCCGCATTCTCGATGTTCGACAGCCCGGGCAGGCTCTTCTGGAACTCCGAGGACATTCAGGTCCCTTGAACTGCCTCGAATGGTCGCCCCTGCGCAGAGGCATGCTCGCCTCTGGGGCTGACGACTGCCAGGTGCTGTTATGGGATCTGATCAACTCGAGCTCTTCATCTGGACCCTCTCTGAACGGGAACCCTGGCAATGAGAGCAGCCGAAGTCCCGTTGCCAGCTGGGAGTGTGATTACGAGATTGGAAACCTGGGTTGGCTACCTCACATGCCAAACGGCGAATATGGCGACTGGCTGGGAGTCAGTGCCGGGCGTGGTATCTGGGGCACCCGGATCATGTGAATGAAGCGCAGTTCTCAGCAGGATGTTCTGGCAGATTATATGTATACCCATTGGCAAGCATGAGCCTTTGTTTATGAAGTTATACCGTCGCATATTATAGAAACGGCCTTTCCGAGATGGATTTGTTCGTTGCGGAAAACCCGACACTTGAAGGGTTGGTCAGTCACAGCAAGCTCCTAAAAGTTCGGGTTTGATTTTTTTTTGGTATTTGGATGATTCAAATTGTGGTGACGAGTCGCTCAACGCTATAGCCATGGCCGAGAATTCATACCTAGTGATAGGCAGGCTGAGAGAGGCTCAACAAGAGCTTCTGTGCCAAGGGCAAAGCCGGGAGGGCGGGGAGGATCGTTGGAGGACGAAAAGTCCAGTTCCCATCAATAGGACGCGGGGAAGGCTTTGCGAACACGACGTGTAATGAATGAATAAATAGACAGATACCTCCATAAAAATGATGCCGAAAATGTCGATACGTTCCGTTGCGTGCTACCTCGTAGCGAAAGTTGGGGACTCAACATTTGACTTATAGGAAAATAAGGTCCCAAACACTACTGATGGAGGATTATTCAAATAGTTTATTAAATACTGCCTCCCTATACTGTCATCTGCCGTTCTACTCAAGCGCTACAGCTTTGATAATGCCATCTCAGCTTCATCAGTTGCGACCTTCACCACAGCTTTCGCCAACGTTTTCCGCTCCATTAGGTGGACCAGCGCATTTGGTACACTTTCTAGGCCTTCATACAGTTGCGAGACTGTTGGCTCAATTTTCCCTCCCTCGATCATTGGTTTCAGCTCGTCCCATATACGACGGTTTTCTTCTGGGTATCGACGCAAGCTTTCACCATATCGCTAGAGAGGCATAGCCCCCGTAAGTTGAGAACAGTCAATCAGCAACCGCAACGGGGAGACTTACATAGCCAATCAAGTTGACCTGCTTCAGAAGCACCCTGTTCATCGCAATGCTCTCCATCTGCCCACCTCTCCCAGCAAATCCGACAATCAGAACCCTGCCCTTGTGAGCAATGCACTTCAGGCTGAGGTCCACGAGGCCCACGGGGTCAAACACCACATCTGCCCCAGCCCCCTCCGTGAGCTCCAGGACCTTGCCAGACCAGTCGGGGTCGGTGTTGTAGTTCAGGCAGAAGCTCGCACCGTGCTTCTTCGCGTACGAACACTTCTCCTCTGAGCCTGCGGTGCCAATCACCCGGCAGCCGAGGGCGGCGGCGATCTGCACGGCCATGATGCCGAGGCCCCCAGCGGCGGAGTGCACGAGGACGGTCTCCCCTCGCTTCAAGCCGGCTCGAAGCATCAGAGCGCCATAGGATACAGGTAGGGTGGCGCCCAGGCCGGCAGCGTCGGCGAAGGACCAAGATGAGGGGAGCTTCTCGAGGTTGGTGGAGGCTGGCACGCTGATGTATTCGGCGTATGAGCCCAGGGAGGCCCCGAAGACTCTATCGCCGGGCTGGAGATGGTAGTTTGGGGGGCATGATGTGATGATGCCTGAGAACTCGAGGCCTAATGTAAATGGTGGGCGGACTAGGCTGCGGTTGTTCTGGTGTTTGCCCTGGACCTATTGGTGTATCAACGGAGAGGCATGGTTAGTTAGTTATACCTCTGAAATGAGAAATTGGGGACAGTACGTAGAGTGCATCAACATAATTGACACCCGCGGCCATGACTCTGATGAGAACCTCATTGTGTGCTGGGTCTGGCCTCGGGATGGTGGATACTCGCAGTTGCTGTAGTTCACCGAACTGTTCAATTCGAACCGCTTTCATTGTATTTCTAGGTAAATTACAGTCCAAGGAAATAGACTTTAAACTAAAGGTGAACCAAGTTACATTTTCAATGTAGAAGACGATTCTAATTTATGGGAGAGAAGGGAATGATCCAAAGCTAGAGCAGGACCTTGAACCAAGGTTGATACTACTCCATCTCCTCGGCAGCCCAACTCACATGTACGGTTATCGTTCTCCCGCTGCTCTTCAGTGAGTCGCAATTTAGCAATGGACCTAAACCTACAGGCCCAGAGGCGATGACATAGCTTGGCAACTTGGTTGTGGTTTTGGAGCTAAACTCGGAAGATTCAATGGGCCGAACGCTAACTTGCATAACCTCCCTAAATGCACAACTCCAATTTGCCGATGATCTTCCGCTGAGCAGGAGCTTAAAGATTATGCATCTGACGGGAAACTTTTGGGTGAAGCGTGGCAGCTTAAAACAAAGATCGAACATCAACCGGTCTACTTCCTCAACTCTTTCCTTTAATATTTCCGGCTCCCCTCCTCTTGCGCGACTCGTAGCGCACGCCCTGACGCGCTCGGATTGATTTCGCGCCAGACACGAAGCGAAAATGGCGTCCTACGATGCAGCGCGCTTCGACGACTCGGAGGAAGAGGAGGATTTCAACCCAGCGCCTGCCGATCTGTCAGACGATGAGGACACCAATACCAGACAGGAGAAGCGACCACGAGACCAGAGCTCCCCCGGTGATGATGATGGAGATGAGGATTCCGCCCCTCGAGCCAAAACGCGGCGCGTCATGGACGAGGACGAGGACAACGAACAGGATGAGGACGAGGAGAGAGATGAAGATGAGGAGGATGACGAAGAAAACGAAGATGATGAAGATGAAGACGACGAGGATGACGTCCAGACGGTAAGTTGCCATATCTCGTACGTGACGGCGATGCAATTCGCTTTGGCTGACCGATTCCAGCGTCGTCCCAAGAAGCGCCAGCGAGACCGCCGAACTGCTCTCTTCGATATCGAAGCCGAAGTCGATGACGAAGACGAAGGCGAGGATGAGGAACGAGACGGCGAAGAAATAGAGGGCTTCATCGACAACGCCCATCCTGATGATGTCGCTGACACGAACCGCTTTGACGACGACCGACGACATCGCGAGCTCGACCGTCAGAGACAGATGGAATCCAGTCTCGATGCAGAGAAGCAGGCCGAGATCCTTCGCCAGCGCTACGGAAACCGCCGCCCGACTAAGGGTCTCGGCGATTCGGCCGTTGTCCCCAAGCGTCTCCTGCTCCCTAGCGTGGATGACCCGAGCATCTGGGGAGTCCGGTGCAAGGAAGGCAAGGAGCGTGAGGTCGTCTTCTCCCTCATGAAGAGAATCGAGGAGCGCCAGGGCACGAGAGACGAACTTGCCATTACTGCCGCGTTCGAGCGAGGTGGTGCGCAGTCCGTCATGAAGGGCTTCATCTACGTGGAGGCCCAGCGCCAGAACGATATCCTCAAGGCCCTCGATGGCATGCTCAATGTGTACCCGCGTTCCAAGATGGTTCTGGTCGAGATCAAGGACATGCCTGAGCTCTTCCGCGTTACCAAGGATTCGAGCTTGGAGCCTGGTGCCTGGGTGCGCCTTCGCCGACCCTTCAAGTACAACGGTGACCTTGCACAGGTTATTGACGTTACCGAGAACGGGCTGGAGGCACGAGTCCGTTATATTCCCCGTCTGGATTATGGTGTGAGAGACGATTCCCTGACTGCTGGAGCTGATGGGAAGAGGAAGCGCTTCCCGGGCACCGGGCCCAAACCCCCTCAGAGATTGTTCAGCGAGGTTGAGGCTCGCAAGCACCAGCCACGCTTCCTTCAAGGAAACCCTTCAACCAACACATGGTCATTCATGGGCGATGAATTCGAGAACGGATTCTGCGTCAAAGATGTCAAGATCCAACAGCTCGTGGTGACAGACGTGAACCCATCGCTCGAAGAGGTTACGCGATTCGCATCTGGGGCGGAAGATGGTACTGAGAACCTTGATCTCAAGGCCCTGGCGGCAAGTTTGAAGGATAGCAACAAGATGGTTACCTACCTCCCTGGTGACATCATCGAGGTGTACTCTGGAGAACAAAAGGGTGTCGTGGGCAAGGCAACGAACGTGCAGGGCGATATCGTCACAATGTCCGTGACTGAGGGCGACCTTGCTGGACAAACCATCGAAGTGCCTACTAAGGGGTTGCGGAAGCGCTTCCGAATTGGTGATCATGTCAAGGTCATTGGTGGTAGTAAGTTTCGTGACGAGGTTGGTACAGTGGTCAAGATTTCCGAGGATCGTGTGACTCTCCTCACGGATCAGACCAACACTGAAGTCACTGTCTTCAGCAAGGACTTGCGTGAGGCTAGTGATATCGGAGGGCAGGGCTCTCTCGGGCAGTTCGAGTTGCAAGATCTGGTGCAGCTCGACCCTACAACCGTGGGTTGTATTGTCAAGGTGGATCGTGAATCTCTGGTGGTATTGGACCAGTTCGGAGACACTCGCCAGGTCGTTCCTTCACAGATTCCCAACAAGCTGCCGAAGCGAAAGCAAGCTGTTGCTGCCGACCGCAGTGGTTCCGAAATCAGATTGGACGATGTTGTCAAGGAGGCTACGGGCCAGCAACGACAAGGAAAGATCATCCACATCCACCGCTCATACGTCTTCTTGCATACCAATGACAGCACTGAGAACGCCGGTGTGTTCGTTACCAAGGCCAGCATGGTCAACACCATCGCTGCCAAGGGAGGCCGAGTTAACGCTGCCTCCTCCACACCCGATCTCAATGCCATGAACCCAGCTCTGAAGCTCCACAAGAACGGGGCCGAGAACAAGCCCCCGCAGCCTCAGAAGTTCGGCCGCGACAGAGCCATGGAGCAGACGGTTATTGTCAAGAAGGGAGCCTACAAAGGTCTCCTTGGTATCGTGAAGGACACCACAGATACCCATGCACGTGTCGAGCTGCATACAAAGTCCAAGACGATCACTGTTCCAAAGGACTCGCTCAGTTACAGGGACAAGAAGACGGGCGCCCCCATCGAGATTAACGGTCGCGGTCGGGGTGGGCCTGGTGGTGGCTTCAACCGCAGCTCTGGCGGCGGAGAGCGTGTCCCTGGTTGGCAAACTGGCTCTCGCACACCCATGGGATCCGGCGGGGACAGAGTCCCCGCCTGGGGTTCACGCAGTATGTTTTCCATATTTCCTACTTCATCATTTCAAGAACGAGTATTTGCTAACTGAATGACTATAGCACCCGCCGGCGGTGCTGGAGGTCGTACCCCAGCTTGGAAGGGCGGAGACTACTCTGGTTCTCGCACGCCTGCTTGGGCTGATGGCTCCCGCACGGTCAACCCATATGATGGTAGCCGAACAGCTTATGGCTCTGGCTCTCGCACTCCCGCGTGGCAGTCGGGTGCCAAGACACCTGCATACGGCGACGCTTTTGGTGCAGGCTCCCGAACCCCTGCCTACGCAGGCAGCTCTGGAACAGATGCTTTCTCATCTGGCTCCAAGACTCCCGCTTGGGGCGTCTCGGCACCGACACCTGGTGCCAGCAACAACGACAGCTGGAGCTACACGCCTGGAGCGACATCGGGCGCATTCGACGCGCCAACACCGGGAGGCGGCCTTGCAGCCCCTACACCCGGTGCGATGAACGCACCCACCCCAGGCGCCTACTCGGCACCTACACCTGGCGGAGCTCCCACGCCCGCGGCTAGCAACTGGCAGGGAGGATGGGGTGCTGACGCCGCCCCTACTCCTGGCGCGAGTGCTCCCACTCCCGCCGCCTCGGGAGGCTACTACGGAGCACCCACGCCAGGTGCCTATGGCGGGGCTCCAGAGACACCTGCAGCCGGACCTAGGTACACGGATGATGACGATTGAGAGGGGGGATGGAACAAGCATCATGGCGATGGCTTGACAGTGTAGTTGTTATAAATCTCGCGACGGCGTTTTGGGAATTGGTGCTCTATTATCACTACCGTTTAACTGTATAAGGATTAAATCAAAATAATCATTGGGTTAGTTAGTTTGCCCCAGAGAGGGCCCTACCTTCCAGCGTCTCATGAATTGAGGTTCAATTGACTCTTCCCCCCCTCTCCCTACCTGGACTTGATGCTAGGGCTATGTGATTGATACTCGGGTCCAAGATCGCACACAAGCCAATAGTGATGTGTAACTGGTAGATAAAGTCAGCATGAGTACTGTGTGGGGAGAGGTATGGAATTGGATGACCTTTTCTTCGACTGGGATTACATTAGCATCGCTGATCATGAGTTCTCTCACTTGTGGGTGCTACGGGTGGCTTTTCAAGCTCGAAGATGTTCATTGATACCGATTTACTCTAGTCTCTTCAGCTGCAGGGTAGCCTCGAGAAAGAGATCGTCCGCCATCACCACTGTGTTACCGTTGGTGGAGTTATGTGTTGGATAGCGTGTTTTTGGCGTGAACAGGGATTCATGCATTAAATTAAAGCGCGGTTCAGTTCCTGGAGACGAACTAGCGCTGCCTTATGACACATGAGGGCAGCCCACGCAACTTTTTTGCATGAACTCGGGTAATTTGAACGCCGCTGGTGGAAATGCGACCGCCCATTGAACCTCGCCATCCTCCGGACCGTCTATAGGAAACGAATTTCTCTCGTCTTTGTATTCATTCAGCCTACACTGTCGAATTTCCACACTCGAAACACCGCTTCCAGCCCGCCATCATGACCCTGGCCTCCGCATCGCGATCGGCCCTCCTGCGAGGGTGCCAGGCCACTCGAGCCTACGCGACTGGAAAGTCCTCGCCCGCCGCCAAACCTACACCGACAACAGCTTCTCAAGCAAAGCCGGTCGCTAAATCTGCGGCGAAACCTACAGTAGCCCCAAAAAGGCCGGTCTATGCTTCCACGCCTCTGAAGAAAACCACACCGGCCGCCACCACGCCGACGGCGGCCAGCAAGACACCAGTCTCGAAGCCCCCGATTGCTCCCTCGGCGCAACAAAAAGTTGTCCCCAAGCCAATTCCCGCGAAGCCGGCGTCGACGTACTCTACACAGTCGAGGCCGAAATTGGTTCCTTCGAAGTCGGTCTACGCTCCGAAACCCTCCACTACGACCACCCAAAGCCCAGCAGCAGCACAACAAGCGAAGCCAATACCCACGCAGCAAACGAGGCCAGCGCCAATATACGCTTCAACACCGCAGAAGAAGCCTACCGCGCCCCCGAAGAGCCCCGTTGCTCCCAAACCTGTCTCGAACATCAAGCCTTCCTCCGCCCCCTCTAAGCCAGCTGCCGCTCCGACCCCTCCCAAGAAGACAGTCAAGTCTGTGCCGACATCACCATCACCGGCTGCTCCTCCTCCCAAACCTACCCCTGGACCAAAGGCGCAGCCGGCAGCAGAGAAGCTAGCCGCTGCCCGGGAGGCACAGCTTCGGGCGGCGCGCGCGAGGAGGGAGGACCGGCAGGCGGAAGAGGCCGAAAAAGAGAACGCAAAGAAGCAATACAAGAAGGAGTATAATAGCCTGGCGTGGCGGTGGACGACCGGCATCATTGCGATGCCCATATTGCTGGTGACCAGCTACTATCTATTTGATCGACGTGAGTAGCAGGCCTGGCTGTTCTGGCTTTTTGATTGATTGGCTTGCTAACCCTTTCCCAGTGGCCCTTGGACATGAGCAGAAGACGGTGCCGAATCTTGACGGCGCACGAAGCAATTATAATGAAGAGAAGAGTGGCGAGAAGCCTGAATAGAGAACGAGGGATGCTGTTCCTGGAGGCGTAGAGGGGTAGCTGATGTGTATGATTTATGGCCTCATGGAATGCTTCTCATGGGCATTGTGATGAGACAGTCTGCTTGACGACTTACATGTACGACTTAAGATCCGTGACGGCTTGTTTCGGCCGGAACTCCCACTTCATTGTGGGAGGCTGTTGAATTAATGTATATTATGACTATCTTCTGAATCATTTCTAATTGGAGAAAGCGTGTAGGCCCAAGAACCGAGGGGTGTTTCCGGAAGGAAACAAGGCAAAATACATTCTCGACTCATGACGATGATACGAATACAAGGCATTGAGTCTGGCTGGCCCCTTTTTGATGGCCCTCGCACTCATCATCCTTCCTGGCAGGGGATGCTGGTAAACTGGTGGATTTCATCGTGTTGCTTGGCCAGTCAGATTTGATATTCCCGTTTCTTTGAGAGCATATGGCCTAATTGAGTCACCGCAGCGACAATCCCAAGAGCAGATGAGGGGAAGTTAGAAGCATCGACACATTGCCCCTCCCCCTCATTTCTGTCTCACCCATTTTGGCACGTGCTATTAATACCACTGACAGGTAGAGAACGCTGTACTGTTCCTTTCACATCGCGATTACATTATTTCTGGGAATATTCCAGTGTCGATATTTACTGTTTTTATGTAAATTGATAATTAAATCAACCACTCCATTGCTCATTGACTAAACATATTCCTTGACCACCCAACATGGCAACCCCCGAGACACACATCTACCCTCGCCCGGACTTTGAGCGCAGCCCCCTACGATGGCAATCGCTCAACGGCCCCTGGGACTTCATCTTCGACGATGACGATAGTGGGCTCTCCAAGCTCTGGCAGCAATCGGGCCTCCCTAACGAGACCTCGACGGTAACTACCCCAAGCCCACAGGGCAATACTCAGGAGAGCGACAGCATCATGCAGAAGATCGCCTCCGGCACGCAAGATTTCATCAAGGATAACTTCCTTTCCAAGACCGGGAGCGACAGCCAGAAACTCAACAAGAAGCAACAGATCATCGTCCCCTTTGTCTTCCAGAGCCCGGCGTCCGGCATCAACGACCGCAATGTCCACGAGGTGCTCTGGTACGAGCGCACCATTTCCGATCTGCGATCCGACGAGGAGAAGGGTAAAGGCCACCGCCTGATCCTGAGGTTCGGTGCCGTGGACTACCTGGCTACTGTCTGGGTCAACGGCCGGCATGTCGGCGGCCACCGTGGCGGGCACGTCCCCTTCGAGGTCGATGTGACCGATGCTATCGATGCTGCTGGTGCCTCCTCCTCGTCTCACAGGGTTACCGTCCGCGTGTACGACTCGGCATACGATCTTACCCAGCCTCGTGGGAAGCAGTACTGGGGTGCACAACCCGAGAGCATCTTCTACACGCCGTCGGGGGGTATCTGGCAGAATGTGTGGCTTGAGGTCGTCCCTGCAGCGCGGATAGCCGATGCGAGTGGTGGCACGATTATACAGTCCCACGATATTCACTCGGGGAATATCCACAGCACCATTGCCGTTGCTGGCCGCAGGGCAGGGCAGGAGCTCGCTGTCGAGTTGGAGGCAAGCTTCTTGGGGGTCGAGGTCTCCAAGTCGGAAGCCGTTCGACTCCCCCGCGAAGCTGATCATGTCAGCGTGGACCTCGATGTGCGGCTGTCAGAGGAGAAACAGAAGAGTCTGCCGCAGGCTGTGGTGGGCGCCAAACCCGGTGCCGCTCCGCTGGAGGACGACTTTGCCTGGAGAGACGGCGTTGCCTTGTGGTCACCCGAACACCCCCAGCTGTACGATCTCACCCTCCGCCTCCTGGACGCTTCCGGCCTCGTGCTGGACGAGGTCAAGACCACGACGGGCATGAGATCCATCGGCTGGACCAAGGGCGACGGCCACTGGCGCCTGAACGACAAGCCGTACTTCCAGGCGCTGTGTCTCGACCAGGGCTACTGGCCCGAGACGTTCATGACGCCCCCGTCCGCCTCGAGTCTCAAGGCGGACATCGAGCTCGCCAAGAGGATGGGGTTCAACGGGTGCCGCAAGCACCAGAAGGTCGAGGACCCCCTCTTCTATTACTGGGCGGACAGGCTGGGGTACCTCGTCTGGGGGGAGATGGCCAGCGCGTACCAGTACAGCCAGCTGTACGTCGAGAGGTTCGACCAGGAGTGGGAGGAGGCCATGCGGTTGGTCATCAACCGCCCGTGCGTCGTGACCTGGACGCTGGTGAACGAGAGTTGGGGGTATACGGCCCTGAAGGAGAATGTCGAGCAGCGGAATCATATTCGATCGCTGTATTATCAAACCAAGTGAGAAGAAATTCTTTACCTATTGGATCTGGGCTGAAGAAAACTAATGCGTTTGGGGAAAACTCTAGGACTCTTGACCCGACCCGTAGCATCAACGATAACTGCGGCTGGGAGCATGTCATCACCGACCTGACTACATTCCACGACTACGCCGACGGTCCCGAACTCGAAAAGACCTGCGAGAGCCTCGATGCGATCCTGGGCCTCAAGGCGAGGAGAGATCTCTTCGTCCGCGAGATCCCCGGCAGAGACCCGGGAGCCAAGCACCTCACCGGGGCACCCATCATGTGCACGGAGTTTGGGGGCGTCAACATTGCTGCGGCTGCTGTGCCAGGCGAGGGTAAGGAGCGGGACTGGGGCTACACGACGGCAAGCGACCCGGAGGATCTGCTGAAGCGGGTGAGCAGGCTGGTAAAGGGGGTGACCAAAGGTGGCCACTGCTGCGCCTTTGTTTACACACAATTGTAAGTTTGCCCGGGTAGATTTGGGCATAGGACGATAAAACTGACTGATTTACTTTAGGACTGATATTGAGCAAGAAGCGAATGGCTTGTATTCATTCGACCGTAAGGAAAAGCTGGATTCGGCCAAGGTCCGAGCTTTGATGGAGGAGGCTATCCAGCTCTACTATGACCGCATTAAATGAGTTGACACCCCCTTATAAGAAATATAGAGATAGGACTGGTTTGATTTGCTGTCCAATATGAAATGGTAGATGTTCTTATTTCGAAATTGATATCTGATGATGCATAACCGACCGCTTTTATCCTAAATATGTAATCTGCACGCTCCAATACTAATACAAGCTCTCCGCCATCTTTAGGATATACATGAATAAACAAACATAAACACCGGCGAGGACATCTCCTAAGCTCCCTTATATAACGTACTATGCAAGATGAAAAAGGGCAAATATTTGGATAGAAAGGCGTATATGAACAGTGGAACAAAAGGCCAATAAAGGGGGTGGCCAAACCCTTAAGACAACGAGACAAGGATCACACTCTAGACTCTTTGATCGTCGCCTGCATCTTCTCAATCGCCCGAGGCTCCAAGCTCAGAATGAACATCCTCACAAGCCTGCACTCCGGCTTCCCCATCTCCCGCAGCAGGACCTCGCGCTCGCGCCTGAGCGCCGCAGGCTCGACCATCATCAGGTGTAGCAGCGCGGTGCTCATCGGGAATGGCGTGATGTGCTGCCGGAACATGCCCGCCGAGGGGTGCGTGAAGATGCGGAGGGTGCAGACGATGTCGTGGCAGCACGCGTCGATGTCCATCGGGTGGCGCGGGCTCCCTGGTGGCTGCAGTCGGTGGAGGATCGTGACGGCGCGGACGCACATGGACCAGTAGAGGCTCATGACGTGGGCGGCGGCCAGCTGGCCGACCTCGATGACCTCTGGGAGCTGCTTGTCCAGGTAGCGGGGGAATTTGTCGAGGGAACTGAAGTGCTGGTCGTGCCACTCTAGCAGGCGGTCCAGGAGGCGCTGGAGCCCCTTGACAACGAGGGTGAAGCATAGCTGCTTCTTGTCCGCGTCTTTCCAGCCCTGTGCGACGTCTATTGCCTCCAGGATGGCAGGTAGGTCAACGAGGATGTCGAGGAGATGGTCCCGGGGCGTCTTCTTATGCTCTGTCCAGGGCACTGTCTTCCAAACCGGGTCGGAGAGGAAGCAGCGCTTGCGGGCCATGAGAGCAGATAATGCCTATGAAAGAGAGAGATTGGTTAGATGAGAGGTGAAGAAACCAAAAATGTATAAAGTGTAACTGAGACTTACTAGGTGGTGTCTGCCTGCTACAAAGAGCATGTGCGAGTAGCCCGAGATGTAGGCAGATGGAGGTTTCGAAGTGAGCAATGCGACATCGCCTCCGCTGTGAACCATCCAACTTCGCCGGTGGTCCATGTGGCTCTGTGAATCAGCTCCATGAAAGGCCTAGTCAAACAACATATGAGTAAGTTGCACAAAGGTTCAAGAGGGTCGACTTACTTCGTAGATACTGAACAGCCGGGTGGCCTGTAGTTGGTCCTCCGTCCACTTATCCACGCCTTTGAACGACTGAGATAGATCATGCAGGGCATCACCATAGAAGCGATGGCCCTCCTTGCGCATCCATCCAGCCTCGGGATTACGGGCGCCGATAGTGGCGAAGGCCATGGCTACGAGGCCCTTGTACACGGTGGTATTGTTGTTTGCGATGTCAATCATGGCGTTGATGGAGCCCCCGAGGTCGACCTGGTGGTTGCCGGGGGGGAAGGGTTTCCCGTTGGGCAGGTAGGATTCCCAGAAGAGGCCGATGACGCGAGCTTCCTCCGCAGACCGGGATACAGCGCCGGATTGGAACAGGTCGGCAGATGCATCGTTGTGTGCTTTTTGGTGGTGTAAGCGTTTGCGGACCTTGTGGAAGTGACGGGGCCGGCCGCCATAGGAAACCTGGGTTTGCTCTGAGGTATCATCTGGTAGCTCCGAATACTCACCAACAATCGTGTAGTTGTGGTCTGGAACGATGGGAATATCAAGAGTGTCTAGGGGAAGGATATCGGAGGCTGGAGGAGTCGCAATGAAAGAGGGCGAGGCTGAATGTGAAGAGCTTTCCAATGAAGGAGGAACTGCCGAGGGAGACAGTGCAGGCTGGGTCGGCGGCGTAGGTAAGTAGAGAGGGTTAACATTTGATGTTGAATCCTTGAGCTGTAGAGGTAGAGTGACGGGAGGGGCTGTCATGAACTGGTGTTCTGTGTCGGATACTGGATAGGATGATACCCGAGGCGGATCTACGAAGGGTCGTGATGCATCCTGCAGGTATAACGGCGCGCCGGCAACACCGTAGAAGGGGGCAATTTCAACATTATTGCCGGTCGTGTTGCTATTGCTCGTCGAAGCACCGGAGTTACCGGCATTGGAGCGCTTCGGACCTCGATTATACCCTTCACAGGGGATGCAAGATTTGCGGCACTGTCCGCAGCTGGGTCTCTGCAGGTCGCACTGATGCCGGGCCCAATATCACATTAGTCACGATGCATGAATGAGTGTGCTGAGCACGAGGGATAGGAGAGCGGAGATGCAGTGAGACAGCGATGGGAGCGGAGATGGTGGACTTGGCATGCTCGCAAGCAAAGCCATGGCACAGTCACCCATCACGACACGACGGGTCGGTGAATATGTCGGCCATGGCCAAAAACAGACAAGATGTGTGATGGGAGATGTGACGATGGCTGGTTGGTTGCAAGCCCTCAGTAATACGGCGATGCATCGGGAGAGTTGCACGGGATGAACCACGGTAAGACGCCTGGGGATGAGGAGAGTGATTGGGCACGAGAAGAACAAAATGCATGAGACGGCATGCATTGGATTTCCAAGGAAGCAGTGTAGTTTACCCTGCTCGCTTAGTCGAGTGGAAAACGTGGACTTACACCTTTCTTACGGCGTGAGCATGTAATGCATGCCTGCGGACGGCCCTTGACACCAGGGCCCACCATCACTGCCCATCAACTCTAGTTACCGAGGACCTGGTCGGGCCAGAGACGGGAGAAAGGCAAGCGAGGAGACGGCTTGTAGTATGGCAGCTTTGCTACGTAGTGCCGGGGACTGCTAGCGAAAGCCGTCGGTCTGGTCCTCTTTCCCCACGGGAGTAGCTTGACGCAAGTTAGAAAATGACTGGATCATCATGATTGGAAAGTGGGATGGGGATCAACCGAGCGAGTGATTACAAGAGCGGGAGAGGGGTGGGAACACAGACTGGGGTTGTGAGCATGGAGCAACGTTGGCCAACCGCAGGCGAGTCGGAGTCAGAACAGCCTTGCTGGGCCATGTGCAATCAACCCGTCCTGCTCTACTACCCCTCGCGGGACGTAGATTGGTCCCGGATTCACCGCGCCTTGCATTGCCCCAGTCTGGCAGATGAATCTTGATTGCGGACGACACGTACCTTGTGGAGATGGGAACGAAGCTAAGAACAAGCTCCTGGTGATCTATCCGGGACTTTTCCAGGCCACCGGGAGGTCGAGTAATAGTCTATTTGTTTGTTTGCTGGCGGGTCGTTTCTCAAGAATGGCGCGATGCTGGGCCTTCTCCCCCCAGAGTCCAGGCCCAGGGACCATCTACTTTTAATTCGGCCACCCATAGTTAGAATGCCTACCCAGGCTGGGATCACGTGGCTGAATAATGTGTTTTCCCGATCCATCGCTTGGTCCGTATTCCCAATTGCGAAGTCGCCGAGGCCATCTGGAGAGAGCGGTCTCGTCGAAACGTGGAACCAAATATAAACTGGTGAGCCATTAGGCCTCGCGTATGAACATGCCAGATTGCAGTTAAAATGTTGATGTCCTGCCATGTGTTACTCTGATGTATAGTGGAATAACCACCGCGAGCCCTCGTTCAGATCTGGTAGTCACAGCTTGGCACTCGATACAGATATCCCCAGAACAGGGATTCGTCTAGACAACTACCAAGACAAGCAGTTTATCGTGCCTGCAGATGTCAGCATGTAGGTACTACGGGCAGTATCAAAACCAGCTCGGTTGGTATGGCCCACTGTATAGGGGTGGAACCTGACTCGGATCAGCTTGCGCGACCCGTGATGAATATCCGTATTTGTTTTAATTAAATGCAGTCACAATGGAGAGGGGCAATCTAGATGGCTGGAAGTGCTCTAACAAGTGTCAGGATCAAAAACAGGGATGCAATTACCAAGGCTTCAAGGTTGATTCCCTATACATAGAACAATAGCCGGGAATAGGTAGATGTAGGCAGTTCGTGCTTACAAGTTCTAGCTGTCTGGGACATAATCACAGCAGGCAAGACGTAGAATGACAGACTACAAACCTGAAACCTGCAGTCATTACCTCGATAATGAGGAATCAGAGATTATTCTATCGTAATTGGGTTTCGTGTTCGATGATAATTGTGTTGATTGCTTCAATAAACCGGTCGTGGTTGGAGAATGCTCGTGAGGGTGTGATGCCATGTCCAGGGTAGCTAACCTTTGGGAGATGACTCAGCATGACGAACCTCGGTACAGCAGATCTACAGCAGCCTCCATCGTGCCTGCCTTATCAACCAGACACTCCAAAGCTCGACTCTCTCTAAACTCTTCACGGTCGCTACGAGGCTTCAATTCCTCGCCCATGAACTTGTCTGCTGCGCCCACGAACTGACCAGCGCATCAAGCGCTCACTAACCAGAGTAATGGCCCCCTCGATCCCGAAGCCGAGCACACAGCGGCCATCTCTGCTCCTGCTCTGTTCCCCGCCCTCCCCTCCAAACCGCCACTCCATCCATGCGGCTTACCACGCCCCGATATCTGAGGCCCTCGCTCGCGTTCCCGATGCTCCGTACCTCACCGTGGTTTTGGCGGCGCCCTTCGTCCCTTTGAAGTGGACCTACATGCAATCACTCCTTGCCGGCTTGTACAGCCTTGTTGCTTCGATCACCGACGCCGATGTACGCATTGTGCTTGTGGACCATGTCCGTGGACGAGATTACCCCCCAGATCGCATCGCGCCTTTCAATGATACTACAGTTCCGGATCTAGGAACATATGCTGCACAAAAGCACCGCTACCAGTATCTCTTACACCCCAGCACCGAAGGGAGCTACGAGCTTCTCGCCACCTACCTTCGAGTCGTGGAGCGATACGAGACCGTTCTGCAAAACCAGATCATACCACTACCCGGCGGTCTTAGCCTCTCGACCGAGTATCTTGTGGAAACTACCGCCCCAGCCACTGAAGTGACGGAAAGATATCGTGGGGTATGTCTGGGTGGCACCTTTGATCACCTTCACCCTGGGCACAAGCTGCTGCTTCATGCTTCCACGCTTCTCCTCAAGCTGCCCCGAAATGACGAACCCCCGGCAACTCTCATCGTAGGGATATCGGGCGATGCACTGCTGAAAAATAAGAAGTTTGCCTCGGAACTGGAATCGTGGCCGTACCGTGCCAGTTCCGTCTTTTCATTTCTCTCCACAATTCTCTCCTCTCCTGCCCCGGAGGTTGAGGATCGAGAGTACGGCGACAACGAAGAGCTCCACGCCAAATTCTGTGATGAGCGGTTGGATATCTGTTTTGCCAACATTGTTGATGTCTTCGGCCCCACCATCACCGTCGAGGATGTGCAAGCTATTGCGCTCTCTGGGGAGACGCGTGGCGGCGGCACGAGCATAAATGAGCGGCGAGTTGAGAAGGGGTGGAACCCGCTGGTTGTATTTGAGATTGATGTGCTTGATGCCACCTCGGATGACAGTGACGCCCAAGAGGCGAGAAAGCCAGATGATTTCAGTGCGAAGATCAGCAGCACCGAGATCAGAAAGCGCAGGGCTGAGTTGAAACTGCAAAGGAGTGACCACTAAGCTGGGTACCTGAGAAGTGCTTCAGGTATTTGGTCTTATGAAGTTATGAACCATCATGAGCTGAATGAACATGCTATTTCATCCTCTAGGGGCATTTCCCATGTTTGGGTAAGGGTCATGCCAATGTTTGAACCTGGACTACACTGAATGTAGGAACAAGCTACTGAAACCATCATCTTCACTTCTTTATTAGGGCGCCTTGATTATACTTTATTTGTATTGGGCATATAAAGACATCAATTTCGCTGTTTTGAAGACAAGTACAAATCCGGATTCACGTATACGCAGCATCTTCTATATCTTGGCCTGGATCGGCCCCTCGGCCTCATCCTCCCTGTGCGTGAAGGTGACGAGCTTCCGCCCTGCCACCGTGCCACTCTTGGTTAGAAGCTTCCGCCTGCCAGCCGTCGTCAGGGGCGCGTCGTCGTCGTACTCCCTTATGTAGTACCCCCAGTCGGCCGTGTCGTCCAGCTCCGTCTGGCTGTAGCCGTTGCCCATGAAGCTGAAGCGGTTGCCGGCGTACTTGATGTCCAGGTCGTCGAAGCGCACGTCCTTCATCATCTCGAGGTAGTGCAGCGCTGAGCCGGGCCACAGGGCAAGCACCTTGTTCCCGTCCCGGCCGCCCTTGTACCACGAGCGGCAAGGGTCGTTCCAGACCGTGCCCTTCATGAACCAGTCCTTGTACTGGACGAAGTCTCGTACCGCCTCCTCTTTGGGTGCGAATTGCGAGATGTTTGTGGTCTGGAAGCGGTCGATGACCTTGCACATCCAGTCCGCCTGGGCCTCGATGGCGCACAGCACGGGGCCATTGCCGATCGGGCAGTTTGGCCCCAGGAAGATGAGGTAGTTGGGGAAGTCTGAGGCGGCGACGCCCATGTATGATTCTGGCTCCGTGGCCCACTTGTCCTGCAAGTTTGCACCCGAGGGGTTGACCACTGGGAAGCGGGGCTTGAAGGTGGTGTCGAAGCCTGTGGCACAGATGAGGATGTCGAGTTCGACCTCTTGGCCGTTGTCGCACAGGCAGCCCTTCTCGGTGATGGCGTTGATCTCGCCATAGATGACGTCGACGTTGGGCTTGGTGAGAGACTCGAGGTAGTTGACACCAGGACTCAATCTGCGGCAGCCTAGGCTCCAGTCGGGGATCAACTTGCTCTCGAGGTACTCGTTGCTGAGCTTTTCCTTCATCTGTTGCAGCATGTAGGCGCGTGTGTCCTGGTTGACCTGAGTGCCCTTGAGGAAGATGCCGAACTGGCCGTTGAGGCCCGACTCAATTCCTTTGCGGTAGGTTGTGAGCGTCCCATTCTCGTTGGCGAACTTGTCCAATTCCTCGGCGGAGAACTTGTGCTGCTCTAGACCTTGGACGGGAGACACGTATGTGGGTTCGCGGATGAAGTTGATGACTCTCTTGCACTTCTCACGGATTGCGGGGAGAACTTGGATACCTGATGAACTGCCTTGATGTTAGCAACGGGGTTTTTCTTCAGACTGGTATTCAGCTTACCCATTTCCGATTAGACCAACGGTCTTGCCCTCGAGCGAGACAGAGTCATCCCAGTTTGCAGTGTGAAGCAAAGTGCCCTTGAACTTGTCTAGGCCAGGGATAGCAGGATACCTCCAGTTGTTGAGAATCCCACTCGCATTAATGAGTATATCGCACTCATCATCGACGATATTCCCCGTAGCAACATCCTTCACCTTGACATCGTACCCCCCGCGAGTGTCATTCCAGTAAGCGCCCACCACCTGGTGGCTCGTCTTGATGAACTGCTTGAGACCGTACTTGTTGGCGAAGCCGTCAAAGTACTCGAAGATCTCCCTGGCGGGCGGGTAGACGGCCGACCAGTCCAGCTTGGGCTCGAAGCTCCACGTGTAGTTGTGCGAAGGCACGTCGCAGGCACAGCCCGGGTAGTTGTTTTCGTACCACGTGCCCGAAACCTCGGGGTTCTTCTCGTACACCTGCAGGGAGAAGTTGCTGAAGTGCTTCTGGAGCTTGTAGGCCATGAGGAGGCCGGAGGCGCCCGCGCCGACGCAGATGATGCGGACATGGCGCTCGGCGTGGATGGGGCCTGCTAGGCGTCTGCTGGCGTCTAGCTCGGCGGCGTGGGAGGTGGTTCCCGGGATGGGGAAGTCTGCCATGGCTTTCTGGGCGGGAGAGCAGATTTTTAAAAGGGTGTATTCAATAGTTGGATGTGAAGACTGCAGGTAGACGGGAGGAAAGGACTGTATCTAGCCAGTGTAGGTCTTACATGGGGAGGGGAATCAAGAATTGGAAATAATGAGAGAGGACGATGAATTGGTGGAGGACCAGCATATTTATGACATTCCGACCGAAGAGACTTCAGCTGGATGCGTGAGGCCGGGTAAGGGTCTGGTCACTTCTCGGGCTGGAACACCCACGGGGAAAGCATACACGTCCTATACAATGCCATCATGGGAGAGACAGACCAAACTGGATCCTTGCCACTCGTTTGACGGTGCTCTACCACCACCGGTTGCCCGACTTAACCACGCTCAACATGGTAGGGTCCGGTCAAGAGCTTTCTCCATACAGCCCGCATTAGCTGGGAAAAGCTCCAGAAGATGGTGTCCAGCACGAGTAATGAAGGTGCTTCCCGGCCTGACACTCCTGAGTCAAGAGAGGTGTATCTTCTGGGGGACTGATCAGGTGAGAGGGGCTCGTCTTGTTCGTCTGAGTCGTGTCGACAGGCTGGTTTGGTTTTCCGTGATAACCACGCTACGAGTGTTCATCTTCCGAACCAAGAGAGTGGAGGTTGGCGATAATCCTCCTATCCCATGCATGTACTTTTAGATCTAGTAACATTCGCTACCCCGGACTTCGTATGGGGGGTGTGTGCAAGCGGAGTTGCAAGTACATTGCCCGGCAGTGCGGTTAATGACAACCGAGTCGATGAGATTCTTGGGGTTGTGCCGCTAACCCCATACTTTCTCCCGCCTCATGTGGGGTTTTGCCGATTGTTCCATGGGTGATTTAGCAGAGAGAAGATTGGGGGTTCGATTAGAAAATCCAGTTGATTCATCATGGTGTGCTGACATGTTTGTTGGGCGACAACTTGTGCATGGGAGTGGAACATTGCGCACTATCGTCTAGATATTGAGTAACATTTATGCAGAAGGCACATACACATCTATCTATTTAGCCAAGGAGAGAAGAACAACTGTGCCCTCGTGCCCGAATACAGCCACAATATGCAGCTTGGCTGCCGTAGAACGCAGCAGATGGAGTCCTAGTCATGCACATGCGAGATCGTGAAACACACGAGGCGAGTGCCGATCAGCATCTACAGCTTGGCCCTCGCGTTTCCTGCGTTATGCGCCTCCTTCTCCAGCTCGGCCGCATCTCGCTTGGCCCACTCCCTCATCGTCTTGCGCTGGATCTTGCCGCTGGCCAGCTTGGGCACCTCGTCGATGAAGACGACGCCGCCGGCCAGCTGTTTGTGCTTGGCCACCCTCGGGGCCAGCCATTTCTGGATGTCGCTGGGGGTTACTTTGCCCTGTGACGCCTCCTGTATCACTACGTAGGCGCGCGGCCACTCGCTTCCGTTACTAGATGAGGATGACCGGTCAGTTGGCCCTGCATTAGACTGGCCGCGTGGGCAGGCCAGAGGTAGGATGAGAAAGAAGGGCATTTTGTTCACTCACAGGGTTATCCCGACGACGGCTGCATCAGCCACGTTCTCATTTTCAAGGAGAGCAGCCTCGAGCTCGGCGGGTGCGACTTGCAGAGCGTTGACCTTGATAAGTTCCTGGAAGGTTAACCCGTTAGCATGGTGAATAGAGACAATGTAATACATCACAGAGAAAAACAGACATACCTTCTTTCGGTCCACAATCCAGAAGAAGCCCTTCTCGTCGCATATTGCGATATCGCCAGTCTTGAGCCACCCATCCTCATCAAGGGTTTCCTTCGTAGCCGCCTCGTTCCTCCAATATCCGAGGCAGATGTTGGGCCCGCGGATGTGAATCTCCCCGGGGCTCCCAGTCTTGACCTCGTTGCCATCATCATCGACCAGCCGACACTCGCAGTTAGGATCCAGCTGCCCAACAGATCCCGAGTCGTCCCTCACGCCTCCGGGGACATGAAGCGCCCCGCACGTCACCTCAGTCATGCCCCAGCCCTGGTAGATGTGGACGTTGAATCGGCGTTGGCACTCGTTCTGCAGCTCCCGCGACAGCGGCGCCGCGCCACAGAGGACCTCCTTGACGCTCGAGAGGTCATAGCGCGACGTCTCCGGCCGCTTGGAGAGCATGACGAGGATGGGCGGCGCCACCTGGAGGCTGGTGATGCGGTACTTGGACACGGCGAAGAGGAAGTCCTCGTACCGGAACTCGGCCATGATGTAGATGGGGACGCTCAGCCTGATGGCCATGAGGATCGTGTACAGCTGCCCGTAGGCGTGGTAGAGCGGCAGGAAGCCAATCCAGCGCTCCCGCGGGCGGTTCTCGAACGAGTAGGGTCTCAGCCCGTAGCGCATGAACATGGTCTGGTCCACGTTGGCGATGAGGTTCCTGTGCGAGACGCACACGCCCTTTGGCAGGCCCGTGGTGCCGGAGCTGTAGTTTATCGTGGCGATTGTCTTCTTGGCCTCGTCGGAGCCCAGCTCGGGCCATGTCCATGTGTTGCCATCGCGTTCGGTGCCAGCCATGATTCTCCAGTCCAGCACGCCGTCGAGAGTGGGATTGGCCTCTTCGGAGAACTGGAAGATGCGCTCCTTTGGCATGCCCGCCTTGGCAGCCGCGGGTAAGATGAGAGGGAGCATTTTCGGGTGGGCGAGAATCACCTTGGCGGTGGTGTTGGTGATCTGATGGACGAGCTCTGGATTTCCGTGTAAGTGACCGATTGCAATGGAACATAATTCTCACGTCAACACTCACCATGTTCTGTGTACGCCGGATTGGCACCGCTAAAAACAAAGCCAGCTCCGACTATACCGAGATACGCGACCGGGACGAATATCTGGTTGGGGGAGCAAATCATGACGACATCGCCGCGATTCAGACCGAGCCGCTGGAGGCCGCATCCCAATCGCCGGACCCAGTTGAGCAATTGGGCCGGGGACAAGTTTTTGGACGGATCCTTGCTGTCGAACCAGAGAGGCTCCCGTGAGGTCTTGGGAGGATCTGGGAAGAGGTAGTTGAGAATGTTGGAGCTGGGGATGTCGAGCGCTGGGTAGCGCGAGGTGTAAGGCATGATTACAGGATGCTAAACAGAATACAGTAGACAATAAAGACGGTGCAATCTCTGGACGATATGTGTAAGTCAATTGGCTGAATCACCAAGGGAGAGAAGGCCACGAGTCTGGCTGCCGCAACTCAGCAACGATGAAGACACACACAGATACACGATCTTCTCGTTTCGTCTAAAATCCCCATCTGGAAAGCATCCATCTCCATCTCCGTTTTGATTACTCCATTTGTCTATGGGGCGGCGAGGAAGTAATATCCCGAGGTCCCAGTGGGAGAAGTTTGCGGGGTAACGAAGCGAAGACCTGGACAGCCTGGAAATTGATCTGGAAATCTATGACCAGGGACTAAACCCTGCTGTATTTTTGGGGCCTCCACTGGCGAGAGGGTATTGATTAGCCGCCAAAGAACGGGCCCTGTTGGAGGCAGCGGTGGTGGCTGGGCATACATATTAGCCACGGCCCACGGCTAGAAGTGTATGATTCATAACAGCCATTTCATAATAGGAGGATGATATTCACAGCGAGTGGAGAAGGGCTTGAGGCTGTATCTGCTTGTATCTTGCTTTCATTAGTTTCGTTGATTTGATACTGCCGAAATAAGCAGGCGAACAGACACGCAGACAGAATGTCTAATCTCAAGAATTATGACTCCATCTTCTCTCTTGCAGGCAAGACTGCCCTGGTCACAGGCGGCTCCCGCGGTCTAGGCCTGCACATGGCCAGCGCGTTCCTCCTCTCTGGCTGCTCCCTCGTCATCATCACAGCCCGGAAGCGCGAGGGGCCCAACGGCATCGACCAAGCCGTCGAGAAGCTCAATGCGCTCCCGGGGATCCGGGGGAAGGCTGTGGGGATTGCCGCCAATGTCGCCAGCTCGGAAGATATTGTACGGCTTGTCGGTGAGGTTGATGGGCTTGTTGGGGCCCGAGGGCTCAGCATCCTCGTCTGCAATGCCGGAGCTGCGTGGGGCTCCAAGTTTGAAGATGCGCCTCCGAGCAGCTCTGTGAAGATCCTGGACCTGAATGTCCGTGGTGTTTTTGAGCTGACACAAAAGTATGCTACACAAGATATCTGGGTGCTGAATTTGGCTGACTTGAACTTCCTGGAAGATCTCTGCCACTGCTCCAAAGGGCTGGATCGGCAGAAGACCCCGCGAGGCTTCTCATCATCAGTTCTACTGCTGGTACCAATGTCCCGCATGTGGGAGAGCATGGGACTATTATGTACTCGACATCCAAGGCTGCCGCCAATGTAAGTTACGCTCTCATGATTCCTCGCAGGGTCTCAGTGGATTGCCCTCATACTGATATACTGATGAATGGTAGCATCTTGGCCGTAATCTCGCCGTCGAATTGGGCCCGAGAAACATCACCTCCAACATCATCGCGCCAGGTTTCTTCCCGTCGAAGCTGGCCCAAGGGCTGATCAGCAATCTGGGCGGAATCGAGGAGCTGAGCAAAGACAATCCTCTGGGAAGACTTGGAGAGCCTGAAGATATCGCTGGAGTCGCTGTGTTCTTGTGCTCGAGGGCTGGTGCTTATGTGTAAGTGATTGGATCAGCACGTTCCTCATCGATTAGACTGACAATTCTCAGGAATGGCGTTGATATATCCGTGGATGGTGCTGCAAGGCTTTCGGCGGGGAGGCTATCACGATTGTAAATATCAAATATTTGGAATGTTCTAAAGATCGGAATATCCATGATGCCTCTTTTTATCTTACTGGGGGCGAAGCGATAATGAATCAATGTTTTAAATTTATTTATTTTTTGTTGGCCTATATTTATTCGTAGTCGCTCGAGATGGATATTAAATTAAATGGTTTTCAATTTACGCTATCAGCTCATTCTTATAACTTGGCCATATTGACAAAAACCGTCTTCTTGTCCGTGAACATGCGCAGTGCGTCAATGGCATTCTCTCTACCAAGACCAGACGTTTTGGTGCCGCCAAATGGAGCATTCAAGAAGCATATACTGATGGCATTGATGCCAACCATCCCAGCATCAAAGTCTGACGCCAATCGAAGAGCGCGGTTGATGTCCTGGGTGAAGACACCGGCCATGAGACCATATTCTGTGTCGTTGGCCTTCTCGATAATCTCCTCCTCGGTCTTGAACTTGTTGAGGATGGAGACGGGGCCGAAGATCTCCTGCTTGCAAACTTCGGAGTCCTCAGCCACGTTCTCAAAAATGGTCGGCTGGACAAAGTAACCCTGGAGAATCACTGTTAGTAATGGCAATGGAATTGAGTGAGTTGTCACCTACCTCGGATCCAATTCGACCACCTCCGACAAGGACGTTCCCTTGCGTCTTTCCACGTTCAAGGAAGCCCATGACCCGATCAAACTGGGACTTGTCTACAAGAGGTCCCATGATGGTGCCCTTGGCATCTGGATCACCGGCTGTTTGCGCCCTTCGGCCCATCTCTGCCTTGTAAGCGGCTACGAACTTGTCGTAGATGCCCTCCTGTACATACACACGGCTCGCGGCGAAGCACACCTGGCCAGTGTTGGCCGTGATCGCATTCGCGCACCACTGGACCGCATTATCCAAGTCGGCATCGTCGAACACGACAGCCGGGCTCTTGCCTCCCAGCTCCAGAGTCACGCGCTTGAGGTTGGACTTGGCAGCCATCTCCTGGATGCGCCGCCCCGTCGCCGTCGAGCCCGTGAAGCTGACCTTGCGCACCTTCATGTGGCTGGCGAACAGGGCCCCCGTTCTGCCGTCGCCGGAGACGATCTGGAACACCCCGGGAGGGAAGCCAGCCTCCTTGATGAGAGCCCCCACGGCCAGGGCGGCGAACGGGGTCTTCTCAGAGGGCTTGAGGATGAAGACGTTTCCGGTCGCCAGTGCTGGCCCAGCCTTCATGCCTACATTGCCCATGGGCCCGTTCCAGGGGATGATGCCGGCGCACACGCCGAGCGGCTCGTTCCTCACAATTTTGAGGAAACCGTCCTCCTGCGGATACGTCTCCCCGGAAAACTTATCCGTCCAGCCGGCAAAGTACCGAAAACTCTCGGCGGCGAGGCCCAGCTCAAAGACACCGAAAGACTCCCAGGGCGCACCGAGCGTCAGGCGGGTCAGGGCAGACAGCGTCTCGGCATTCTCGTCGATGAGGTCGGCCAACTTGTTGAGGCAGTCGCGGCGTTGTCTGGCGGTGGACTTGCGCCACGTCTTGAAGGCTTCAGCACCGGCGGCGACGGCGGCGTCGACGTCCTGCTCGCCGGCCAGGCTGACATCGTTGGCGACAAGCTTGCCGTTCTTGGGGTTGAAGACCTCGATTTTCTTGGGGTTGGTTGAGTTGACGTACTGGATAGTCGCGGTCAACATCTGACAGGCTTGCAAGGCTTCCTCTCATTCGCGTTGTAGTCTTACCTCGTTGTTAATGAATAGCTGTTTCGGCAGATTGTCTGCGCTGAAGGGAAGTTTGAAGGTCATGGTGATGGATTATGCCTAGTGAAGCTGAATCTATCTTGCGGGTATGATAGGTCCGATGGGGAGCAAGCTTCTTGATTTATCCAAGACTACACGAGCGAGTGGAATATCTAAAGACACAATTCATGCAGAATGAGGCTAAATCTATATGAATTAAGATACATTACACCCACACTCCTCTGCTTCAGCTCTCTGGCCGCGGGAACGAGGCGGAGGCCGAGCCCGAACATGTGCCATCTTCACTCCATCGGTTAGGCTGGTGCATGGAGGAGCACAGCCGGGAGGGGAATTGATTTCCTCATCTTGGCAGAGTCACAAACTTAATTAGCTATTCATGTGTTGGCAGATCGAGTCAGTGATGTTGATCAATATCCCCAAGCATGACTCAAACTTGGTCCCGGAAGCCAACTCCCGGGAGGATGAAGAGAGCGGAAGACGACAACGAGACTTGCCACACACCCTTACGCGAGCTATTGACAGGAGCTGCCACACCTTTTGGAAATAGAACTAGCATGGCTCCGCCAAGATGCGGGGAAATGGATGCACCCTTATGATATGTCATGGAGGGGGGAACTGATACTAGGCAATGTGTCTGGGGTTATTTAGAGGGGAACTTTCTGGTGTCTGATGACTTTGTCCAGGTAGATATGGTCATAAATGTCAGGTCTTCTAGGAGATCTAGGCCCACCGCAGTCGAATGAAGGCTCCGACAACACGGTGATTAATCTTATTCTGTCATACCTGCTTGACGGTTGCAGTTGCAACGCCAAGCTTGCCACTCAATAATGGTAATTTAGAGTCGGTGTTAACATAAGGCCGGGCGGTGGTATGGTAACATGGATGCTCGTAGATTTACAGATTTGGTTCCCGACATATGCAGTATGCAGCCTTGATGAATCATGGTCAATGTGACGACACAACGGCCTGATCTGCTCTTTGGTTTGTAATCGGTTGTAATTGCATACGCATGGATGGAACTCTAGCATTCGGTTGTTGGGGAATTGAAGCATAATTCTTGGCCTGTACTAAATATTACATGCAGCCATGAAGTTACTCTCCTCGAGACATGATACGCGCGTTTACATGAGCTAGATATGATGCTACCAACATAATTTACAACGAGTCCTCCGGCATTGTAATGATCTTCTCCCCATACTGCTCGGCAAACGACGCAGCCAGAGCGTTGTACTTCTTATGCCTCTCAGTAATCTCCGCCGCCTTCTTCATCTCGTCCCGGCCGACCTGATGCCGATGAGCCGCATCCGGCCCGTCGGCGAGACGCACGAAGCGTGCGTACGCCCAGAGCTTGGGCATCGGGGAGTGCTCGTTAGTCACGCCCTGGCCACCCCATAGCTGCATGCACTCGTTGATGATCTTCTCGACCGTCGCTGGGACGAGGATCTTGGCCTGCGCGATGCTCTTCTTGCCGGCAGACTTGAGCATCTTGTCGTCGTGGGCGTAGAAGTCCAGCGTCTCCGTCGCGTTGTAAGTGATTTGCCTCATGGCGTCGAGCTCGAGCCGCATCTGGGCGACTCGCTCGATGTTGGAGTCGAACTCCCCGATCAGCTTGCCTCTCGGCTTGAATCGTGCATCATTGCAACGCATGATGGCCAGCTCAATGGCTCGCTCACATTGACCTAGAAGACTTCATGTGATCCCGTCAGCAACAGTGTTAATACTTCTGATATCAGATGCACTTACCGCAGGCAATGGTGGATTCTACCGGGTCCAAGCCGGCCCTGGGCAATGGCAAACCCTTTTCCGGGGCCAAGAATGACGTTTTCTGCCGGGATTCGGACGTTCTCCAGGGTGTATTCTCCATGACCCTCTGGTGCCCACGAGTAGCCTAGTAGTCGAGCATGTTAGTCGCGGGCCCATTACTGGGGAACGATTGATAAAAAGACCACTGGGAAAGTAAGGATCTTACCCAAGACGTTGAGATTCCTGACTTGCGTGAAGCCGGGCGTATCAGCAGGTACAATGACTGTACTGTGCCGCTCCCAAGGATTTGGGTTCTCCGGATCAGAACATCCCATCATGATGTAGAACGCAAGGCCCTTGTTCCACATGCAGTTGCCGTATATCTTGCGGCCGTTGATGACATACTCGTCACCGTCTTTGGTGATGCGAATACCAACATTCGTAGCATCGGACGCCGCAACATCCGGCTCCGTCATGCTGTAGGCGGAAGACGCGGTGCCCTCCATCAGCGGCCTCAGCCACTTCTCCTTCTGCTTGTCGTTGCAGAACTTGGCCAGGAGCTCGATGTTGCCGCTCTCGGGCGCGTGGCTGTTGACCGTCTCGGAGGCCCAGTAGCAGCGGCCCAGGATCTCCGCGCAGCAGGCATACTCCAGGTGCGTGAGCCCAGGGCTCTCCTTGAAGTGGTGAGGGAGGAAGAGGTTGAAGAGGCCCTTCTCCTTGGCCTTGGCCCTCAGCTCGAGCATCACAGGCGGTCTGGCCCACTTGTTGCCCTCGAGCTGGGCCTCCATGATGTGCTCGCGGGGGATGCATTCGTTTTCTACCCAGTCGAACACGGCCTGGATCTTCTCAATGGCCATGGGCCGTAGCTTGGGGAGGACCCATGGGGGGATGTGGGCGAATGCAGGGCCCGACAGATGGGCGTTGGCGGACATGATTGATGTTGCACTGATTGATTAGGTGTTTGTTTTGGATATTCTCTATGCTTCCAATGCACCATGACAGACCGAACTGATGAATCCAACATTTTGGGGATGTTTTGTTGGTGGTTATGGTTCAAGGATATCTACAGCCGAGGTCGTTCTCTGCCGTGGTCCGGCTTGTGTGGGGTAGTGAATCATTGCAATTGCCTGGGGATGGGAGATGGACAGCCGTATGAAGCCCTTTGATTCCTTGCCTCGTAATTAAATTGACCGGTTATCCCAAGGTTGATAAATCATACGATAATTGATCCTCGGGTCTTGGACTTTTCCCTAGTCATGTCTCTATGTTTGCGTAAGGTATTGAAATGAACAGCATCCCGAGCACTGGTCATATTGGAGGCAGATATTTAAGCGGCCATGATCAATTGAGTATAATCATATCTATGGAATAATCTTGGCTTTGCGGTAGCGATCAAATGCAGTGTACCATGCTGTCTTGGTGTCAATTTCCTCCTTGGCATCTCCCATCAGATCATGAACCAGCGTCATATCGAGATGCCTGTCAAAATCAAACATCCGCATGATGAAAATAGGGAAACCTGCGTAGCTACGGTCATTCCCAACCCGCCCAGTGGCAAGACCGTACTTCTGCTCAACCTTCTTCCACTCGTCAATGTGGTTTGCTAGAAACTCGGCAGGATCAGGCCCATGGCCGTCGGCAGGGGGCCCAACGCCCTTGAGACCAAAGTAGTCGCAGATAATGGGCCACTTGATCTCCCAGGTAGCAGGCTGGGAGTTATCAGCGGCATTAAATCGCTTGCCTCCGGACTTCTCGGGATGCAGAGACGCATGGATGGCTGTCTTGGCGACGATGTCCTGAGAGCTGTCGTTGCATCGGATCTTGTACGACTTTTCCGTCCCGGGAAACTGAACCTCGCTCCCCTTGCCATGAATCTCTGCATGAAGAGAGAGATAAAGACCCAGCCACTGCGCGAGTGAGTAGATGTTTGAGTTCGGAACAAAGCCGACGATCATATCCGGGATCACGTCACACCAGGTCCAGGCTTTGCCCTTTGATAATTCTGCAAGCTCGTCGCATTGCCCGTAGTAGAACATCTGAGAGGCATAAGGTTCTGGGATACGAGGGAGCGATTCTGCGAGGGGAAGCTTGCCGCTGAATGGGAATTTGTCCAACAGGTGCACCCCATATGCCTTTGTGCCGGTGGGAAGAACGACAAACTTGAGAGAGGGGGACAGTTTCTCAACAGCCTTGACAGCCCGTGAAAGCAGCTCTCTATTGATGGACACTTCCTTCTGAGGGTCGGCATCCATGATGTAAGCTTGTATAGATCAGCAAGCTGCCTCTAGATATCACTCCCATTGCTATCGACTTACCGAAGAAATAGACATGGGTTATTTTGGATATATTCTTGATTTTGGACTGGAGCTCCTCCTCCAAGCCGCTCTGTCCCTTTGGGGTCAAGATGTCAATGCCGCTGACGACATCTATTTTGTTGGATTGTGGCCATTGTGCCGTCTCGGCACTCAGAGGTCGATTGGTGAGGGCTGTGATAGATTGAAACGTCTCTGGTGACGGGTAACCCTGAATGAGGAGGTTGGTGATTGCCCAACCGGTGATGCCGCTGGCACCTAGTGTGGTTTAGTTTACATACGTGATGGGCAGGATGGGGTTTTGTATTACCAAAGATTAAAGCGTGATTTGCAGCCATAGTTAAGATTGGTATCTAAAAAGCTTTGGATCCTAGAAAGGTTCAACTGGGGTCTAGTTTCTCATCAGAAGGATTATTCACGTAAACTATGGACTCTACTTGTTCTCCAGCAGGCGTCGTCGTCTCTATATTGGAGGGCGGGGAGCTCATCCCCATAGCTCCAACCCACATCTAGAAGCCAATCTAACAACGGATATACACAAGCTTGTCACAGAATAACAAGGATCCATCTGAAATCTCCACGTCCCCAAGGGCGTGTGATGAATCATGGGTGAGCATCGTTGAGTCAGGAAGGCTGCTTGAGCTAAGTCGTTTGGTTGGCCGCCTGAGTCTTGCAACGACTCCTGAACCCCTCGCCTAAACCAGAAACACAACTCATTGGCCTAAGACTGAAGCCAAGGCCCATCTGTCTGAACTCTCGGTAATTGTTTGGTTCGTTTTGGTCGTGTGAAGTTACCCCGAATTACACCTCCGCATCTGGGACTGGAAGCGCTCCACATCGACGCAGGAAAAGCTTACCCAGGCAGATCAACTCTCCCAACAACATCACTCTTTTTCCTGAGTAGAGCTTCTGAAAGAAGCGCCTGGGGCTAGGGGACTGTTTTAGGTGTAGTTGGATCGCTATGTTCCAAGCAATTCAACCCACGGCGCGCGTTCTAGAGCGTGGAAATATGTATCCCCAAACTGAAGCCGCCATCTAGGTAGTATACGCATAGGGAGATTTGCCATGTCCCCTCTTAGCTCGCTCGGAAATCAACATGCTCTTCCCATCCTTGTACGTACGATAATTGGCCTTTCCTTCTGACTGCCATGGTGAAGATCGCGTGATTCGCGGGCAAGTAGACAAGCCAATCCCCAGGGAGGTTTGGAGTATATCTACTTAGCTTTCAAGTCAGGCTCTGGCTGTCATCTTCCCCAACCTCAAGAACCCTTTGTACCTTTCAACCCCTCTCCCTCCTCCTGTTGACTATCCTCAACACTTCCTGTCTACAGGATGGCGCCTCACGTTGAAGAAGAATTCATCACGGCCAGCGTGACGAGCGCTGCCAAGAAAGAGAAGATCCCAGAGACAAACGAATTCCTCAGCAATGGCACCAACGGACACAGGGCAGAAGAGTTCTGGTACCCTCCCTACGTGCCAAAAGATGCCACTTACCGTGTCCTTCCCCAATACCACTCCAAACCTACCAAGATCCGTACCATCTGCATTGGTGCTGGCGCCACTGGGATTGCCTTGGCATATAAGATGGAGAGGATGCTTGAAGAAGGCTCCTGGGAACTGACTCTCTACGACAAGAACCCTCACTTTGGCGGTACATGGTATGAGAATACCTACCCCGGAGTAGCATGTGATGTAAGTTACCCCAATGTACATTTATCACATACTAGACGCCCCCGTGTAAAAAGGTTCATCTACTGATATTTTCAAGATCCCTTCTCACCTCTACAACTACTCATGGGACCCCAAACCAGACTGGTCGCGATACTACGCCCCCGGCGACGAGATCCAGAAGTACTTTGAGAACTTTGTCGAGAAACATGGCACCAAGAAATACATGAAGCTCAACACCAAGGTGATTGAGGCCAAGTGGGAAGAGGACAAGGGCATGTGGAGCGTCACCCTCGAGGACCAAGCCTCCAAGGGCACATGGCAGGACTGGTGCCACGTCCTGATCAACGGCACCGGCATCCTCAACAGCTGGAAGTGGCCGGACATCCCCGGCCTCGACGACTTCGAGGGCCCCAAGATGCACTCTGCCGCCTGGGACCACTCTGTTGACTTCAAGGGCAAGACTGTTGGCGTCATCGGCACGGGCAGCACGAGCGTGCAGATTGTGCCGGCGCTGCAGCCAATCGCCAAGGATCTCAAGGTCTTCATGCGGTCCAGCACCTGGATCAGCCCGCCATTGTGAGTATTTTCAATGCGTACCTTCTCCCCACAACAGAATTAGAAACAGGGCAGGGTGGCGCTAACAATCTGGCAGTGGAGGGGGCGTCCTCGAGAAGGAGCTGAGGAAGGGCGAAGGTGGCGATCAGCCGGGAAATCGCCAGTACTTCTTCACGGAGGAGGACAAGCAGAGGTTCCGGGACGATCCAGCCTACCACCTCGAGTTCCGCAAGCGCATCGAGGCAGAGATCAACTCTCTCTTCGGCATGTACCAGCAGAACTCGGAGATGAACAATGCGTTCCGACAGGTAATCACCGACGAGATGAACCGCCGCATGGGGCCCGGGCACGACAAGCTCAAGGAGTTCATCATCCCCAAGTGGTCGCCCGGGTGCCGAAGAATCTCTCCCGGGGATGGGTACCTGGAGGCCCTGGTCCAGCCCAACGTCGAGCCCGTGTACGGCGGCATTGAGAAGATTGTCAAGGAGGGTGTGGTTGGAGAGGACGGGACGCTGCACAAGATTGACATCTTGGTATGCGCGACGGGCTTCAATGTCGCCTTCAGACCCCGGTTCAGACTTATCAATGGCGCGGGAAAGACGCTGGATCAGGATTGGGATGCACTGTCGACTGGTGGTGTGAATCTCTACCTGGGAACCAGCGCGCCGAGGTTCCCCAACTACCACGTTATAGTTGTAAGTGCGACTCTGGAGGGGCAATGGCGTCTTTTTTTCTTGCTTTACTGACGGGAACTACAGGGTCCGGGTGCGACATGGAGCTCTGGGACGTTGCTGCCCTCGATCGAGACGACTATCGAGTACGCGGTCAAGATGATGAGGAAGATCCAGCACGAGAACATCCGCTCCATCAGCGTCAAGCAGGAGGCGCTCGATGACATCTACGCCCACTTCGACGAGTTCCACAAGACGACCGTCTTCCAGGAGGAATGCCGGAGTTGGTTCAAGGACGGCAAGATGAAGCAGAGGATTTACTTGTGGCCTGGATCCGTGAGTGCACCCCCCATCACAATGCGCAATGCATCGCCACTACTATTTTGATACCTTCCCCTCTTTCGGCTTCACCTGCTACCCTCCTCGCTGCGTCAGTGACAAAACACGGCTGCTGTGTGGGTTGCAGTGACCTTCTAGACCAGTACCACTCCGATATGCATTACTACGCACTTCCCATTTGACCGAAGGCTGACATCCCACTGCCGTTTATAGACCATCCACTTCCTCAAGTCAATCAAGGAACCGCGATATGAAGATTACGACATCAAGTATCGGTTCGGCAACCGGTTCGCCTTCCTTGGCAATGGAGAGGTCAAGGCCAATCTGACCAACGACTGGGAGGGGCTGAGCACGTATGTGAGGGGGAACGACAATGACTGGAACGTGGACTGAAGGGCGAGCTACGCACTGTACCATATTACGAGGGAAGCATGATCAGGAAAGACTTTTGTTGATGGGATTGGGGGAAGTGAATGGGAGGGTGAGACTAGAGTATATATGCAAGCACGCATGAATGAGGGGAGCCTTGCCTGAAGTTTTATTCATTCAATTGATGCGATCCAAGCTGACGCCGTGAGCGAATTCCAACTGTGCGAGCGAATTGAGTAGAGGACCGAGCAAGTTCTACAACGATCTGTGTGACTTCATCATGTCGACATATGGTCACTGTGATGGAACATGCGCATCGGGCGGGAGACAGGGGCCAGAGCATGGAAAGCATCAATCTCACAAGTAAGCGAATGGCGAAAGCAATAACCGGGGAAACTGCGTGAATGGATGGGGAAAACGAATGTAGAGGACATGGACCAGGTTTGAGCGAGCATCGGCGACCCTCCAATGAAGCACCGCGTGCATGTCATGTTGCCTTGCAGATCGGGCAGCAAACGAGAGCGAGCGAGGGGAGGGAGGGCAGATTGATTATGTGTTCATCACTCATCACACGGCGAGTCAAGCTCTGCAACCCTTTGGCCAACCACCCGCGGGGGATAGGCAGGGGATAAGCATGCAGGCAGCTTTGGTTCTGGTGCTGTTCACGCGTCCCTCCTCCAAGAGAGCGGCATCCCTCCGGTCAGACTAAACCCTTTAGCCCAGGGCCGAGTTTAACCCCCTCACTGCAACGTGCGTGCGGTATGCCACATACGCTCAGCTCACGACCAGGCGCTCGATCTAGACTAGATCGTGGGGAGGGCAGATACAGCACGAGTCAGAAGCTGTGGGGGTCTTGATCCAGGGCTATTCATGGAGTCAGCCCTCCATGACGCCGGGGAGATAGCAGAATGCGGGGTTTGGGATGGACGAGAGAGGGTGGAAGGCCTGGGCGAGGGGACCAGAGACTCCAGAGTCACATCCCCCATCTCCTGACCCTGGTGAAAGCACCAGTCTGCACAAGTAGGAGATTCTGATTGGGGAAAGTGATAGTGCGGGTGGCCAACGCACTCGAGCACGAATTACGTCGTGCCCCCTTACTCCCAACCGGCTCAGCGAGGTGGTGTCTTGCTGTAGTCCAACGTCGCCAAGTCGCCTCTAACCCAAGAGATTTTACACTCTGGCCCATCCACGACCCTAATGCTTGACAAGGCCGCTAGCAGCAGCAATTATTTGTCTCACACCCTGTCCTGATCCAACAGTTGCTCCACCTCCATCCCACCACCCCTTTTGACGAAGACCCAAGTGCTACTACCCCAGCTTCTCCCCACCTCGTCCCACCCGGAATTCCTATTTCCACAGAGAAATAGCCGGGGCAATTTCCGGCAAATCGGGTTTTCGTCGTCGAGGATGCCCGTGCTACCAGCACGTCCCCTCTGACTGGCCCGCGGGTTCACACTTGTGCTCTGGCAACCCCTGGTCAGAACCCACCCGGCCTCGCCTCTTTGATAAACCACCACAATAGCAAAACCTGTGATATTGCTGGCGGACGCGTCGGCACAGTCCAACACAATCTGGGGCCCCGGGTCTTGGCGCGCCTCAGAGTGATTTGGCTGTGGAGAATCTCCCGGAGATACTTGGGTCACACCTCGATCTTCTGGCCAGTCCACAGGCTACGGCCCATGGATTGGGAATGGGGCCTCCTCTGCTGCCTGCCTCCACCGGCCTCGCGAGCTTGTCCCACTGGGATTGTTGCGAACTGGGTCTCGGTGGGCTGAAAGAGCCCGCCCCCGGACGCCAGTGGGTTGGAACCCCATGACTTTGATTAGCTGGAATTGATCCGCTGTCGGACGTAGCGCCTTGCCTGCCTGCCTGACCGTGTCAATGGGTTCCTGTTACTGATCGTAGCGGGTTGCCCGGGGTTAATTGGAGCGAAAGTCAGTCTGTGGGGGAGCGAGGAAGCCATCCATGCCCCCAACTCCGCAGTCCACACCTGTGACAACTTCAGCTCCCTCGCCCAGGAGGACAAGACCCTTTTCCCCATTTTCATCCTCTCCCATACGTGTGTGTGCTCCAATTACTGCGCAGTCTCTGCTGTCTAAATCTCTTAATCTACATTACCAACCGGCGCTCTTCTTGCTTAATCTCCTAGACTAGAGTGACGCCTTTCTCATTTATCCTATTCACGGGGCGATCCCTGACACACTCGCTCGGTGTATCCCTATTAAAACCCCATAATCATGTCTGCCGAAGACACGAGGGACGAAGGTGAGACCATCACCCTCGCCGGACAGGCCAATATATCCCCACGCAATGGAAGCAGCACAAGCTCCCGCCAGTCTGGACGTCAGCAGGTTCGCCATCGCGCCTCAGTAGCCTGTGCCTCCTGTCGCGATAGACGGATCCGTTGTGTCGTCCCCCAAGGTCAGGCAGAGTGCAACCAGTGCCGTAGATCGGGGACTGAATGTGTAATTAAGAATGATGATGAGCGAAGACGGTAAGCTCAATGCCATGATTGAATTGCTGATCGAAACTGCTCACTCTTCGTGTCTAGACCAATCTCCAAGGCCTACATGTCCTCGCTTTCTGACCGGATATCAATGCTCGAGGGCATGCTCAAGGAGAAGGGAGTCCAGCCGCCTCCCGCCAGCCACCCTCCCAAGACCAAGCACGACCAGCAGAACAAATCGGCAGAGCCTCAGCAGAAGAAGAAGCGGTCTATTGACGGTGACCGCCAAAGCTCAATCGCGCCGTCATCGTATCATGCTGCCTCGCCGAGTGTGCATGTCCCTTCTCCACCAGACTCGCGCAATGACGAACCAATGAAGCCGGACTTGGACATGGCCGATTCAATGGCCAGCGTGGATGAGATCCATTTGACCCAGCAACAGCAGCAACAGCAACAGATGCCTCCGCCGTCGTTCCACATGGAGGGCTCCCCCCTTCGCATGCTGGATCCCAGGCAAGAGGACATTGTTCACCGTCTGCTATCCAACAAGGCCAATCTCTCATTTGACCAGCTCTCCGGACGGTTGCGCTTCTTCGGCCCCACGGCAAACAGTCACGTATACGCAGAATCGCCGGACCAGTTCGACTCCCGAGAGCCCCCGGAGCAGGTTCGCAGGGCGGAACGCATCATTCGTTCCCTAAGCACGGCCACCTACGACTATCTCATGTCCAACTTCTGGGAATATTACAACTCGGTCATCCAGGTTATCGATCGCGAGGCCTTTGAAGCGGACCGTGATTCGCAGCACCCTAAGTATTATTCCAGCTTCCTCCACATCTGCGTGCTGGCAATGGGCTACCGAGGATCGGACCAGACACGCGACGATATGAAGAAGATCTCGCTGGGGAACCGTGAGAGCACTCTTCATCGGGAGGCCAAGTACATGCTTGACATTGAGCTTGAGAGACCCGGGGGGATCCCGAGTGTTCAGGCGCTCCTGCTCCTCGGTGATCTTGAATGCGGGGTGGGAAGGGATAATACGGGATGGATGTACTCGGGTGAGTAAAGATGCTCTACAATGAGTTCCCTGAAGACGGTAGTACTGACGCAAGGTCTATTATGATAGGCATGGCAAACCGACTGGCATTTGACATTGGGCTTCACCTGGACTGCCGTACCGATGGCATGCCAGAGCAGGAGGTCTGCACTCGTCGCATGGTGATGCGAGCGGCTGTCATCTACGACAAGTACTGGGCTTTGTTCCTCGGGCGACCTACGAGCATCAAGAGCCAGGACATCAGCATGGAGCTTCTCTCGGACAAGTTCTCCCTCCTCACCTCCGAGTATCTGCCATCGCCACTGGGACAGAACATGGTGACTGATATCTACGAGCAGCTGATCGAGCTAATGGAGTTGGCCGGTCGCATTGTAGAAACTCGCGACAGCCGTGGCCTCCGAAAGGTCGACCCAAACAACTACTTCTCGATGACCGAGGCAGAGGACAATGCCTATCTGCATGTGGTCAATCTCGACCGTCAGCTTCAGAACTGGTATCGCCGCCTACCTGACCATCTCGCGTGGAAGCCCGCCAACATCAAGACGGCTCCCTACAGCTTCTTCCTGCTCCATCAGCAGTACCACGTATCCATGATCCTGCTGCACAGGCCGTGGGCCAAGTACGACACCGGCGACGGCTCGAGCGTAGGCTCACGCACCGGATCTCACCCCAGCCCCGAGACCGACCAGATGGGCGAGCCTGGCACGGCGCCCGTGGTGATCGACAAGGAGAACTCCATCGGACTAGGCGATCCGCACTCGATGGTCCACGACAGCCGCGCCGCGCTCTCCCGCAGCATCTGCACGCAGCAGGCCATCCGCGTCTCCCGCATCTTCTGGCAGCACCGCCAGCGCTTCGACGGCCGCAAGATCTTCGTCACGGGCATCCAGCACGCCGGCACCTCGGCCCTCGCGCTCATCGCCGCGCTCGCCTTCCACAAGAGCGAGGCGGACCGGCGGACGTACATGGGATACCTCGAGATCCTGAGCGACGCGCTCGGCGACATGAGCCATACATATCATCCCGCCGCCCGCATGGACCATCTGCTCAAGGCGGTGCTGAACCAGGTCCGCATCAACCTGGGGGAGGACCCGCAGCAGAGCGCGATGCGAGGCCACGGCATGTTCCCCCTCAGCGGATCGGGCGACTTCGCAGCCCCGCCGGCGGTCGTGCCATCTCGTCGAGAGGCTACCGACGCGCACATTGGTGGTCATCCAGCGAAGAAGCGAAGACCCGGCGGCGGCAGCAGGCGGGCATCGGAGCTGCCGCGGCCTCCCCCGCCGTTCTTCTCGCAACCCACGCCGCCGAGCTCATCCTACAGACAGCAGCAGCAGCAGATGAACAGCGTGTTCGGCGGCGGCGGCGACATGAGCCACCAGCGGCACCGCGCGCACGCCGACTCCATGTCCTTTCCGCTGGGCAGCACGTCGGACGGCATCCACAGCTTCGACCTGAGCTTCCTCGACGGCTCCTCGGCCATCGACATGGACCTGAGCCAGGGCGCCGGCCGGCCGGACGACATGGCGCTCGTGACGCCCTCGTCGGACATGTGGGGATTGGGCAGGCTGCCTGGCGACCAGGACGGCGAGCCTCGCGGCGGGTTTGAGGCTCTGATGGATGACTTCGCGTTGGGGCCGGCGGGGTTGAGTGCGAGCTCGGTGCTGGGGCAGAATGGTAATGCAGAGAACGGGACGAAGCGGAATGAGGAGAATGGCCGCGCGCCGATGATGGATCAGGATGTGGCTGGTGGGATGAGTCCGCTCAGTATGAACAGCCTGATGCAGACGGTGGAAAAGGGAAACGGTGAAAATGAGGCGCAGCGGAATCACGATTTAGACTTCTTTAGCTTTACGTAGTGTGTTTGTAGCCTTGATATCAAATTGACCTTCGTATCATATTGATTCAGTGTCCCAAGGGGCTTGCATTGATTTGGGAGGGTGTGATCCCGCATATTGGAATATTGCAATAGACGATGGACAGAGCTGCAGCATGAGTGCGGGGTTTGCATTTGGGCTACGTATGACGATCAACTGGCGAGAACCATCACCGTCGCAGGCCGTTTGCTAACCACAGATCTGAATCATGGATGGGGATTCGCACAGAGATCTCGACCGGGGATACCGACAACTTCACTGCTGCCCGATATGCGGTGTTAGAGTTGGTCCCGAGGGAGAACGCCCCGAAGACCGCCAGGCACTTTGGGCACACAAGTATCGAGCATGTGCGTACTACCTACTACAGCTGGGCAGTCTGATGATGAACCCAACCCCGTCTTTATCTGAAAGCTTTACTGAGATTCTGTAGTGTATATGGATGAGCTAGCCCGCCTCAAACTGACCGAAGAGTGCGAGTTCATTGGCCCAGGACCCGAACACTTCTACCACATACACCCTAGCTCAAACGTTGCGTTCGCGCCCAACGAAAGCACCGAGGCTCTTGGAGTCGCTAACCAACCTGCCTACAATAATCGAAGGGGATTCGTCTTCCATGCCCACTGCTGGTGCATTCTGAGCATGGCCAACGGCCCGTCGCCGATCCCCCTCCGGAGACTGTTCGACATCTGCTCCTCTCTTCCCATAATCGGCAATACCCTCCATTGGGGCCATGACTATCAAGGACTGCCCCGGCTCTCCGACAACTCTGGTGATGCATCGGCTCACAGGCTTTCCGTGTCAAGACAGAGAGATTATATTGTTGCGTATGACCCTATACACGACTACCCTGTCGTGCTCATCGGTCGTTATCTCGACGTCCCGCCTGCTTGGCCTGTCCGCTCCATATCCAACCGTAGAAGAAACAGCGACGCACAGGATCCCTTCTCTCGCCTCCCAACAGAGCTGGTCCTCATCATCGCGGCACAGGTCGAAACTACCGACGTCCTGAAGATGCGGCAGGCGACCAGGGCATTCTGGCCACTCCTCCACGACCAAACCTTTTGGAAGACGAGGTTCGGCCCGGGGAGCGAGCGCGCCTGGCTCTTCAGCGTCTACGACGCCAAAGAGCACTCCTGGCTGTTCAACTCCTTCAACGAGCATGAACAGCGGCGCTGGCTGGAGTACGGAGCCTGGCAGCCTGAAGACTGGAGATCTCTGTGGCGGCAAACACGCCCGGGACGAGCAGGCCCGGATCTCAGCAATCTTCAAAGAGTGTGGGAGCTGGCGGAAGCCATCCTCCCTATTCTGCGTATGCGACCGGGGCCGACAGAGAATCACTACCCTCTGCCTGAGGAAGTCAATGAGGGGCACTGGTTGACACACCACGGAGAAATCCAGGAGCACATCGGGAGGGCCATAAGGACCGGAGATGCGTACCGCTTCACGCGCGGCTGCCGGGAGCTCTACAGCCTCCACAACGAGGTTAGCAAGAGCTTGTGCCGGCTCACCTTTTACTTCGTGGGCGTGGCCGGCTCGCGATATCTGGCGGGGCTGAAGATGACTGATCGTTCTGGGGACGAGCGGCTCATGGGCTACGAATCGTCGACTGCCGTGGGATTCTGCCCGCACAACTTGGGCCGCACCTTTAGAGGGTTCACTGCTGCGTCGAACACGAGTGGGATCACGGGTGTCCGCGTCCACTGGAGCACACACGTGTCGGAATGGATTGGGGAGGCTGAAAGTGACAGTACCTCGAAGATCTGGGTATCTAGGAGAGTGAGATTTATGGAGGTTGGGTTTGATGTGAGTCGATCGACACGTCCTGGATTGAATCTTGCTAATGAAAGCGATGTAGGGATTCAAAATTGTGAAGATCCGTGTGCATTATCCTGGAACGACCGTCATCGACGAAGAGAAAGAAAGGCAAAAATTGGCAAGATTGAAGGCACGCTTCCTTCATTGATTAGAGGAGAAGCAACAGTATGCCACCCAGACGTTGCTGACTGTCTTGAATGAGCATGTGAAAGTCACAACACGCATAATGTCGGCTCTTGAAGGTGGAGGTTCTTTGACGGGGTGAGATGGCACGGAGATTGATTGCAGCACCTTGGGCATATGGAACACGGCTAACGAGAGCATATTTCCACATCTAGCGTAACAGGCGAATAGAATACGTGGCTATAATATACAGGGATTTCTTAAATTACTATGGATCATTGTAAATCCAAGAAATAAAGATTATTTCCAATGTATTAGAGGCGTGGTGCGGTGTTTGACTACCACTGGACATCGCCCCCTGTAGCAAGAGCACATGTCGGCTGTAACACCACTTCACAAGCCATCGGTTGATCAGCAGGAGCCAGGTTTCAGAGGCAACTCGCATGAAGCAGATGACTCGTAGCATAGACCAATGCTATCGTTTCTTATTACCCGTCGAAACTCTCGAGCCAATTGACATGTATTAACCTAGAACTTGGAAGATGGAGGCCGATTCACTGCAATAGATGGAGCCAACCATTATGTCAGCCTCCCTCAGCGGGTTCTTATAGTGAATCAGTGACATGCTTCAGCACATTTATGCACCGCAGCCCCGCTAACTAGAGCCCAGCGGCCCCTGGCATCTCAGTCGAAGCCCTCCATAAACTCCGCGCTCACACCATCTTGGGAGATTTCAGGAAGCTCCCACACCAATCACTCTCCTCAATTGCCACACGCGGCTGTCACACCGGGCCGCCCCATCCAACTCGAGCCCTTCTTGTTTCTGGGTGTAACCTAACCGTCATCATTCCGGATGGCGGCGACCAAATAGGCAGGTTGAGAACTTCTAAGCGGCACTCCGATCTTCGAGAGCGGCAGGAGGGCCGCACGTAGCACGGCAAATCTCCAGTACTTGAACCGGCTGCCTCGCACCAGCTCATTGTACTACCATGGCGCAGTGGAACAGTCTTCTGCCTTTCCAAGGCATCCCTTCGTTTCAAAGCTATTGTTAGTCCCTTCTGCTTAGAATTTCCACTCCATGATGCGGCCCCTCCTTACACTGGCAGCAGTCGCTGGCTTCCAGTCCGGCTTTGTTACGGCGGTGAGCCTCAACGTCAGCGCCCTCACCTCGGGCGAGGTCGAGTCGGATTGGACGACCACGTACTACGCCAGTGCCGGCGAGCCCCTCCTGCTCGGTAACGATGGCGGTGCCTCGACGGGAGGTTTCCACGTGTGGGACCTGAATGGCGATGCGCCCCTCGAGGCAAGCAAGAGCCTTTTCACGGGGAGGGCAAAGCTGGTGTCCACGCTGTACGACATTGGCGGCAAGGATTACCTGGTGTCTATCCCCATGACTACCAGCGAACTGGCCCTCTACGAGCTGCCTGCCGTCTCTAAGGTCGATGACGCTGGCTATGTTGCACTCGGAGACTGGTCTGCCTTGTGCACGTGGAAGAGTCCCAGTAAGAATAACTATATATTCATCTTTGGAAAAACTGAGGGCATTCAATTCCTCGTCAGAGAGGCTGGGGATACAATCGAAGTTCTGCGGGTAAAAACTAACCTCACCATCGCCGTGGCAATTCTACACCATTTCTAACATGCAAGCAGGTTCAAACATTTGATATTCCGGCTGAAATGGCCGGCTGCGCTGTTTCTCAGGCAGAATCGAAGCTGTTTTTGTCACCTGATGGGGGCAAAAAGCTCTACGCCTTTGATCTGGCAGAGTCCACCAAGGCACCCGAGCTCTCATTGATCGGTGAAGTCGAGGATGAGATAACTGGCGTCACTGTGTATGTGTCCAAGAAGGGCTCCAAAGATTATCTGCTTGTAGCCCTCGAGAAGTCTGTCTCTGTCTACGAGTATCCGTGGACACTGGTAGGTAGCTGGGAGCTGGCTGGGGTGGAGGAGCCCGAGATCCAGGGAATCAGCTTGTATCAAGCCTCCACGTCCAAATACCCAGAAGGCGCCCTCGCCTACGCGATTGAGGGAGAGGATGTGCTTGGCTTTGGTCTTAGCAGCCTTGAGAATGCCCTGTCGGGGCTGAACATCGAACCAAACGTGGCGTATAACCCCCGAAATCTGGATGGATGCATCAAGCATTCGCCTATAACGGAGGCATGCTCCTTCAACGGTTTCTCCTCGAATGGCGCTTGCGATTGTCTTGCAGGATTCACTGGGGAGACTTGCGGCGAATTCAAGTGCGAAGATGACTGCTCCGGAAACGGCTCGTGTATCGGACCTGATACTTGTGAATGCAAGGAGGGCTGGGGCGGCCTGCACTGCTCTTTCTTGCTCGTCGAGCCTGAATATGAGACGGATGCTAATGGGTCTGATGGCGACGACCCTGCCATCTGGATTTCGCCCAAATCCCCCGAGCTGTCTCGCATCATCACAACCACGAAGGCCGGAGACGGTGCAGGCCTCGCGGTCTTCGACCTGAAGGGCAAGCAACTCCAGATGCACTACTCCAGCAAGCCCAACAATGTTGATATCATCTACAATTTCCAGGCAGGCAATCGTACTGTGGACCTTGCCTTTGCTGCATGTCGCGGTGACAATACCCTCTGGTAAGAGCTCTACACATGCTACATGCGAAAACAAAACCAAGATTGCTAATAGACATGGACAGCATTTTCGAAATTACTAACGAGGGTGAAATCAAGGACATTCCAGGTGGTATCCAGCCCTCGTATGCCGAGGATGAAGTGTATGGTTCCTGCGTCTACCACTCCAAGAAGACGGGTAAGCAATACCTTTTCGTGAACGAGAAATCGGCACGCTACATGCAATACGAACTCACAGCGAGTTCAAACGGTACTCTCCACACTGAGCTTGTACGTGAATTCGTGGGGGGATCAGGCGGGCAAGTCGAGGGTTGCGTCTCTGATGAAGACAACGGCTGGCTGATCCTTGGCGAGGAGCCCTCTGCCCTCTGGCGCTACGACGCGGAGCCGGATGGCAGTGAAGAGGGTCACAAGATTGCCTTTGTCGGGGATGGGAACCTCTACGGCGACGTCGAGGGTGTGACGCTTGTCCAGGGCAAATCCAGGGATGAAGGCTTCATCATTAACTCGTGCCAGGGCGTCAGCGCCTACAATGTCTACAAGCGCGCTGCTCCTCACGACTACGTCATGACCTTCACCATCACCGACTCTGCTGATGGTAGAATTGACCACGTTTCTAACACGGACGGCCTGGCTGTGGTGGGAGTCAACCTGGGATCTGAATTCCCCAATGGTCTGCTGGTAGTACACGACGATACCAACGAGCTACCTGGTGGCAAGGCAGCTGACCCCAACTCGAGTTACAAGCTGATCGGGTTGGACAAGATTCTTGCAGCCGGCCCATTCAAGGACTTGAATTTGTTGGACGAGACTGATCCCAACTGGGATCCCAGAGCTTAAAATGGGTTGCGTTCCGGGCTGGTACACCCATCTAGGACAGCTTCCGCTACCTTTCATGGATGCGAATCGTTGCCACCATCAAACTCTATCTAATCTCCTGACCTTGGTCATTTGTCAAGGTAAACAGGACTGGCCCCTCGGCGTGGGCTGACCGAGATACGGTGGATAACATGATCGCCGTGGCGGGCCGCGCGAATGGGAAATCGGGATGAGGGTGCTACCGTAAGACGGTCGCGCTGCATCAATTTTGCGGTGAACAGATCCCTGGGACAGTGGAGAAATTGCCCCTGAGTGATCGATTCCACAACTACACGAGTTCTGTACCCTTCGTCAGGGGTGGGTTACCTTCGGCAGGTGTCCGTGAGTGGTGTGCTTCGCTTGGTATCTGCCACACACTCACAATTTACAGCTGCCCAGCCCACAGGATTTATCCCAGTTTCGGGCTAATGAAGAGCTGATAGCTACATGAATGAATCACATGTGTATATTGGATATTCGTAACTTTGTCCCCTGAATCCGGTCCCATAATTCACATGTCTGCCCCCAACCAATTGAAACATGTTGAGTCGGAGAATCAGCCCCATCTGTGGCGGGAAACAGCTGACAATGGTGGCTCGTTGGAGGACTGTTACGAGCTCTGACAGTGATTCTGGGCCGCAGAGAATCAAATTCTGCGATGCCAATTTAAGCATAACGTAAGATCGGCCACCCAATCTTCCTATTCTTTGTTCTTCCTCCCTCAACTGGAACCTTTTTATCGGCCTTCTATCATCTCCCTCAACAGGCCTGAGCGGCAGAAAGGTAGCATTTATTCAATTGCCTCACCAAAGGGCAAAACATCGTTCTACCCAGCCCGGAACCCAACAGTAGGGCTGCGTATTGTCTCACCCCTGATCTCCCACCAGACCGCCGGGACGATCAGCTCTCTACCTTCATCCCATTACTAAACCCTCCTCAAAGACATCGCAGGAGGTATCAAAATGTCTACCCTTACCAACGGATCTGGGTCGGTTCCGGCCGATGCTTTTAGTAAGTCATCTAGCAGCGCAAAGCTCCATCGCGGCGCTGCGATTCATGTATTGGTGTGGACTGCCATAAAGTACTAACAACCCCTCGGTAGGTGTTCCTGCAGGTCTGCTCGATGGTGAGTGCAACCTTCTCCAACGCCAAGCACCGCCCATCATCTGTTCTCCAACTACTTTTCCCAGGGGGCCAGGATGTAACTAACCAGTCATTCCCCTCTCAGTGCACCCCAGCAAGCCCCATCTAGAAGGCAATGGCCTCTCAGCATTTGAAAACTACAAGCGGCTGCATGAGCAGTCCATCAAGAACCCGTCAGAATTCTGGGGATCGCTAGCCCGCGACCTCCTCACCTGGTCCAAGGACTTTGACATCGTCCGCCGCGGCAGCCTCGAGAGGGGAGACCTCTCCTGGTTCCTGGGCGGTGAGCTCAACGCCTGCTACAACTGCGTCGACCGCCACGCCTTCGCCACCCCTGACAAGGTCGCCCTCATCTACGAGGCCGACGAGCCCGAGCATGGCCGCGTGCTGACCTACGACGACCTGCTGCGCGAGGTCTGCCAGCTCGCGTACGTGCTCAAGGACATGGGCGTCAAGAAGGGCGATACCGTCGCCATCTACATGCCCATGGTGCCCGAGGCCATCATCGCCCTGCTCGCCTGCGTCCGCATCGGCGCCGTCCACTCCGTCATCTTCGCGGGCTTCTCCTCCGACTCGCTGCGGGACAGGATCAACGACGCCAAGTGCAAGGTGGTGCTCACGGCCAACGAGAGCAAGCGAGGCGGCAAGACCCACGCCATCAAGCACATCGTCGACAAGGCCCTCGTCGAGTGCCCGGCCGTCACCAGCGTGCTCGTCTTCAAGCGCACAGAGTCCGAGGTGCAGTGGATCCCCGGGAGGGACCACTGGTGGCAGGACGCCGTGAAGAAGTGGCCGGCCTACATCGCGCCCGAGCGCATGAACGCAGAGGATCCCCTGTTCTTGCTCTACACCTCGGGGTCCACGGGCAAGCCAAAGGGTGTTCTGCACAGCACTGGCGGCTATCTGGTGGGTGCCGCCGCTACTGGTAAGTATGTGTTTGACATTCATGATTCCGACAGCTTCTTCTGCGGCGGTGATATCGGTTGGATTACAGGGCATACCTACGTTGTATATGCGCCTCTCCTACTTGGCGTTTCAACGATTGTCTTTGAAGGCAGCCCGATGTATCCTAATCCTTCTCGGTATTGGGATATCATCGACAAGCACAACGTCACCCACTTTTATGTTGCCCCGACTGCGCTCCGGCTCCTGAAGAAGTCGGGCGACCAGCATGTTACTGGGGACCGGGCCTATCTACGCGTGCTTGGATCAGTTGGTGAGCCAATCGCTCCTGAGGTGTGGAAGTGGTATTTCGAAGTGGTCGGCAAGGGACAGGCCCAAATCGTTGATGTAAGTCATCTCTCTCTCTCGCCCAAAAGTAGCTTCATGCTGGCTATCATCAGAGGCTCACCGCGCGGGACAGACATATTGGCAAACAGAAACAGGATCCCACGTCATTGCTCCCCTCGCCGGAGCCACCCCCACCAAGCCAGGCGCAGCCTCGTTCCCCTTCTTCGGTATCGAGCCCGCCATTCTCGACGCCGCCACTGGTGAGGAGATTGACGGCGCCAATGTGGAGGGTGTCCTTGCCTTCAAACAGGCCTGGCCGAGCATGGCCCGCACCGTCTGGGGTGCCCACGACAGGTATATGGACACTTATCTGAGGCCCTTCAAGGGATTCTACGTAAGTATTCCATGCTCCCACTTCCCTTCCCTTAATTCTCGCGGCTAACCCAAAACTCGCAGTACACCGGCGACGGAGCCAGCCGCGACAAGGACGGGTTCTACTGGATCGGCGGCCGCATGGACGACATCATCAACGTCAGCGGCCACCGCATCTCCACCGCCGAGATCGAGGCCGCCCTGATCGAGGACTTCACCGTGGCCGAGGCCGCCGTCGTCGCCGTCCAGGACGAGATCACCGGCCAGGCCTCGGTCGCCTTCCTGACGCTCAAGGACCACCGCGCCGTCACGCCCGAGATCCGCGACGAGCTGATCCTGCAGGTGCGCCGGACCATCGGGCCCTTCGCCGCGCCCCGGAGGATCTACGTCGTCGACGACCTGCCCAAGACGCGCTCGGGGAAGATCATGAGGCGCGTGCTGAGGAAGATCCTGGCCGGGGAGCAGGACCAGCTGGGCGACACGTCGACCCTGTCCGATCCCACTGTGGTGGAGCGGATCATTGCGGCCGTCCAGGCGGGTCCCATCTAGTTTACTATTGTTTGATGCCGTCGTTGGTCCAACGGCAAGGGAATTCGGCCTTGGTTGTATAGATATTAAGGGAAGCACCAAATGTGCGTGTGATGGATGTGCAGGGCAGCGGCATAATGAGCAAATGATGGAAAGGGTGGCCAGCACAGCAAATTCGGAAGAAAGAATGCGGGGAAATCATGTTTACTCTGATGCATTTATTATTAGTAGCATTCTTGTTATTATCTCATTATTATTTATCTCCTCGTCTTCGCTACGGCCAGCTCAGTTAGGTCTGTACAAATTGACTGTCGCGGCAGCTGACTGCGGGATCGGGTCTACAGCAAGCGCTCATCTCAACATAGGCCGGCTGCTATGATTTGATTGCCATAGCAGCGGGCGGCTATGAGCAGACGCTTTCTACGAAGACTAGAGTAAAATTAGCAGTAAACCGATATAAATTGATAATATGCAGTGTATTCGTTGTTGGGTATGTGTTATTAGCCCTCAATAATCCCAGAACATGCAGCCCGAGATGTATGTTGGGGGAGGGAGATATCTAGATAAAGAGACAAAGAAATGTATTCCGATTAAGATCCCGTTACTAAAGGAAAAAACATCAAAGCACATTCTATTGCGAAAGACATAAGAAAAGAACAGAAAGAAGAAAGAGAAGGGGGGAGCGAGCCGCTGCACTCAAACGTCTGATGGATCCAGGTCAGTTGGGGATGCCGGAGCCGATTCTCCCTGTCAACGCTTGGTTGGGGGACCATCCCCATCATCATCGTGGGTCCTCTTGTTCGCCGCCGTCGTGTTCGCTGCCATCATGTTCGCCGCCATCATGTTCGCCGCCATCATGCTCGCCGCCATCATGTTCGCCGCCGTCATGTTCGCCGCCGTCATGTTCGCCTCCGTCAGGCGTCTTTCCAAGATGACATCGATAGCAGCCACAATGCGGCCCTGGCGTTCTTCAGCCCACTTGAAGATCTGCTTGATGCACCTCCCTAGGTCTTGACGCTGTGCTGTGTTGTATAAAAGAAAACCACGAATGAATTTCATATATTTTCTTTTGCCGTCGTTTCCTGCGAATGTTATAAACAGTCTGGCCTCCGTACCGCTTGCAACCAGACCAAAGATATGGCCGTCGAGCGTATCAGCCACTTCCACAGCCCCTCGTGTCTTTACCTCATCCCGTAGTTTCATCATGGTGCGAACGCACGTGGCAGTTGCTACCAGGCATTGATTTGTGGCGACCCAAAGACTGCCGGTGGAAGCACTGTCCCCCTTATAGTCAACTGAGAGGAAAGCGAACTTGGCAAGGTTTGTGTCCCAAGCATTCAGTTGCCCGGGTTGCACGTGCGGGAAGCTTTTCCCCCGATACCCTAGAAGCAGATCCGGATTGGGAATGCTGATATTGCCCACGGTGGAGGAGGATTTAGGAACGTCATCTCTTCTCATGGGCCCATCGTTACGGCGCACGTTCTTGGGAAGTTCTTTTTTGGAAAAGAAGTAAGAATCGAAGAAGCGAGTGACTTCTTGCTCATTTGCGCCATTTATGGCCATGTTTACACATTCATCAGAGAGGGACTGAGATCCTAGCTCTCCCTTTGGGTCTGGCGTTTGGCCACATTTAGAGTTGATGACGTCTATCACCGACTGAATGTTAGTTGCCACCGTCTCTTCGGCTTCAAGCAGAATCACCTCAGTTGCTTGAAGAGTGTCCCGGTAGCCGCGGTCCAGAACAGGCCTTGGGTTCGCCTTGGAGACTGGTTCCACGCCAGAAACCCCTGCCGAATGATAAATGGTCCCCTGGTCCTGTGGACCGATGGTGGAGTCTTTCAAGGTCGACTTAGGTGGCATGTTGGTGTAGAATTCGGGCAAGATCTGAACGTTCGTGTCCGATCTGGGTCGATGAATGCGGTATGGCTTGATAGATTCCAGCCAGTTAAGGAGACGTTCGCCTTGTTGTGATTGTCTGAAGCCAGGCGACTTCGAGTGTGGATTTTCGTAGAGGGAATATAGCTTCAAAGGTCAGATTCAGGCATACTGGCTGCGGGAGGTCAACGGCAACATACTCTTTGGGGAGGTTTGTCTGCGACCTTGGTGTCTTGGCCAGCTTCCCGCTGATTTAGACCCTGTTCTTCGTCGATTGTATCTATTCGTTCGTGGACGGGTGGTTCTGCTCGTTCGTGGGCGGGTGGTTCTACTCGTTGCTGGACGGGCGATTCAGCTTGTTGCTGGACGGGCGATTCTGCTTGTTGCTGGACGGGTGGTTCTGCTCGTTGCTGGACGAGTGGTTCTGCTTGTTCCATATACTTAGCAGGGCCTTCCCGGCTCTGAAGAGGCCGACAACTTACCTTGAGGTTGCCCGGATGCCTGAGCAGAGAGTTCTGTTGCTCGCACTCTAGATCTCGTTCCGAACATGTTGGAGGAAGCTGTGAAAGAAGAAGGTACACCCAGATGATATTGATGTCACCATGCAGCAACGCGTTTGGTAGCTGGTAGCCTAGCGGAACATATCAGAGATATGAACCGCTAAACCGAAGAGTAATGGACAGGGGTAAGTACCTTAGTTAGGTCGCTGGCCGGAGCAGCGTGCCGTTGCCTGCTTGTTTGCTCTCTCAATATTGGTAAAAAAAAAATCGGCGGTGGCCCTGTGGCGCTGCTGGTTTGTCGAGCTTGTGTCACCAACGGCGTATTACGGATCTTCCCTCCCACTGTCCGATCTGTTTCTGCCTTCCTTCCTCGGTAACTAAGTTATCAACACAGCTTAGAGACAGATAATGAGATATTATTGCTGCTAGATCAAAAGTACTGCAATAGGCTACAGCTTACTATCATCAATGGGTATTTTCTTGCCGGACGTGAGGGATATCATATCCCACGATCAGACTACGTTTATACACGTGACTATAGCGCACAAAGCATTCAGCACAAATTGCAGCATGCACCCGAACCGAACATGTACAAAGGAAAATCAGGGAAAATTAACGCTAATTGACTGAGCACAGGTATCAATGCCTCCAAAGCTCCAACAAGGGTGGGCCGACATAGACCATCTCAGCTATGGCCCCCAGAGGGAATACTCATGAGCACACCTCTTTTCAAGTTTCTGCAACATTATTATACCTGATCCTTCACCATAGTTATGCCGACCACCATGATTTGTTGGGGGGGCTTCAGGTGCCATTCAGGCTGCATTGTGGCTGAAACGTCCCTGTGACATGACAACCAGTAGCGGTCCTCCTATGATCTCTCAGAATTCCGATTGCGTCATCATGCCCAGCTCTATTTCAGTAATACTTTGAGAGTACTTGTTCATGCTTGGGTGGGCATAATTACATGTCACCCCTCCCAAAGCGTGGGCACAGATGCACAGGAAATGGTGAACACGGACCTGGTCACTAAAGTCTCAACAATAGTTACACTAAATAAGACCAAGCCATGACCATCTGATATCTAGCCTTTGTGCCAGGGGCTCCAGCCAATCAATTCAATCGCATTGAAAAACATATCAAATCAAACACAGTCAATCAATAGGTCTATATATAGAATTCTCCAAAAATAGAAATAAGAGCTGAAAGTTTGGTTAAGCCTACTGCGATCGCCGGTTTGGCTACTAGAAGAAAAATCAAGTCCATACGACTTGACGGTCGCAGCAATTCACTACTAAGCACCGGGCTACAGCGATCGCTCGTTTGTACATGAGACATCGAATGGATCATTCTTCAAAGTAGAAGACAGAGCGACCAGGTCGAAAGCAATTATACATCGCAATAGTAGGCAGCTAGGCCTGATGATCGCTTGGTTTAGGGTAGGAGAGTCACATGAGACTGATAACGAGGCTAATTAGAGATTTCCTTATTCTTCCTCCTCTGATCAAATCTTAACCACTACCCCTGTTGCGCCCTCATGGCCCAGAGACCAAGCTCCATCAGCGTGTGTACCTACGTATGAAGCTGATTCGTGGGTTGCTATCCGACACACCATAATATTGTGGAGATCCCGAGAGGTGTATTTTCATCAGCGCATCGTTGCAGCATACATTGACGGGAATGCTAGGGTCGGAGAGCGGATAGCGATGGCAGAGAGGGAAAACGTTTTCTTTTTAACCCTTCTGAAAAATCAAACAACTAATAGACTGTTGCATTTTGCTGTTAAAAGGAATTTTTACGTTTCCCTGTCAGAGGGGATCTTGCATTTTACGCTAATCATACCTATCCAACCACCACATTTCACTAAGGTATTTGGCCGCCTACCTCCACTCAACTGTGGCTTAACCCAATCACAATCCCGTTCCGGGGTCTCTCGCCGCCTCCTAACCGCCAAACCCCCGGAACTAACCCTAAGCTGACCCCTAACATAACCGGACCAAATTTTGGGGCAGATTGCTGTACTTCCACATTTTGGTGGCCAATTAGTGAAATGTGGTGGTTGGACACCTTGAATCAGGTAAGGTAGTAGGTAGTTATCCGTAGCGACAGCAGACTCGCGGAGGTTTGACTTCCGTGCCTTCTGCGGAGATGAGGGATCGCTATGAACTTGACATATGCGTCTCCCGCTAAGACCAGCGATAGCTGTAGACCCGACCTAGCCATCACTTCTAGCACAACTGGTTCATACGGGTCTGGCCTCGCGTCCCCCGTCAAGAGCAGCGATCGCTGGGCTTCACCTCACCGTCATCCCTTTCGCTAATCAATTAATTCAATCGCTTTAAAACATATCAAGCAAACACGCATAAAATGTTCAATTGAGTGCTTCCAAGATTGATTTATTGAGCTTGATTTGATAAATCTAGATATGTACTTATCTGAAATACCTAAACATGGGAGATTGAGGCTATCATAAAGATGAAGGTGGGTTAAAAAGGAAGCCGTAGCCTCATTGCTATTAATCAACCCTTCCATGCGACAAGCAATCGCTGCAAGCCGGGCCTTGCACTCACCGACTGCGACAGCCAGATCGTGAGAAGCTGGTCTGGCAGTCTTCCGTGAAGATGAGCGATCGCCACGGGCGCGACCCAGTTGTCATGCCTTGCGATTGATTCCTGGCTGTCATCCCCGACGACAGCCAATAACTCAACGAAATAAATGTGTAATAAAATGAGACGTTGAACAAAGAGACAATGAAATGTACTCCAATTAAGATCACGTTCCTAAAAATAGAAAACACATTCTATAGCGAAAGACAGAAAGAAATAACAAAAACAAGGGAGAGTGGGGAAGTGGAGGGAACAACTACGCTCATAAGTCTGACAACGAAGCTGCGTCTACGTGCCCAGGCCGTCAACGTATTATTCTCCCCGCTGACGCTTCCTTTTCTTCCCCGGGGCCAGGATTCCAGGCAGGATGACATCGATAGCAACCTTAATGCGACCCCGACGTTCTTCAGCCCACTCGAAGATCTTGTCGGTACACCTCTTTAGGTCTCCACGGTGTTGCGTATCGTATAGTAGAAAACCACGGATAAGCTTGGTATGAAACCTGATATGTGCATCCTCGGATTCTTCCGGGTATGTTACAAAAAGCCTCGCTTCTGTGCCATTTGTAACGAGCCCGAAGACATGCTGGTCGAGAGTGCTAGCTACTTCGACATCCCCTCGTTCCAGTACTGCAGCCCGCAGTTTCTTCATAATTTGAACGCAAGTAGCAGTTGCTACCATGCAGTGATTTGTAGCGACCCAGAGCCTGCTGGCGGAACAGGTATGGTCTCCCTGATAGTCGACAGAAAGAAAAGCGAACTTTGTATTGTTCTCATCCCAGTGGTATAGATAAGGTATTTGCGTGATTGGGAAGCTCCATGAATTATATCCTAGAAGCAAATCTGGATCGGGAGTGCTGATCGCCGACCCTGCCCCCCAAGAGCGGGCGATTGGGATATCATCTCTTTCCATCACCGTCCCGTTTCTGCGTATATTGTCGGGAAGGCTCTTACTGGAGAAAAGATAGCGACAAAAGAAATCCCTAATATCTTCCTGGTAAACCCCTTCGATGGCCATATTTTCACACTTCTTTGAGTCCTGCTCTAATGCTGACTTTCCCGCGTTTAGCGGTTGGCCACATTCAGAGGTGATGAAATCTAACACCGACTGAATGTTACTTGGCACCTTTTCTCCGGCTTCAACCATAGATATACCATTTGCGAAAAGCATGGGCCGGAAATTGCTGTGAGCAGCTTTTTTTGGCACCTCGGAGGAAGAGTCTGATCCATCTAAGCGAGAACCCCCTGCCACGTGACAAAAGTTATCCTGGTCCAGAGATGGAGCAATGGCGGTGTCTGGTAGCGCCGTATTTGCGTAGAAATCGGGCAAGAGTTGGATGTTCGTTTCGGACCTACATCGACGAAGGCCGTATGGTTTGACCGATGCTAACCAGTTCAGAAGAGATTCGCCATGCGATGATTGTCGGAAGGTAAGGGGGTTTTCGTAGAGGGAATATATCTCTCTGGATCTCGTTTCGTGCATATTGGAGTAGGCGTAGTACGGCTCGATCTGTTTTCCTCCTTCCTTAAATATTAAGTAGCTTCGATGTAGATAATGAGATAGATTAGTGCTGCTAGATCAAATGGCCTTAAATAGGTTACAACTTACTATCATTTACTTTATTGTTTTTTTTTGCTGGAAGCAAGGGACTTTATGTCCCAAGATCAAGCTACAAATGGGACTATAACACACAAAGCTTACAAAGAATAATGAATAATCATGGATTCACACCAATTGACTGAGCACAGGCTTCGATATCTCTAAAGCTCGAACAAAGCTAGGTCGACATAGAACATGCCCCCAGAGGGAAGACTCACAACCAAACCCTTGTGTTCACTAAAAACCGTGCTTTCCCTAAATCCAAAAATATATCGTTATGAATCGTCCTCCTAGGCAGAGCTTCAAGTTTGTACCAGTAACAATACTTTGGAAGGGCTTTGATAATAGATAGCCAATCTCTAACTTGTTTAGAAGTTGCACATTTCTGTATGATGAAGAAGTTGACAGGACTGGAGAGAGAGCTTCAAAGTATTATGCGACATCGGAGTTTAGTCTCCTTGAATTGAAGTATAGAAGAATTGCCCGCAAACCGTCTACCCGCGTTTACCTAGATGCAGCATGCAGAAATTGTAACTGAAACGGGGAACTGTTTCTGAGGATTGAATCATATAACTCATAGAATATGGTGATTAGTAGAACGAAATCGCCGAAGCGCTTTCCCGGGACAAGAGGCGGCTGTCCGTCACTTGCTTTCCCCCGTACCAAGCCTGTGGCCATATGAATTATCCGTCAGATAATGGCAACTTTATCCTAGAGGCTACTGCTAACACTATCCTGTCCCGGGAATATGACGGCGAAACTCACAAAGAATTTATCCGAGAGGATCAGTCTAAAATCAAACGCCTGTCGCCCAATGGGGAAACTTTCGCGTGGAATCAGAGTTTAGAAAGTTTGGCTAGAGTTCGTCTAATACAAGGAAGATGACGAGCAGTGATGGTAGGTGCTGGGAGCAGCATCTGGATATGATACCGATCCGTTCAGATTTATTTTCGGGTGTTTTGGCTTCGAAAGACGATTTAGAAGACTTACGGGACAAGAAAAAGTTTGGAACACGGACTTATACGCTGAATAAACTTGCGGCTACTAGGGGATCCTTGATATCTTTCATTCGGAGCAATGGCCCGTAGAAGGATCGTAGTTGATCTACCAGGGACGAATAAATTATGTTGTTTTGAAAGTCATGCAAGTAAGAAGCATATGTAATGGATACTCATTGATTAGACTGCCTATAGAACTTCGTGAGTATAAGCTGGGTCGTCCTCTAAGCGCAGCGCCCGATTACGGGAATTTTGAGGGCCAGCCGCAGAGCGATCGACTATAATGTTCCCCTTCCCTGACCATGCTTCCAGAGCTTCCTTGACTTCATCATCCGGCCTCCATGTAGCGTTTCCGGAGTCAACCGTGATCCGCCACTGCCGAGACTGCCAATTACCAATATACTCTGGGTCATTATTGAGATCCGTCAGACTTTCGAATGGACTTCCTTCAGATACCCACTGAAAAGTCAGACTTCTTGACAAATAACTCTGTGAACGGATCTTGAAGAAGCCCAGCTCTAATTTTGGCATATGCATACTCATATTGGCTAGACCACATATCAAAGGGTTGAAAGTGGTCGGGTCAGGACGGAAGCGCCAAGGGAATAGAGGCGATTCGTAACGACCTTGCCTGCCGAATGGAGGCGGGAATTCATTTGTAGCAACCTCATAGTCATCTTCGCCAAAGTCTGAATTGTCTGAAATATCTTCTGGAGTGCCAGTGAAGCACCAGCGGCCATCGGCAGCGACGCACTCGGTGCTGATCTCCAGGCATTTAAGAGCGGGCCAAGGGTTTGCCACCAAGCCGTCAGTGGCTTCCTCTTTAGACTGGTCTTGGAACAGATCTGGAGAGAGTAAAATGTCGATCAACTTTAGCTCTTCCAGGCGAGGCAGCGATGACAGAGATCGAATAGCTTGACAGAGCGTATCCACGCCATTCTCGAGCAAACACTCGGGCATGAAATAATGATTCTCAGGGTCCTGCCAGCCATAGCGGTCCACGCAAAGACTTTTCAAACCCGGATGGGAGTCTTTAATCATCAGGATACAGTCCGCCATAGCCCGGCGAATCGCACGGCGCTTCGCCCCACGACTTGTTGTTGGAATCTCAGGATCCCAAAAATATACAGCAGCCTTCTCTACACGCGGCATGAGACGCAGCAGCCTCCCCGATGTGTGCGGATGAATAGTATAACACCTGGAGTGATGCATATCGACAGAGGTAATGCGGCGGATACACGGGAGCTTGTCCAAGTCCTCCGGGCGGATAGAAGGGGCGAAATGCTCTGAATAAACGCGCCTGTTCTGAGAGGTGTCTATACAGCATCTCATACGAAGATGGAGAGGCCTAAGAGAGGTATCCAGCTCATCCTGTTCCCAGTCTCTGAAGGTAGCAAACAAGGTAGAGACATCCGAGAAGAATTTGTCTTGATTTTCTTGGTGCTCCTCTTCCGTATTGCCGTTTCGGGGAATATTGCTGGTAAATCTAAGCTCCCGCAGCGCTTCTCGACGGTGAGGATACCTCGAGTACGTCTCTGTGAATTTCTTGAGTTCACCTGGGTAAGTTCGCAGTGTGCAGCGTCTGAAGATGCGCTTCTCAAGAGCATATTGCCATTGTCGGGAAACGGCCGCATATGGCGCCAACTCTTTGCTGTTTCCATCGTGAACGTTGACTAATTCATCCACGATGGACTGGAAGATGTCATTTCCAATCGTGTCCATCTCGAATCAATACTAAAGGAGATGTGATGTGAAGGAAAGCAGCAATGAGGCTTTGGAAATAGGCAGCGGTGTCCTTTTGATAGATAAAGGGAAGAGCCTTTCACTAGTCTTGGCAGGATCAGATACAAAGTACTTTACTCACCGCCGGATTAATATAGGGCGTTGAAGTATTACCGATCTGTGCTTGATCCCGGGAATTAGGAAAAGCTCCACCAAAAAGGTTCCCTCAGGCAAGCTCACTCACAATTTACCGGCCTTGTGTAATCCGCTACTAAAGTATTTGATTCCAGTGCTTTTTCTACCACTCTGGTCACAGTAGATATTGTACTAAAAAGCTTTATAACATTAATAACCCCCATCTTCTTCATCTCCCATTACAACAAATACTAATGTATACATTAGAACACTAATGAGGTCTCTGTCAAGAATGCTCAAACGGTTCAAGAGTAAAAGCTGCGCATAGTTGTTTGGAGAGTACAGGCTTGAATCACTATGGGAATGTTGTCGTATCAGCCTGTACAGGCACTATCGTGTGTATGGGCGGGCATTCTTACAACCACTTACTCCCAATAATGCATTGAATAATATTATGTTAAGAAGTTCGGTACCCCTGGTTGTTTTGTTGAATTTTTTTAGTCATTAATTATGATTGCCTTTGTCATTCCGAGCCTATTTTGCGCATGAGGGACCGGTGTAATGGCATTGCGAGTTGGTCGGCTTCGGCTTCGGGTTTCGATCTGTTAATTGAAGGTATACAGGCTTCAACGGCTCTCGGGGCCGGCTTCGGAGTTTCAACCACTGGATCGATCATTATAATACGTTTGAATTGAAAAGGAAATAATTGTAACCTTTCTCAATCAATTGGGGTATGTTTTCTTCCATCACGCCTCACTGTATCAATTTCAATTGAAAATGGCTGGACGAATGCAGAATCAGGCTGAAGAGTCAACGCCTGCGGCAGTGACCACAACAGACATTTCAATATTAGAGAAGAGTCATGGTATCTCCGTTGAACACAAAGCCGGGCCCGACTCTGACACGGACACCAAGCGAAGCGCGACCGACGACGAAGCTGCCAACCTGGCTCAAACAGCCGACAGTCTCCCTCTAGCCGTCATCATTGTTATGATCATCGGTGGTGCTGAGAGGTTCGCATATTATGCATTGTCAGGACCTTGGCGTAAGCTCCTATCCTCAAAACTTCATAAGAAGTTATTGTTAAACAAAATCCTCTAGAGAACTACATCCAAAACCCCCCTGGCGACTACGCGCTTCCGGGTGCCCTCGGCCTTGGTCAGGCAACAGCAACAGCAATCAACAATGCATATCGCTTCCTCAGCTTCCTCACACCTCTGATAGTTGGCGTTCTGTCCGACACCTGGCTAGGGCGCTACAAGGCACTCCTTTGGAGCATGATGTAAGAATTCTCAAGTTAAGCTTGGTGATGAGCTCGCTAACTTACAGGAAAACACCAGAGTCTATGCATGCGGTGGTTTGATCCTGCTCCTAACTTCTCTACCCATTGCCCTTGACCATGGTGCTGGTCCAGCAGGACTCGGTGTGTCAATGATTCTAATAGCTTGCGGCGTTGGAGGGGTAAAGGCTACTTTTCCCATATTTTTAGGTAGCTAAGATACAATTGCTTCGTACTCACTTGGGTATTTGAAACTTAAATTTACAACTAATACCCTCTTCTAGGAGACCAATACACGAAAACTCAGCCACAGTTGATTCATAAGAGAGGTGGTCGAAAAATGGTGACAAACAGAAATCTGACCATTCAATCCATCTACACTCTGTCTTTCTGGTACCCTCCTCTCCCCCAATTCCGAAGTAGTTTATAGTCACTATCTTACTTCCAGATAATCAGGGTTACTAATCTTTCTTCGCTATCAATCATCCCGGCCACATTCCTCGAAAGCAAATTTGGGTTCTGGCCGGCGTATCTACTTGGCTTTGGTGCCTTGCTGATTTCGATTGCAATACTGTGTGGTCTCTCATCTAAGCTCGGTTCGCATATTACAACCCCTAAAATGTGTGCATGATTAAGAAGCTGACTTGAGACCGGGGGACACAGTTACAGTCCCAAAGGGGACTAATATAATTCTCTCAGCTGGCAAGGTTCTAGGATGCGCAATCAAGAGCGGCTTCCGCTTAGACAACACGAAGGCTTCTTATCAGGCTTCTCACTACAACAGGGCTGTATCGTGGACGGATGAGTTTGTGGACGAGATCAAAGTCACGCTCCGGACTTGCAGAGTTCTGTATGTGTCCTTGATCTCGCTCTCCTGATGGTCAAATACTGACTCAAGGCTCAAATGAAGCCTTTCCATGGCAGTTTTTACGCTTTGCATGGGCCAGATGTTGAATAATCTGGTGTCCCAAGCCGGCCAAATAGAGCTTCATGGCGTCCCAAATGACATGATTCAAGCTCTGAGCGGCATCGCCGTCGTGTTGCTTGGTCCTGTCATCCAAGGCGTAATGTCGCTTTTAGCGAAACGACGGATTCTTCTCGGGCCCATCCTACGAATGGCCATCTCCTTTATTTTCACCGCCGCGGGAATGGCTTTTGCTGGCGGTGTCCAGCAGCTAATTTATTCGGCTCCTCCATGTTACAACGCGCCTCTTGCTTGTGCCGAATCCATGGGCGGCACGATCCCGAACAAGATCAATGTCTGGTTGCAAACCCCGATACACTTCATACTGGCAAGTGGAGAGATCCTCGGCTATGTTGCAATGGACGAGGTTTCGTACACCAATTCCCCGCAAGGCCTTAAATCAGTGGTACAGGCGTTCAAGCAGTTATCCAACTGCCTGGGAAGTATTCTTGGGCTGGCGTTAAGTCCGGTATCCCGAGATCCATACCTTGTTGTGCTGTACTCCTCGTTGGCTGGCGTAATGGTATTGATAACGGGCAATTTTGTAAGGGAAATACTCCGACTGCTAGAGATAGCAAGCTCTAACCTGATCCCATATAGTGGTATTACTTTGGAAAGTACGATCGTCCTAAGAGAGCGGAAGAACCACCATTGGATACGACGGAGGAGAGCGAGGCGAAAGAATGAGAGAGCATCATCTCTCGATACGAATTGGTTGGCGAGAACGACACTGACAATACATGCATCGACGTCTACTTGTGAACAGCGCCTTTACGATTCACGGATACAAAATCATAGCCACAAATTAAATAGAACGACGCTGTATTGGAAGTGACATGAACCATAGTTTCTATACCCTTTTTATAGGGCAAATCATGGGCTGGATGGCCGCATGATGCGCCTGGGGGAACCACGGTACGGTCTGACGGCACTTGATTGATTACATGGTGTGCTGAGATTCTATTGAATGTTTTATTGGCATAAAGATAAAGTGCGTGGCGACGTTACTCGTGGGCATTCCCTCTAGCGAGGTGTCATTGGAAAGAGCTGAATAAATTCTTAATTTATATATGAGCCATGAATTCCTATTAGTAATTCTCCGGATAACCTTGCTAACCACAATAGTGACAGGTAATAATAGGGGTATAACGTAAAATCTTATCAAACAATCTTATCTCTGCTTCATCTTGGCCACCTGGGAGTAAACAAATACAAGGAAAGAAGGATTACTGTTCTAGAATATGATACGGGAATGTCACCATCTGGGCAAGTCCCTCTCCGGGTATCATTGGGTGTCCAATCATGTCATGGGCGTCGAACGGACCGATTCCAGAGCTCCAAAAGTACCGTTCCAAGACAGTGGCGATGGCAAAAGGCGACACGAGCATCACGCCCACCCCTTCGTCTTCTGGGTGGAGTATCAGATGTAAGCTTAATTTGAATTTAATCCTGAGCACCCCTTCACGGGAGGCAGCTTCCGTGGATTCTTTCTAGCCAAGAAAGCCTGGGTGCCCTGGTGAGGACGCTTAAGATCGGCATCAGCAGTGAAAACTCTTTTCCTATCAATATAATCTTGACTGGCATGAATGGCATGCAAGGGTGAAACGCAAGACGGAGGCGTCCCGCCGACTAGCACAACGTATCCTTGAGAGCGGGGCTGTCTTGAGTCGAGACCTAAGGGCTTGTTGATCGAGCTCTCTTTGAAAGCCATTTCTCACCTCATTCGTGACAGGCTGGGCAAACCTGTTCCCTGAACCCCTTGATAGGCAGCTCAATCTTGTTTTCTGTGATGATGCTTGGCTGCCCAGAAAATTGATCAGGCTTTCTCACAATTTAAGCATGTATATCGTACAGGGAGCGGTATCCCTCCTAGACAACCCGTCGGATGCCTCTTGGCTACAGCCAATGAGCGAGGGGTGACATGACGCATCAGCACTCGGGATTGCGTGCTTCGAATGGTCGACCACGAATACTACTGTTCTAGGAAGGTGAAAACCACAATCCGTGTAAGGGAACATTTTATTATCAGTAGTCAGTACGAGGGATGCTGCCAAGTCTATCTCGACATTCATTGAAATAATGGCGTATAGTTTCACCAGCATGGGCGCCCCAGCTTTGAACACGAACCCATTATTTAGGCTCAGTCCCACCCTCCAAATGAGCTGTCTCTGATCTGGGGATTCTCGTGAGCCTCTTCAGTATCATCGGATTGTGTTCCCATTATCGTTCTATTCTCTGAACCGGGACCCGCCTGCTCAATGGCTTCGGTGTTAGGCAAGCTTTGGCCCAGGCCGACCGCCGGGTCAACGCCAAACAACCAAACAGAGCAATACACCTCGGACTCTGAACCATCTGTGATCCATGATGGCGATCTTGCATTCGTCCGTGTTAAGGGAGGCAATGGTTCTGGTGCAACTTACCAAGAAGCTGTTGGTGCGCCGGTCGAGTCACGATCTCCTCTAGGATACCATGTGGGCTGGGCCACTATTCTCTTCCTCAATGTGAACCAAATGATTGGAACGGGTATCTTCTCTACGCGTAAGTCTAACGACCTTCACTTCTCGATCTTGAGCAGTTGGTGACCACCAAAACAGCCGGAAACATCCTCAAAGCATGTGGCTCCATCGGACTGGCACTTATGTACTGGTTTATTGGCTTCCTGATGGCCGCCGCCGGCTTTACGACTTATCTCGAGCTTGCTAGCTACTTCCCGAACCGCAGCGGCTCTGAGGTCGTGTATCTGGAGCAAGCGTACCCACGACCCAAGCATTTCTTCCCAATCGCATTCGCCGTTCAGTCCGTCATCCTGTCATTCAGCAGCAGCAACGCCATAGTTCTTTCACGCTACCTCTACCGTATTGCAGGAGTCACGCCCTCAGACATGCAAATGAAAGGCGTGGCGGTGGCGGCCTACTCGCTGGCCGTGATCTGTAAGTTCACCCATCCCCCGTCTAAGTGTTCGAGAATGTCAAGCTCATCGCGGTGATGGTGCTTAGTTGTCATTGCCCACAACAAATACTCTCTCTGGCTTACCAACCTTCTCGGCGCCCTCAAGATCATCACCCTCATCTTCATCAGTATCACTGGGCTTGTGGTGCTTGGCGGCCACGTGTCCAGCATCGAGAACCCGGGCCATAATTTCAACGATGCATTCGCAGGTACGACGAACAACGGCAACAGACTGGCAAATGCCCTTGTGAGCATCTTATTCAGCTACTCTGGCTACGCCAATGCCTTCAATGTCATCAGCGAGATCAAGAACCCGATCCCGTCGCTCAAGAAACACGGCGTCATTTCCGTCCTGGTTGTTACCATCCTGTATATGCTCTGCAACATCGCCTATTTTGCCGCCGTCGACAAGACAGAGTTCTCCCAATCCTCGGAGATCGCGGCGGCAGTCTTCTTCCGAACTGTGTTTGGGAAGGGTCGCGCCGAGACCGCACTCAACGTGCTTGTTCTTTTGAGCGCCTTTGGCAATCTGCTGGCTGTGCTCATCGGCCAGTCACGCCTCATCCGAGAAATCGGCAGGCAGGGGGTCCTCCCGTTCCCTAAATTCTTCACCTCAACACGCCCGTTCGGCACGCCTCTGGGACCCTATGCCCTGAAGTGGGTTTTCACGGTCATCATGTGTCTCGCCCCGCCCGCCGGCGATGCATTCCAGTTCGTCGTCAGTCTGAAGACTTACCCAGAGGCCATCTTCCACCTCTTCATGGCTGCAGGTGTCTACGTTATCCGTCGCCGCCGGGCCCGTAACAATATTCCTCGCTCCGAGTTTAGAGGATGGGATGTGGCGTTGATCTTCTTCATCTTGATGCAAATTTATACTCTGGTTATGCCGTGGATCCCTCCTGAGAAGGGTATCTATGGTGGAGATGTGTCGTTCTTCTATGCGACGTACATGTTGACGGGAATTGCAATGTAAGTTGGCGTTTATTTTGAACTCTATGAAAATTTCTCTGCTAACGGCCCAATGTCACAGTTTGATCGTGTGTGTCGTCTATTACTATGCCTGGATGAACTGGATCCCGAACTGGCGCGGGTACCGTATCAGGACCGAGATTTTGGAAGTTGACGACAATGGTGCCAATACTCACAAGCTTGTTCAAGTTCCCATTGAAGAGTTGGCCGAGTGGGACGCAACTCATGACGAAGCTGGCAATCTACGACATAGAAACGGAGCCAGGGAGTCTCAGAGCGAAAAGTCTTCTACTCCGGGCGTGACGACTTCAGTGGAGGCAAAGGTTTGAAAGACGGCTCGTGGCACGAGGTAATTCATAGGGACAGAGCACACTCTAATATCAAAAAGTGGCGCTCCTAGCTAGTAAAAAATGTGTTGCCTTCAATTTATCGTCCATGAAATCGTTTCTTTTCGTTAATCATTGAACCGGGTGATCCTAGCCAGATTTCATCTCCAAGTTGCTCCCGTGATTGACATCAAAATCTACCTCAACACTGCTCTCTGCTCTATACTGGTTATGCAAGCAACTTCTTCTTGAATCTGGCAAGTGCCGCTTTTATCTCTACCGCCTCGGGTTCGTATTCATCAGATAGTTCTTGCACGTAGTCTGGATCGATGTTTAGAATCGTAGCATGCTCCATGAGCAAGTTGAGCAACGCCCAATTCTCCGCATAATGAGCACCGTCGCAAGCGAGTTCAAGGGCTGTGGCCCCCTCTCCAAAACGTCCGATGTCAGTGGCTCGCCTAAGAAGGAGGATAACCCCCTCCTTTATATTCTCAACAGCCTCTTCTATGGTGGTATCATCAGGGAAATTTTGGAATAGAGCAGCAATTATAGATTGTGTTTTGCCTTGCCCCGCGGAACCCGCCATGGCTCTGGCCCTGGCTCCGGCACGAAGCAGAAGCTTCATGCACTCGACATTCTTGGCACCAAAAAGAGCAAAGGCGAGAGGCGTCCCGCAAAAGTCAAAGTCGACTGTATCGTGATAAATGCTCATATAGTCCACAGTCTGCCTATTCACCTCTGCTCCCTTCGCGAGGAGCTCCCTGAGCAGCTCGGTCTGACGGGGGTGTGGCTTCCAGAGGAGGTGGTGTAGGTGGCCCCAATGATGCCGGGCGTCAATTTCTAACTTCGGGTCGGCACCTCGGGATAGAAGCATCAATGCTATTTCGAAGTTACGTTCCTCCATCGCGCAATAAAGAGGGCTTCCCCAGGTTTCGAGTCCATCGTTGATGGGGACACCGCGATCCAGAAGATCTTCAGCGAAGCGTTTGGAGTCCTCAGTCTCTTCGGAGCTACAAACCATATGGAGCGCGTTCCGGCCATCATCAAAAAGAGATGAAATGTCAACTTCAGGCCGGTTTGCAATGAGGTCAAACATGGCGATAGATCCAGACTCAACCGCGAATGCGAGCGGAGGCATGTCGTCTCTATCCATCACAGTTGTTTGAATATCAGGGTGAGCAAGGAGTAATTTGGTGGCCTCGAGCAGCTCCGGGTTAGCTGCACAGACATGAAGGGGGGTTTGTCCGACATTGTTGGCCTCCGAAACGTTGATGCCGGGTTGGGTGAGGAGTAATTCAATCATAGGAAGGTCCCCAGATTTCGCAGCATAGAACAACGGTGTCGCACCGAATTCATCCCCTCGAGAAGGCTTGATGCTTGGATGGGCCAGGATTCGCTGGGCGATTTCAAACAATGCTGGGATAGATGCGCAGACGTGGAGGGGGGTCTGTCCCGTTTCATCGGCAGTTGAGACATCAATATCAGGCTGGCTGAGAATCAATTCCATCATGGGAATAAAACCAGATTCCACAGCATAGAGCAGAGGTGTGGTACCAGAAATGTCCATGTCATTTTGAGGACGCTCGATGCTACATGTAGGATGGGCTAGGAGTAGCTTCGCATGTTCGAACAATGCTTCATTGGCCGCGCAGATATGGAGGGGAGTCTTCATGTCGAGTCCTGGTAAAGAAACATGGGCTTCAGGCTGCGCTAGTAGAAATTTGACAATGTCCAGACTGTCACCAATACATTTCAGAGCAAGATGGAGTGGCTTATCACCAGGCCATTGTTCCTCGTCGTATGGGTTCACCGCTGGGTGTCTCACAAGGAGACTAAACATGGGAGCAGAGTCGGACTTTGCTGCGATATCAAATGCGGTAGCTCCTGTTCTATCGGAGGCCAAGGGGTCGATGTTGGGATGAGCGAGCATAAGCTTCATAGCCTCCACAAGCGCTGGCTTAGAGGCACAAGAGTGAATTGGAAGCGCGCCATCGTTATCCGTGATAGCCAGAGGGACTTCAGGATGAGCCAAAAGCAACTTGAGGGCTTCCAAATCCGCATCCTGATCATCCAATGCAACATGAAGAGCTGTTTCGCCTGAAGCAGGATTTCTGTACGTAATATCTGCTCCCTTCTCCAGAAGCTCGCGGACGAGATCAGACCTCTTGTTCCTTACTGCATATTGCAGAGACGCGCCCATAGCGAGAGGCTCAGACCGCTGGAGAAGACGTTCGATAGGTTTGCTATGCGCCTCCATGTTTTCCATGTACGCAATTGCTGGTACCTGCTCGGCCACGCGATATGCCCCTTTTGCAATCAGCTCTTGCGCAAACCTGGGGTTCGTGCTGTGGCTGAGAGCCCAATGGAGAGGATATGTCTTTGGGTCGCCTCCAAACTTGCATAAACAAAGGCCCCTCGAAGGAACTTCGATATCAACATTTTCATCTAAGAGGTAGTTGAATATGTCCATATGACCATAGCGAATAGATAAGTGCAGAGCAGTCGCAATATATCCGCCGGCGAGAGAGCGCAGAGGGATGGTAAAACCCGCCTCATCTCTGGACCCGTCAATATTGAGGTCAGCCCCGTAGGAGCGTGCTCTTTTTAACGTGTCGATGTTGCCCTGCTCCACAGCCCAGAGAACACATGATTGATACGGCTGATGATGTGTGAAGTTGTGTTGGTACAGGAGAGGGTTCAGAATATTGTAGAAATGGCTGCTTGTCCGGGAAAGGGCAGAGAAAGCCTCCAGGCTCGGCGAGGAATCCGGTCCCCAGACTGACAAGACTGCAATATGAGCGACCAGCTCGGATGGGAGCCCCTCAATCGGCGGCGTGGTGATGGGGCTAGGTTCAGCCATGGGATGGACTTCCGCGGATGATACAGATGTTGGGGAGCATTAGCATTGGGTTGGGAGAAGGAATACTCACCCAAATTTTGGGCAGCAGCAAAGTTTTTATCTCATGCATCTGCCCGCTGTGGCTGAGTGGCTGATGTGATTCGATGCTACGCAACATGTGCTCAAATAGGAATAGAGAGCGAGAAGCTGAATGCCCGACATATGCCCAAGGCACATACTTGTGAAACATTTCGAAATGAGGATCACAATCAAAATGGCTTTGAGTACGGTTGATATGTGATTAGTCGCGGGAATGAATAAGCGGATGAGAATCATGCTGAAAGTTGGCTTGTCACGCAAGAGCGCATTGAAACCACTATATGCTGACACAGTCGTACCATCAAAGCTATAATTAAGCTGTTTAAAATGTTTGGTTTCTATAGTTACACTATTGTTTAACTTTGCCAACGCTTCTAGCCGGACTATTGTGGTAATAGCGAGCTATGGATGGTTGGATAGCCTCTGGAGAGTATGTCATGAGTCAAGCAATGTAAAGTATATCTATGTTCTAGGTGGGAAACTGTTTTAATATGGCTTTGATACTCCTTCTTATTCTGAAGTTCTCATCGGATGTCGAAGACACGTTGTATTGCTTCAATCCTTCAAATGACGAGGGCAAAGGTGAGTATAGCCATAAGCTGTGGATTGCCAACAAGGAAACGCAATGTCATGACCAGAACGATCGCTGTTGCTAATTAAGACTCATGCGCCGAGACTCCAGACCAGGTACAAATAATTAGTCTGCACTACCGTCAGGGATGAAGGTACTACTATATATTGGCTCCCCATTAAAATTACCGATAGTCTCTCGGTAGCGCAGATAGACTGCATCATGTTATTACCCGGCATGAAGATCTAGAACCCGCGTTCCTGGATTGAGGTGGGTCGGGTTTGGTATTTTTATACTCCTGTGACCCAATTCCTGAAGTCTGCCATCTTCCTGTTTTCCCAGTCATTCATTTCCATCTCCCAAGTCACTCCTTTGCAACCAGCAGCCGCAGTTCATTATGCATTCCCGGGCGTTTCTCCATTTTCTAGGTGTATTGAGCATCCTCACACCAGGGGAGGCGAAAAAACGCTGCAAACCCAGACCTTCATCCTCACTTGTCACGCCCACGCCAGAATCCTTCACAACACCCAGCTCCTCTCTAGATCTTGAGACACCGACAACACCAAGCTCCTCCGCATATACTGCCCCGTTCACGACCCCAAGTTTCTCAGCAACTCCAGAGACCTCTACGCCATCCGAATCCTCGATTGTGGTTGGGTCTTCTACTACTCCCAGCTCCGCTGTGACACCGGACCCATCCACAACACCAGAGTCTTCGGAGACGCCCAGCTCCTCTGCGACCCAAGAACCCTCTACAACACCAGCCTCGGAAACTCCTATCACCTCTACAGCACAAGAGTCCTCGACAACACCGGTCTCCTCGGAGACACCTAGCTCCTCGGCTACACAAGAGCCTTCGACAACGCCAAGCTCACAACCCTCAATCATCTCGACCACGGCTAGTACCACCGAAGTTCCTGTCATCTCCACAACATCCAGCTCTACTGTGGCAGCCAGCTCTTCAGCAGCCCCTGACCCGGCAACAATCAACTGGGGCTTTGATGAGAATCCGGACGGCATCAGCCCCTGGGTTATGTATAGAGATGGTACGGTCACACCATCTCTTGACGGGGACGTGAAGCAGAATGGTCTTTACTCGGTTAAGCTGGTCTACCTCGCGAGTGTGGCCAATTATGTCAAGCGCCCTCTCGACTCAACCAAAGTCTCCGCAGGGGTCCCTATCCAGATCTCAGCGTGGCACAGAACATCCTCGATATCCTCAACAAATGGTTGCTCGAATGCATATATCGCATGCACGTACGGCGGAACATCAGGTGTCCTCGCCTTGCAGCCTTTCGCAGCAGCGGCCGCGCTCAATACATGGACCCAAAACAAGGCCACCTGTACGTACACTGCTGCCCAGTTGGCTCAGAGCGGTGGTGCGCAAGTTCTCATCGGCTGGAATTGCAAAGCCGGTGCTACTGCATGGGTTGACACGGTCAATGTTGGGGCAGTGCCAGCTTAAAACTTCCATCTATCACAAGGCAGTTTCAATCAGAGGCAACCTGTGGGCTTCATTCATTTATTCATCAGTGAACCCGTGAAATCTGGATTGACTCAATCCTCTACATCTCATTCTTTTATATCACTAATTTCTTCTCAACTTTTGTATATATTATTGCTGAATAACTTAAAGTATCGTTAGACTGGCTACCTTAGATTACTTAAATTCTAGATGTGCAACACTTGCAGCCAACCCACAGGTTTAGTGATGCAACTCCTAGAGAAGGATATTCAGTGTATTCAACCCCTTGCAGCTACCCAAATTTACGGGGGCCTACGTAGAGAAATCCTGAAGGTCGACAGACCAGTCGGAAGTTCCTCCAAAGTTGAGGCCCTGGTAGTATTCAATCCGGCGAGCCTTGGTCTCCTTGCTCATGTGGGACACCCACTCCCCGCCGTCGAAAGCCACAAGGTCAGAGTCGCTGTCGGCGTCGTACCAGGCCTTAACACCAACCTTGTTCTTGGTGACCTGATAAATCTCGTAGTCGGACAGGATGCCAGCCTCATTGGTGCAGTTACCCGGCTTCGCCAACGGTGTGTTCCGGTCACCGAGGAAAGTACCTGAAAAGTCTAGAGTCAGAACGTGCATTTTGTAAACGGGACGCGCCGCAGAGGAGGGATGGTGTACATACATTGTGGAAGGCGGCATAGCCAGTCAGACATCTTGAAAGATCGTCCATAGCTGGAGACACCAACAACGACCTTGTCAGATGGCATGCCGGCCTTGGTGACCATCACCAGGGCGTTGTATGTCTCAGTGGAGTTGACGTGGGATCGGAGACAGTTTCCGGCTGGGCAGCCATCCATGGCATCTGGGTTGCCAACATCCCATTGACCTGTTGTGAGAGTTACGTTGTTAGATTAGGCACAACACAAGGCGGGAAAAGAAGGGCAATACACTGAAGAAACACTTACCATGAAGATCATAGGCCATGTATACCATATAGTCCAAAGAACTAGCCATCATAGAAACTCTAAATTCCTTCAAATAGTAGTAAGAAGCTGGTGCTGCAATAGAGAGCGACTTCTCAGCAGCAAGCTTGCCGCGAACAGTGGCTAGAAACTTGTAATAGTTCAGCCCATCGGCCGCTTGACCTGGCTCAGCACCGGGGATGTCTGAAGCTCCAGGGTACTCCCAGTCAAAGTCGAGGCCGTCGAGATTATGCTCATTGGCAAATGCGACAACACGGTCCGCGAAGGTGTTCCGGTTCGCCGGCAGGGTTGCCAGCCGGAAGAGCCCCGACGTGGCAGGATCGTTCGAGAACTTATAGCCACCAAATGCCAGGATCTTCTTGGCCTTGATCTTGGTGCTGTCCTTGAACTTGGCCCACTGCTCTGCGGAGTTGTCTGGGATGACGACCTGGAGGTCAGATGAAATCGTGGCAAAGCCAAAGTGGATGTGCGTGTATGACTCGTCAAAGTCCTCAACGTCCATTGTGCCGCATGGGCGTTCTTTGTTGTAGCCCTGGAAGTAGCCTATCTTGCGGTACTGAGCTGGGGGCTTGTCATTGCCCACAAGCTTCATACCGCAGTTGGAGATGCAGCCGGTTCCATCAGGGTTCGTGGTGCCAGGGTTTCCTGTCTCCGTGTTAGGGAGGGTGCAGTACAAGGCTGTTGTGCCGCAATATCCCCAGGCATTGCAGCAAGCATTCAGAGGACATTGGTTAAGATCAGCTAGGCTCTGGCCATTACTGGGCTTGCTGGTCCCAGGGACCGTAGGGCCACAGATTGTTCCTTCAACCGCCGGTGGCATCGGGGGGTTGCCCTCGCTTACGCAAATTCGCTGTGCAACATTGAGGGCACAGCCGTTCCACGCCCAAGTCTTCTTGTTAAAGTTGTACAAGTCATCTACCGTTATGCCATACGTGGCTGCAATCAACGAGCAGTATTGACCAGCTGAAACATCATGAGTAGCGCAGGTGCCGTCCGGTTGTGGTACCGGCTTCGGTGGGAGGGTTCCAGCTGAGCAGCAAACGCGCTGACCGGGTGCAAGAGTATTGCAAAATCTGTCGCCGGGGTTGTAGGAGAGGAAGTCAGAGAGGCTGATCCCACAACGTGAAGCGAGCGTGCCGCACAAGTCGCCGCCGGCAACCGTGATAGTACGACACTCATCTCTTGGGCTGAGATGTCGGAGGGCACGATGCTTGATTGTGGACGGAGCACTTAAAGATGAGATCTCAGAATCTTTGATCTCCTTGGTCTTGCCACCGTCAACGTCAGGTGCACAGTTTCCGTCAGTCCACGATCTCACAATCGACTGGACAGTGGCGAAGTCACCAGCGGTATCCGCCACAACACCAAAGATATTGGGCGAGGTTCGATCCTTGTCGCATACCTCAAGTGTCTTGCGACTTGCTGACCCGCTCTCACCCTTCCATTCGTCAATAAATTTCTGAAGAAGAGACGCAGCCGTCTTTTGGTCGTCCAACTGGACACCGGCATACATGCCAACAAGTGCTCCACGGACGTAGGAAAAGATGATTCTCTCGCTACACTTATTCTCATCTTGCGGAAGATTATGCTTAAGATTCTCAATAGCAAGCGCGACATCGGTCTTTTGGTCGCTGGTAACGGACTCAGATCCATCCCACCAAGATAGTTTGGCTGTGGCAGCAGAAGAAGTAGAGGTACCGCAAGTGCTCTTGTCATCGCTTCGGCGCTTAAGAGAACGGGCTACAGCCTCATTCTTGTTCTTGACCTCAGTACCGAGATTTTCAGTCTCAAGAAGATAGTTGACTTTGGTGTCTGCATCTCCAAGAGTGCAGGCACGAATGGTGAGGGCCGATTTGTTCTGACCAAAACCGGTATAGAGGTTGTAGTCAAGGAGGAGTGGCTCGCGACACACGGACAGCCTCTCAGTATCATGATAATGAGTCCAACCGGCTGGCCCGATATCCGCAGAGCAGGCTACCGGGCATGGGTTTGAACTCTTCTTGGACGCTTCAAACTGAGACAAGACGTTCTGTGCAGTTACTACACTCGGTAGCAACAGTAGGAAGGCTGAAAACAGCCCGGTTGATGTCCACATCTTCTCTGGTTAGCCAGAGAGTAAGCTCTGGCTCAATTTAGGTATTCTTGAAGTTGTTGGCCGTGGATTGATGAAGAAGTAAATCATCAAGCAGAAAAGTCCGGGAAAACAGAGTCATTTTATAAGTTTTCAAGGTTTTCCAACTCGGTCCTTTAGCCGTGTGATTACATGGTCGTGACGGAAGCCTGAGGACACTGCCTACAGCCTAGACCTTCTCATATGACCACTTCTAGAGTATAATGTAACTTCAAGGGCAGTGAAAAATTGTGCTATGCCATATGAGGAGGAAAAGAGACGCGTTCACGAGAAGTTCACGACTCGAATAGTCGGGCGAGGTCGCCGTTCATCAGACGATTGATATGCAATGCAACATGGAAACTCGAACTTTGGAGTCTTGGGCTTGGCTTACACCCGAGCCACGAGAGTGCCAAGGAGCTATATGCCAATAGTCTGAGGCTGAGACATCAGAAGGAATCTCCTGGTGGAAGTCACGCTCAAGTCGATTGATCAATTACGACCCTAGAACTCTGACTCATTGGAGAATATCTAAGGCACCAGCGGGGTTCCCTCGCCGTCCTGGATGCGGGAATTTTCAAAAATACGTTGTTGGAAAAGGAAGGTTAGCCAGGGGTCAGCCAGGGGACATCGCGCCGATAGAAAGGACCTTTGGAAAAAGAACTTTGGACCCGCCAGTAAGGCTGCCTGGCCGGATGGCATACCTTGGATTTGGAGAAGTGAATGCCTGTGCCTTGCGGCGGTCCTCATACCCGGCTGTCGTTACATTGGGAGAATTATCTGACCCCAGGCTGACCAACCATGGGTGAGAAAAACGAGAAAAGGGCAAGGCATACACGGACCCTGCTCTCGCTTCAAATCACTGTCGCGAATATTTAACTGTCTACGCTCTCTGACCCACTACTAATCTGACATTGAGGTCTGGATACGCTTGCCTGGGCCTAGCACAGCATTGCCTACTGAGGAAATGAAATTGTCCGTGCCGGGTAAAGTGTGACAGTTATCTATAGCGTGAAAGAAAGTGGCATGTTGCAAAGGAGTCTAGAAATCATAAGTAGGAGGATAAGCACTGGGTGAGATATGATTGAAATCACATGGAAATAGTCGTGTTCTTAATCAGTCAACACCATCCAATATGTGGCATAACCAATGTTGAGGGAAAGCTGCCTAGTACCAATATCATCTTGCCCATGTCAAGGCACTCTATGGAGAATGTGGAGTATGCCACGCTAATTACTGTCTGTGTCCCTTGTAAAATATACGGTTAAAGCAACGTTGTAAACAGGAGCCCGGAGCTGAAAGCCGTCTTTAGGTTTGATGCAAGGTGTGTCATGACGCAGCCACGGCTCCGAAGGCGTTGGAAGAATTTACCCACCTTTCATCTGCTTCGCCGAGGCATGATTCTTCCTGTAGCTGACTCGACGGCGTTTCTCTCTTTCCAGCCGCTGACTGGAAGAGCCAGTGTGAATGCCTGTGCTTACGGTCCAGTCGCTGCGGCATGAAAAGGAATGAATATCTCTGAGACTAGCATGGAGCATCACCTAGGCAAAACAAAGTAGACCAACAACACATTGGAGGGTTAGCTACTTGAGAAAAGATGCTCGATGTCTCAAAACACAGAACCACTGACAATCTGTGTCTCAACCGTCAGGTAGCTTTACTGCAGTCACCTCCGTCTTGGCAAAAGTTCCAGAGTGGATTTGAGCCAGCCATGGTGTGACTCACCGATATGTTAGAAGACCGCTCAACTTCCTTTGGCATCTTTCGCTCTTCCTCTACGATTGATCGTTCATTTAGCTATTTTTAAAAAAAAAAAACAGAAATTTAATAAAACAGCTCATGGTAACGCCATTTCCGAACGTTATCACTCGTTATCACCTTCATGACTGCCACTCTAGAGAATAAGATCAAAAAGTGATATCTTTGCTATTTCGGGTGTTCGACGCGCATACACTAGTAGTCATTGATAATCATGATTGTTAAAGCCTATTCCAGGCGCAGCGCTCGTCAAGAGTATCCATCTAATGAATTCAATCGAATCAGTGTGGTTTAAAATTTACATGGACTCCTCCGTAATGTACTCCTTCAGGAGTATAGACGAAGCTAGTATGGAAGAGTTCGAGTGGAGAGGTAAAAACAACAATGAAATATGCCAGGCCCGACATCTCAACACAAATCGAAGCCAGTACATACTAATCTAACATGTACAGCTATCGTACTAATGCACGGTCGAGCCAATCCTTGCCTAACTACCTAATGTTGGGGCTGATTCCTCAAACCATGACGCCAACCTGCATCGACAATACGGCCAGCCTAGAAGGGGTGAGACAATCTACAGATCTTCCCAGCAGATGACGAGAGAAACAGCACGGGACGCAGATCTAAATGAAATGCTCGCCACTTATTCATTCAGAGTTTGTTAGAAAATAACATCAATACTGCATGATATCGTGAAAGAGGCGTGATAGTTATGCCCGACTTATATAAGAGCCCTTTTGTGATGGTGCATTTGCTGCCAGCAGAGAGCCAGCCTTCCTAGGGGACACACAAGTTTTTCGGGGGGAATAAGCATTCCGTGTCAAGCAATTATTGCTTCCGGGGGAATAATGTGCTCACCTATCCAGGATCAACAGTACAGCACTTGCAAATCGGGAATGGGGGGGATTACGTTCTGAGACAATTGGCTCAGCTACTGCTTCCATAAGCTGTTCTTTTGAGGTGACTGGTCTGTTGATGGCAAGCTAGAAAGGCCGTAATGCGGCACGGCATGCATGTCGCAGGTAAGCTGGAGGAAATAGTCTTGCTGCTGAAACGAATAGGGGGCTACATACTCCCTGCTCTGACCCGAAAAAGTTAGACGTGTGCCATGGCGATTGATCATCTCTGAAGTCGGCTATCCTCTTCTACATAATAAAGATACAGGTCATATTCCTGTGGCCAATAGAACACGGGTCCGCCATGGACGCGCCAGCTTTCCATGCAAAGGACCTCTAGCTGAGACACAGGTATGTGTTGGTCCTTGGCCACCGGCGGTTACTGGGTAAGAGGACCAATAAGGCTCGAGATAACTCCTCCTCGCCTAAATGTAGAACAATGATTCAAAGCGCCACTGACGCAGGGCGCTAATAGAACAACAAGCAAGATGTTGGTTCTGTCTCATTGGTAGCCTTTCATACAGCTGACCTTAGTGTCGCATGTGATCTGCGCCATTTATTTATATCCGGACATGAAGCTCAATCATGATCAGAGTCGTACAACTATATAAACGAGGGCGATTCTATGTTGGGCAGCTGAGAGAAACTTCGCAACAAAGTCCCGAACGTCAACGCCAACACCAAGCCGAACCAATGGATTCATTCCTAGACCAAAGAACGGTTTGTACCCATCACATCCACAGCCAACTTTGCTATTAGCTAACTGCTCATCTAGCCGATGGCGGCAAGGGTTTCCATGGAAACTTCCAACAGCCTTGTTCAAGCATCAAGGCCCACGTTAGTGTTTCTTTTGCGTTCTAGAATCATCCCTGGACACTGTCTCTGACTAGTATTCTGAACTACAGTGATGTGCTTACCTTTGGAAGGCATGTTGAGTATGGAAAGAAATTCGGCAAGTCGCCGCAACAAATCGTTCAGGATGGGTCCGAATTTGGAGGAGAAGTCATCGTAGAGGGGGGCGGAACAGTTACCCAGGGCAATGAAATCAAAGGAGATATTGATGCAAGGGCGATACATCAAACCGGCTCTAGATTCATTTCAACAGCTCGTGTCAAGGATCAGAATTCCACCTTCCTGCAGAGGAACCTCATTGAGAAATGGACTGTGTAGTCTCCTCGCGGATGTTGGATTCATGTGTTTTTCAATTAAGCATATAGAAGCCATCATACCAATGAGTTGATCGGTCGGACTGCTACTTAGCAATACAATTTTGATTCAGTTAGATTTGGCGTGTAGAAATTTGGTCGTAAACATGGAAGTGTTTTCCCATCTTCCTCGGAAAGTACGCAAGATGGCACCACCATCATATCTAGATCAGATATCTTTGGGTCATTGCCATGTCTCAGTGAGTACGGTTAGCAGCTTTTAATTTATTGTCGCAACACACCCAGTAGTACAAATACTCTCGTCTCGGATTTGTAGAACTTACTCTTACTAAACTACTTGGCAACTTAATTACCCATAGACATTTACGCATTGGCCCAACCTTCTCTCTCGGGAAAGTTCAGTAGCCGGTGTATTTCTATTTGATCTCTTCATCATACGGCATCCATGGCACCAAACAACCAGGGTAACAGATTCCATCTAAAACACGATGGGCTTGCGAAATCTTGTGTCCATTTCTTAATACTAATATAAATGCGTACATGCTTTAAAATACTATCATGCGGTATATGCTACCAGCATGCAACACATATTTCTTACTTTTGCCCGAACTTCTGGTAGACCAACTGCTGAAATTTAGCATGTTCCTGCATCACCGGGGGGAACATGGGGGGTAATATCTGAGCAATGCAAGTGCCAAAGACACCAGCTTTGCTGTCAATGAACCACTGGCTGGTCGTAGCACCTGCCCACAACACAGTTCCCTCCGAACAATGCCCCTCAATGTCCTGCTTCACGAACATGCCAGCGAGACTCCAGGTGACTCTGTGAGCCGGCGCAATGCCCAAGCCAAGCAAATGCGTGTATACCGGCGAGCTTGCAATACAGTCGTTCATGGCTTTCTCGCATACCTCGTCAAGCTGCGGCCGGAAAAGCTCCTGGTATGAAGTGGGTTTCAGGAGCTTGGGATCGCGTTGGGCGACGGCCGAGAGGAAAGTGAAATGCGCGCGGGGGGTAATCCAGCAAGGTCCGCCGCCCAGACAGTCTGTTGCTCCGAAACGCGCGTCAAACTGCTCGGCATAGACAGCTGGTGGCTCGCCCTTTTCGCTGAGCGTGCTCACGGTGGCCAGGCGGTTTTTCATGTCTTCCCTCAACTCGGGGAAGAAACTGGCGTCATTCTCGATCCCCAATGGTGTCCATATGCGAAGACGCATAAATTCCTCGAGGGTCATGCCAGTCGCTTTCTCAATTGCCTTGCCTGCCCAGTCATGGCCATGGCCGTATGCAAACCCGGTCCCCGGAGTAAAGAGCAGAGGCACTACCGACTTCTCCTCGACAGTCTTGCCTAGCCATGGCGTCTCATTGCGAGATGCTCGCCATTTAGCGATAGTCGAACTGATGAAATCATATTCGTGACCCGAGGTGTGCGTGAGGAGCAGCCTCAGGGTGATCGGCGTAGTGTTCGGTTCAAGAACCGGGGTGTCACCATCAAAGCCAGTGAGGATACCATGCTTGCCTATGTCAGGAAGCAAAGACTTCACATCCTGATCGAGGTCGAGCTTTCCATCTTCAACACACTGGAGCACCGCAACCGAAGTCATTAGCTTCGTCATTGAAGCAATAATGCACATGGTGGACTCAGTGAGGGCAAGGTCAGCGTCATCTTTGAGGCTTCCTTTACCCACTGATTTAGTGTAGAGAAGTTTACCTAGAATTAGGAAAAATAAGTATGTTGAAGAATTGGATGGAAAATGTTCCCATAGTGCAAGCTGCATAGTGAGGGGATAAACTTACCATTTCTGTCTCCTGCAAAGACAGAAACACCGGGGAGCAGCCCAGCCGTCACGAGATCGTCGTATATCTTTTCAATCTCTTCGGACATGGTTAACGGCTTTGTGGCTATCAATTTAGGGTGGTAAGTGAATGGAAAATAAATGAAAGAGAAAAAGAAAAGAATCGTGCCACAAACAAATTCGCGAACTACGTGTCAGAACTTCGCTCCGCACGTATGCTCGGAGGATCTTACCACATGGGCCTCTATTGTCCACCATGATTGCTAGTCAGCATTTCTCTCACAATATGGAGTCGTCAGACGATTCCGAATTTCCTTGTTAGTAACATATAGGGGCAGGGAGTCCCATTCCAAATGCTGACACCGCCACCCGCTGGGCCAATCAAGCGGGTTCCCTATGCAAGGGGACAACAACGATTTGCACGGTCTTGTCCCTTTTGTTTACAAGAGATCAAGTTTCTTCCTTGGGAACCCTCTAGCCAGCTACTTGGGATGTGATTGACTCAACCGCCTACTGCTAGAGAAATAGCTATATGTAACAAGATGAGAAGAAATACTGTTATACCTCACTTGGCTACGCAACGCCTAGCGAGTTTACACAGGCTTTTTACTCCAACTAAAACAACTCTTTTAGCAGAAATAGGCCAGTAGGGTAAGCAGTTTTGTGATAGTGAAAATACTGCCTGCCTAATCTGCTATAGCAAAGTAAGCAAGATTCCTTAGCATGTAAGCCTAATGAAGGTCCCCTACTAGTGGACAACTCAAGTGCAGGGGTAACAAGAGGCTATCAACAGTGTACAGCCCTTTGTAAGATCTCAGGGTTCTTTCTGTATATCAACCGATAAGACCGACATTTTACACACAGTTATACCACCAAACGATACTTTGACAGTCGAGTCTGTCAAAGCCTAGAGTCATTCCGTGGAATTCTCCCTCTGCCAGCCAGTTGATAAGCTCCTTGAACCCCGAGAAGTTGTTTTCCACTTGCCGAGGTGAGTTTATTCAACTTTAAGAGTTCGACGCACATAGGTTCCTCTTCCTCGTTTCTTCTCTCGAAGCTGGAGAGCTTGGGATTGTTGCCAATAGAATCTCCAAGTCAAATGAGTTGAACACGACCCGGGATACAGAGCCTTTGCCTACCATATACACCAATCTCACCGAAATATACTCCTTGAAACGTTTCGGGACATAGAATGTACTCTTTTGATGGCCGATGCTCTTCCTCAAACGAAATCATCGTTACCTATAGCGACCTTGAATATCCGAACGAAGGAACCCAGAGGAGCAAGACCGCGAGACGGTACCCCAATAATTCCTAGGCCCCTGTTCAAGCCCTTCACAGGGTCCAATTTAGAATTGTTTATAGATTTAAGTATTCCGGGGCTTTATGAGGCGCAGGTTGCTCAAGCCATCGTGGTTGTGAAAATAATTGGAGAGGCTCTGTCGGTCAATTAACACTCAAACTCGCTGTAACCCCCGCTAACAGATCTTTCTGAGCATTCAATAAAATCTATTAAAATGTGATTTCGCCTACGCAGTAGTCTTGGTCAGCTTGCTGAACTATCGGTAGATTGCAGTTCACAATACATCAGCATTTGACGTAGGATATATAAAAACAAAGATAGGAGACAGAGATTTTTACTTCCGAATTTTCAACAAATCGAGTAAGGGCTTATAACCCCAAGACTGGACATGATTTTAGGATAACGTGTGGCATTCGAAGTACTTTCATTTGGAGCGCTAGAGATGATGGGTAATTTTACCTTCAATATTTAGCACTAGGGACTCTCTTATAACACGGCAGATAGGCATCTTGAGACGTAATTCAGAATGAAGATAAGAGCTGGTCGGCTGTTGATGGAATTACACTTATTTTCTTTGAATCTTTGTTTTGTTATGACTTTTTCTCCTCCTCTTTTCCGCGGCTCAAGTATATGTTTATGTGCGCCATATAGAACTTGATGCCGCAACGTCCTCAATCTGGATATTATGTACGACGGTCTCATGACGCAATCTAGACCCTTTGATTTCGTTCCCAAAAAATCGATGGAATTTATAGGCTAGCTAATCATGATTGGCTCGACTCTGCTTTATACGAGTAGCGCCGTGGACCCAATCTCGGCACAGCGAGCTAACGCAGCGTTATTAATGCCGAAGCACGTCAATCACCATCATGATTGTGTGCTCCAGTGCCGAATAGTATGTAAGAGTTTCAAACTCCCCAACCTCTAGAGTCAATTTTCTATGTTTCTTCAGCGAATTACCGCATTGTTCACTGATAATAAAGATGACTGCAGACTCCAACACTGAAGTGCCAAAAGGCAACAACTCCCCCAATGTTGCCGCGAATTCCAATGCCTTAGAAACCGGAACATCCGTGCCAGCGGGAGCTGAAATCCCGTTACATCCACCCCCTCACGTAGAGATCCTGGAACGAAATATTGACACCTCGAGGCAGCTGAGAGTGGCAGTAATTGGAGCGGGCCTGTCGGGTGTTACGGCAGGAATACTGCTCCCTGCAAAGGTTCCAGGAATCAAGCTTGCAATCTTTGAGAAGAACGCCGACGTGGTTCGTGTTTATTTTCTTCTATTTTTAATTCTAGAGTCAATTTTCCATGCTAAGAAATGTATAGGGTGGAACATGGTTCGAAAACGTTTACCCTGGTGTTAGGTGCGATGTTCCAGCACATGTATACCAGTCAACTTTCGACCCAAACACGCAATGGTCCGAACAGTTTGCACAGGGTGCCGAGATCAGAGACTATTGGCAAAGTCTGGCTAAGAAATACTCTGTGTATCAGTATCTTAAGCTATCTCACGAGGTGCAGGACCTAAATTGGGACGGTTCCAAGGGCAGTTGGTCCATCCGCGTCACAAACCTCCTGAACCAGCAGGAATTCGTCGAGGAGTTCGACTACGTGCTAACAGCTATTGGGCGATTCAATGCCTGGAAGCTCCCCGATTACCCTGGAAGAGATGAATTCAAGGGTTTGTTAAGGCATGCCTCGCATTACGACCCATCTTTTGATCTGAGCGGAAAGCGCGTCGCTATCATTGGGAACGGTGCGAGTGGCATCCAGCTTACTGCGAACATCCAGAAGAGGGTCGCACATCTGGATCACTACGCACGAAACAAGACCTGGGTCACGGCATCCTTTTCTGGTGACGTGACCTCCCTCTCTCCCATAGAGATCCCACCAGAGAAGAGGCAATCGTTTGCCGACCCCAAGGAATATCTCAAATATCGCAAGCAGGAAGAGGAGAAGTACTGGAGAGGTTTCAAAGGATGGCTCAAAGGCACGGAGGAGAACGAGGCGCGCCGCGCTGAATATCTCAAAATCTATCAAGACAGACTTGTAGGCCACCCAGAGCTGTTGGAGAAACTCGTCCCAGATTTTTCTCCTGGTTGCCGCCGCCCCACGCCAGGTCCTGGGTATCTCGAAGCCATCTCTTCAAGCAATGTGGAATATATCCAAACTGAGATCAAGCGTTTCACCGAGACTGGCATAGAGACAACTGACGGGCAGCATCGTGAGGTCGATGCGATCTTCTGCGCTACCGGGGCCAACGTGGATCAAGTACCCCCATTCAAGATCTACGCCAACGGAAAGGAGCTTGGGGAGGTTTGGAAGAGAGGTGGGGAGTTTGGATCCCCTTACACCTATCTTGGTGTGTCGAGCCCAGGCTTCCCCAACCTCGGCTTTATCCTTGGCCCTTATGGATTCGGCAGTTCTGGCTCCATCCCTTACACCGTCGAGGTTCAGATTGCCTTCTACTCCAAACTTCTCCGGAAAATCGACCTCGAGGGGATCAAGTCGATACAAGCAAAGAAAGATGCCACGGACGAGTTTATTCAGTGGAGCGATTCCCTTTTCCAGAAGACAGTACTGTCCGACAACTGCAGCTCTTGGTACAACGGGGGAAACAGGGGCGGGAGGGTCCATGGAATATGGCCTGGCAGTTCTGGCCACATGGCTACAGCGCTCCGCCAACCAAGGTGGGAAGATTGGGAATACGAGCTTCTCAATGATTCAGGAAATCGGTTTGCTTGGTTTTTTGGGAACGGAGTTACCTCCAAGGAATTAGATCCAGAGGCTGATGTAACAGGCTACCTAAAAGAGCCTTCGCAAGTTGATATCAAAGATGTCCATGAGACCTGGTGGGGAATTCCATAGACTCATTTAGCATTTCAATCACGTTCAACTTCGCAAGCTCAAGCGCGTGATGATTCTCAGTTCAGTATTTCATTCAGTTTTGCATTATTTTGTCTTGTCACTCGTTAACCCACACCCACCCACGTTCACCAACGCGCCTCGCCACGAAGAAACACCCAATATCAACAGCAATAGCGGAGACAAAAACAATACTTAGAATCCACCGTTGGGATGAATGAGAACCTTGGTGTAACCGTCGATTCTCTTGTCGAATTTTTCGTAGGCGACTTCTGCGTCTTCAATGCCAATCTCGTGTGAAACCACGAAGCTGGGCTTTGCCCTACCCGCAATGATCAAGTCTCTCAAGTATCGGTTGTATGATTTGACATTGCACTGTCCAGTTGCAAGTTTAAGACCCTATAGAAGAATTTTTAGTATATAAAGTGGCCAATGGGCTTTGGTTTATAAAGCATACCTTCTCGAAGAGCTTGCCGAAGCTGAGGCTAATCATGCCCTTAGCAGCAGCCGAGTCTGGGGCACCGGGATCGCTGTTATGGTTGTTAGTTTAATTCATCTCTTCAACTGCAAGGTTAAATACGTACCTTGGGACGTAGAGGCCTGGAATACCAAGACCGCCACAGGCCCGGGTAACTTTGATCATGTTCTCGAGCACAATGTTGGGCTCCTCCTTGTTGCCTCCGCTGCCAACCGCCTGGTAGCCGACGGCATCAACAGAGCGGTCGACCTCACCGCCGTTGACCTTGATGATCTGCTCCACGGCATCGCCCTTGCTAAAGTCAATGGGGATGGCGTTGATCTTCTTCGCAGCAGCCAATCGCTCAGGAACACGGTCAACCACGAAGACGTTGCTGGCGCCACGCAGAACGGCGGAGTAGGCAGCCATGAGTCCGACGGGGCCAGCGCCGAAGACAGCGATGGACTCACCCGGCTGGAAGCCAGAGATTTCTACACCGTGCCAGCCAGTGGGGAAGATATCTATTTGGGTCAGTTAGCGGAGAATAACGGATGCGCAGTTGATGATCAGGGGACTTACCCGCAAGAAGGATGAAGTCGGCCTCGTGCTCCTTCCCTGGTGGGAGCTTCAGGGCATTAAAGTCGGCGTAGGGAATCCGAATATATTGTGCCTGGCCTAGAGAGGAAGTTAGCATCTGATTTCACCAGACGGAGCAACACGATGCGGTAACTAACCTCCTCGGTAAGGGCCCATAGCGACGTATCCTGTTTACAATCAATCAATTAGCTAATAACCGGGACAGTTTGGTGTTGTTTCGTTTCCAGGCAATTGACTTACCATATGCTCCTCCAGCAAAGCCAGGGTTAACTCCAGTACAGAAAGCGGTCTTGCCCTCCTCGCAGTTACGACACCGCCCATCAGCGACATTGAAGGGCATGACTACACGGTCGCCCTTTTGCAGGAGTGTAACACCTTCACCCAGCTCCTCTACGATTCCCATGTTCTCATGACCTACGGAGGGGTGTTAGTGGCGAACTGTAATGTGTGGATCAAACATTGGTATCTGACCGAATGTGATGCCGGGCTCAGCCGCTGTTCGGCCTTCGTACATGCTTCGACATTGTAAGTAGGGTAGCCAGTGAAGGTTTAGATAGTCGTGGCCTACTGTAGATCAGAGCCGCAGATGGCAGCCTGGGTGGATCTTGATCAATCGAATGTTCAGGTGGGCACTTGGATAAAGCATACTCACGGTGGTAACTTTGACGATGATGTCGTCAGGATGTTCAATCTTGGGCTTGCTGACTTCCTCCACCTTGACCTTGTGAGGGCCAACATAGTTGACGGCCTTCATAGTCTGGGCAGCCATGGTGATGATTGAAGGCAGCTCCTGAGGTTTACTGAATATGGGAAAGAATCAAGAGTGGGGGAAGCGGATAAACTTGGAAGAGATGAAAGACATCACCAGCCCATCGATTCCGCATGCGAAAATAAGATTACTTATACTTGATCTACCCTTACTTTACAGCCGACACTACCCCAGGACAACTTTCGGACAAGCTTCGGTATCCGCGGATACAAAATGCGGGGAGATGAGAAATGGGGATGGAAGGTGTCTTCAACATCAGCAGACGGGCAGAGGTGGATGGAACCTAATCACCGTGTTGTCGTCACTGCTCCAATGCGGAGATGTGCCTTGACTCCATTTCCAGGCGAATCCACCGAAGCCAAGCTACACAATAGGAACTGCTGGCCGATCCAATGGACAGTGAAAACCAGGTTCTAGACGGGGAGGGCCAATCACGCACAGGGCATGACCGATGCCTGAATACGCCGATGAAACCCCCACTCCTGTTCTGTGCCTTAGTTGCGAGTGGGAGGGGAAAATGGGGGAGGAGTTTGGAAGGTTGGAAGGTTGGAAACTCGCCGTCGAGCCCCGCGCCGGGAGGGAATTGCCCTTTTCAGCGGTCACTAGCAACGCTACCTAAACTAAAATTGGAGATCCATGCTATGGCCGATGTGAGTGAGGGTGAGGGTGTGTCTGAGTAAGTTTGCAAGGTCCAGTCTCGGTGCTCAATCAACTAGTCCGGCTTCCCCCATCGCCGAGGAAGCATTGCCAAAAGTAGCTCACCATCTTTTCCGGCAAATGTCACCAGTCACCTGTCCCGCGCGACTGCTCACTAATATCTCGATAAGTTGCGTTTGGCTTCCCCGCCTCGATCCACATTGCCCCTCATCCGCCATCTCAGCTTACCAGGAAGGGTAAATAGTTCCGCGGGGAGGGTGATCGGGGATTCTTGCAGCTTGTATCCAAAGAGGAGTTGGCTTTCCCAATGTGTATCATTCTGGAAGGTTTTTTGAGTAGGTGCTTTGGCGCCATCGTGGCATCCAGAAAGGCGAGACCGTACAGAAATAGACTTATTTCCCTCCAGCTTCTCAACAGACTTTGCTGTCGGTTTACCTAGTATTTGTGGCTCCCTCTGTTTCGCATTTATTTTGTAATAACGCCATCAAAATCATCAAGATGCCCCTCTTCTAAGGATGCCATATAGCGACAGCTATTTGAATTCGGCTCAGTGGTTGATCCTCATCGTAAATCCGCTTTCTTAAATATTTAAGGGGTAACTAGGCTCTAATATGCCTAAATACGGAATAAATTTCAGCATCAACTTTACTAGTGACAAGCTAAACCTAGTTGTCCATGACGAACGTCATAGCAATATTTATATCGACGATCCTCCAACCCAAGCGGCATCTAGAAGGCTGGCAGAGATAACCAGAACATGACCAGGAAGTTGCGAATATTGAGCACCTACGTCTTCTCCTTTATTAAGAAATTAAATAAGGCAATTATATGCAACCACTATTGCCAGTGACTGTAAGAGTCAGCAAGTCTTCTAAAGGTATCTCGCACAGCTAGTTCCACCGACACCAAATCACTCTTAGGAGGCCCAACACTATTCAATCAATGAGATCGTTTAATAAAGAAATCAGACTAGAAATTCGCTGTTACACTATATAGTTAGTGAACCAATCATTATTGCTTCGAATACGGCCTCACGTATGAGTTTCCATCTTATGGGCTTCTTATACACATGACTTTTTTAGGATTTATTCAAATAGAGCCCCCAGATAGATGCCCCCTCATACTATAATTCATTCCTAGTTTATCAGTAATACACGGGCAGTAGGAGAACGTGCTAAACAAAAGAAGCTCAAGTCTAATTCTTCATTCTAGCAGGTTGGTTTAGAGAGCTACATGTGTTTATGACACTTAGATTTCATAGCTCAAAGAAGGAAGAAAGATCATAAGAACCCAATTTTAAGACTTCAGTTAGTAGTTTCCTCTAAATCTCAATAGCCTAATATTGTATTGGTCAGATGTAAACGCAGCAGAGTTACGAAATGAAGATAATAGAGGCGCCTGATGACGCCTACGTTTTTATATCACACGTGTATGCCCCTTCAAAGTATTGCCTTGGTCTGTTCACTAGGTCTTAATTCTTCAAATTGATACTCAATTAAAACGATCACATTTAGGGCAGAGCCTTACTCTCAATTCTTAAAAGCACAGAAAGCATCTAAGTTAATACTGGTTGCAGTTTAAGTACATCTCTAAGCTTTGACTATTCTCAAAACTTACCTCCTACAAAATTGGTGTCAACACACTACTTCCCAGCCAGCTCAGTTCTCCTCGTAGACCATTCTAATTTCAGTGTATCATTGTACAACATGCATAGATCCTCTATGGGCCGGTTGATATACGAGCCTTTCAAGTCTTAGGCACCCTCATCGGAGTATTTTGAAACTCGTTCAATACGTGAATCGAAGATGCCAAGTGTCTGGCCGATTTCAGCCTAAGGTATATTGAGTTCATACTCCTCATGGCGCATGTAAGAGTTTGGTCTGAAGTTGCTGCGTAGTTACGACAACGTTCACGAAGCCATATGTCTCCCATCACCGGTTCGTCTCCAAATGCTCCAAAATTTGGAAAGATGTTGAGGTCAACCATATCCTAGCAGTGCCGCTCAATGATAGGTATCGTCCCGCATTAGTAGCCCTCAATTGTTTGTCTCGCGAGGACATATTCCGCTCAGCCTTGTCACACATCCTTCGGACTAGACCTCCGAGTTACGAGACATTGGGTGAGGGGGAAAGAGATACTGCATGAAAATGTGGTAATAAATTAGAAAGCTATGCAGACGCAACAGGCCGCATTATTCTCAACCTGCAGGTGGCTAAGACAGACAGGCTGAAACTCCATATCCAGAACTCTCCAAGCCAATCAAACCATGTCAACTGCCACAGATGACGACACGAAACGACATGTCCAGCTTTTGCTATCTGGGGCTGGCTGAGCCTGTCCCCGCGTTGGCCAATATTTCAGCGTCCTTCCGAAGCTGCATGCGGCCACCAATGTTCAAGACAAGGATTATCGTGGTCTACCTGTTGTGTTTCAGCCCTCGGAACCTTTGGAAGGGCCGAGAAGGGCCCACGGGATGGGAGATCAGTGCATCTTTTCCCAGATCGATCGATCTACCTGCAGACGTGCCGTCGCGGCGCGGTCTGTGCCAAAGACACCATCGATTTTCTATGGCATAACCATGCAGCTTAGATGCAGCTACTGCCGAGACTCGGGGGGTTATAGCCAACCAGATCATTCTCTATCCCGCCTGTGGCTGTGATGATGTGGTCAGTCTCAGTTGAGACCGCCTCATCGTCAGAATGACTGCAAATGCGTCCCAGATAGCGTCAGTCAATGGCCAATGTTCCCGATTACGAACGACAGCACTGCTCTCTGGTCGGGCTCACTGTTGGAACCGCGGCAGCTTGCTGTGCTCACAGCGCCAAGTAGTCGTCATTCGCTCCATGATTGCCGATGAATTCCGCGAGAGGTGCAGAAAGTTGTCCGTGCCTTAGCCACGAAGATCCAATGTACTCTGCACCTTCAAGCCCCGCCCTGAGGCCAACTCGGGATCCTGTATGCAGCCACAGGCAAAGCCCGGAGAGAAGTTAAGGCAGGCGTCGACCACCCTCAGTGAATTCCTGATGCTGCTCATTATCTTAGGCAGCTCAAGAGCTTCTAGGTATAAAACCAATCCTATCCCTGCCCGTCCTCAAGAACCGGACCTTCTTCCTCACCATTCTTTTGCCATTGTCAACATTGATCAATATGGTCTATGCAAGAGAAGTTTCGCTTTTGCTTCCCGGCTTGGTACGTACGCCCCGTCTCATAGCTGTCAGTACAACACCTTCTGACTCCTACTAGGCTACCTTGGTGGTCGGCGTCGGCACCCGCGTCGACACCGACTTCTCAGCAGTCTCGTGGGCTGATCCCCGAGTTGACGTATTTGGCGTCGGGCCAGATGAAGCATCCCTGTGGCACAAGTTCTGGACCGGCTGGGACTGGCAGCCTCGAAGTGGCTTCGAGCGTGTCCCAGCCGCCGAGGCCAGCCCGCCTTCCACCTCTTCCTGGGGCGAAGGCCGCTTTGACGTCGTGTATGTGAATGCCTCTGGCAGCAATGTGCTCCACAAGTACTATGACGGTGGCTGGGGTCCTTCTTGGGAGGACGTCGAGGACCTCGGTGGCAACGTCACGTTCATAACCAGCACCTCTAGGAGCCCGGGCCGATTAGATCTTGTGGGCAGGTCCGGCGACTCGTACGTCTACAAGGCTTGGATTCACGGAGAGTGGCTACCTGGAGGCAAGCACTGGCAGACCTTTGGTGGTGATTTTGCCAGTGACCCTGCCATTACCTCCTGGGGTCCTGGCCGCCTTGACGTTGTCGGGATCGCCAAAGACGGCTATCTTGAGCATCGGTACTGGCAGCATGGCTTGTCTAAATGGGGGATCCTTGGTGAGGGACCATTCCACGGAACTCCCCGCATAACCTCGTGGGGAGAGGATAGACTAGACATCTGGGCCTTGGGCGAGGGCGGAGAATTGAACCATCTCTTCTGGGATGGCACACAGTACCAAGGCTGGGAAAGCCTTGGTGGTAAGTTCACCGAGATCCCCCAAGTCGTGCATTGGGAAGCTGGGAAGATCGACATCATTGGCAAGAACGGCGACACGTTTGTGCTCAAGAACTTTGACGGTTTCAATTGGAACGGGTGGTATAACTTGGCAACTTCCTTTGCATCCGAGCCCGTCGTGCTTGCAAAGCGAGGAGAAAGTAAGTGATATTTATCCCACCCCCTCAGGAGCCTTGTATCAGGCATATACTTACCACGCAGTTCAGACTTCCTCACCGTCTTGGGTATCGATAAAGGAGGAGGTTTGAGAAGCCAGATCTGGAGTGGATATGATTGGCAGCCTGGTCCCCATGAAACCTGGTATCTCGGAGATCTGTCATGGCCATACGGACTTAGTGATGTGAAGAATCAGAAGACTCTGGGGCCTGCAGGCGAGCTGAAGTGATTATTCAACTACGAATGCATGTAGAACCATGGAACCACTTGAGAGCGACTTGGGTGCCTTTTGGCCGCAAACACTGCAAGATACTTTAGCTCGCAATTTGATACGTGGACCTGTGTGTCGTGGAAACCAGCCGCTGCCCCCTTTTCGAGGCGATTGGTGATTTCGATGATATTCGCCTGCCTGAAGATGAGATGAGCAAGAAATGAATCTTCTGGTGTACAGTAGCCGCGTGTAAGATTCCAGGCACCAGTGTAAGCCCTGATCAAACCCCTGCCCAGGATCCGTAGTGGGCATCTTACATCTCGGCCTCATCCCAATCCAGACTGCCGTATTCCGAACAAGCTCTCGATCACAAATAAAAGGATTATTCTTGGCCATCTTGCATGATCTTCCACCCCGCTGCAGCTCAGTGAGAAATGGCTCGATGATAAATCGAACACCAGAGTTCCGTTTCGCCATAGCAGAGGCGCAATCAATGCGGCAAGTGTAGGATTCTATCACACGCCTTGCTGTCGATATCAAACGCATCGCCCGCTCGCGGAGAAACCTACGTCTCTGTCAGATCACCGTACGGGGCAGCAAGCTCAGTCTTCAAGTTCCATATCTCAGTAAACCAGACTCCACGCGGTCAAAATGGCCAGCGCCTCAGATGCTGCTGTGCGAGGCGGCGAGATCTTCTTCGCGTCGCACAACCCAGCCGCCACCACCACCATCGTCCTCCTCCACGCCCTGTTCGCCAGCCATCGCGAATGGGACCACGTCGTCCCGCACCTCTCAGACTACCATCTCATCGTCCCAGACCTCCCGCAGCACTCCCGCTCTCGCCGCACCGGCCCGTTCACGCTCCAGCTGGCCGCCGCGGAGGTCGCCAAGCTCATCAGGAACCACGCCCGCGGCGGCGTCGCGAACGTCGTGGGCGTCTCCCTCGGCGGCTTTGTCGCCCTCGAGCTCATCCGCCGGCACCCGGAGACAGTCGCGTCCGCGTTCGTCTCCGGCTCGTCGCCCTTCACGGACCAGCAGCTCTGGATCGCCCAGCGGCCGATGCTCGTCCACTGGGGGCTCTGGGTCGTCATGGGCAGCGGCATCTACCGGCTGCAGGCCTGGCTCGCCGGGCTCGTGGAGCACGGCGACCTGCAGGCGGAGATGAGGGCCAACAACAGCTACGAGCTCGCCAACTCGGCCTTCTTCGAGATGAGCACCTGGCAGTCGGACGCCGCCAGGGCGGTCGCGAAGCAGGACAGGCGCGTCCTGGTGGCTGCTGGTGAGAATGGCGATCCGAGGGACAAGGCGAGGGAGCTGGCTCACACCTTGCAGGAGGGTGGCCGCGGTGAGGGCAAGCAGACTCGAGTGTACCTTGTCAAGGATGCCATCCACACATGGGATCTCCAATTCCCGGAGCTCTTTGGGACAGCCATCAAGGCTTGGATCGGCAAGCAGCCACTCCCGGCTGAATTCAAGGGGCTGTGAGCCAGGCCACACCCGCCGCAGGCCGTTCGAAACTGATTCACCGCTCCCCGCGTATTTCACATCTTCACTCTCCAATGTGTTTGTGATTTCGGCCAAATGGCGGTCCATGGGGGTCAACGCATGACCAGTAGGCCCCATGCTGCCCCCAAGCTCATGACTCTTCCCCGTACGTGCGACTCCAAGCCTCCGCATGTCATGTTAGGGCGGTAAGCCCCTTGAAACGCAGCATCTAGTGTGAGATGCCCAACCATCTATTGGAAGGATGAAATGTTCATCTCGTTCCACCAATTCCAATCGTCCCAGTCAACAAGCTATACACTAGTCAGGGGACCGTTTCGGTCTTTTTTTAACCTTGTTGCGACGATGATCATGGGGTAATCACACCAAGCAAGTCTATACGGTCAGGGTCTCATCTGCCGAATCGGTCTGACCCTCCATTAGGAAGCTTGTCGCCGGCTCCTGGGTTTCACGACCAAATTCCTCGAATCAGAGCGCCAAGGCCGACATCTCAATCGGCAAACCATTGCCGGTGGAAGCTACCGATTGAATATGAGGGTACATTATTGGAATATCCCTAGAATATCCCAGACCACGCGTCCAAATATATCGTACTTCAACCTACTGAAGAACCCTGATGTAACCTCTTTGGGTTGCGGCATTGGATACCCCGTGAGCCAGCATGAAATTTGTTTCTTCTCACATCGAGGTTCATCATTTCCGTTCTTTGTTTCAGGAAGATCCCAAATTTCCACCAAAGGGATTGAAAGAGATGAATAGTAAGAGTGATGCTTGGTTCATCGCCAAGAAACTTATATAAAGCTTGGCATTTGAACCTCATCATGGGAGGTCCTAGACAACCATCGAGCCGACAAAGACATCAACTCCACATTCATAGAACCAATTGAATTCCTCCTTCCACTTTTGAGACTTCCTCATAGCCTCTAGCCACCATGACTTTGCGCGTCTTTGCCCTCTTCGGTCTCTTGGCCGGCGCCTCGGCCGTGACCACCACCCTCCCCAAGTCGTCTGGAACTGCATCCTACCCGACCGCCATCCCCGTGAGCGGCTCCTACGATGGAGGCATGAAGCGCTTTGAACGCAGCCGTGAGTGCCCCAATCCATCTCCAAGTAAGGGTGACCAGGTTGTTGACTGTATGAACAGCCTCTGTTTGCCAAGGACAGTCAGAGACAGGCGAGAAGGATGCCATGTTCATCTTAGAGAGCGGAGCGACTCTCTCCAATGTCATCATCGGCGCCAGCCAAGCTGAGGGTGTTCACTGCAAAGGCACTTGGTATGAATCCTACAATATACCCTCTTCTCTTCTAGAAACTGCCCCCCCTCTAACAACTCCTCGATAGCACCCTCAACAACGTCTGGTGGGCCGACGTCTGCGAAGACGCCGCGACCTTCAAGCAGAGCTCAGGAACCTCGTACGTCAACGGCGGCGGCGCCTTCAAGGCCGCCGACAAGATCTTCCAGTTCAACGGCTTCGGCACCGTCCAGGTCAAGGGCTTCTACGCCAACGACTACGGCAAGCTCTCGCGCAGCTGCGGCAACTGCTCCAACAACGGCAAGGCGCGCAACATCGTCATCCAGGACTCGGTCGCCGTCGACGGCGGCGTGCTGTGCGGCATCAACACCAACTACGGCGACACGTGCAAGATCGTCAACTCGTGCCAGGACAACAACAAGTCGTGCGACCGGTACACGGGGAACGCGAGCGGCGCCGAGCCCTCCAAGATCGGGTCCGGGCCCGACGGGACCTACTGCACGACCTCTGGGTTTACTACGAGCTGTTAAGTTGTCCTTTGGGGCTGCGCCTTGGGAAGTCGGCCGATTGGGTGATGGAGTGTTGTATTGCTCTTCCGTTATTGGTGTTGTCGTTGATGCGGTTGTCCTCTGGTTCTCGAGCGTAGTTTTAATATACCCTTAGGTCGCTCTAGATCCCGTCCCGATACTAATATGTGATTACAAAGTAATTATTTACAATCATTCCAACAAGTGATTTGATTCTTGAAGCTGTTTTAGCCTCCGTAGCAATCGTGACTGTCTCGATATCATCAGCTTCTCCCCGCTCCATACTCACGGCGGCGGTATGTCGGAAGCCTGCTCGGCCTTCTTCGGGAAGTGAAGCCGCGACGCCGAAAATCCAGTACTGAGGGCTTTCAAACTCTATTACACGACCGTCACTAAATTTAATAATCCATTGGCAATCCATTGGTAAGAAGCTAGTCCAACGTAGTACCCCGCAACCAACGGACAGGCCGCCTGCTGAACTGGTTCAACTCACCGCAGGGCCGCGGCGTGCTCAAGTGTAATCGCCGCCTCTGTCGCCGCACGCCCTCCGCACGACCCGATAAAACGACGTCTCCCTCTCCATACGGCTCATCAAGAAGAATCCATCCTCATTCAGCAGAAACAAGAAAGAAAAGAAGAACCAACCTCACCATGTCAAACGAATCACGCCCTCCATTTCCTCCATTTGATGCCGAGTCGGCCAAGGTCAAGGTCAAGGCTGCTCAGGATGGATGGAACACCAGGTAAGCTGCCGAGTTCTACGTGACTCACCTGCCTTCTCACCAAATAGGACGCAAAATCTAACGAAATTCTCTCAAAGAAACCCAAGCGCCGTGAAGATGGCGTACACCCCAGACTCCATCTGGCGGAACCGTGACCAGTTCCTCCAGGGCCGCGATGCCATTGAGGCATTCCTCTCCAAGAAGTGGGAGAGGGAGAACGGATATCGGCTCCGCAAAGAACTATTTGCATTCACCGACAACAAGGTATGTAGACGGCTCCGGAGACGCCGGGGCCGCGCTCTTGGCCCGGTACCCCCACCCTTCTCAACAATGAATACCGACTTACCGTGCGTCATCTCCAGATTGCCGTTCAGTTCTGGTACGAGTGGTACGATGAGTCCGGCCAGTGGTGGCGTACCTACGGTCTCGAGGACTGGACATTCGCCGACGACGGCCTGATGAGGAAGCGCCAGATGAGCGGGAATGATGTCAAGATCAGCGAGGAGGAGAGGTGGTTCAAGGACGGAGTGGACGTCAACGCAGTCGATATATCCGAGAAACACTGGTAGAATGCTTACATGTACGTAGCCATGCGCGGTTTTATCTCGCGCTTGACCTGTAACGCTTCACACGCTTCATAAGCAACCTTGATAAGAATCAAATAGTCTCTCCCATCGCATAGCACCGCATAAGCAAGCAGAAGAAGCAAGCACATTCTCCACTCGTTGACGTTGAGGCCGCCTCCCACCACTCACCACGCAAAGATGCGCCTCGTGGCTCGCCTGCAGATTTCTTCCTGGCGGCAAGGAGGGAATAACTGTGTTTCGTGTTCAGCTTCCCAAAAAGGGTCTCTCTACCCCTCCTGAACAGTCACTCTCCACCAGCTACTTACTGTCCGCCGCTTACCGCCAAGTGGGGGTCTTGATCGCTCGAGGCCAGTCGAAACACAAGATTCAAGCCAAACCATGTAGTCCCCCCGCCTTATCGTTGCTAGTTCATCCACGTCCTCCGCCAGCGACAGATTATTATGTTGCATCTTTGCTTTTTCGATTGATCTAATGATATTCTAGATTTTTGGGTCGCGTCTTGCGTCTCGAGGATGTATAACTGTCACTTACCTTGCACACTATGATGTTGTTCCTCTCTCCTCCCACTCTCTTCCCTTCTCTGTCCCAGTCTTCAGCCAAACGAGTGAGCGTGTTTTTTTCTTCTTCACTTTCCACAAGCTACCATGTCTCAAGCCTTTATACACTGCGTGCGTCATGCACAAGGCCAGCATAACGTGGCTGAATGCTACGACTTCATAGATCCAGAGCTCACGTCCTTGGGCCATGAGCAGTGCTCTACCCTTGCCAGCACAGAGCAGGAGGTTCTTTCCAAGGTGTCTCTTGTCCTGGCCTCACCCATGACTAGGACTCTGCATACTGCAAGGAACCTGTTCGAGGTCCCTCTTGGAAGGAAGACCATCCCCCCCATCATTGCAGTTCCCACAGCCCAGGAGGTGACTGATTACAACTGCGATAAGGGGAGCGATCTCGACGATCTTAGGGAGCGTGTGGTGTCGCGCGGCTGGCCCGTCGACTTAAGCCTGGTCCCAGAGAACTGGAACAACAAGTCTCTCGGAAGCCAGTTCGGCCCCGCCGGCTCTGCCATCCTCGCCCGTGCTCTTGAGACCAGGAGAATACTCAAGACGCATGCCAAGGCTCTCATGGAACAACGAAATGAAGACGTCCACCTCGTGCTTGTTGCGCATGGTAGCTTCATGCACTATCTGACCAACGACTGGGAAGACAGCACCAACTACGCTGGGACTGGCTGGAAGAACTGCGAGCTCCGGTCTTATACTTTTGAGGACCACCCCCTTGATGTCGATAGTGTAGAAGATGATGCCTGGTTCGTTGAGACGGAAGCGAGCAGACGCAAGAGGGGCAAGTCTAACGATATGTATGCTCGAGCAATGCAGGAGGTCTTGTTTGAGAGAACGATGATTGGCTGGGAAGACCAAGGGCTGCCCAACCACGCGGCCCTCATTCAGCCCGTCGAGTCCAAATTATGATTGGGTTCATCCCATAATCCTGCATTGAGGGAAGGCGAGCAAGAGGAAAGGGAAAGGCTGGGATGAGCTTTGCATAATTAGTTGCACGCTAGGCACGCAACACGCTGTGGCAGCCAGCAAGTACGCAGGCCTATCACTCCCTCAGATGGACCAGCCATGTTATTGATGGATCCGGTCGATGTGACAATGTCCGGCTACATGTAGAGCGTAGAATGCTGTGTCCCGTTCTTGTTCCCATGAGACACGTGCCCGACTTATGTGCCATCCCAGGATATCCATTCGGATGAATGCATGTCTGCGTGTCTTGAGGGCTTGTTCAGCAACAGGCGGCAATCCATAGTGTAACTTCGATTGATTCAGCCTCACAACGTCAATTGGCCAAGAACCGGGCCGGAGGAGCTCGATGGCTTGGAGACTGTCTACCATGTGTTCCCTAGTGGACCATCTGAAATAGGTAAAATACGTGAGTGTCACGGATGTGGCAGGGGAAGGGTTAACGGAGCATGCAAGAGTCCTGCGGAATGTCGACGAGACTGACCCTTGCCTTTCAGTCAGGATCGCAGGAAACATCAACGGCCAGCTCCAGGTGAGAGAGATATCTTCAAAGTAGCTCACCATGAGAGGAAACTCGTTTCCTTGGCATAGTGGGTTCGGTTGGGAGGAGATGGGTGTGTCCCCCCAACTTGTATGTAGGCGGGCGGGGCGTGGGAGGAACGCGAACATACTCAATTCATGGCGACGGCAATGAGCGGGGGTTCGAGGTGCGGTGGACGCTTGAGCACCTGACAGATCGATGGGCGCAGCTCATCGGACCCCGCGGACAATAGTGTGCTCTCCCTGGCCCGGAAATAATCATCAAATCGAAGCCTTAGACAGGTAGGATGAGGTTGCAAGTTGATGGAGAAAACGTCTCTGAAGGGATCTGCTCAAGATGACTCCAGATTGGGCAGTTGCATACGGCAATGGCTCTTTCCAAGCACTTCGCCATGAATTCCCAGGTCTAGATTAGCTCCTCACTGTCGCCACGGCTTCCCAAAAACAGACTAGGCTGAGAGTGATCTGTGGAGAGTCCTCTATCGTATTAGCGCCCTCGCTGCTCTGACTCAGGCTCCATCTCAATATCGCCAAAAGAATGCTTGGCTGAACCAATTCAATGCGCTACCATTTCGCTGGAATGGCATTACGAGCATACTCATCCGATGAGTCCTCTTCTTAATGCCCTCTTTTAGAAACCAGAACCCTCTGCCTAATTACTTGGAAACATCTTCATAGGTAAATAGGCAGCACTTTTGCAAAAGCATATTTGTATCAGGGCGGAGGCTCTTAAAGCGGCGTTGCTAAGGGACTTTTTACCTGAATCAGCAATTCTACCGCCTTTACAACAGGCTATGCGTAACAGAAACATCATTGATGGCTTGTCCAAAGCTTACAAGTAGCCAAAATTGGCCAATGCCTGGCATCCATCCGCATGGCCTTCCCTCCTAGTGAATTGATACCACTCATAGCATGAAACCCTGCTGCTCTTGCTTGAGCCATCTTTGATATGGATAAACCCTCTGCTCCGGATGCTGGTGCAGGCGACCCAGCTCATCCCCGCAAACGCCGGAGAAAGACGTTCTCTGGTTGCTGGACATGCCGAGCGAAGCATGTCAAGTGTGACGAGGCCAAGCCGGCCTGCATGAGATGCGAGCGGGCCGGTGTGAGGTGTGAAGGCTACGGCATCCGATTGTCGTGGACCTTCCTGCAGGATCCATCCAACTTCCGGCCGGGAAAGTCGCCCTTGAGAGGGCATGCCAACAGACAGACGAATGATGTTGGCCCCAATGCCACCCCGTCTGCTACGAACAGTGCCTCTCCCTCCAACTCTAACTCCACTCCCTCTGCCCAGACTCTCGATGTGCCAAATCCCGTTCCTCAGGCTCACAATCACAGCAGTGACGCTGACACGCAAAACTGGGGAAACGATGCTCCTCTACCGCAAGTCGCTGGTCGCCATACTCGTGATGACCAGGCCATTGTGTCAACACCAATAGGGCAGGCCACATCCATAAGAGACCAGCAAAACCCTGAACCAGCCAGTCTACCTTCTCCGGGTGAGGTGCCAAGCCAATGGGACAACACTGGGGGCTCTTCAACTACATCTCCGTGGAATGCCCAGCAGCACTCTATCCAAGACGGCGTCCTCGCAAGAGTAGAGCAATCAGCTACTATTCACAGTACCGAGCTTCCGTATAATGACATCTCTTGGCTCCCCAATTGTCACCGGAGCGCTTCCCCCGACTTGGCGCAGGTGGACCGGCCAGGTCTGAGGCATCTGGATACTCTCCCCGACCCAGCACGTCAATGTAAGCTTCTTGAGCACTGGACACTGCTCCTGTGTGACCTCTTAGCTCCCGTTCCTGGCATCCACAACCCTCTCCGGACCATCTTCATGCCCTTGGCCCTGGAGGGTGCCCGTGAAGATGCCAACAACTCCACGGGGTCCGTCGCTCTCTTCCACATGATCTGCTCCGCCTGCGGCTTTCACTTGTCCAGGACGGAGACCAGCCCCGAGTCGAGGAGGATATACGGCAATCTCGGTCTGGAGCATCATAATCTGGGGATTGCCCACCTCAGTCAGAATATACGCTCCGACGACAAGAATCAGCACATCTCGATCCTCGCCTCCCTAATCATGTGCCTATACACCGAGACTATTACCGTTCACAATCCTTCATGGCGTCTGCACATCCGAGGTGCGGTGGAATGGGTCAACCATACCGGCCTCGAGTTCTGGCACCAGACAGAGTCAGCCTCCATCATCTACCAAATGTTCATCTCAATGGCCATCTTGATCCAGTCCCAAATCCTTCCCGGAGATCGAAGCGGCTACGGGTGGAATCTTCGGTACGACCTGAAGAGCCAGCCGCAGCCCTACATGCTTGAATCCATCTACGGTATATCGCAACCCATCCTGCAAGTGATCCACGCCATGAACATCATCCAGCAAAAGGCGCAGCAAACAGCAGAAAGCCCGGCTTCGACACAAACGAGCGACGTCTTGACCTTTGATCTCGATCGCCTGGAGCTGGAACTTCTCCTCATGACACCTCGCAAGCCCCCCTCGTCAATGAGCCATGAGAACGGGCAGCTCATGTATCACCACGGCTACACATACTATTACGCTGCGCTCATCTACCTTCGCCGTACGATGAAGGCCGTCCCTGTGGAGGAGGTGCAGGGGCTCGTGAAGCAGGCTCTGGAGCACATCGAGGCGTTGGAAACCGTCACCCCGCAGATCTGCTTGCCGCTGCTGTGGCCACTTGCCATCACCGCGTTTGAGGCGCAAGACTCCCAGCAGCAGCAGCGGATGCTGAGGTGTATCGATTTCTTTGGCGTCAACACGAGGATGGCACAGTGGGAGAGGTTTGGTTCGTCTGTCCGTGGACTGTGGGCACAGCGGCAAAAGACGGGAGATGTCAATCTAAGCTGGCATGCGTACTCGCCTGTATTTTATCAGAATTACATGCTCATCTAGGAAGAGCATACAGAACACCATACGTAATACTAAATCACATTGACCGCCTCATGTCCTCCTCAGTCTCAAGTGTCGGCCTCGTACGAGGCAAGTTCAAGGCCCATTGTCCCCTTCTTGCATCGTCATCCTTTTGCAGTATTCCACTCCACGTAATGCAGAGCCACAATAGATTAAGCTGCTTCTTAACTCAGGCTCCAAGCGCTCCTTTCCTTCGACCATCAGCTCGCTCCTAGATACGTCAACCCACAGCCAGAGTCACAGGCTCATAGCCGCCCCAGCATTCCCAACGGCTAATCAGTAGAAAGGGTTGAAGCACTTTATTTGGCCAACAAACACCCCTCGAAGCCCAAGAAAAAGCTGATTCCAGGAAAAGAAAGCCATTTGCCACTGCTCCCATACATTCTTGCTTATGAGAGGGCATATTGGTCAGAGCATATTAGTCATAATGAGCTCATCATTGACTACTACCGAGATATCGACACTGATGGTTAATGCGAACATGGGGGGTAGCACCCAAGCCCAAGAACCAGAATTATCGGGCATGAGGGTAAAAGCAGCACAGAGTGATCACCGGCTAGAGTCATCCGATGGAAAAGACACAGAGTCCAGAAGTAAGGTGCAGGTACCCAACTCCGTCCATCGGCTCTTGAATATTCCCGGACGTTGTTACCCTAGCTTCTCGACGTTGACGCCTCTCTAACATGATGGACGCCTCTGCCTGGGTTCCGATCCCACGATGTCCGTGTTCATGGAGGCAAGCTAGGGGTTAGCTTTCAATATCTTTTAAAGAAAAAGAAACACCTTGGCCAATTTGGTATTGGGAGCGTCTCTGGCCTGGACTACTTATGGGTGACAGGAAGGAGAAGTCGCGACAAAACTGAGCCAAGGGCCAAGCCAGTTGACGATGACCTGTTCATCCATTCAGCAGCCTTAGAATCAGGCTGGAGAAGCTTGCCGTATCACGAATCAAACGGGCTAAGCTCATACGCACCGTTATCTCGGCTACCTATTTCAGCCTACAAGATGGTCTAGAAACCAAAGATAAGTGAGGATTTCGAGGGTGCATGGTTCGGCAAGGCATCCCCCGCCCCAGTGATATCATGCATGGTCAGTATCAGACCAGAGTAGCCTCGTACGGCCCGAGATCTCGGTCCCAACTAGTCTACAGGTTAACTCTCTTGCCCTCCAAATAGAGCTCGATCCACGATTCTCCGATCCAGCTGCGCGACTGCCTTACTACTTCTAGTATATGACAGCGACTCACCGTTTATACTAATGTTCACGAGGTAGACAGCATCAAGTGAGTCAGATACGGGGCTCGAGAAGCGGAAACACCCAAAGCCCGAATGCAACATTTCAATTCCCATTACGTATGAGTCCGGGCATAAGATCAATGGAAACACATGGCTGGAAACAGAGCTGTGGGATTTCAGGTGCGAGAAGAGGAACAATGGATCCTTCAGTGGGGAGAAGGCTCAGCAAACTCTTCCCTGGTCTCAATAAGCACTCTGGGCGCTCTCGTTGAAATACCCTATTCAGCTTAGCGGAGAGCACTGGTTCACAGCATCTCGTTGAATTGTCTGTTTTGGCTTAGCGCCGAGGAAACTCAATCTCGCCATCGCCATCAAACAAGGTTGGCTCCTCACACCTTCTTCCGTCCAGTGCCAGTCTTTCTTTCGACGGGAGAGAAACCTACCGTCGAGCTAATTGAATTCCAGAAAAATCGGAGCCGCACGATTGCCCATTCAGGCATTCCATAGCGACAAAGATCTCCGTAACCGAACTCCGGGTGTAGAGGGCATCGGAGAATGGGTCTGCATGGATTCAGATCGCCATACTCAGACAGGGCATTGCCTGGCAAACCATGTAATTACTCATGAAATCTCCAGAGGCAATGGCGGCGGCGGTTAAGATGGAGAGTTCCCCATCCTCCACGGCCGGCTTATAGGGAGATAAATACTCGTGACCATCCACCCAGCTCGAGGTTGTCTTCTCGTCCATCCTCAGCGTTTTTACTCTCGGCGTCGGAGCCCCTCTAATATTTTGCTTTCCATTAGTCCCATTCACTCTAGTGAGCAGGTAGCCATGGCCGAAAAGCAATCTTCCGGCGTCGAAGTTGAGCTGTCGACGCCCAACAACAATATACTCTCCCGACCTGCCCATACCCTCACTTATGACCAAGCCAGGGACGAGCTTCAAGCCGACTTTACCACCGGGTTGGGAGCCGATGATGCTGCTACTCGGTTGACAAAGTATGGAGCCAACAACTTTGGAGAGGAGAAAGGCGTACAGCCGCTCCAGATCCTGATTGCCCAAGTCGTCAATGCTATGACGCTAGTAAGTAAATTGACCAAGTTTACACATCATTCTCTCTAATTCGTAAACAGGTTCTTCTCTTGGCACTAGCCGCCAGTTTCGCTATTCACGCCTGGATCGAGGGTGGTGTCTTGGCTGCCCTTATTCTCATCAACATCGTCATTGGCTTCTTTCAAGACCTTCAAGCCGCCAGGACCATTGCCTCGCTGAAATCCTTGAGCACTCCTTCCGCACGTGTCTTCCGTGATGGCAGCTCCCAGACTGTCGATGCCTCGCAGCTCGTCCCTGGTGACATTATTGAGCTTAAGGTTGGCGATAGTGTCCCCGCCGATGGCCGTGTTTTCGAAGCAGTCAATCTCGAGGCAGACGAGGCTCTTTTGACTGGAGAGAGTCTGCCTGTGCGCAAGGATCCCGAGGCCATTCTGGATGAGGACACCGGTCCTGGTGATCGGATCAACATCGTCTTTTCCTCCAGCATCATTACCAAGGGTCGAGGCCGAGCTGTCGTTGTTGCTACGGGTATGAACACGGAGATTGGTGCCATTGCAGCTGCTTTGAGAGAAGAGGGCGGCGAGAAGCGCAAGCTCAAGCGTGATGAGAATGGAAAGGCTTCGTTTGGCGCATACATCATGTTCGGTCTGGGTGCATTCTGGGACTGGTTGGGTGAGTTCCTCGGCGTCACTGTCGGAACTCCTCTGCAGCAGAAGCTCGCCCGTCTATTTCTTTATGTCTTTGGAATTGCAATTGTCTGCGCCATTATTGTCCTTGCAGCAAACAAGGTAAGAATAAGGCTTCTTTGGCTCAGTCCCTTCGAAAGTGCATTTCAATCTAACAGAAATTCCAATCTAGTTCTCCAGCCAGCGTGATGTTATCATCTACGCAGTAGCCACGGCTCTCGGTACTCTTCCCGTCACCTTGATTCTTGTTCTCACGGTCACCATGGCCGCAGGAACCAAGGTTATGGTGCGCAGAAACGTTGTCGTTCGCAACATGCGCTCTCTCGAAGCTCTTGGCGGTGTTACCAGTAAGTCTCACACGCCCCATGGTACAAACATGATGTAACAATGTCAGCTAACACGAGCCACTTCAGACATTTGCTCTGACAAGACCGGAACACTGACGCAGGGCAAGATGGTCACCAGAATGGCTTGGATTCCTTTCCATGGAACATATTCCGTTGATACCAGCAATGACCCTTACAATCCCGAAGTTGGCGCCGTTACGCTCACCCCTCATCAGCCCAGCCACGCCCAACACAAGGCTGAGGCAACACCAGTCCAGCCCCTTGAAGAGAGCCACCCAGCCGTCAAACACTACCTGGATATCGCCTCGATCGCTAATCTTGCTGTTGTCAAGAAGGCTGCCGATGAGGACCGCTGGGAAGCCAATGGCGACCCAACCGAGATTGCCATTCAAGTATTCGCTGTACGATTCGGGCGCTCCGGCCTGAACGAAGATTCCGATATGGCACATGTGGCCGAATTCCCCTTCGACTCTTCGGTCAAGAAGATGTCCATGCTGTGCCGAAACAAGAGTGACCAAAGCCTTCAAATCTTCACCAAGGGTGCTGTTGAACGTGTTCTCGAGTCTTGTTCTACCTTTTCCCAGGCCGACGGCAACCTTTCTCCATTGACAGAAGACTTCAAGTCGATAATCCTGAGGAACATGGAGGCGCTGGCTCGCCGAGGTCTGCGCGTCCTCGCCCTCGCCAACGGCTCAGTCTCGCAAACCGTCTCGGACGAGGACGCTCGACAGGGGAAACTCCACCGAGACGACTACGAGCATGGCCTTACCTTCCGAGGCCTGGTCGGTATCTACGATCCTCCCCGCCCCGAATCCCGTCCCAGTGTCTTCAAGTGCCACCAAGCCGATATTAAGGTCCACATGCTCACTGGTGACCATCCGGAGACTGCACGCAGCATTGCCATCGAAGTCGGTATCCTTCCTTCGCGCCCTGACCTTCTCCGCGCCGACATTGCGGAAAACCTTGTCATGACCGCCCACCAATTCGACGCTCTGACCGATGAGGAAGTTGACCGGCTGCCTGAACTGCCCCTGGTTGTCGCTCGTTGCGCTCCATCCACCAAGGTCCGCATGATTGATGCCCTTCACAGACGAGGCTGCTATGTCGCTATGACTGGTGATGGAGTCAACGACAGCCCCAGTCTGAAACGAGCAGACATCGGTATCGCCATGGGTCTTGGAGGAAGCGATGTAGCCAAGTCTGCGTCCGACATCATCCTCAGCGACGACAACTTCGCCAGTATCCTCAACGCTGTCGAAGAGGGCCGCCGCATCTTCGACAATGTGCAAAAGTTCATGCTCCACGTCCTCGCTGCCAATGTTGGTTTCGTATCCACCCTTCTCATTGGTCTGATGTACAAGGACGACAGCGGCACCTCCGTGTTCCAGGTCACCCCCGTCGAGATCCTCTTCATGCTCCTCGTCGCCGGTGCGTTCACTGAGACAGGTCTCGGTTTCGAGTCGGCGTCCCCGGATATCCTTCGACGCCCTCCCCAAAGCGTAAGCAACAATCACCCCCTCCCAAGTCTTGTGGCTATTGACTCTTGCTAACTCGTGTTTCGCACCACAGCTCAAGTACGGCGTATTCACCCCCGAGTTCATCGCAGACATCGTCGCATACGGCATCATCATGGCCATCACCCTTCTCAGCTCCTTCTCCACCGTTCTATTCGGCTTCTACGACGGAAACCTGGGCCACAACTGCAACGTGGAGTACTCGGAGCAGTGCCACGGCGTGTTCCGCTCCCGCACGACGTGCTACACGGTCATGATGTGGGCCTTCTCCATCTTCGCCTGGGAACTCGTCGACTTCCGGCGCTCCTTCTTCGACGGCATCATCTCCAACCCCAGGGGCTGGGCCCTCCGCCTCTGGCGCAACCCTTTCCTCTTCTGGTCCGTCCTCGTCGGCTTCTTCAGCACCGTGCCCACCATCTACATCCCCGTCATCAACAAGGTCGTCTTCCTCCACAGCCCCATCGGCAAGGAGTGGGGCGTCATCTTCGCCATCTCCTTCTTCTTCCTCGCCGGCGCGGAGACGTGGAAGTTCGTCAAGAGGGTCTACCTCCGCAGGAACAACCTCATGCACAGGAAGGACGCCGGCACGGGGGAGGCGGACCTGGAGAAGCGCACCTTTGAGAGGTTCTACGACTCGAGTTCGGTCGATGACTCGAGCAACTAAGCAAGCAGTTTTCATTGAGGGGGGGTTTCCCCTAATCTTATAATACCAATATCCTGTATATAGAATATAGAATGAGTGAAAAGACAAATACTAGTCTACGGCAAATGTGATTCGAGATTGTGCGCTTACATATCAATCAATTGACACGAAGCCAAGTGATGAAGATCTAAGGCAAATGCAGTATATTGAAGGTTCTAAATCAGATCAATTAATTGTGCTAGACAACGCAATACTGGTGAACATTAAAAAATAAGTCTTAATACTGTGCTGGTAGGAGAGAATACCTCCAACAGCCAACCTCTTAGAAGACAGAAATGCAGTAGAAACGATATACACGAGACTATTAGCCTTGGATAGAATTTTGACCCAAGTTATCATATTGAAGACTAATGGTTTGGGAAAAAGGGTTTAGAAACGAGGTAGACACTTGTAACACAAGCACACAATACCGAACTCAACTTTGTTTACCTCTTTAATCTTAAAGGGCTAAAGGTGCTAATATGTTTTCAAGGGAGTAGCTAATTTTTTTTTAAAAAAAAAAAATTGCCTCTTTATTCTCTTCTAATAACAAAATCAATAATTCGATAGTATCTCAAGCAGACAGGTTGTTGTCAGCACTCGTATAGGGTAGGCCGCAACTGAGCCAAGAAGCCGAATCTGAAATAACCCGAAAGCCGACAATTTATTCGCCGGCAGCGACTCAAAGCCCCCCAGCTCGTCCCAAGGTGGAAAGCTCGCCTCAAATCCCTGCTCCCAGATCGATGACATATTCCAACATACTTTGAAAAACCGCAGGCAAGAGAGAGAAGCTCAGAAGCCGCGTCGCCAATGAGTTTCCACAGCCTCATCCGGCCCCGCGTCGCCGGCCCCGCGATAGCCGCCGCAAGACGGTCGTATGCCTCAGTGCAGGTCGTCAGCCCCCTGGCCTACGACCTGCACGAGCCGGCGAAGCCCAGGACGGACAAGCAGAACGAGCCCATTCTGTTCCTCCACGGTTTGTTCGGCTCCAAGAAGAATAACAGGGCCATCAGCAAGTGTGTTGTCCCTCTATTTGCTCATCGTGGTTTTCCAATTGAGCTAACGTCGAAAAAATTATCAGAGCCCTGGCAAGAGACCTGGGCAGATATGTCTACGCTTTGGTGAGCTTCTACCTCTCGAAGCCAGAAAGCCGTTTATGTTGGAGGTTGTTCTAAACATTGGCTTTCCATAGGACTTGAGAAATCATGGCGAGTCACCACATGATAAACGCCATGACTATACGGCAATGGCCGAGGACGTGGCACATTTCATCCGGGAGAATGGCCTCAAAGAGTCTTCCATCATTGGTCATTCCATGTAGGTTTTTTTATCAACCTTCCTGCCGAACAGTCTTCCTCAACAGTACAAGAAAGGCTTTGCTTCATGCAGAAACTAACACCGGCTCAAAGGGGTGCAAAGACAGCCATGACGCTCGCATTGGGCTCTCCCGACCTCGTCGCCAACATCGCATCCGTCGACAACGCCCCGTCCGACAAGAGTCTCGGAAAGGGCTTCGCCGACTACGTCCGGGGCATGAAGCAGATCGATGCCTCCAACTGCAAACGGCAAGCCGAGGCCGATGAGATTCTCAAGCAGTACGAGGAGGTGAGTTACTCCAACTTACCAGTTTGTCATCAATGGCAAAGGGACAAACAGTCTCATCTCCCATTCCAATCGCTAAAGCCGCATTGAATATTCTAGTCCATCACCATCCGCCAATTCCTTCTGGGCAACCTCTACCGCCCCCCAGGCGAGGACGTCACCAAGTTCCGTGTCCCGCTGGACGTGCTCGGCCGCTCCCTCGACAACCTGGGCGACTTCCCCTACAAGGACCCGAACCAAATCCGCTTCGGGAAGCCTGCACTCTTCGTCCGCGGGACCAAGAGCAAGTACGTCCCGGACGAGGTCCTGCCTCTGATAGGCCAGTTCTTCCCGCGATTTCGGTTGGTCGACATCGACGCGGGCCATTGGCTCATCTCTGAGCAACCCGAGGCGTTTAGACAAGGTAACGAACGGGTGAACCCTAAGAAAATAATGGGGCAATTCCGGGCTGACATTCACAATTTCTAGCCATCGTCGAGTTTCTCTCGCCACAGGAATAATCGGAAAAGATGGGGTCATTAAGGATTAGAGTCGTGTAAAACACCTGGTGCGGAGTGGAACTAACCCTCCCGTCGTAAATATCACTATTGGGGAAGGAAGATTGGGCAATAGAAGGCAAACGGATGGGCTTACATAGACGAGCGGACCGCATACCCAAAATATAGGTTTCATCATACATCTTCACAGTTTTAGGATTAGACGACGTTAACAGAGCCTTTTTTAACCATTTCACATGGGAATGATGCCTAATCCCCATACGCCATTTGTGATGACCGAAAAAATGCCAGGGAAAATGTGAATTCCGTCTATCACGAAAATCCCTATGCTTCCACTGCCGACTCCTACCCTCTAAACGCGGTAAAACACACTTTAAACGCTAGCAAGGGCAGGACCATCCTTGAACTCCCGCTCAACCTTCTGGCCCGCGTCATCCGTCGCCGACTCGCCGTGGAGTGCCATCAGAGCACCGAGGTCGAACTTGGGGGACTTCATCAGCTTAACCTTGCGGATGTGGACCTGAGGGGAAAAAAAAGGCATTAGTCTGGCTGTTCATGGCGTCCATTGGCAAAAAGTAATTGGGTGCGATAAACTTACGTGCTGCAGGGGGTAGATGCCCTGGGTGGCCTTCTCGATCTCGCGGCCGATAACCTCAGGAATCAGCTTGGAGGTGAGCTGGGTAAGGGTGCAGGTGGAGGCCTCGCGCTGGATGATGTCGATCATCTTGCCACGGATGGCACGGATCTGAGAGGAAGCGGCGTAGGTGGTCTTCTTGACCTGGTTCTGGCGGCGCTTGGTGAAGCCGATGGCGAAGAGGCGGATGAGGTAGTCGTCGGTGGTCTTGACGGTGACGTTGGCCTCAATGAGAGTCTGCCACTTGCGGACGAGGGATCGCAGCTTGTCGGAGGTGAAGTCCAGACCGTGGAAGTTGGTCAGGCAGTTCTTGCCCTGGACCTCGTCGATTCTGAGGCGAACCTTGCGGAAAGCGTGCTCCTCATCCTTCTGGAGGTCGGCGAGGGAGACCTCAACGACACGGCCCTTCAGGGCGTCGTTTGCGTTCTTGAGACCGGTGGTACGGTTGACCAGGGTCTTGCCAACACTGCCGCCCAAAATGTCAGCCACAATTCTCTTGTAAACTTCAAGTCCTCCCACAGCGAGCTACCAATGCTGCCGAATTCCCGAAATTGTTGCCGTCAGGTCGAGGTTTGACTCACTCTCGGATGTTGAAGGGCTGGGGGGCCTGTGATGCAATTGCGTTAGCATTCAAGATCGCTCGTGTGTGTTTTGACAATTTGACGGAGTCGCGCGTACCTTGATCGAGTACCAGTCCTTGCGGGTGAAGGGGTCCACGGTCTTCTTCTTGAGGCCCTTCTTGCCCTTAGAGAGTCTCTTGTTCTTTCCAACCGCCATGTTTGCTGGCTATGTGTCTGTTGCACAGTTGGAATCTGAAGATGCTGTGGAGGGATTGGTGGAGGGGCGAAATAATTTCAATTCTTGTGTGCTTCGCCTTAGGTCTAAGCGAGCCAAAATCCTTGGGAAAAAAGTCGGGCCATTGATTTTTCCGTACCCACCGGAAAAAACCCAATTTGTGGTCAGAAAAATGTCTCTGCACGTGACCTAGACCGCACCTCCGCTTTTTGTCCAGGAAGGGAAGCCTACCACCAGAAGTTGTTAGTCACCCAATTCCTTGCGCGACGAGCCAGAAGAGGTACGACTGGCAGTAGTAGCACACCATCCCACTCGCACCATGCAGTGTCACGTCCTTGACAGGTCAAGCGCCACGCGTCTAGAAATTCTAATTGTCACAATGCGACCACACAAGAAGTCTCGAAGGCAATGTTTAGCCACATCGAGGTCACATTTGTCTAAGTTTACTAGGGAGACGATCTCCAGAACATGGAGATGTCCGACCATCCATCAAGCAGTGTTACCACCCATCTTGAGAAAATAGATATTGTTTGTTATGTACAGTTTTTCGGTTCGGGAGTGATCACCAAGCTCGAACCTTCCGGTCCAAGGCCTGGGCCGCCTCCTCCCGTATCCAGTGCCATCACTGTCAATGCGAAGTTCACATTATTGTGATGATCTTCCTTCTCTTACATTCGGATTCTCCATCGTCTTCCGCCACAGCCCCATCTCATCTCATGGGTCACAACTCCACTTCATCCCATTTCTGGGAATTCTGATGTGGGAGGAGGGCTCTGGAAATCTGAATTTTTGGAATCCTTGTTTTGTCACCCGTGTGGAGGATGTTCGTTCCTCCCAAGAGTGAAGTAGCGTTTTGTGGCACGCTCGTGTTCGTAGCTCATGAATCGACCTTACTCTCGCCATACCAGGCAGGTATCCTTTGTGAGTGTCTCGCCGCTAACGTCCTCAAGCCTCTCTTCTGCCCAAACTCTCTCTTTCAGAGCCCGGGATGGAATTTGGAACATGGTCTTTTGATTTTTTTTTTATGCTTCATAGCATAACGCCCGCTTCTCAAGGCTGGCTACTCAGGAATAAGATTCCTTCTCACCCTCTGCCTTTGGGCTCTCCCAATTGTCAAAGCTGGGAAAGCTAAAGTAGCAGTCTGTTGGAGAATGTCAGCAATTGCTCGTTCGGTTTATTGATGTAATTGATGTTCACATACCGGACAGAGATATTGAGCTGCTCAGTCGAGAGATCTCAGCACTATCAGTCTCACCACGATTGTCCCGATCAATGATTGTCACGGGCTGTGAGTGATGGACTAATGATTCTGAACCCATCCCGCACGGCGTTGATGAAGGATAGATGGCAACTTTGCTGAGCAGATCTGATGCTCGCTGTGGAGAGCTGGGGCTGACTAGTGAAGCTTGGAAACTGTTGGATGCAGTAATGGATGGCTCTGTAGCTGTCGATCGTAGCAGTCTAGGGCGCTGGCGATTGGATGAATGCGGGTGGGAATCCCTCCGGGTTGATCTGCTGGTGTACATTTTGGCGGCGGGTAGTTGATGAGTATCCAGACCGGGTAATGGCAGTCAGGTAGGTTGCTTTTGGGGGTCAAGAGACGTGAACTGCACGGCTGGGAATGGATTCGCTATGTCGAAAACAAAAACAATGTTGGATACAGACGTGAACAAAGCTTGAGCAAGATGTGCGAGGAGCTTGGAATATCTAGGTCCGTCGACCTAAAGTCAATGACCCTCCATCCCGGGGAGCCGGCCACCTCCGCAGTGCCCGCACACCCCTCCCCCTGAACGAAAGCAGGCTGGATGGAGCACAGAGAGCCCGCTCGCCACCTGGCGAGACATTGTTGGAGATGGCCGTGTCACCGCATGTGTCTCGTGGTGTGTGGCCGCGCCTCGGGCTGGAGCTGGGAGGGGGGTGGCCTGGAAGATGGGAACCGGGTGGAAGCCGCTGACATGGGCGCACTGGCTAATTGCTGGCTCGCCTCGCTTCAATGCACGCTCGCAGGCAGTGTGCGGGGCCGCTCCCACAATGGCCATTCACACGCACCGCCAGGCCTCGCCATTGATACCCAACTCGCTTTTCACAGCATGTGAGGTGGTGCCTGGTTGACTTTTTGCTCCCTGGAAATTCCCTTGCACCCCCATCTTCGGACCGGTAAAGGTCGCTGCACCGTCGAAAAGGGAAACCCACGGTCTGGGTCGTGCCGCCGCGCTTCGTGTTCATGGGGCAGACCGCTGGTCCATTGGGCCAGGCAGGCTGCCCTTTTCGATTTATTGCCTACCGCCTGGGGACCGCCCCAACGCCAGGCTCCCGACCTTCTCCCAGCCTGTGGTGGTGGTCGGGACAGATGGGGCGGTAGTGGTTGCCGCTACAACGTCGGATTGGCCCTCTCCCAGGCACTGATTGACAGGCTGTCCAAGCATCCGAGCTGTTGGGCTACCCAAACTAGCAGCAGTGGTGAGACGAATCACCCCAGTACCCAAGGTCTTGTTCCAACGTATGTATGCGGCCAGCCAGATCACGCTCTCCCCATGACCACGTAGGTAGGAATAAGTCTTGAGCCTGCGTTGCTAGTACCAGGCCCGGTTTTGCACGTGGTGGTTAGTGGTTCGCCAGTGCAGACTAGGGAGCTATCCGATGTCCCGGTGCCGTGCGGTGAGAGCCTGATCAGTGATCTCCTTTTGAGGAGCTCATCTTACTCACGCCGCCTCTGCTAGAGCAGGTGACCTCATTTCAACGCAAAGGTGAATCGCTGTACATAGCACCATCGTCATCCTTGCAGTTGGCTGATATAATTTCCACGTTAATTGCTTCATTCAAGTCAGCCTCGTTAGTGCTCCCAGCCTCCATCATGTCATTCCAGCATCGGATTTAGGGGCCATAATGGGGAACCAACAGTAATTGTCTCTCATTTACCATCCTAAGGGGCTGTTTGCGCGCCAAGGTGCCTCCTTGCATCTACCTCCGCTGCCAAGAATCCTACCCTATACGCTAGCACAAACGTTCTACCACCAATCGAAAGTGGCTTATGCACTCTATCTTCCCGGCTTCCAAATGTGTATGCCTACAGCCCCTGAAAAGTCCATGACGTGTTGATCATGATCTGGGACTTTGTTTCCTTGCCGGAGCGTATGCCGACTGACGAGTTGGCCGCCCCTACTCAGTGATCAATGCTGCGTAATAATGATGAGCATTCGTCATACAAAAAGCCAAGAACTGGTTAATGAATTGGTACTTACTCTTCCCAAATCCTGCCTTGGACTGCCTCCAACTCGTCTGTCGTGAGGCGTTTTCCGGCGGTGAAATAACCTTCGCATCGTAAGCTTCTTTTTGATCTGACAACATTGCGGCATTTGACCACGGGATCATCTTACCTGCTGTAATCTTGGCGTCGATTTCTACACGCGAATCTGCGGGTATAAGCTCGTCCGGCAACTCCACCCTCTCATGAATGGGAATTCTGTGGAGCATGTTTTAGCTCTGGATTCCATCAAGTGATACTCAATTATTGTCTCAAGTATTTTCTGATCACCAACTTACCCTTGGCCCACGATGGCATCATGTTTCATGCTATAGATCGTTAACATTATCAACATTGGCGCCTGACGCTTCGCTTTGACTCACTTGCTCATGCTGAGCATACGATCGATCTTGGTTATGCCCAGCCAGTGAAGAATATCGGGCATAAGCGCTTGGAATCGCATGTCTTTGACTCCAGCAATGTTTTCCGTCCGCTTGAAGTAATCCGATGCTCGATCGGCTCCTCGCTTGCGCGCATTGTACACGACTAATAAAGAGAAAAGAGACAAGAGTTAGTACTCGAGTGGGCGGTATCCGGGACGCATAAATCGGGCGTCAATCTGGAGTTGATGTGTCACTTACGGTACTGCCAATCTGATTAGTTTTGTGATCATATCACGGTCAAGTCAATTGGTTCCAACGCACCTTGGTCACCTCTCCCAGCGCCCTGCCTTCCTTTCTGAAGTAAATGACGACACCGCTGCCTCCATTCTGCGCCTCCTTGACGGCCTCCTCGATGCCGAAAATGAGGTACGGGCGACAAGTACAAATGTCGGAACCAAAGACGTCACTTCCGTTGCACTACCATCATAATTTAGTGAGGTGGCCCGAACGAAGATCAGGGATGACTCTGACCTCGTCATGAACTCTAAGAGAGAGTCGCACGTTTGCGTCTGACATCTTTGCTGGATCGCCGAAGCAGTAAACAGTGAGACCACCTGGTTGAGTCAGATTCTGCCCAGTATTTTAGCAACACTCCCATGAATACATACCGATTGGAGGGAGGAAGAGCTTCAGATCGCCTCGTGTAATGAGCTGTGGCCAATTAGCGGGTGCCGTGAGTTGTGTTTTGAAGATCCCTACCTCGGGATAGCTGCCACCAGTATGCTCGAAGAGTGAGCGGCGGAGGGTCCCCTCATCTTGGAATCGTCAGCGAGCACTCGGAAACTAATACTTGGTTTCACCTACCAATGCCGAATCTCTCAGCAACACCGGGAAGATACCAAACCTGCACATGTTAGATCTAGTGTGCTCTCTTGATCGCGCCGAGAGAGGAATATTAAAACACACAGGCTCAACGGCGAATTTGGTAACTGCAAGTTCGCCGAGATCGTTCAAACATATTTTCCCATCCGGGACCCTAATACTTGATTAGATTCTCCCGTTACTAACGAGACACCCTGGACTCACAGTCGGCCTTTCCTCACACTCTCCTCCAGCTCTGGTAGCTTGGCAGTATGTTAGAGGATGAGAATCTTATTCTTGGCAAGAAAATACCAACTTTCATGTGGGCTTTGGTGATGGCAATGGTTGGCCGGATGTCAACTAAGTCACAGTCAGTAACCGTCCTTTCTCCCTTGTATAAATGGGGGCTCGCCCATACCGTCATCCTTTCCAATGATGTCTTTGAACAACCATGGCGCCAAATGTCCATAGGGATCCATGGCCACGATCTTGTCTCGGTCACCCCACTGAGGGAACGGTCCAACGTTGACGGCGGGCTCCGTGTTGGTGAAATCCGGCCTGTCGAGCGTCAATTGTCTGAAACTCCCATTTTGTACAAGCCCGGCACAAACCTATGGTCGATGTTCAATTCTTTACTGGCCACTGCCAAGGCATAGTAAGTGGAATAGGAACCGCCGCTAAAACACTCGAGTTAGAATTCAGGCGCCTGTGTTCTTGTTCTTTAGAGGGAAACCAACTGGGCTCCAATTGCTAATAGATTAAAACCAAATCAGTAAGTTTGCTCAACATGGGCAAAGGAAAAAGGTAGACGGACCGTTTCGTTTACGAATAGTATTTGCCAGTCTTGAAACAACGACGGGGCCTCTCTTCAAAGGATCGGGATTGCCCCAGTCCATGGGAAGAGGGTTGATACCAATCTGCTTGGGATATGTTCTTCACGCCATCAGTGCACGAACAAGATATTAAATGCTGTCTGTCACCTACGTGAGGACAATACGAGACGTGAATGCGGATTTCTGGACGGGGGACGCAGCCTCCGATGATCGCTGAGTCTTGCCACCATCATCTTCAACGTCCCGAGAAACAGATTCGATAGAAGATGCCGGGATAGCGCCTTGGGCGTCTCCGTCATCACTCTTCACTGATCTGGCTACGAGAGTTGCTTGGAATGGGGGCGAGGCAGTGTCAGGGAATGCCACGTTCACACGATTAGATAGAGCCTCAACCGTAGCGACAAGCTGCGACTGGGTCTCCTGGAGCTTCAGGATGGTGGCAACAAGGAGATCATTTTGCTGTGAATTCTGATCCATGTTGAAAATCGAAGGACTGGACACCACTTGTGTACACCAAGTGGACGTATATTCACACGTAGACTGAAGAAATCCCGAGGAACGTAGGATCTAAGTAGGTGGGATGTAGAGAAAGGAAGCACACGTTGGGCGAGGAGGAGCCGACGTTAAATCCAGTTTGCCATCAGGTCTGAGACAGACACTGTGCTAGTGGAATGGTTGGGGGAGGCACCACCGCTGGTTAGGTTACCCAGCTTGGGACTTACCGCCATTGCTGCAGGCAAGTCCAACCTTATCGAGGTAGGGATGTATGTAGGTGTGATGAGGAGTGAGGTAGCCAGTACCTGCTCGGCTCTACCTGGTCTTGTGAGAGCAGGAGTTGGGAGTACCTGCGTCATCAGGCATAGGTACAACTGGGACTAGCTGCGCTGTTGCTCATCAGGTCACGAGATGGAGTGCTAAGGCAGGTACGTCTACGCTGGGCTTTCATCCCGATGGTTCCGGGTTTGGCGGCTCAGGGTTGGGCGCCATGCGATAGGCCGGGAGCTCTTGTTAATGCTTGCTCAAACTGGCGGGTTATTGTGTTTTGAAAGTCCCATGATCATGATCGGATTGTTATTAGTCTTCCAATTCAGGTTGCCTTCTAGCGGTGGGGTTATGGCCTTGTGCTAGGTAATGCGGAGAAAACTCCTAACACCCCACTCTTATCACTCTTTTATCCATGGCTGTATTCGTCTGGCGGGACAAAGGTATAATTAGCACAAAAGAATGCCCTAGTTATGATGCTGCTTAGCGTTTGGCTTATGTCTGTTGGTCTGTGATACATCAACTCTATAGAGGCATTACGACGGATATACCGATAATGCCATGCTCCGACATAAGCACGTGCCCGCAAAATGCTTATCGATAGCAACACTTAAACGATGTGGGCAGCGCGCCCTCGTCCAACCCAACTCGACTTTGTCATGACTGCGAGAACCTTGAACCCATTCTTGTCTCGGCGGTTATTGTCTCGTAGCGAAAGCTAGATTCAATCCGGAGAAAAGCGCGCGAAATCTTTTGGGTGTCGCTGACATGGGAAAGCGCAAGAAGTCGTCGAGAGGCCCTCAGGGTCCGAAAAGGGTTTGAAGAGCCTGTTGCCGTTTTCTACGCGCCGTGAATACTAACTCTTGCGCCCTCGATAGGCCGACCCTCTACCTACTGTTTTCACCTGTCTCTTCTGCAATCACGAGAGCTCAGTTACGGTCAAGCTGGACAAGAAGGCTGGTGTTGGCCAACTGGACTGTCGCGTGTGTGGGCAGAAGTTTCAATGCGCCGTCAACTGTACGTTCGCTTTCGCATTCACTGGATCAATCACTAACATTGCCTTCTTTTGCGTAGATCTCTCTGCCGCTGTTGATGTCTATGGCGAATGGGTCGATGCTGCAGGTAAGTATCTTGTGCTATGTAGTGCATATGGACAGCCTCGAGGCGTAAACTAACACTCCAATAGATGCGGTTGCCAAGGAAGATAGCAGCGCCCAAGGATACACGGGTACAGCCAGACCTTCTGGGCGAAGACTGACGAGTAAAGCCGCAGCAGGCGACGATGACGATGACCGATACGAAGGCGAGGGCATTGTGGGCGACGACGAGATATGAGCCGAAGCTATGATACGATACACCTTTTCTAATGCCGCCCAGCCCAACCCAGCACAGAATATTATACCGTCAACCATGCGACGGCGCGAGTCTTCCTAGTCTATCCCAGTGCAAACTTACCCCGCATTAGATAGTATAGAAGCGGTCGCCGAAGTCTCCCAGGCCGGGCACAATATAACTGCAAGAAAGAAAGTTAGTGGGAGCACAGTGGTAACTGGCAAGCAGACCTACTTCTTGTCATCCAGGCCCTGCGAACAAATGTTAGAACCGACATCAAAATAGTGTTAAATAGGTAATTGACAAGCAACTCGGAGATGCCTTACCTGGTCGATGAATGCTGTGACAACTGTGACTCTGGGGAACTTTGATGCAAAGTTCTTGACACCTTCAGGGCTGGCAATCAAGTTCAGGAAAAGAATATGGTCCTCGGGGACACCACGGGATTTGAGAACATCTACAGCCATGATGGCTGAGCCACCTGTTTTCATGATTGTCAGTTACTCTTATCCTGTGCTGATGAGATGGGCGGGCCTAACCAGTAGCGAACATGGGATCCAGGAGGAGGACCCAGCGTTGTGCAATGTCCTCTGGAAGCTTGTCGTAGAAAAGCTTAGGCAGGGCAGTCTCCTCATCTCTTTGGATCAATATCTTGCCAATTCGTACGGATCGGCAACAGTCTCGCAAACCCTGCTCCATGGCCTCGCCAGCTCGCATGATGGAGACACCGCAGATTTTCCCTTGGAACATGAGCCCATTGTAGGTGTGGCCAACAGGAGTAGTGACATTTCGCTCAATGACAGGAAGGTGGTTCAATCCCTCTTCAACGAGCAGACGGATGATGCGATTGGAGTAAAAGATGAAATCGGCCCTGTCAGTATCCTTGTTACGGATCATGCTGCCTGCACTTTAGCCTCCGCACTTCAAGAGCCTGATATGGGACCTGAGACCTACGACAGCAGCGCAATTAACTGAGGGGTCTGAGCGAGAACCTTGACGTTTTCGACGTCGACGTTGACTGACACAGTGGCCGTTGGCTTCGACTCCTGCGACCTGAACTCAGGTCCAACGGACTGTGTGGGAGCCGGAGCGGATGACATGACTATATCGGTGATATGTTAGTCCCCTTTCGAACATTTCACATCCCCCATCCCGCAGAGCCATTGACCTGCCCATGATGGAGCTGGGAGGCCAATCTAGCCACCTCGACGAACGAATTTCATGGCTTGGGTCTGGGGTTCGCTGTTGTAGCCTGCCTGTCTCACTTACTCTGTGAGGAGACTACTTACCGCCTTGTTATAGCCCTTGGTGAGAATTGACTGAGAAAAGTAGAAGAAGGTGACCAGAAGCTGATGACTGTTGAACCAATTTCGAGCCTGTGACAGCGGTTTTTCAAAGGAAGAGGAGAGTTCCAAGCTCTGTTGATGCCTTCCCCAATCCGGTATCAGCTATCGTGAGGAGGCAGTGGGAGGCAAATCTTATGCATTAAAGCAATCCGCGTGCAGCTTGTTCAGTGGGAGCTGATAAGCCGAGGGCCGCAGGTACAAAACGCTACATTACTTGCACTTTGCGTGCACAAAAAATGTGCATAAACCGCCTAATTAACCCCAGCTCCCTTCAGAACCTTAGCGCAAGGCCAGTCGCCTGCCAGTGCCGTACCGCTGACCTAGGCTGGTAGGCTAGTTGGCCTAGCGCGGCCAGTCAGTTTGGTGGAGGGATCGCCTTGATCAAGCCTCACTGTATACCGCGAAACGCATATTCCTTGCCTCAAATTCTTGATGCTCTCGCTCCCCGCACCCTCCGGCCTTGAAAAGTCGCACACCACTTCCAGGTCGCATGGGCGACTCCGAGAGCTCATCAATCGCAGCACGAATGTATTGAGTCTTTCCTTCTCACCGCGGTCTCATCCGTTGTCGCAACCACAGTCGCTCTTGCTTGATCCACCATGATGGCATCACGAAATGGACCCAAAGGCCCTGCCCCGAAGAAGAATGCTGTTACATACGGCAAGGCTCCCCGGAGTCGCCCGCTTGGCAGTTTGAACACAATCGCCGAGTCTAATCCCTACGACTTTCCCGACTCTGATGGCTCCGACGCATCACCAACGCCACGGAAACCAAACCCTCCCAAGATGAAGCCAGCGACGCTCTCACGACCCCCCAATGTCCATCGCGGCTCAACAGATACAGGAAGAGCGCGCGTTCCAGCGAAGCAAAAAGAGAATGATGGCGATGCGCGCAAGAGAACACACTCGAAAGCCTTTGTCGAAGATGGCATCGTTGTGGCACGTCCGCCAACGAATTCCTTCAGCGCACGCATCAAAACAACACAACCGATATCTGAACCCAACCCCCGAATCATCCCCAAGTCGAAGCCCCTCGAACAGATTCAGAACAAGAAGCCCAGACCTCCTACGACATCGAACACAGCTCCGGTTGCTCGCATGCCTGTGAGGCCACTCAAGACCGTTGGATCCGCAAATGCTACCAAGAAGCTGGAGCCCCCCAAACCACAAGCCCGGAAGCCTCGGTTGATCGATAGACTTGCTTCCCAAGCAGAGGAGGAATCCGACTCCGAAACCGATGACTCCAGGGCAAGTGAGGATGACCGAGATCGAACCCCCAGACACAGATCACAGACACCTGCATCTCAAAGAGCAAGCACTGCTATGGAATGGTCTCAATCAAGGCCAGAGCAAACGAAGACTCCTGCAAGCAAAAAAATCAAGCATACATACAGCCAAGCCCGAAGCATTCGAGAGGATACTCAGCAAGGCGATGATCCTTACGGTTTGTCGGCCGATGCTCAATTGGATTCCCTTTTGTCAAGCCCTCCAATTAATGCTAGTAACCCACCATTTTCACTTCCTGCGGATGACTTCGACCTGGACGATGACGAAGACGATTGTCCCAAATCCGCAATTAAGAGTATCCACGAATTGCGCCGTGCTGGTGCAAACAACCGTTTCGCCGATGAGATGGAGGACCTGCTATCAAGAATTGGCGCTCCTGCTCGGGATCAGGTATCAATGAGGCGCAACTCATTATTGGAACTTGCACAGAAACTGCAGCGGGATGATTTCGCAGCGCAGTTTAGGGACCACGCCGCTCGCGATACCATTGCAAAAGGTATTGGAAAAGAGACCGACATTATCAGTGGTTTTGCTTTTACGTCAAGCCTTGTGTTGTTTTTATCATCGAATAACGCGCCTCACCTTCTTAGGCGGCTTGTTGAGGAAAGGGTTGGGAAGATGCTCAGCGAGCTATTGCGAATTCGGGACGACATTACCGTCTTGGCTGCGCAAAGAGCAATGAATGTGTCCAAGGCAGGTCTGGCGTCACTCCGCGGAGTAAAGTCATTTCTTCTGCGAAAGCCTCTCTGGCTTCAGCAACGCCCTAGCTCGCTATCGCCACGGACCATGGCGCTTCAGCTTCTTTCAATTCTTCACCGCTATCTAGAAACCCGGTATTTGGAACAAGTTATCCAGGATTCAGAGTATGAGCTACAGAAAATCATTGCATCTGAGGACCTATACGACCTTGAAGAAGACGAGGTCGAGGTTGAAGAAGACACCGATACGGCCCTTGTTATTGTGATTTTGGAATCACGCTCAGGGGCAGGCATTGAAGCCACCGAAGGAACACAAAAGATGGCGAGGGCATCCAAGATATCGCAATTCCTTCAGAAGACTCTGGAGAATTGGCCGAAAGAGCAAGGCGAAGCAGTCACTACGACATTGAAGCTGGTTATCAATACAACGAACGTCGAGGACGGTGCCAAAGCCTTTGGTAATACAAGGACATTACAGCACTTGAGTCGATGCATCTGTGAGGGTATTCGGCAAGTCCAGGAAGCTGTTGAAAAAAACACCTTCCAAGCCGGGCTCTACAACGAACTGTTACTCGTTCTTGGCGTTACAATAAACATTCTAGAACATCATAAACCATCCAGGGCGCTTATTGACCAAACAAGTTTGGAAAGGCTCGCAGCTTTGTACATGGGCAATCACGAATCAATTGATGATGTAAGGAAACCATTCCGAATGAAAAGTTTGACTTGCTGACTTGTGTGAATAGGCCGACTCGGAGCAGCAGTCGAAAGTCAACGTTGCTCTTGGCTACCTCGCTGTCATTCTTGGTTATCTCTCCCTCGACCCCCAGGCGCGGGGCGTCATACAGAAGCACAACAACGGGTCAGGTCTCACCCACCTGATTGAATCAATTCAAAAGTTTTCTAGACTTTTCAGCACTGTTGATAACAAAATGCACGAGTTAGAAGGACTTGTGAACGAGCTTCAGCGGCATCGCGCATAGAAGGCTGCTGGCTGTGCGGACCAACGCTTGTGTTATGTTAGAGGGGAAGAAAGGGTGCTTTGTATAGGCGAAAAGGACGGAAGGATATGGGCTTGATTAGCAATGGAAATGCATACCACGGGGGGGAATTTATGATATCCTTATATCTACTGAGTTATGACAGACACCTGATGACCTGCATTCCGTTCGCTGGCGTGGTGTTTCACCTGCAATTCTTGCCTGACTTCGCATCGTCGAGTCATGGACTGTCAGCCTAGCAGGCGTGCATGTGGGCCAGAAGCGTGCATGTGATAGCGTGCCCATCACCGCCGCAGTTCTGCTTGGCTGCAAGCCGAACTGGAGCCAAGAAAGGGTCTCGCTTGACTAATATAATAACGGCAAGCCTTGTGGATTGGTTGCCACTGCCTCCTTCTCAAGGCGGGTCCCCCGAATGCTGGATTCTTGCTCTTGAAACCGGCCGGGCAGCATTGGATGCAAGCAATATCTGCTTCCTTGTCAACCTTGTGCTTTGCTTCTCTGGCACCTGAAGTCTACTGACCTGCAGGCCCCCTGAGCCCCTCCTCCAGCAGTCGCAAGCCCCCCGAAACCCTCTCCGCCGTTACATCATCGCCACCCCACCATTAAAACACGGTACGACAAACCACGGCTGAAGCGACGGCTCCACGGGTTACATCGCCTAGAAGAGCACATCCCATCACCTTGCGTGCGGCCTACTTTAGAGCGCTACACACGTCTACGTCGCCCTAAATGCCTGCGCCGAAGCAACGGAAGGTCGCCATTGTTGGCAGCCGAGCTGTCGGTAAGTAACATGCCTATCCAGGGCGCTTGCTTGAACTAAAAGGGGGCTTTCGTCTGTTTTCCGACGCCGAGGTCGCCCTCGGCGCCTCAGCAACGAGGCGCAAGGCGATACTCGGGGCGCAAGTCCTGGTGCGAATTGAACACTGCTGATCTGGTTGGTTTCACCTTTTTCCTGCAGGCAAGTCATCCCTGGCGGTCCAGTTCGTCGACGGCCACTTTGTCGACAGCTACTATCCCACCATTGAGAACACATTCAGCAAGTCGATCCGGTACAAGGGCCAGGAATACTTGACCGAGATTGTCGACACTGCTGGGCAGGTCAGTCCACCAGAGGACCCCGGTTCGGTGTGAAACAGCCAGCTAACGCAGGGACGAATGATTGTCTGCGTGCAGGATGAATACAGTATCTTGAATTCCAAGCACTTTATTGGCATTCACGGCTATATGCTTGTCTACTCGGTACAATCGTCGAGTTCGCTCGAGATGGTCCAGGTCATTCATGACAAGATTCTAAACAACCTTGTATGCACACGCCCTCCTCTTCACACCGCCTCGGCCCACGCAGAGAAAATGGCTAACTCGTCTCGCGCGAAAAACCAGGGCACCCAGACCGTCCCCGTCGTTATGGTGGGAAACAAGAGCGACTTGCGCCCCGAGCAGCGACAGGTTACCGAGGAGGAAGGCCGCAAGGTCGGTGAGAAGCTGGGGTGCGCCTGGATCGAGGCCAGCGCCCGGTACGACCAGAATGTCGCCAAGGCTTTCGAGCTCATGATCGGGGAGATCGAGAAGTCCCAGAACCCAGGAGAGCCGCCGCAGAAGAGCAACTGCTTGTTGATGTGATCGGGGCCAGAGCTGGCCCCTCCCATTTCATTCTCAAACCCGAACCGACTTCTCGGCCGTCGATGAAGAGCAGCAAGCTGAGGCGCGCCTGGCCCGACGGATTGGTTGAAGTAGCCACAATCGCTTGAGCTGATCTCTGAAGATGAAGAACGTATTATGCGCCTTTTCGATTACGACACGAAACAGGGATGTCATTTTTTGGCCATTGGTACACATACAAGAGGTTTTGGTTACGTTGGATTATCTTTAATAAACTTTTGGACGTTGGTGTCTTGTTTTGCATGGCCTTTTTAGATATTCAGAGTTTAATAGATTTTGTTCAAGCTCTCGCTAGGGAAGATCCGGCTCTCGTGGCACTAATTGAGCCATGGTATCCTCTATGTACTTCTTTATTTCACCACATATCTCTTGCTTGTTCCGGCGAGCTGGTGATCGCAACCTGCCGTTGTCCTGGTGGCAGCGATAAGAGCAGACTCCCGAGACCGATAAGACTCAAACAAATTGAACCCCGCGTCGGAAACGAAGTGGCCTGAAGTTTTTGGGTGGGGCGTAGCAACAACCCCACCATTGTGATCTCGCAGCCAGACTCTTGATCAACAACTAGAACACCTCAATATTGTTCAGGAGTCTGCTTGGGGTTAAGCTTGGATCCTATTGCTCGTCTTGCCCGTCGCTGTGGCTCTCTCTCCTGGAAAAAACCTAGTATTACTTGGTATGTACCCGGAGACTCTCTTTGCTTGACGGGGATGACTCAACGGACATGACTCTTCTGTTTGCAAATCCTTTTAAAGCGCCTAAATGACCAGAGACATCCCTCGCACTCGTTCATTTTACATTATCGCGCGAAGAAATCACCTTCTAATCGAAGCACAGAATCGGCCGCAGACCACCAAAATGCTCGACATAAACGACTTCATCACGGAGCGCGGAGGGAACCCAGAGCTGATCCGGGAATCCCAACGACGCCGCAATGCTCCAGTTGAGATTGTCGACGAGATCATTAGCCTCTTTGAGGATCACCGAAAAAGTACGTTCCCAATTACCAATCCACGAGTTGACAATCGCCTAATCATCCATCTTGTTAGCTAATTATGCTGCTATGCAGATGAACACCCAGATCAATGGCGTGCAGAAGCAGATCGGAGCGAAGAAGAAGGTGAGTGCAGACAGTGAAGCGCATTAAGCAGGACGTGAGTTACTCACAAAGCGTGTGTTCAGGCTAAGGAGAACGCCGACGATCTCCTCCAGGAAAAGGCCAACCTCGAGAAGGAGAAGAAGGCGCTCGTCGATTCCGCCGCCGAGAAGGACACCCTCCTGAAGAAGAAGCTCAAGACCATCGGCAACTACGTCCACGACTCCGTCCCCGTCAGCGCCAACGAGGACGACAACAAGATCGAGAAGACCTGGGCCCCCGAGGGCGTGACCGTCGAGAAGAAAGAAGGAGTGCTCTCCCACCACGAGGTCCTGCTCCGACTTGACGGATACGACCCCGACCGCGGTGTCAAGATTGTTGGCCACCGAGGATACTTCTTGCGCCAGTGGGGTGTTTTCTTGAACCAGGCCCTGATCAACTATGGCCTCTCCTTCCTCAGCGAGCGTGGTTACACCCCCCTTCAGACCCCCCAGTTCATGGCCAAGGACTACATGGGCAAGACTGCCCAGCTTGAGCAGTTCGACGAAGAGCTCTACAAGGTCACTGACGGCGACAATGAGAAGTACCTCATTGCTACCTCGGAGCAGCCCATCTCTGCCTACCATGCCGACGAGTGGCTTGTTGCCAAGGACCTCCCCATCAAGTGAGTTAGAACCAAAAAAAAACACACATGTGAGAGCGCGACTAACGAAGCACGACAAAAGGTATGCCGGCTACAGCACATGCTACCGCCGAGAGGCAGGATCACACGGCAGGGACGCCTGGGGAATCTACCGCGTGCACCAGTTCGAGAAGATCGAGCAGTTCCTCCTCACCGACCCCGAGAAGTCCTGGGACGCCTTCCACGACATGATCTCCATCTCCGAGGAGTTCTACAAGAGCCTCGGCCTCCCCTACCAGATCGTCTCCATCGTCTCCGGGGCTCTCAACAACGCCGCCGCCAAGAAGTTCGACCTGGAGGCCTGGTTCCCCTTCCAGGGCGAGTACAAGGAGCTCGTGTCCTGCTCCAACTGCACCGACTACCAATCCCGCGCCCTCGAGATCCGCTACGGCGCCAAGACCCAGACCGAGACGAAGAAGAAGTACGTCCACTGCCTCAACTCGACCCTCTGCGCCACCACCCGGACGATCTGCTGCATCCTCGAGAACTACCAGACACCAGATGTGAGTATACAATCCCAAATTGGAAAAATACTATTCCCCCCTCATGTTTCCCCCTTACCTAGCACAAACCTAACAAATTATTTCTCAGGGTCTGCGCGTACCCGAGGTTCTCCGAAAGTACCTCCCCGGCGAGCCAGAGTTCATCCCCTTCAGCAAGGAGCTCCCCAAGGAATCCACCTCCAAGAAGGCCCTCCCCAAGAGGGAGAAGCCCAAGAACTAAATGGCGGTGGGAGGAAAGTCAAACGCGTGTGTTGGGGTTGTGCGTGCATGGGAAAGCGAGGTGGTTTCTATAAAAAGAAAACATGCCATATAGACGAACAACCAATTGAAGGCTCGCTCTCTACCAATGGGTGATACAAGGCTTGTTCTGCCAGGTATAGTGATTCGATGATGCGGATTATGGCGGTGATTCAACAGGGGGGATAAATACGGGGAACCGGCAGCTTGCATACCCTCCGTCCCAGATACGAAGTTGTTTGCCCAATCAATCGGGAGCGCGCACTGGGATATGTATGAATTGCCCGTCGCCAGGTATCACTGCTGTGTCTGAATCTTGGCTGAGAAAGTAGACGGCACTGATGCTGCGCCACTTACATATTGATTTGCCGGATGGTATGTAGGTGAGATGTATGACAGGCGCATCTGCCCGGCAGTGACTCAGTGCAGTCGAGGCTTGACGCGGCGTCCCCATTTCATGCACAAATCCATCGTAGAGCCATACAACGTAGGCAGGAAACCATTCTAAAAATGCGGTCAGTTCTGGAGTGAGATTAATAACCTTCAGAAGGTAGCCAACGCCCTCTTCGTTCGGCTCCAGCTCACAGACCACCTGCAACCCGGCCCTGGCTCAGTCTAGTTGACCGTAAGCGTCCCAGGTAATTGGCTAGTGGGCCGCGATTCACATTCGTGTTTCCGATACGATACCCCATGGCTGGGGATGAGAAACGTGGATGTGCTGAGAGAGAGATTGATGAGTTCATGATGGTATGTGTTATCCGTGTACATGGCGTAGTTCTGGACTCTGGCTGACGGTGATGGTTGCTTCGTCGTGGATCAGCACACTGACACGGCTCACCCGGATGATCCTGCAGCCGTGCCTGCAGGACCCGAGCGCTCAAGGGAGAGGGAAGGGAGCAGCAGCAGCACGCCGAGGAGGGAGTCGAGGAGGAAGGGAGACCGGTCCCATCGCCACCGCCACTCGGGAGCGGAGGGCTCGTCGTCCAGGAGGCGGACGCCGACCAAGAAGACAGCCGCGCCCAGCTCACAGCCGAGGATCGTCCAGGCGTGGAGAGATATCTTCGGCAGCAAAAAGCCGAGCAGAAGCTACGAGGCCCGGAAGCCTCGCCAGAGGAGCAGGACTGAGAGCAGTGGCGGGTCGCAGTTGAAGCCGACCAAGTCGAGAGCAAGCGGTTCGCAGGGACAGGAGAACGACAGTTCAGTCAGGCCTTTGAAGGAGATTACGAAGCTTGGAGTATGCCATTATCCCCCCCGATTCACTCAACCCTGGGGTTATTCCTCGTGTCTAATTACTTGGTTGATGCGCAGAAATCGGATTTGGGACGTCACCATAATGAGAATCACATGCCAGAATGGCTGGTGAGTATACTCGAGCGGAATGAAGGTGTCTGCAAAGAAGGTTCCGTCCCCGTTTCGAACTACCATCAGGGAAAAATCGCCTTTTTCATTAACCAGCTCGAATAGGTATTGTGCCGATTTTGCAGCAGTTGCTGGACCAATGTCCCACGACTGAGTACGCCTATGTGTGCAGCCCCTGCGTGACACATATTTCAAAGACGAGACGAGAAGGTATGTTCGTGATAAGAAGTAGTATGACCCTAGAATCATCTGGAGAAGCTGGCTAAAAATGCTGTTCGATATTCAAGGAAGTTTCTGCGGCTACCGGAATATCCAGATGCTCACTTCATGGATCATCGCATCGGGGGCGCAAGGCTCGAACATGTTTGGCCCCAAGTTTCCTTCCATCTTCCAGATTCAGGATCTGATTGAAAATGCGTGGGATAATGGATTCAACGCCCAGGGCAGAGTTGAGACGGGTGGTATTAGGGGAACAAGGAAGTATATCGGCACGCCAGAGGTAAGCAGCAAGAGTCCGGTCTAGAGACAGAGCAACATATCAGAATGCTGACTATGTTCCAGGCAGCGGCAATGTTCTCGAGTTTAGGAATTCCGTAAGAGTTTCCCTTTCGTTTCAATACTGGAAATGGTTATTGATAGGCAACACAGATGCCCACCTCAAGCTTTCAAAGACAAAGATTTCACGGTGGCTAGAAATCTGCTCTACGCGGCCATTGAGCGGTATTTCCAACAAGGCCTGCTGGAAGAAGACTCGAAAGTACATGCAACTGTACTTCCGCCCATATACTTCCAACATCGAGGTGGGACTTGGACAATTCTTTGCGCCCGATCACAGGCTGATGGCATGATGGGATTTGGGCTAACAAGAAATTTCTATCCAGGCCACTCAATGACCATTGTCGGATTCGAGAAACAAACAAACGGGAAGTCGAACCTCCTAGTCTTCGACCCTGGCTACCGAGATCCCTCCGTTGTTTCCAACCTCGTGGGCAAGCCCTTCAGACACCCGCCCGCCAAGGCGTCGGGCGTTCTCGAGTCCTACCGCCGAGGAAACAGGTACCTCCGCCGATTTGGCGAGTTTGAGATTTTATGGTATGCCCAGATAAACACGGCCGAAGATCTGATTTTGCCTGGAAGACTGACCGAATCCTTTCGTAACTAGCCTTGCCAGCAGCCCATCGAATGCATAGCGATATGAATTTATTCAGAGCCCCTGTTTTGCTCCTTGAACCAGTCTTGTAGCTTCTGGAGAGCAAGGCTGCGGTGGGAGATTTTGTTCTTCTCCGACTTGTCCATCTCGGCGAAGCTAGTGGGGTTGTTAGACGTGATGGCAGCAATGGGGGAGAGAATGGGACCAACTCACGTCTTGCCCTCGTACTCAAAGATTGGATCCCAGCCTGTAATGATAGAATAGAGAATATGACGGTTAATTCAGGATTCAGACACACTGCTCGAGAACGCAAAATTGTCTACTCACCGAAATCGGTAGGTCCTCTTGCGGGAACAATCTTGCCCTGTAGGTTTGACACGGGGTTAGATGCAAACCCACACTCGCCAAATCTCGATGCGATGAATACATACTGGGCAACGGCCCTGGAACAGGATGGGCTTGTGTCCTGGGCCAGCTGAGTATCCAAAGGTGGCAACAGCTTCAGCGGACTTGTCAGGGTAGGCGGCGAGGAGGTTGTTCAGACCCTCATGGCCTAGTTTTTGCAAAAACCACTTGCTGTTGAAAATTCATGTCAGGAGGAGAACCAAAGGAGCAGAGTCTCTGAGGGAACACACATGTAAGGGCCAGGGAGACCGCCCAGAGCCTTGAAGCATAGAGACGTGTCGTCGACTAAGACGGGGCCACCCGCCTTTCCAAAGATTTAGCAACGGTGTGGCTCAAGGTGGGTGAGATGACATCCCGTACCTGTTCTGCTGCCCTGCGGCACTTGGACTCTGTCACTTCCTCGATGGACCCCTGGACCTCCTCCAGGTCGATGTTCTGGCTGCGGACCTCGATCCCCGCGGCTTCGAGGATGGCCTTGACTTCTCGCAGCTTGTTGGGATTGCCCGTGATTAGGTTGACGTGGGTAGGCATGGTTCTAGCTTGATCACAGATGAGGACCTAATTGATTCCCTATTGTTTTTTTTTTCGAGTGCTCAGACGCAAGGCACTGTTAAACCAGATTCTTCAAAATGTTTGGTTGATATGGAAGGTTGTGTAGTTGAGTCTCGTCCAAACGAGGCGCCCCGGTTTAAGCATAGATTGACCCGATTGACCCATTAATAAATATTTCACTGCCCCGCCTCTCGTTACTTGCTTGATGGCGGTTTATCTTGATGATAGGGCAGAGAGAATAGGCATGAAACAAAGCATATAGAAATTCTTCCGTTTCAAACCAGTACTATAAAAGATTCTAAGAAGCAGGTGTCTGTAACGACATATCTGCCCTCCCTTTTTTTTCGTCTAACCCAAACAAACCCTGCGCCGCTGCCTCTGCCCAAGAACGAAACCAAGCCATCCCAAATTTCCCTTTCCCTTCTCTGTGCCACATGTTGTTTTCAAGCCGTGAAACGAAGCTTCGCCGAGATTAGGGCTCGGCGTTGTCCTTCTTCCACTGCGTAACCCATGCCTCTATTCTGTCCACGTTGGTGTCCATCTCCTCAGACGTGGTGCTCTGCAGCTCAATCACGATCTCCTCGTCGAAGGCATCGCGGGCCTCCTGTAGCAAGACCTCCATGATCTCCGTGTCTAGGTTCTCCTGAAGCTTTATTTCAGGGTAGTTTCTAGTTTTATAAACATCAATCTCCATGTCTGACAAACGTACATGACATATGAGGGACTCTCACCTCGCCTTTAGGCGGTCATAGAGCGTAGTCGAGTCAACACGGAGGACAACCACCAGGTCGATCCAGCTCTTGGGGAACAGATCGCACGCATGCCAGTCTATGATGCAGCCTCCCTCTTTGACATCATCTTCAATTGCGTCCAGAAGCTTTCAGGGTTTCGGTCAACCACAGCCCAGTTCATTTAAAAGTGAGTATTTGTCTGCACTCACCTTGTCCTCATCCACAATCCAGCTTTGGTACTCATCGTCCCATCCCTCGTGGCACTCCTTGTCCTTGACGACCTGGTTCACGGAAAGGTGCCGGGCTCCGATCTTCTCGGCCAGGATCTCGCAGTGGGTGGTCTTGCCCACGCCTGGGGTGCCTGTGACGATGATATTGGGCGACTGTCGAGGCATGGTGTCTCTGCTGATGTGAAACTTTAGGTCGAAAAGCTCAGCACCTTTACTTGAAGTGTTATTCAGGTGTAAATTTCTATAACAGAAGCCTGGAACGCGGGTGCCCGTATACGTATATGGACCTTGAAGGTTAATGAAAAGTTGGTTGGGTGTATGTATTTAGCGAGGCTGCACTGAGCAAAATTGATGGTGTGAAAATACTCGTGGTGGTTCATGCAACAACCGGGGTTCATATATGGGTGTCTTACAATCCAAACAGCCACGGGCAATGATAGTAGGGGAGTTTATTCCGATGCATTTCAGCAAGCTACAAACTAATCATAAGCATCCAGTCCATCACTTCCGGTATTAGCAGAGCTGTAGGTCATGTTTGTGATCAATGCCATCGCACAGGATGGCTGGCGGTTCGACACCAGAGCGGAGTCCGTGCGAGTCAATGGAAGCAATATGTCTGAGTCAAAAAAATACTTGTTGGCAAACATTGATGCCCAGTTAGAGTTTTTAGCAACGTGAAAGCCATAAGGGAAAGGCGTCAGGCCTTCCTAGCCCAGGGCTGTTCCAACGGCTATGATATCAAAGAGCAAAGCCCACTTCACTTACACCACACTGACGTCTACGACTGGCACGGACTTGGCGATAAGATAAGGAAGCGCACCAGAAGTGGCCCATCCCTTGGCGATGACCACACATATGGCTCACACGCTCACTGGATCGGGTCAAGTCATGTTCGATTTGTCAGGCCCAGCTTCAATGCGTGAGATCGGGGCAATTCAATCACCAAGCCCGACTCCGACTGAGCATCATGCCCTCGTCGTTTGCCTGCACAGCCACCACCCTGCATGTTCTGCACCTGCTGGGCGGCCGACCGCCGTTGAGGCTAGCACCCATCCTCCCACTGGCAGCGGCCGTAGTGCCCTACTAGGCAGCTAGCCCAGCGCTGTTGGCCCGCAGCCAAGGAGGGGCAGTCGCCATAAACAGAGCGTGTGCCTCGGTCTAACCTCTGCAGACCATCGCCGCACTCGCATTCGACGCCCTCTTGCCCCGTTTTGGCAGATCGCTTCTCGTTTTTCTGCTCCTTTTTCTTTCTGTTGGAGAGGCGGCAGTGGCTGCCGAGACTCGACGACTCTGCTCAGGGGAGTGTCCAGCTGCATCATCTTGCCCAAAATGGATCTGGTGCGTCACTCAGACGTTTCGCTGCTGCCCATGCCCATCCTGTGATCCGGAGGCCTGGGACGGAGTCGCGGAGCAGATCAGTTCACTCACTTAAATAATAATTACATACATACCCTGCCCTCTCCCCTCGCGGCCGGCGTCAGTGTCGAGCCCGCATCTCCCACAAGTGGCTCTTCTCTTTGTCCGTTCATCGCCCAATAAGACGTCTTTGATTTGATTGATCCTGCCCACACCGCTGCTGGATCCTGGTGGCGCAGAACTCAAGTGACGATAGCTACAGCCAGCTTCAGCAGTCACAGTCACTGATGGCAAGCTCTACTCACCAAACAGAGGGGCAAGCTCGGGTGGCCATCATCGGCACTGGTCTTGCCGGCCTCACCACAGCCCATCTACTGCACAATGACGAGCGCAAGCGATACTCGGTGACGTTGTTTGAGCAGGTGAGATCCAGGACCCTGCTCTGGTTCCCCTCGTGTTGCAGTCGCTAACAGGCATGGCCTTCTCTGTCCGTAGTCCAACAAGCTCTCCTTCGACTCTGCCTCCGTTGCTGTCAAGGATGGCAAGACCGGCGCCATTGAGCGAGTCGACCTGCCCATGCGCGCGAGTGCAGGCGGGTACTATGCCAACCTGATGCGCATGTACGAATACCTCGAGATCCCACTGCACCCCATTCGATTCCTCTTCGTCTTCGCCAAAGCATTGCCTGCCAACATCTCGTCGTCGTTGTCGGCCGGTAGCGATCCCGGAACGTATTTCGTACACGCTTCGAATCTACACCAAACACCGCCGCCATGGCCTGGAAAGAGAGGGGTCGTAGCGCACATTGTCGAGATTCTGTATCTGATCGTCTGCCACTTCTGGTTCTCGGTCGCGTGCTTTCTCATTCAGCCTCGGACGACGGCGAGTTCGGGTTGCGCGGGGCTCGGGGAATCGTTCGACGAGTATTCGCGGAGGATATGGCTGCCGCGTCGTTACGTTACTCACTATCTCCTTCCGCTGATGAGCTCCGTGTCGACATGCTCCCATGATCAGCTTCTGGCTTTCCCGGCCAGCGACGTAGTCAACTATAAGCGATTGTCGCATGGGGAACAGCATTACGCTGTTTGTGGAGGGGTCAACCAGGTCCAACTGAGGCTGGCGGAAGGCATCGAGGATGTGAGGCTGAACGCGCAGGTAATCCAGGCCATGCCTGTATCGGATCAACCTGCTAGTGGCGTCGAGATTCGCTGGCGATCTGTAACCGATGGGTCAGTTTCAGAGGAGAAGTTTGACAGAGTCATTCTCGCAGTGTCCCCCGATGTCGCTAGCAGAATTTTCAAACCCTTGGCTTCGAGGCTCAGCGTAATTCCAACTATCCAGGTCGAGAGCTCAGTCCTGTCAGCCACCACAGGAAAAGGCACAGCACGACACTCGGTCATCGAGACGGACGAGCCAACGTCGAGCCAGTGCATGCACCACGGCAAGAGCATCTCCAGTGCACAAGTGATTGCACTCAGATCGAGGTTCTCGGAGAAAGGATCGGAGTCGGAGGCGCTTCACACCATGCCCAGCGGTGTCGTAGTCAGCACATGTCCTCTTGACGGAGATTTGGGTCTGAATAACAAGGTGCTGCACTCGGCCAAGTTTACGAGGACCATCCGCAGTACAGAGAGCCAGGCCCTGATCAACAGCATCATGAATCGACCAAGTACGAGCCATAGAGCGGATGATGATGGCCAGGCCGAGCAGTGGACTAATGGACAAAATAATGTTTGGCTGGTGGGAGCGTGGTGCTGGGACGGAATGGTGTTGCTCGAGGGTTGTATTGTCTCAGCGATGAGAGTGGCGGGAGACTTTGGGGTCAACATTCCTTGGCAAGCCCCCGACGAGCACAAGACCAGGTAGATAAACTAGTTGTCGACGGGCCCAATAATTTGATGATAGTAATGAACAGGGGACGGGGATGGAGAATGGTGTAAGAGCTAGGCACATTATGATGATGAATGCACTTTCCAACTAGGAACTCAGCTTGAGACCTACAACCAGCCAGTCAGCCTTTAGTAGATGCACTCACTATTGCTGTAGTTACGTCACTGCAGGAGCTGACATTGTGCCGTGCACCCAATGATGCCACTATCACACACAAGATAGTTCTAAATATCGTATTGAGTTGTGTGTTTCGTTTCCGTGCTGTTACCATTATGCCGTACAAGGAGACTGCGAGAGTCCCACGGTGTATTTGCCCAAAGAGGCTCTTACCAACCACTCCGGTATTATGCGCCTAACGGGGCGCGCCGAGCCTAAACCGCCAGGGTCCAGCGGGCACTGACGACGACACTGGCCCTCTTCGGACGCATCCATGGATGTGGTATCACACGGGAAGTAAAATCTAATAACATCTGCTACTCTCCCCCGCACGCCCAATTGCCATGGCGCCACTCTCCTCGGGCGGGCAGATCGCCCTCGCCTTCGTGGGCGGGTTCCTCGCCGCGATCCTCATCATGGCGGTCGTCGCCTTCTCGTTCCTGAGGTCCAGCGACGCCTATGGCCTCGGCCACTGGAAGCTCAACGCCAAGATGCCGCTGTCGACCATGTGGATGAACCTGGGATATTGGTAAGCGGATATCTCTTATTTGTTCTAATACATCTTGTTTAATATCGTTGAGTCTGGTTACGTTTATCTATAACTTTCATGTAACCCCACGATAGACCGTCTATCCCAACCGAGAACTAATTCTTCCCCAGGACAAACGCAAAGGGTGAGCCAATCCACGACTTCGAGGAGGCCTGCTCCACCCTCCTCAGGAACATCCTCGACAGGGCCGGCCTCCTCAACCAGCCAGGTCTCAAGCAGCCGCAGCGGTCCCTCGCGGTCCTCGACCTGGGGTTCGGCTGCGGCGACCAGACCTTTGAGCTCGTCCGCCTCACCCGCCCCGAGCGCGGGTGGGACGCCTTCCGCTACGTCGGGCTCACCCTCAGCCGCGTGCAGATCCAGGCGGCCCGGCGGTGCGTCGCGCGGGAGCTCCTCGCCGAGGACGCGCCGGACGCGGACTCGTTCCAGCTCTTTTGCGCGGACGCGGCGAGGCCGGCGACGTGGGATGAGCGGACGAGGGGAGCCGTGGAGTCCCTGGCGGACGAGAGGTATGCCGAGCGGTGGCTGCTGGCGCTGGACTGCCTGTACCACTTTAAGCCGTCGCGGCGGCCCGTGTTTGAGTACGCGGCCAGGAGGTTGAAAGCCAACTCGATGGCGTTTGACCTGGTGCTGAATGAGAATGCCTCCTTCGGGGATAAGCTGAGGATGAGGGCCGTCGGGGTGATGATGGGGTGTCCGATCGACACGTTCCTGACTGAGAAGGAGTATCTCGACCAGCTCGTTGAGTGCGGCTACGACAGGGAGAGCAGCACCATCACCGATATATCCGAGCACGTCTTCTCTGGGGTCTCGGGGTTCATTGACGACCAGGAGCGTGCCCTGAGCCAGTACTCGGTTACTCTGGGCGGGTACAAGCTAGCCGGGCGGTTGTTCGAATGGTTTGGTAGGTCCGAGGTAGTGAAGGCGGTGATAGTCGTTGCTAGGACTAGGGAAGATGCAGACCTTTCGTCGAGCTGAGGTAGGGGAGTATACAAACAACTTGGCGCCTTTACGCATCTAGATGAGAAAAATAGAAGTAAGTAAAGTCATGCTCAATTCCAGTTTACCAATGCTGAAAGATGGCGAACGTGTTATAAATATCTTACTCGTTGTTCTAGTTCGGGTCTCTTACACAAGTCTTCGTGATAGTTTAAAAGAGGCCAACTGGTATTCAAAGAGCGGCAACTCATAGGATGATAGCGATTGGGAAACAGATCAAGAAGTGTTTCATGCTTAATTCAATATGTTGGTTTCTGTATTTATGTATTTACTAATTACTTTATGGACAACGGAACACTAGAAAGCATATCTTTCCAGCATCTAGTCATTGGCAGTACATCTCCCATATACTTGGTTTAGGTTGCCCAGGTTTCCTTGGAACCTCTCTATTCCTCAACGTTCTTCGCGTTGGGGAGAGAAGCCACAGGCTGGTCACGATCCAGATCGTACATCTTCTCTTCGTCGGCATCATAGTGGTGGAAAAGAACCCAGAAAACGCATCCAGTGCAGAAGGCGAAGACGGCAACACCGGTGTACATCCACAGATATTTGGGGTCCATTGCGACGGAAACAAGGGCTTCCGAAAGAGCAGATCCAAAAGCATTGGTGAAGAGATACAGACTCTGAACGAACGACTTCATGCTGGGAGGGGCCTTGGTGTAGGCGTACTCGAGACCAGTGACGGAGATGAAGATTTCGGAAAGGCCGATGAAAACGTACGCAGGGGTCTGAACAGCGATATGAACGTGGTTTGGCAGCTTGGAATTTCCATCCATGCCCTCGGGGCAAGCGCCGGGGCTTTCAAAGCATGGGCCTGCCCTGTAAATGAGGTGCTGGACAATGGCAGCGTAAGCCAGACATAAAGATGCCAGCCAGAAACCAATGGTGATACGCATGACGGGGCGGAGCTCAATTCCCATACGTCTGAGGATGGGGTAGACGACGCGGTCCAGGATAGGTGTGAAGATCAAGATAGACACGGGGTCAAAGTTCTGCATGAAATCGTTGGGCATTCCATGGCCCTCCATCTGGCCAGCTTGGGTGACGAAGTTGGTTGAAAATTGGCCGTAGCAGACCCAGAAGATGGGGTCTATCACAGATGTTAGTCGACAAATAAATAATCAGACCAAAAGGACACGGTTGAGATAAAAACTTACAAAAGACGAAGACCTTGCAAGCACGAAGAGCACGCTTCAGCTCCTCAACGAAGTGGTCGTTCCAGGGAACAACCTTGGTCTTTCCGTTGGCCTCACGCCAGGACGGCTTGGCCGCATCCATGTTTCTGGCAACAATCATCATACCAAGAGCCTTGAAGGCGTCGGTAATAACAGATCCCTGGGGGGGACGGTCGATGTAGTACTTGCGGCACGAAATCAAGACGCAGATACCAATGTTGAACATGACGAAACACATCAAGAAAGCGGTCCAGAAACCCTTGTACTTCTCCATGAAAGGTGTCGCCATCAAAGAGAGAGCTCCCAAGTTGATACACCAGTAGAAGACCATATAGATACGCTGGTAAGTGACGGCAGGGTCAATAATGACACGCTCACCACTTTTCTCGGTCTTGACGGCCATAACACGGCGCTGGTACTGATCAGCGATCAGAGGAGCGATGTTTGACTTGATACCTCCTGTTCCAAGTCCGATTACAATGATGGCAACGATGTAGCCGGCCTTGCCAGCTCCGTGAGCCATGGAAGTCGGGAGAGCGGTTGTCCACAGAATGATAAGGCCGACCCAGTAGAAACAACAGAAGAGCAGAATAGTCTTGTACTTTCCGAGATACTGGTCAGCAATGATAGCACCCAGAATGGGCGTCACATAGCAGAACCACTGGAAGAAAAGATTGAGACCGGTAGCAGCCTGGTTACCCATTCCCAAGCCCTTGGGTCCATCAGCGCCATCGACATCGTAGCTGATGTAGTTCTGGAATATACCCTGGGCACCGTAGTAGGCGAAACGCTCAGTGAGTTCGACGATAGCAACGAGGTAGGCGGCGGCGGGCAGGTTCTCTCCGATACGGCGCAAAGTGTTCTTCTCGTAGTCGGTGGGCTCCTCGCCATCAGGGGTAGGACCACTCTCATCGGCAGGCGACTCTACGCTGTGCTTGGCCTCGCCGATCTTTTCTGAGACAGCCTTGTTGGATGCTATGTATCCTCCAGCCAGGTCTCTTGTCTCCTTCTTGTCGGGAATGCGCTCGGTGAGCTGCTCATGGAGCCTGTTGTTGAATAGCATTGTCAGTCACTGGATACTAACTAGCACAAGGCAAGATGCATTCTGCAGTCTCAAAAGATGAACGGACCAGGACTGGATATCCCAGGTCCGACAACCAGATCGAGATTGCGGTAATACCCATGGCCTAGGTGCTGTGTACCTAGGTACAGTTGGTTTATACGCACTCAGCAGCGGTATCCTCATGATTGGTCGCCATCTTGGCCAACTACACACAAGTGGCAGAAGTGTGGTCCGGTTCCTTTCAAAACTCTAGGGAGAGAGTTGTGTGTGGTGTCCAATTCAGTACCGTGCCTGCCTAATATATAAGAGAGGCAACTCGGGGAAGGGAGGAAGGAGGAAGGAGGTCGGGCAGCAGGCAGGAGCAAACATGGCAAGTGCGACTGCGAAACATGGCCTCATATATTCTCCCACCAGCAACCTCCCTCGGCCCCCATCTTCCTCCTCCGCGCCAGCCTCTACTCCCTGTCCGTCTTGTGCATACGAATCAGGCCGAGGACACCCGGGGTAAGAGCGCGCGCGAGCGAATTCTTGGTCCCTCCTCGAGATAAGCTGCGAAATGCAGTGGCCACCACGCGACTCGGAGCTCGCCGCTATGCCTCTGGGTTGCCACCCACATGATAGCTCCAGATATTTGGCAAATACACGTTGGGAGCCAACCCGGGGCAACGACAGGGTTTCGACAGGCTGGACCCCCGAGCGGAAAGGCCCTCATTGAGCAGCTAGACACACGATCAACGAGATATCAACGATGCAAAAGGTCCCTCCACACACCACCTCGATGGGGCGACTTTCTCATGGAGGTAGCAGTTGGTCTGATCCATCCCCGGGGACCTTTTGAAGCTTCAAGTCGAATACGGACCGAAAGCAGTGAGAGGAAGTCGGAGTTTGCGTGCCGAGAGGCCAATCACGGGCCCAGCAGGTCTCAGCGATCGGGAGTGTGTGGGCCATTCCGCATTCGGGAAATCTTTTTTCGACCCGTCACCCATTCCCGGCCAGGGACCCTGTCGTGTTCCTTCTAGAAGAACAGCAGGAGAGCTCGAGGAGACGGTCCCTCGCGTGCGTCATCAGGAATTGCCGTACGCCGAGACTTTTAGTCAGTACGATCTCGGCTCGCTATGCATACGGCCTTGCATACAATGTGCCCGCGGAGAATTTCAATCGCTGTTGGTGCTCTGGATAGTCTCTCCCTGTGCTATGAGCCTCCCCCATCTTACCAGCTCCCCCAGGTCTCGCTCCCCTCGCCAAACAAAGTCTAGTCTTACATGAGCCTGTTCTCTCCCCTTGCAGAACTTAGGTAACGGAAATGAAACAATTCGCGCCTGTAGGTCGCGATTCATGGAGTGACAGCCATGATACGTGTGATCCTTTGCTGCATGCGGCCCCACATGTGGTGTCACAACCAGAGCCGAGTATCCGGAGGCGACGATGCTGGAGTAACTATAACGAAATCAGGTCCAGTCACGGTCGGGTGAGCTGTGTCCTGCATCAGAACTTTAGATAGGCAATGGTCTACCCATTGGCCGATTGCCCTCCACATTATGCCATATCATATGACATCCTGGACTCTCCAATCGTCTGGAGATTTGGGTGGCCATTTAGACGAACTGGGTTGGTCAGCGCAGGCGATGCAGAGGATGGCTCGCCCCCAGATGAGAAGCAGCTGATCAGTTCATTGCCTCCCAGATTCAGAAAAAGATTTTCTCTACCGCAATAATACCCTCGGGTCCACGCCGCTGTGGATGTCAGAGATGTCGGATCCGGCAGCCCACAAGTTCTCCAGTAGACAAGGTCCCTGCTCACTTCATAAGTTCATGGACATCTGACCCAGATATCTAGTAAGCTTGTAATAATATCAGATGAAAATCTTTTGTCGACTATTGCCGACGCCTCTATCTCTCTCCAATAGATTTGCCCTGCCATGTGTGCCATCGCTGCTCTACTGGATCATCATCACCACAATCCCATGTACCCATTACAACATGAAGACACTAATTGCAACATCAGAAAACTAACATCTTCCAACCCGTAGTCCCACCCAAAAGTGGTAATATTCGGTGATAAGAACTTATTAAAGAACATTCTTCTCCGCCAAGATCCAGTTAGCCGTATTATCCATGTGGTCTCGAGAGCAGCGATCTTAGTCTCTTACTCGCGACAACACCTTCTCGCGGCCGTCTTGGCATATCAACCGCGACCTTCCCTTTCCTGATGCGCTTCCCGAGAGTGCTGAATAATGTGCCCTTGCGGCTCTTTCGCGGAGCCTCGGGCGGTGGTGGTCAGGCCACATCCCGCAAGCCGCAGGGAGAGAAAGTGTGGCCGCAGCCGTTGGGGGGGGCGGGAGGCCGCTAACCAAGTCATGTCTCGTCGCCATCGCCACTTCTTGAATATCTTTTTTTTTTCTCTAGCCTGTCTACACGCACAGAAGTAATGTCATCCCAAATCACCGACGGTTAAGAAAGCCTCGGCTGTTGAATCTTACTACACACCATCTACGGTGAAACTATGTCAGAAGCACGTAACGCAGCATTGTAGACGGGAGTCTATTTCGCCACATCGTCAGATTTCATACAAGCGAATCTTTCCATTACCCAGTGCATCTGTACCGGTTAAACAACTCGATGTATCAACATGGCCGTCTTATCCTACAAGTCAAACTACTCCCAACACTCCTCACATTCGCATCGACAACACATTCATCGGTTCACGTTTCGCAGGGCCAAGTCCACACAACATTAAAGATGACACATTACTCTCCATTTGCTTCGACGACACTGTCAAAGCATGCTATATGTACAATAGTGTAAGTTGTAGAAGATGTAGATCCCAATCCCTTCTCCTTCTATGCGTAACGTCCACGTCGTTCTCCCATTGTTACCCCCTCTCCTGAAGCAAGAACACAACACCAGGCTGATAAGGCTGCTACCAAGGGGGATGGTGATAGGTAGGTGATGGCGTGGCTAAGTCGTAGTATCAATATGGCCAATGAGGTTTTCCTTTCAAATTCCATCTACTCCGTTTCGCATCGCGCATTGTCGCCATAACATAACAACAAAACATAAATACTGTCACAAATCGTCCTCTTACAGATAGATGTCAGACGTCGACAGACAGAAAACTCCTGTCTCCTTCGTCAAATGTGAACAAATCGGACCGTCGAGAGTACTACTCCTCTGGTTCCACTTCGTGCACTTCGGCCAAGGTTTCCCGCGTGTCATAGCCATCGTCGCCATTAGAATACTCGAGCTTCTCCTGCTGGGCAATGGCCTGAGCCGAGACAATCTCAGCCAGTCTCTTGAGACGGGGAGTTTGAAGCCCTAGAAAGAAAACGAGGTTAGTTCACTTTTCAAGGGCTAGATCAATGTTTTCACGGGTGGCAAAACTCACAAGATGGTGTGTAGGTCTCGAGGGCCGTGATAGATCGTGGTTCAGCAATCTCATACGGCCCACTGTCCTCCATGTCGACAGCCTGCAGCAGCAACACGTCACTCTTTTCAGTGACACGCGATGCAACCGCCTTCATGATCTCTCCGTTGATGGGCTGCTCGTAGTCGGCAACAAGATACTGGTTCAGCAGCTTCTGAATCTGGCTGGGTGAGAGCCTGTGAAATCAAATATTAGCCCAGTTCACGGTTGTTTTATATGGGAACATAAAACTTACATCCAGCAAATATCCTGAATAATCTCGATATCGTTCAATGTTGCCTTCTTGAGCTGGAGCAGCTTTGTCGCTTGCTATAAAAGATGAGTGTATTAGTATTCGCTTACTCCATGTATTTGAGAAGTCAACTTACCATCAGATGCTCCAACTGGAGAGTGCCCTCAGGCATATCATGGCTCTTACACCATTCCTCGATACGAGTAATGTTGTAGTTAATCTGCAGACCTCGCTTCCATGAGAGGAAGTTTCTGCGCATCAACAAATCGTTGAATGCTGTGACACCTACAAGACGCAGAAGCTCAGTCACAGTCTGGGTGATGATCGAGTCTTCGAGGTAATAGGCCTTCATGGCGCGGAACACATTGTTCAACAGGCTCAGCAGGTTGTCCATGCTATAGGCAGGCTGGGAGTTGGACTGAAGGAGCTTGCCAAGGAAACGGCTGCTCTCGTTGGTGATGAATCCAGGAAGAGACTGCGACTCGATGATGGCGGGGATAATCATCTTGTGCAACTTCTTCTTGAGAACCTTCATCCAGGTATGATAGATGTTGAACTCAAGACTCTCCAAGTCGTGCTTGACAATCTCGAGGAGACGGTCATACTCGTAGTTGTCCGTCTTCTGGGTCTCATACCAATCCTCGGCGAGGAACACGAATGAAAGCATCTCGTGCACGTTAGACAGCCAGAAGGCGCCAGGGTTGATAGCCTCCTCTCCATCATGCTGCATAACTTCCTGCTGGATAGACTGCATGACATTGGCGAGGAATCGCTCTGATTCCTTGACGAAGCCATTGTTCCACATCTCTGAGGTGACCAAGTTGATCAGGTATGACGGGAACAGGACTTCCTTGTCTGAAGGAGGAGGTGTGGTGTTCGGGGAAGGAATCTTCAGGTTGCGGATAAGACCCATGGTCAATTCCTCGTTCAGACCATCTTCATCGGCGAGAAGGGTCTCCAGCTCTGCCTCAATGTTGTCAACACCAGGGATAAAGGTGGTTCCAGACAGATTTTGACGATGGGCTGTGCCAGTGACCGCCATGGAGACAGGGCGGGGGTTGTAGGCACCACTGAAGCGGTCGACCTCGCGGGGCTCGGCTCCGGCACTGCGGCGCTTGGGCTTCTTGGAGGAGACGAGGTTAATCAAACCGCTGGGGATGGGCGCGGAAGCATTTCCATTGGCCAGTTCGCCGTTGAGAGGAGCATTTCGCTTAGCCACCTCCAAGGCATCTCGGAGAGCCTCGAGTTCCTGTCTGAGGCTGGAGCTGTCCTTCTCATGCTCAGTGCCCAGTCGCTTGGCCTCCTCCAGTTCACTGCTGGACTGGCGAAGAGATTCGCGCAACTCGCGCTCTTCCTCTTGCATTCTCTTAATGTTGGCAGTGGACTCGTCGAATGCCACTTGGAGCTTCTTCATCTCATCCTCCATTGCTTGTAGACGTGCAACAGCGATACCAGCCTGGTTGGCCTCGGTCTGAAGCTCCTTCGTCCTGGCCTCGAGGGCGTTGTGTCGGCTCTTCCACGACTTGATTTGGCCCTCGTAACTCTCGACTTGAGATGTCAGATCCTTGTTCTTCTGCTTCATCGATCCCAGGGCTTGCGTAAGCTCAACGACCTTGTTCTCAAGCTTGTATGAAATCTGTTTGAGATCACGAGCCTCCTCGCGCATGTGCTTGTACTCCTTGCGGGCTGACCTTCCACGCCAAAGGCTCTGAATAAGGACAACCTTCCTGCGGTATTGTCTCCACGACTTGAGAGACTGCCGGGACCTCCACGCTCTCTGGATGGTGAGAGCAGCATTGCCAACTCTCTCCTCCATCAAGTTCTTTCGGCGAAGGTAACCCTTGGCAGCAGACTCAAACAGAATCATGTCCTTCCTAATGGCCAAGAACGCCTTGCGCTGCTTAGATCCACGCCAGACACGCTGGATAGTTGTCGCAGCACGCACAGTGCGGAGCTCGTTAGCCAGTCTCCTAGCAATGAAGGCTCTGGCGGCGGACTGGGTAAGGACAATAGCCTCACGAGCCTCGAGATACTGGCGGCGGTAGTACTTGGCCTTGAGATTCTTCTGGATCATAATAGCACATTCGTTCAAACGGTTAGTACGGAGGTTTTCCAAGAAGGCAAGCATACCAGCCCGGAAGAAGATCTTGGTGAGACCGAGCTGGTACTTGTCCATGCCCTTCTCGGAGCTTGTACCAAGAGCCTTGCTCAGAATAACATCGGCCATCTGGCGAATCTCAGACGTCCAACCGCTCGAGTGAACAAGCATGTAGTATCGAAGAGCAAATTCTTCATAAGTCCAACGAGTGGGGTAGCCGGCACAGCTAATGCGAACTGTCTCAAGGACACCGCAAGCACGCAGCTGGCTCAGAACCATGGGTCCCTCGAACTTCCAGGCCTCCTTTGCCTCGTTGGGCTTGATACATCGAATATAGTGGACATCCGTGCCGTTGATGGTGCTCATCAGCTCAATCAGAGAAGAACGGAAGATGCCACCGAGAGTCGGCTTCCTGTTAACAGCCACACCAATCTTCCTACCAGCGGCGGGCTTGACGGCAGAAGATGCCGAAGCAACATCCTTCTCCCTGACAGCAGCAGCGGCATCGAGAACGGACTTGAGGAACTCGTTGGAGGTCGCGCGCAGCACGTTCATGTGCTCATCGGGCACAGTATCACGGTTCTTCTCGATAAAACCCTCAGATTCGTAAGTGACATCAATAGCGTAATGACAGACGGTGAAAGCGCTCTTGCCGAATCGAGGCTTCTTGAAGAACTTGTTCTTGTTGTCAGTGCCAAAGTTCTGGTGCAGCTTCATAGCGAACTGTTCATCAGATCCCATCGGAAGACGAGATTCTTCGTCCAGCAGGGACAGCACACCCAACCTGCCCTCAATAAGGTCGATACATGGCTGATTGTCGGAGAAATCAATGAAAGTCCAGTCAATTTGCTCCCTGAGGTACTCTTCCTGCTCCAGCTTGAACACGTGCTGGTTGAATTCCTGCTGCAGCTTCTCGTTGGCGTAGTTGATACAGAACTGTTCAAACGAGTTCTTGGCGAAATGTTCGAAACCGTAAATATCTAGGACACCAATGAAAGACTTGACACGAGCCAGAACCTCGTCAGTTGCCAAACTTCGGTTGATGATTTCGACAAGCCAGTCGAACAAGCTCGAGTAAATGAACTTGGCCACCGAATCTCGAACAACGAGGGCCTGTGCCTGGGTGAGGTTGGAGGTGATCTTCTCACCACGGGTAATGAGCTGCTTCTTAACAATCCACTTAGCGAAGTTGGCGGCATCGACACCCAAAATCTTGGAAGCTAATTGCAGAGAAGGCTCGTCAGGGGGCAAGACACTGTCGTTTCGGGAAGCCGTGATCTTAACATTGCCCAAGTGCAGCAGACCGGCCAAGAGCTTGAAAATCTCCTCCTGCTCAGCAGCGTGAACACCAACAGTGGTGAGAGACTCCTTGGTCGCCTTGAATTCAGCCTCGTCGTCTACGCCATCGATCGTTGGGGCCTGTCCCTGATTGAGGTACTCGAACTGTTCGACAGGGAGGATGTTGAGCTCTTCCCGCTGCTGGGCTGATGCGCCAGCAACCAGTTGGTAGAAAATATGGTAGTTTCGCTCCTTCAAGGGCTGGAAAACGAGACGAGAACGCTCCAGAAGATAGGTGCGAATCTTGGCACCAATAATGTTGGTCTTCTCGTCAAACATGATCTCAATGTACTTTCCGAATCGCGAGGAGTTATCATTTCTTGTCGTTTTGGCGTTACCGAAGGCTTCCATGATAGGGTTGGTAGCCAAGATCTGTTCTTCAGTCTCACTCATGGAATCGGCGCCGCGCTTCGTGCGTCCGCTCGGGTTGTCGGGAGACTCTCTGGTCGCAAAGTAGCGCATAATATACTTGGCGCTGACAGTCTTTCCGGCACCTGACTCTCCCGATACAACAACCGTCTGGTTCTTGTTGTCTCGAAGCATGTCCCTGTAGTAAGCAGGTCAGTATATCAGCACCGTTACAAAGGCGCAAGGGCCAACCGACATGAACGCCTCTTCGGCGATAGCGAAGAGATGAGGGGCCTGGGTGGCGCGCTGCTTGCCCGCGTAGACTTGCACCATGCCTGGGACATATAGAGTCTCGACTCGAGCAAAGGGATTCGTAGCAATCAACACGATACCACTGTAGGTGTAGATTTCCTTCTGCAGATATCGCAATCGAATGGCTTGCAGCACTATCAACGGGAACACATCCGTCAGCATCAGCCGCACTCCACGCAGTGCATCACGGCTATCGGTTTGTTCTGTTTTGACATACCAGCAGGCTCGTTGAGATGGGAGAGATTGGTAAGATCATCGCTGGCTTCGAGCATGGTAGGGTTCATGAGCGGCGGCAGAGCAGCATCCTTTCCGGACAGGAGGCCCTCCTCGGAGACGGTAATCGTTTTCTCCTATTCGCACATAGTCAGCACCCATACGATCGTGTGTATGCCGCAGGAACCAGAGCCCATACCTCGCCATTCTCGAGCTTGAAGACCAGCTTGGCCTTACCGCCCTCCACTGTCTTGCTGACAAGCTCGGAGGCTACCCATCCTTCGGCAGCATCAGGCTGCCATGCTCTCGTGCCGACATCATAAGACGATGCCATTGGGGCGCTGCCCAACAAGGCGGTGCTAGGCGAAGGACAACGGGGGGTTGGAAACGGAGGATGTTAGGGTGAGGTCGGTTGGTCGATGGGAGACATTCATGAGCTGGCCCTTCTACACGTAAAGGAATACCAGCCTAGCTGCCCCAGAATGCTAAGGAAAAGGAGTCCAACGGCGTGGGCCGCAAACACAAGTCGCCGGAGGGGGAAAAAGGAAACGGTAAAATGACAAGAAAACGGGCTTTCTTCGCGATGGCCTCGTGAGCCGTGAGTGCAAAAAGATAGAGCAGAGGCAGAGAACTTTTTGGCCCTTTTGCCCAGTCAGAATACCACCTACGACGCTAATAATGGGAAGAAGGACGGAGGAGACAAGGGGGTTGAGTTTAGCCCAGCGCAATTGAGGATCCACGCCACGTTTCTTGCTCCTTGATCTGCTGGCTGGCACGCGGCGGCCATTAATCAGGACACAGTCAGACGCAAGCTTGTAGTGGCGGGTGGACCGTTCTTTTTTGTCCGCCGGCGTGAGACAGCCAGAGGTACTGCAGTACCTGCCCACGCCCCTGTCTCTCAGCTGGGACCTCTCTATTCCGCCCCTGAGAGCGACCCCGATGCTTGGATGGGGGCCGTCCACGGGTGGTGGCAGGCTCTGGCGCTGCCTCCTCTCACTGGAGACCAGTGCAGCCAGTGACCGCCATTTGCGCTCCCAACATTGAACCACTGGGCTTTTCCACATTGCCATCTCACCCGCCACCCTACATGTACCTGGTAAGGCTACTGGAGGTACCTCTCCTATGCACGACCTTGGAAGAGCTACCCCTTTCGGTATAACACATCCATAGTTCGCTGTCCCTAATGGACCCTGATATCGAACCTGAAGGAACATACCTATGCACCCAGAGAGAAGGCTGGGGGCTGTATTCGTCGCCCAGCGCAAGCCGTCGTGCAGCTTCAGCTCACACAAGTGCCTTCTGCTCGTTTCTTTTTCCCCTCGCCTCGCCTCCCCTTCCCTCCCCTTCCCTTGCTTTCCCTCGTCTCTGCCGATTCTCGCTGGTGCCGTGAATCCCAACCATCTCAGGGGTACAAGGTTCGTCGCCACAAGCCAATCACAGCTGCCAGGGCCCCTCCAGCCTGGCGAGCTCCAGTGCTGTTATGGGGGATGACATTGGAGGACAAGGTATCCTCGACTCGGTGCTTCAGATTGCGTGCTATGCAATTTCACCCACACCAGGGTCCCCGATTTTCGGTCGTCCGCCCATCTCCTTCCAGCGTCTATTAATATAATGCGTAGAGACGCTCTCCCGAGCTGGTCAATGGCATAAGCTTAAAGCAGGTTGGGAGCAGCGCTGGCATAGACGCACCTGATGCATATGTCCAGCCATTCACCACCAGGCACGCGTCGCGTACCCATACGGTCTCACCTCGTCTGGTCAGGGCCAATGTCTACTTCCCAGCTGCCGTGTGATGTCACAGCCAGACAAGGTGCATCAAGCATCGAGATGTACACATCCGTCTCCCTTGGCCCCAACGGCGCTGGTCAAGCTATTAGTTCTGGCTCGCTGTTCTATTCGGAACTTGGCACGGGAAACCCACCCACCCCAGTTAAGCATCAGCCACAGATGGTACCTCCCGCCACCCCCTTGCCCGACCTCGCAATCCTGTTCGGAATTGGGCTGCTTCTTATTGCAGGACCATTTCACCAGAGAGCAGCCCCTGTTCCAAAATGGAAGTATTCTCTAGGCCTTCCAAGGATCAAGAGAAAATGGCAAGTGGCCAATATACAATTCCGTCCAAAATCAACACGCTTTAGTTTCTTATTTAGTATGTGATGTACATATGTGTACGCCCAGGACCCCCAAGATGATTGGCCTTTGCTATTGACGTTGAGTTCGTCTAATTCTTTTCCTCCCGATCCATAAAGTTGAATAATGGACTAGACTGCCCTTTTCAGTGCTTCCTCCTTTTATCGATGTATGCCCTTGCATCCAGGTTTACCCATTGATAATAACAATAAAATCAAGACGAGAATAAAATGCCGATATGCTATACTTAGTAGAGCACACGGGTTAAGACGCGGGCTGCATGAACGACAGTCAGCAATGCTGTTGGCAATAAAAATGGAGGGGTAGAGGGGGGGACTCACAGCTCAGGAGTTCCAGACGCTCCCAAAGATCCTTAATCTCGCCAAACTTCACGTTGCTGACATCTGCCATCAGGTAGGCAATGTCGCCCTTGCTATCACTGATCTGCTTGTCGACGTTGTGGTCGCCCAGAATTTCGTTGACCTTGCGCAGCACACCAGGAACGTTGTTGTGAATGAAGATAACCTGCAAATGAGTGTCAGATGAGGAGTACAGAATTCCTGTGTTAGTGGTAAGCCACTTACGCGAGCCTTGTTGTCTTCCTCCAACTTGATGGGACGGAGCTGAACTTCAGGCAGGTTCACGCTGCCCAGGGTGATACCCTGGTTGATGTATCGGACAAGAGCTTCGCTCACTATACACAGCAAATTTCATGTTAGTGACTTGAATGTCACGGCTATCTCTTTTTCCGTGGCAGAACAACCATACCTTCGATACCAATAGCCCTCTGGGCTTCTTCAGTGCTTCCACCAATGTGAGGGGTCAGAATAAGGTTCTTCAGGCTTCGAAGATCCTCACCCCAAATGTTGAGGTCGTTGTTGAAGTAGTCTCCGTTGGCGGCAGGCTCCTGGGGGTAGACATCAAGAGCAGCACCCGCAACGTGGCCGGAGTTCATAGCCTTGACAAGAGCAGGAATATCGACGACGCTTCCACGGCTGGCATTAATGAGGTAGGAGCCGGACTTCATGCGCTCGAACTGGGGTGTAGAGATGAGGTTTCTCGTCTCTGGCAGGTCAGGAACGTGAAGGGTGACGAAGTCGGATTCCTCCAGGAGGGCCTCCAGAGTCGGGACCTGTCGAGAAGTGCCCAGAGCCATGAGGGTGACGACATCGTAATAGATAACGTTCATGCCCATTGACTCGGCCAGGACGGAGAGCTGGGAGCCAATGTGGCCGTAGCCGACAATGCCGAGGGTCTTGCCACGGATTTCCCAGCACTTGGAGCTGACCTTGTTCCAGGTGCCGCGGTGCATCTCGTTGGAGCGGTCGCCGAGCTGACGGGCGAGGCAGATGATCTCACCAATGACCAGCTCGGCCACACTGCGTGAGTTGGCGAAGGGTGAGTTGAAGACGGCAATACCCTGGCGGGCGGCATAGTCGAGGTCGACTTGGTTGGTGCCGATGCAGAAGCATCCGATGACGAGCAGGTTCTTGGCCTCGCGTAATACCTTCTCGGTCAACTTGGTCTTGGAGCGGATGCCAATGACTTGGACATCGCGAATCTTCTCGATGAGCTGGTCCTCGGGCAGTGAGGTCTTGAGCGCCTCAACCTGGTAGCCCTGCTCTCGGAGAATGTCCTGGCCGGCCTTGTTGACGTTTTCTAGGAGCAGGATCTTGACATCCTGCGTGTTGAAGGGCTTCAGGGGCCTCTCGCCTGGTGCAATGCGTTGGGGTAGCTTGGCGCCCCAGCTGGAGGCGAAGGACTGGGCAGCGAGCTGGGGGGTTACTGGTGACGTTGAAAGGTTCTGGAAGCTGTGTGAGACCTCTCTTGGCGCCCCAGGCTTGATCTTGATATCTTGTGCTGAGGCCATTTTGGAAAATCTATGAATAGTAATGGGGGAAATGTGTTTGGTGACGCAGGGTGTACAAGCAGAGTTGCAGCTTGATACGGAACCTAATTATGACGTGCGGGGTGGGATGATGAAGTAGTACCACTGGCTGGGAAGAACTTGTGGCTCGTCTTGGGTGTGGTTGGGAATGCGTATTCAAAATGCCTGATAATTGGAGCTACGAAGCGTGAGAATGAGGGAATATCCGTCGTCATATATAAAAAAATCAATCACAATTACTCAACCGTAATGGCTTTTTTAAACCTCCCGTCACCCAAGCCAAGTGCCGGCGTGATGGTGCCATTCGGATGGCTAGGACCCTGTGCCAATCACGACACGCAACCGTGGATGGGCCAGCAGCATTAAACTTGCGTGCAGCAGGCATTAGCTGCTGCTAGACGGAGCAACCGCATTCTGTCTGCGGGAACTGAGTCACCGGTCGGCCATGAAAACTTTTCTCAGAGCCGTCCCTCGCTGGTGTCAACTGGCGCGAAGCCTTGACAGTGCCCCGCATCATCACCTGGATCGGGGCGGTTATCGGATCGAGGGGCAAGGCATTGCTTCCCCTAGCAGATGCTAGAAGGCGCGTTGTCAGCAACGAGTGTCTTGTTGGTGGGAATTTCAGGGTTCAGCGCTGTAACAGGGCAGCCTAGAGCCGCCGTCGCCTGGCATTGGGGCTCGACAGGCCCATATTACAAGCCGCATATTGGATTGAAGCAAGTCGGATCCAATCATGGCTCGCCTTGCCCCTCACCTCACACAACTCGCCCTGTGGATATTTCTCCAAGGCACATAGCTCCTCAAGATGGGTCAACAAAACATGGCCTTTGTTTTCCAGCGACTCGAAGCTTACCAATTTGCCAATGGTCGAAGGTAAGTAGAGCAAGCAATCCTTGGGTCCATTGACAGGTGACCCTCCCAAAAATAGCCGTGTCACTTGCTGGACGGCAACAAGACCACTCAACAAATTGCACTACTCCTATAATCCGCACCACAGACCTTTCCTCATCCAGAAGTACCGCTCCTGTTTGCAGGGCAAGCTGCAAGCTTCCCTCTCTCCATCAGGCGGCCGGAGTCCACGGGACATTGAGAGCGGAGTTGCTCCGTGTGTGACTCTGATTCCTATTCTTGAATCAGTCGAGTCGAGCAAGCCAACGGCCGAATCCGGCGAGGCCCCCGGTCGCCAGGATATGAGCAAGCAGTTAGCCGTGCAAACATGTTGTCAAGCCGACAAACTGTTTTTTATTTCTTTTTTTAGAGCATGGCTAGAAACCTGTGCTGAGCGTCCCAATCCACCAAGCAAACGAGCTGACAGATGACCGAGAAACTCGAACACAAAAAGAAATAGGATTAAAATTAAAATTAATAAAGCCATGTCTATTACGAAACTCGGAATCAAAGTGATGAACCTCCAACCCCGTATTACCAACCTGCCACCTCGACACGCGGAACCCAAATGGCGGTCTTGGTTTGTACTGGACTTGATATTATGGGTTACATCATGGAATGAAAACAGTGAAAGAATACGTGCAAATTGCACTCTTTTGTTGTCTAGCGTCAGATCATCGCCAATTCCCAAACCGTTCCATTGGTTAAAAACAACACACTGAAAAACACACAAACTCATAGATTATCGATTCGAGTATGATACCGATCTCACATCGGCGAGGCTCCCCCCACCTGTGCTCATCTAGATATCCTTGATCAACAACTGGTTGGTCGATTGGCCCCTTCTTCCGGGGTTCTCAAATTGTTAAAAATCTCTCCTTATCGCTCTTGAGTTGACACTTTTTAGCTCTGCTTGCACTCGGCAGCTTCTTGTCGGGGCTTTCCAGAACCATCCTATTCTCAGCGTTAGTACACCATCAACAAGGGAGCAGCATCAGGAACCAATTCCACATACCTCTTCATCGGTCTCCTCCTCATCCTCGTGGTCATCACTCAAGTCATCCTCGTAGTCGCTAGCACCCTCGAAGTCTCCCTCCAGATCCTCATCATCCTCGTACTCCTCAAAGGCCAAGGCCTCGCCAGTGAACCAATCAATGGCATGAGGGATAAGCTTCTCCTTGATATCCTCACCCAGGCGGTAATCGATCTCAAGGCGTGACTCGATATCCGAAGCAACATCATCCACATCCTCATCCTCATCCTCGTTGGGTGGCTGTGGAGGCGAGAAAAAGTTGAAGAAAGAGTCTGTGGGGACCGTCTTCTTAACGATACGGGTCTGCTTAGTGTCTACAAAAGGGTCAAGGATGTCAGTAAACTTAACCAAGAAAATTATCGAGGGTATCGTTGCCCAAGACTACAGGAGTATTTAATGCAAACTCACTCTTGTTTCTTTGCTTCTTGGCCTCGATGCGAACGGTAAGATCCTTGCCAGGTACCCAATCGATCTTGGATCCCTCGGCATGGTCGTAGATGAAGTCACCACCGTAACCCATCTCGTTCTGGTAATAATACGTCTTTGTGAGAGTCTTGTTTGTGAAGAACTCGTTGGAAGCGAATTCGAAAATAAGGCGGAAGCCAAGAACATCGAGGTACTCCATGCGGACATCGACAAGGTGCTTGAGGGCAGCCTCGTCACGCTCTGTGATCATGTCGGCAAATGAGACCTGGTTCTTCATGGCAGAGAGCCAGAACTCGGGGATACCGGCAACATCCTCGGGAATGTCGCTCTTGGGCTTGGAAGCCTCGTCCTCCTTGTCCTTGGGCTTCTCCTCCTCATCGTCGTCCTCATCCTCATCCTCTTCGGCAGCCTGGACCTCCTCCTCGGTGGGCTCGGCACCTCCGTTGATAATCTTGGCTCGGCGCTCGTAGAGAGGGGTGAACTTGGCGAAATACTTCTTCTCAAGTGCAAGGACCTCCTGCTGCATCTCGGCCTCGAGCTTGGTGTGCTCCTTCTGGACTCCCTTCAGACCGGCAACACGGCGGCGGACGGGTGCAGGGAGAGACTCGACATAGCCGGATGAGCGGCCGACCAGGGAGCCGAGGCGGCCCTGGATCATCTGGACAATCTGGGGGTTCTGGGCGAAGATGGATGCAGCCGCCGCCTTATCAAGATCCTCTGTAGACAACCACCCATTAGGACACGAACCATAGACGTGCAAGGACAATTTGAAAAAGAAAGTCCCAATACATACCCTCTCGGATGCTGGCGACACCTGGTTGCTGGGCATGGGAAGAGATAGGTGCGTTGGTGGCCGGTGTGTTCTGCGGCGTGCTGGAGGTGGGGTAAGATGGTCAATATTATGGACGGATGACGCTGTTGAGGAAGGATGTGAAGACACTTACGGTGCCGTCTCGGGGCGCTTTCCTCGGATAGGCTCAGCCATTGTGACGGTGTTGCTGCTTGATACAAACAACGATGGGAAAGCGAGGGAAAGGGGAGGGTTTTGGTGAGATGGAGAAGAGAAGAGGTGAAAGCGGCGGCACGTTGCCCTTGGAACGGTGCTAATGGAAATTTTGGTTGGGGGGGAGGCGGGGGGCGATACAATCGGGAAAAAAAAATTGGGTTCCGCACAGCGAGGCGAGACTGGGAGCAGCGAACAGAGAGAGTCAGTGCCTGGGCCAGGCGCCTGGCAGGCAAGGAGCTGGGGAGGTAGGTAGGGCGATAGGGCAGGCAGGTACCCATGAGCCAGCTGTGCGGTGCGCGCTACATGAAGATACATGCCTCCAAACCTGCTACGCGCTACACGCACAACTCGTTACTCCTTCCAGCGCATGCGGGCGGGACCCTGCCCTGGGCAGCTGCTAATTCTTGGTCCATAGGTCCGTTTATTTTGTCTGGCCAGCGCACCCTTCCGGCCTGTTATGCTGCCACACGCGTATTGAACTGGCCAGAGACGCCAGCCGGGACAGCGACACAAGTTGTTGAGCGATCTAAGCCAAAATGATAGACACATGCACCGCAATGCCTGGACTGAGCTCACCATCCCCCGTCCCTAGGGTCTACTCCTGCTACTATTACCGTTATCATTATTAATACCTCCGTCTCCTGTCCTGCTTTGCGTGGTCTGGCTCTGATTTTGTGCGCCAGATCAAGAATAAAAGGTGTGGGCAGAATACCAGGGTGAGCCCGATATAGACTTCCAGATTCGCATGCAAAGGCGGTAGGTTGGGTAAGGTATCTTCGCAGGGCCAACTGACCTCTTCATTGCCTCGGCGGTCAAGTTCTGCACTCCCAGCACCAAAAAGACGGCTCAACTGGCCGATCATGACGCAGATGGGCGCATTTGTCATAGAAGCACGGCGGTGTAGCAAAACACATGAGTCGTGCAAATACTAGGTAGAGGACCGCCTTGTGACTGTGTGAGGCCATATCAGGGAACGTTGGGTAGTATGGCGGCTTCCATGCAGCAGCCATGCAGCAACCATGCAGTGGCTTCCAACCTTGGGTATCCTTGGAGCCTGCTCTTGACGTGCGCTTCGGGGATACAAGGCAGATCATGGTGGTGTGGTGTGGAGCTTGGTTGTATTGGGGCAATTGAACGCGACCAGGAATTTATGGCATAGCTTGACATGGCCGCCAGCGTAGATAAGGTACAGGGTAGCGCGGTAACCTGATTGAGAAAGTTCGATATCTGCGCCTTGCCTTTCGGGAGAAGGCTCAGATCGATCCCGATGTGCGCACTTGACCTCGTCCTGACATAGAATGCCACAACCCATTGCGCAGTTCCACACAACCGGATCTTGTCGCTCATGCATTTTATGCTAGATTATCGTTGACGCGTGTGGCCATGGCAGAAGGCGACCCTTCGCGGCGACGCAGCTCGTCAAGAGCTCCCAACGGAAATGGACCGGGGTTATATCGGCTTCAGTCGAATCAGAGCACCTCGAGCATCTTCGAAGATGTAGAGATGGCACAGGATGAAGTACGCATCCCCCTCTATCCCAGCAGCAGCCTCCCAGGTCTAACCACTCTCTCAGCTGTATTCAGGACCAGTCGCTGAGAGTCTTCCCTCGAGTGTGTCGGCCTTCAACCACCGTCGTCGCCGCGCTGATTCCACTGCAAGCTTCACGTTCTACGATGAGGACGAGGATATAGAGCCGCAGATCGAACCTGAACAATTGACCGACCATGACGACTATCTTCGCCGTAGTATCAGCGACATTGGCGATCTGGAATTCGGGGTTGTGGAAGAGGACGAGGATGACGATTCTGCCGATCGAGAATTTGAATCCTCCCGCGACGACTACCGCCTCCGCCGCTCATCAACGCTCTCACGGACTTCGATACGTGCCCAGCTTTTGCGCCATGATAGCGCCGTAACAACTGGCAGTGCGTACGCCCCTGGACGGACAAGTCAGAAGCTATACATGAAGAACGAGGATCTGACGATTGCGATAACCGGTTTCCGAACAAGCGCGACGGGGCATGCTCTGTACCTTGCCCTCTGCTTCCTCACTTGCGGGATTGGATATCTGGTTCTTCGATGGTTGCCACGATGGTATGTTGCCTTGGTTGGCCAGACTTGCGCGTTGAGAGATTGCCAATGGGTCGTTATCGAAAATGAATGGTCTGAAATGGCTATTCTTGATGTACGATCTGTGTACTACGGACGCCCACTTTCGTCTGTCTTCGGAATGTCCGAAAAGATGTTCTCAGATGGGTTTGACGATGAAACTGACCCTATCATCGATGACTTGCGAACCCTCGATTATCGTTATGTACGATTATGCTTTCATCCCGTCGAGGACAAGTTTGTCCTTTCGAGTGGATGGAAAGATCCCGAATGGACTGATGTCCGAGTCTTGCGCTCTGGTCTGGATACCGACGAGAAGGGCATTCGTGAAGTCCTCTTTGGCAACAATCTCATTGACATTGAACAAAAGCCGATGAGCCAACTCCTCATTGACGAAGTTCTCCATCCATTCTACATTTTCCAGATCGCCAGTCTCATTTTGTGGTCTCTTGACACGTACTATTACTATGCTGGGTGTATCTTCTTCATATCCGTCGGTAGTATTACATCGACTTTGCTTGAAACGCGTGCCGTAAGTACCCATTGTTTTGCTGCTGTCCCCATCAACATGAAATGCAATTCTAATTGCCAAATCAACAGACCATGAAGAGGCTACGTGAGATATCCCGTTTTGAGTGCGACGTGAGAGTTCTTCGAAATGGTTTCTGTACGTTCCCTCACTCCCATCTGATCTGTATTATGCCATCTGACCAGCTCGAAATAGGGCGATTCGTAGGCTCCAGCGATCTTGTACCCGGCGATATTTATGAAGTCAGCGATCCAAATCTCTCACAGTTTCCCAGTGACAGTCTACTCCTTAGTGGCGATTGCATTGTGAACGAAAGCATGTTGACAGGTAACCCTCTCCTCACCTCGTCGAGTATTCGGAAGAGGTAAAGCTAACATCAATCCAGGCGAATCTGTACCGGTGTCAAAGATCCCAGCAACAGACGAATCTCTGTTGAAAATGGATTTGGGGGCCTCTTCTGTATCTCCAGAGACAGCCCGCCACTTTCTCTTCTGCGGCACTAAGATTATCCGCACACGTCGGCCTCAGGAGGACCAGGATGGAGACGCCGTTGCCCTTGCTCTTGTTGTCAGAACAGGCTTCAACACTACAAAGGGCGCTTTGGTCCGATCCATGTTGTTCCCCAAGCCTTCAGGGTTCAAATTCTATCGCGACTCTTTCCGATACATCGGCGTCATGGCAGTCGTCGCCATCCTGGGATTCATCGCTTCCCTGATTAACTTTGTGAGACTCGGAGTCGAGTGGCACTTGATCATTGTCCGGGCCCTAGATCTCATTACCATCGTTGTACCTCCCGCTCTACCGGCCACTCTGACGATCGGCACAGGATTTGCAATCAGCCGACTCAAAGGCAAGCAAATATTCTGTATCAGTCCTCAGCGTGTCAATGTCGGTGGTAAGCTGGACATTATGTGTTTTGACAAAACAGGAACCTTGACGGAAGATGGTTTGGATGTTCTTGGTGTCCGTGTTGTTCACCAGTCCTCGCACACTTTCAGCGAGGTCATCTCAGACACCTACGAGCTTGGTAATACCCGGAACGGGGCAAGCCAGGATACCACGCTGCGTGCAGTACTGCATACCATGGCCACATGTCACTCGCTAAGATCAGTTGATGGGGAGCTCGTTGGCGACCCTCTGGACCAGAAAATGTTCGAATTTACGCATTGGAATTTTGAAGAAGGGAAGCAGAGTGTCGGTGATGCTGAAGACGAGGAGCCGGGCGGCCTCTCACCTTCTATCTCTAAACCTCCGGATGTAAGTGCCGAGCTTTTCTTAAACATTGTTCTTGGGTTATGCTAATTGAGTCGTTAGAACTCGTTCGAGCTCGGAGTTCTAAAGTCTTTCGAGTTCGTATCCCAGCTTAGGCGAGCCAGCGTGATTGTGCGCCAGTTTGGGGATAAGAGCGGTGATATCTATGTGAAAGGTGCCCCTGAAGCAATGCGTGAGATCTGCCGACCCGAGAGCTGTAAGTTGCTATATATCTACATTACTACTACGTCCTAGCTCACAAATCCGTAGTCCCGCATGATTATGAGGAGCGCCTTGCATTCTATACTCATAAAGGATACCGTGTCATTGGATGTGCGACAAAGCATCTGAAGAAGCTCAGCTGGGTTAAAGCCCAAAAGATGGCCAGAACGGACGTCGAAAGTGACCTGGAGTTTGCAGGTTTCATCATCTTTGAAAACAAGCTGAAACCCACCACAGCGGATGTCATCAAGGAACTCCTCATTTCCAACATTGAGACCGTCATGGTCACTGGCGATAATATTCTAACGGCAATCAGTGTGGCACGTGAATGCTCAATGATTGACCGAAGTGCTCATTGCTTTGTTCCTCGATTTATAGCTGGTAAGTTCTCACCTTACACAATTCACGAAATAGATGCTGACCATTGTAGGTGATTTTCGCGACCCCAAGGCTGAGTTGCGTTGGGAAAGTATCGACAACTCGGCCTACTGCCTTGATAACGCCACCTTGACTGTATGCTCTGGCTGCCCTCTCTCATTCAATAAGTGACATACTAATACACGCACCAGCCATTGCCCGCCCCCCCAGAGGATGATGCATCCCTACCCTACGATATTATAAATCTTAGAAACTATTCGCTTGCGGTTAGCGGAGATGTCTTCCGATGGATGGTAGATTATGCGTCTCCCTCGCTTCTATGTCGGGTACGTTGATCCCTTGCTACTTATTCAGAGCTACCTAACTGATGATACTATGTAGATGCTCGTCAAGGGCAAGGTGTTCGCAAGGATGTCTCCTGACGAGAAACACGAACTGATCGAAAAATTCCAGAGCATTGACTACACCTGCGGCTTCTGTGGAGACGGTGCCAATGACTGCGGTGCCCTGAAGGCGGCGGATGTTGGAATTTCACTTTCAGAGGCCGAGGCTTCTGTAGCAGCCCCATTCACGTCTCGCGTATTCGACATCCGCTGCGTTCTCGAAGTCATCAAGTGAGTAGGTATCCCCCTCTCTACAGTCGGGTTCTAACCAGTTCATGTGCAGGGAGGGTCGCGCAGCGCTTGTGACAAGTTTCAGCTGCTTCAAGTATATGAGTCTGTACTCGGCTATCCAGTTCACCTCGGTGAGCTTCCTATATGCCAAGGCATCGAATCTGGGAGATTTCCAGTTTCTCTTCATCGACTTGCTGCTCATTGTCCCACTGGCCATCTTCATGGGATGGTCAGGTCCGGCGCCTACTCTTCATAGGAAGAGGCCTACAGCGGATCTCGTCTCTCGCAAAGTCCTCACTCCTCTGCTTGGTATGATGGCCATCTGCATTTCCATTCAGGCGATTGCATACGTGTGCGTCAAGACACAATCCTGGTATATTCCTCCGAAGCTCAAGCACAACAAGTCCAACATCAAGAACTCGGAAAATACGGTCTTGTTCTTGACCTCTTGCTTTGAGTATATCTTCTCGGCTGTGGTTCTTAATGCTGGCCCTCCATTCCGAGAGCGTACTGCCAAAAATTGTAAGTCTCAAACCTGGGTGTGCATCCATTTCTTGGAATCATTTATTGATAGCAGCATTTCACAGGGCCTTTCATTGCAATGGTTACATGTGCACTTCTTGTAGCAGTATACATGATACTTGCACCTGCACACTGGGTTTCAAAAACGATGCAGCTAACACCCATGAGCGTGAGCTTTGAGATGTTCCTTATCGCTCTGGGAGTATTGTTTTGGCTGCTGGCTTGGGCGTATGAGAAATTCATATCCCTGCGTCTGGCGCGAAAGATTGGGCACTTGCAACAAAAAGCTACAGGGAGTTTGAAGAAGCGCAAGAAGTATAAAGATATCGCAGATGCAATGGCAACATAGAAACATGGGTGGGTTTTTTTACAAATAGCTAGCTAGGATAGACTCTATTTATATAGAAGAGAGAGAGTCTGGAATATTACACTGAAGTACAAAAGGCAACTTACACTAGGACTGCAGGAAGAGATACGCATCCTTTAGTTTGGTACTGGTCGCTTCACTCGTGTCTGGGTACATCCATCCCATGCCCCTGTTTAACAAATGAGGTTAGTAATGCTTCGCGTCCCATTGGCGAGACTGCCAAAGGTCAGAATGTGAACCAGGATTTCCAGATTTCAGTACTACTGAATCCTCGCATTTATTGTCACGCTTCTTTCGATGTAGTTGATTCGACTGTCCATTCAAAGGATCAATCCTGGCAAATGCCCAGTTCAGATAAGACAGTTGCTTGATTACTGCTAACTGGATATATGTACACCAGCGAGTCCCTGTGTGAAGCTGCACATGACGCTTTCCAGAGTCCCCTTTTGCGTTCTGTTCTAAATGAATCGACCTGTCTAGTGGTCCCAAGGATGCTTCCAGCCCATCAATACGGGACCTGCGTTCGGGGTGTTGGTTAGCCATTTTTTGCGACTCGCGCCGTCGACCGAGTAGTTTTCGGGTATTCATACCATCCTTCTTGGCTCTGTACATCAACTATCGCGATCCCGAGTTAGCTTTGTCGAACAATGGCGAGATCCGGCCCTTGCAGAAATCTAATCATTGAGACCGAGGGATTGGGTCTCGACTTACCCAGAACCACATGCCAGCACCCAGAGCGGTAGCGGTGTATCTGTAGATTCCCGGGACATGGGGGACGGGGGGCTTAGGGGGACCCATTGTCGTTGTTTGGCGGCTCGGTCGTTATTCTCGCACGGGAGGATGTTCGGTTCAATTCGAGCTGCAGCAGCGTGGGTAAGCTAAAAGCGCGGGCTAGAGGTTGATAGTTGTAGAAAGACGCACGTTCTGACGGATACCTCGAGGTTGCGACAGCGCCGGGGTTCAATGGGGTGCCAATTGAACGCCAATGTCGTGGTGGTGAAGATCGAGTATGGCCGTCGTTGGCTGGAATCTCGGGATGCAGTTGGCGGCTGTGGTTGAAGCGAAGAAAGCGGGTCTGCTTACATAACGTGGACGCGGATACGCTGGAGCGGTGCCTCAGCTACAAGCTGCGGGGACACTAGAGCGGGCTGCCACAGTGCACATACTACCTAAAGCACTCTTGGCACTTTACTGCCGCTGGCCAGAACTCAGACCCCGCCACTCTGTAACTGTGGAGTGAGCACCGCTGGCCGTGCTCACTGTAACCTCGACGCAACCGCTCCGATCCATGTCGTCAACCAACTGCGTCCAACTGGCCACGTAGAACCTCTTCTTTCGCTACCTACTGAAGCATCCGTTTCCCTATACATCGGCCACTACGTCCTAATTGTCCATCGACGTCGGAGAAGGGCGCTGGCTTCATCTTGGGTTCCGTCGTCCACCGTCGGAGGTTCATCGCCCAAAGAGGACATGCCACCTTGAATATCTCTAACCGCCGTTTCTGAGCTCAACTCCCAACCCCAATCCTCCACCATGGCGACAACTCCCCAGGCCGCCTCCAAATCCCCAACAATCCGGCGCATTCGTATGTCCATCATGCATTTCTCCTTTCCTCTTCATGCTCCTCCCCCCCGATCGGCTCCACTGGCCCCAACAGCTATGTCACATGCTATCCACTAACACCTCGAACCCGTTGCCTATAGTCCGCGAAGCTGCCGAGATATCCAACTCCCCATCAGCAGACTACACAGCCGAGCCGCTCGAGTCCGACCTCTTCGAGTGGCACTTCACCCTCCGCGGCGTCCCCAACTCGCCGTACAGCGAGGGCGTCTACCACGGCCGCATCGTCCTGCCCCCCACGTACCCGCTGCGCCCTCCCAGCTTCAGGTTCATGACGCCGAATGGCCGCTTCGAGGCCAACCGGGAGATATGCTTGAGCATCAGCGGCCACCATGAGGAGACCTGGCAGCCCGCCTGGGGCATCCGCACAGCAATTGTTGCGTAAGGAACCACCACCCCCACCATTGCTCCTCGAAGAGGGAGGAGACTTCCTAGCTTTTCCCAAGCATTCATACTAATCGTATTCAACCATCTATATAGACTCCGAAGCTTCATGATCACCGACGCAAAGGGCCAGCTGGGGGGTTACGACACCACCGAGACCGTGCGCCGCCGCCTCGCCGGCGAGTCCCACGCCTTCAGATGCGCCACCTGCGGCCGCACCAACGCCGAGATCATCAGGGAGTGCGAGGAGCGCGCCAGGGAGGCCTGCACCTCCCCCAGCGACGAGGTCCAGGTCCCCGAGGAGCTCAACCTGGGCTTCCGCGACGAGCTCGAGGCCCGCAAAGCCCAGGCCCAGGCCGAGCAGCAGAAGAGGGAGAGGGAGAGGCAGGAGGAGGCCGCCGAGGTCGCGCAGCTGGCCGAGGGCTTCGTCCAGACGGGACCGGTCCCTGCTGCTGCGCCGACGCCCACGTCGCCGCTGAGCCCTGTTGCTGTTGGCCAGCGCCAGGCTGCGCAGCTTAGCCGGGCAGCCACCGTGCCACAGGCGGGAGCGATATCTACCAACAGCCCTAGGCGGCCGTCGGATGAGGGTGTTCCCGTATGGCTGGATCGTCTAATCGTCGCGCTCGTCGTTATGCTTTCCGCGTTGGTTTTGAAGGTTTTGTTCGGGGTCTAAGCCGGTGGTCCGGCTTTCTTCCTTCCCCCTCTCTCTCTCAAGTCAGAAAGCTATTTATCTAGGGGCTGAGAGCGAAGTGGGAGAGGAAATGGTCTGGCAAAGTTCTCGTCCGCCTGTCGTTTCACAGTATTGCAATCGGCGTTCTTGGAGTAATACACCTGGTGGTCAGGGTATCGCGAAACGTGTTAATTTATAGATATCCTTGTTCGAGTTACGGGCACGCATGTTATGAGTTCCAAAAAGAGTCTCTAAAGTCTACAATTTAAGCATATCATGAAATTGAAGGCTTCCATTAGAATTCCTCATCGTGAGTCTGAAATACAAGAACACACAAATCTTGTCTGATGATTAAAAACGTCTGCCTCGCGGTGTTTGCTCTCCGCTCGTTCGGGTATCATACTTGAAATACATATCCAAAAAGTACACTCAAGAAGGAAAACCTCCATCAGCAACCAGCTCTCCATTGTCCTCTTCGCCCCCGCTCGCGCAGTGCCGCGCCCATGGAACCGCCAACCACCACCACTCGCCAACTGTTACGCCCTCCCCAGTGGCCCCTTGCTTGAGGACGCCGGTCCTCACCCCCCAGTCGAGCACCATCTGAGCCTCGAATTCCTCCAGGACTGGCTTCATGGCGCTGCATATTCCCTCGACGGTCATCTCACCCCTTGTCGAGTAGGCAAAACACAGCGCCCCAAGCACATCAAACCACCTCTCGTGGTCGCAGACCCCGAAGAAGTCTCTCCATTGCGGCAGCTCGCTATCCTCACCCTGAGCCGGTGGCTCCTCTCCGACGACAGTACCAAGGGCCTCGATATCCTCGTTGCAGAGATAGGTGTCGGTCGGTTCTGCTGCGACTTCAAAGTGGTAGTAGGATTTGGGGAATTTTCGACTCTCGTAGTTCCCCGGCTCAAACCCAAAGGGGATCTCGGGGATGTTGGTGGAGGAGAGCCTAATGCGGCCGTGGGCACTCATGTTGGCCAGCGCCATCATCGTTCCGTCATTGACGGTGTAGGGGATTGTCAAAGTCTCTCCCCGACGATAAGCATCGTCCAGTTTCAGTTTGAATGCGAGAGCCTTTTCGAATTTGGAGCGTTGGGAGAGTTTAGCCATATTGGTAATATACCACTCGGTGAGTTGATACGGCCTCCCACCAAGGGGAGGGCGACGGCTCTTGCGGATAACTCGCAGCACTGTGAGTTGTTCTATGGCCCGCCGGAGGACTGAAGCAACTTTAGTAGCCGGTTCCTTCTTCCCGAGGGTAAGCAGCTGCTCTTTGATCCGCGCCGGTGTGTATCTACCGTTCGTGCAACAGAGTGATTTGACCCAAGACCTGGCTACTGTCATAAGGCTCAACTTCGGCCTCCTAGATTCATCCCGCGATAACTCATCAAGGCTAATAACACCCGGGTCCATGGTAGCTGCCTCCAAACGACCATATATCGACCCCTGGACATGGAAGAACTTTTCCCTCCAATCTTCAGCGGGCCGTTTGACATCCTGAAGAACGAAATGACGTTGCAACTCTTCTCGAGTCTCGGGCATCTCGATCATGTCTGGGGCTGGAAGGTCCATCGTCCACCGAACCAGGGCAGCCCAGTCATAATCAAGAAGGTTGTCATAGTCAATCGGCGGGAGCTCATCTGCTTCATATGCCTCGAGAAACTTCTCATGAAAGATACTCGCATATTTTTCGATGTACGGTCCCTGCGACTTGACAGCCTTGACCCAGAATCTGCGAAGAACTTCCAAGCTAATGTCGGGGAAAATCTTCACCAACAGACCCCAGTCAATGGATTTATCGGTCCCGCCAAGTAAGGCTCGAACGGCGACTATAGCTGCCAAGACTTCATCTAGGTCCTCGATATCACGACTCTTGTTTGTTCCATCCTCGAATTTATCCCTCAGATGTTGCTCTGGAAGAGCTGTTAGGGCACGAGAGGCAAGTGGCACTCTCTTTATAGGTTCAAGCCCTCGCCTAGTGTATTTCCTTGGGCTGTGTGTTAGTTTTCGCCTTTTAAATAAGGGCGCTGATGCAATCTCCGTTTCATCCTCACTCCATGATGATAACTCCGATGTATCAGAATCAACATTCTCATCCCCAGGGTGTTCGAGTGTAAGCTGACCATCTTCGGGCCAGGAAATTTGGGTAGGGATTGCGATGCTCTGTTCCATTTTACCAGAAAAATTGATAAATATCTTTAGCGGCATATGCGCGATAGATGTCTTCAGGAATCCGGACAGCCAAGCATTCTCAGCACTGATAGCAGCTTGCAACTTGTTGATGAACTTCAGATACGGGGTGTTGGCGGGATTTCCCCTAGCGGCTTTTGCTTGAAGTCGACTCAAGGCTCTCTTTTGTATCTCCTCTCCGAAGCATTCCCACACAAACCATCTTTTCGTTGGCATCCATCCTTGGAGTGAAAAGCTGCACTCCTCCTCAAAGTCCTTCACTAAAACATCGGGCCATTCGAGATTTGCATCACAAATCAACATCTTTATCGGCTTGATGTCCACAGGAGGTAGCAGTGCAGGATCAAGAGGTAGACTATCCTGAGAAGATAATGGTCTCGTTCGCCGCTTATATTGACGTTTCGGTACTTGTTGTGCAGCGATTTCCTGAGCCGAGTACCCTGGTGGTTCCTCCTCCATAAAAGTATTTGGGTCAAGGAATTGAATAGGGCCATCGTGTGCCATAGGGAATGAGTCTGACAACTCACCAGCAATGACCCAAGTCATAGAGTCTTTGGCATCATTCTTGAACGACCTTGGGGGTTGAGTTCTTCGTCGTCTTTTATATTGGCGGGGTGTCTCATTGGCCTCTTCTAACTCTCTCTTTGCAGCAGCTTGAGCGGCGTAGACTGGCGCATCCAGAGTCGAGATCTCCACGGGCAAGGGCCTTCGGCTATGTCGAACATCTGCATCATCGCGCGACTCTGGATTCTCAGCCGCCACTGATGTTGGTGGATAATAAGGCTTGGGGTGGGCGGCTTTAACCTTTTCCACCAACTCCAGTGCTTGCGAGCTGAATGGGTCCATGTCTGGCCAAGAAACGACTTGGCATTTCGCAAATAGGCCTTGACGGGCTCGAAAGACATGATGCTGCTCTGCGACTACTTTCCGGGTAATCAAGGACTTCAGAGCTCCCTGATAGTCTTTCGAGGATGGTGGAGGTTCGCCATGGTAATCCTTTACCCAGAGCATTGTGAGGGAACGAAAAAGGGACTCTCCTCCCGGGAACACCCCATTATTATCCGTCAGGAGCGTACTCAACATAGTTTTAATCCGCCGGACTCGTTCTGCCCTAGATGCAGGCTTGCTGGTTTGTTCCGGGATCCTTCTTTCTCGGCTAGGAGACGCTTGATCAAGGGGAATGATCGACGGGCCTTCTTCATCCTGGGTCTGGCTCATCTGATTGTCAATCTCGGTTTTCAGCGATTGAGGGAGGATTTCCAAGCCAGCCCCAATCACGTCGGCACCAAACCCTCCTGAACCGCCAAATGATGGGTCTACCAGTGGCTGGTCATCAATTAAGACAGGCTCCGTTGAGTTCAGTTGAGCGTCATGTCGGTCGTGGGCAAAATCGGATATCTGGCGGGTTTGATTGGATGTGATATCAATGAGTAACCCTTGACCAGTCTGAGGAGCAGAAACGGCCGCGAAGGTCTCTGGTCTGTACGCATGTGATTTCCGTGGTCTGGTCACCTTTAGGGAGTATATCCCCTTAGGATCCCTTCCTTGGGTTTTCGTATCGTCCAAACTTTCTTTTGCTCTTGTTGTTCGCTTCCGTCGGCCAACCGAACCCGGTGCATTCGACTCTTCACCATCCAACAAAGGCACTGGGCCCTCCCCATCAGGCTCTTTCTCTGAACTTTCGGCGCCGCTTTGCGCATCCAAGAGCTTCTGCACTTCCCCCTTCGCTCGCTTTGGTGGTTTGAGGGGCTTTGGGACAACTAATGAGGGGTCCCATGAAGGATTGCAAGTGGTTCGAGCCTTCTCCAGATGATACTTAAGGCCCAGGTCATTCTTCCAAGCCCCGCCGCATTTCTCACACTTATACGGTTTGCCAGCTGCGATACCGCCAGCTGCATTGGATCCACCTCTTCCACGGCCACGGCCACGTCCACTGCCTCGCCCACGTCCCCCTCGAGAGGATCTTCCGCGTCCGCGCCCAGAGCCGGCAGCCAGTGATTCGCCAGTATTCTCTGCCGCTGCAATATCCTCCCCTTCCGGGGCAATAACTACAGACTCTTGTTGATCAATTTCCATCTTGTCGGCAGGAGTGTCGACATTTAGTATTTCCTCAATAGCTTCCTCAGTCGGATGGGCCGATACTGCTGGAGAAGCATCGGGATTCTCTGCCGAGGAAGTCTTGGGAGTAGCGATATCTTCAACAGCAATTGGTAAATCTGGCTTTCGATCATCGTGCAATGTAACAACCGAACCAACATCAACGGATAATGACTCGTTGATTGGCTCGTCGTGCGGCTGCCCACTTGAGGACTCGGTTTGCACTTCAGGCGAAGCAGGCCGTGCTTCTCTTAAAGGCGTATCCAATAGCTTAGATGTTTCTTCGGCCACAGGGGTCTGCAAACCTGTGGGCTGCACAGAGTCGGAGCGAGTAGGCACTACAAGCTTATGTGCCTTTGGCCTTCCTCTGCCGCGAATTTTTTTCGAATTTCGACCACACAGCTTCGAAAGAGATGCTGCTGAATCCATGCCGCTGGTTGGAGGAACATACTTCACAAAACCGTACGAATCGCTCGGGGATGAGGGCGAGCCTTGAAGGCTACGGCGTCCAGCAGGACCGTCCGCAGTCGGTGATGGCGAGGCCACAAAGTATCTATATGAAGCAACTTTACCACTTCGGACAGTCTCGCTCGAGAGTTGGAGATGTTTTAGGCCAAGAGGTTGCACTGTTGCGGTGGCCATAGATGAGGTCAGAGTTGACAGAAAACGGGTGAATGTTGAGCCCAGAGTGAGACTATAGATAACAGGATTCGTAACCCCTGTCTCATTCAGCGTGCGCGCTGTCTTCAGCACGTAGCTTGCCAAGGGCTCGTCCCATGTCCACGGAGGGTACGAGGTCAGCAAAGGGGAATTGATGTAAAGCCCCATGGTCAAATCAGGTCCATCAGCAGGATCCTGCAGCCCAGCCTCTAATATCCTACTAGATTTGGCTTCTCGTTTGCCAGTAGCAAGGTACAGTGACCAATCGTGGGAGTTTAGGTCCCTAATATACTTGATGCAGTCTTTGAACACCTTTGAATGAAGGCGTGCGGCGACATATTGAATAACACCTCTGGAGTTGAGGAACCTACAAATCTTGGACACTACTTTCATTTGCCAGCGCAGGCGAAGTACTCCCAGTTTGGACTTCAAGTCGAGGAGGCGCATGACACCCCATTCCTTTGCGATGGCCATTATTGTTGTCGCCAAAGCAATGTAGTCGACAGACTCTCCAGTCCAGCGGTTATGCCAAGGAACAGGATCTAGGTTCGCTGTCAGAAACTGAGGCGCAAGAACCAGGTCGTCGGCTTTTGGCTGCTCTGTATCCGGACCCTCCTTAACCAGCGGTGGCGCAAACAGCCGAAGCCACATCTTGCTGGTTTTTGTGCCTCTGACTAGGGTGGTCCGCTTGGTGATGTAGCCCTTCTTGAGAAGCATGTCGGTTCGTTTAGGCACGGATCGCTTATCTTGCTCGACAAGTCTCCCAAGGTCACCTTGCAAGATTCCGTCTGTCTTTGTAGACGCAATTCCCAAAAGAAGAACCCATTCGGATCGGGGAAGCCGTTTGTAGTCAGGCCCATGGCCGGCAAGTGCTTCCCATACAGTTTCCTCGGAAGCAAAAAGTCGGAGATCATCAGGAGCCTGTGAGGGAGCTGGTGGTTTGGGTAGACTGGACTGGCCATCTTGTGATTTTTTAGACGTCTTCTTCTGTTTTGTTGATTCTCTTGAGTTATCCGGATCGTCACTAGCATCTGGATCCGAAAGCTTCGCGAGAACCATAACCTGATCCAGAGTCATGTGGTTGTATTTTCGCTCTGGTCCAACTGACACATCCTGTCTCTGAGTGAGCCAGCCCCACACAGAAGAGGCGGCGCGAAGGTTCAATGCCTCTTCATCTTTTGGAGGCTGGGCATTTTGTTTAATGGTTTGGCGATAGCTCGCAGGCCCCCTTGATAAAGTATCCTGCACAGCCTTGAGGAAATCTTCAACAGAACAGCCTAGACATTCGTGGTCAGCGCATCCTTGCTCAATATTTGGATATGAGTTTTGGTATATGGCAAGGGGGAAAGCTCGGCTTGACCATGTATCCAAGCCGCATTTGATTGTTATACTTATTTGCAAATGCGAGCAACTAAGAACTAACAGGACGTTCACATACCTTGCTCGCCAGCACATGAAATATGCACCAAAAGGCCTGCTATCAGGCCCTCAAGGTCCCAGGCCATGTTTTGCAAGGTATGGGTCGCTTCATAGTCAGCTCGGACAGAGATAAAAATGAAATCGATATATGCGCTTGGGGCGGGTTTGAACGCAGGACCCAGCGAAGAAAATACTGTTGCTGGGGTTGGTGGTTGAAAAGGTCAGATTCTCCCGCTTCGAGGCCCCGCTTGATGTCGCACATGAGTGGCCCACAAATTCTCCAGCCTCCTGTGGCTTGCTCGAAGCCGGATCCACATGTCGCATTATGCGATCTTCAAGATGCATATCAAGCAGAACCAGTGTCATATCTCAACAATGAGTATCAGCCATCACCTGCTTGCCTGCCTGCTGGAGAGCTTCCATTTTACCAAAAACAGGCAAAATTATCAGTGGTGAAATCAGTACATCTCTAATCACAACAGATGCCATTTCTCCTTAGACACTGGTTAAGATCAGGAAGATAAATGCCTGGAAAATTATATTTTTCTTTTCTTTTTTAAGGTTCTCGTAGACCGCCTAATCAGACGAGGCTTTGCCCATAATCCTAGCGTGCTTCTGTACTCGAAGCTTCCTATACGTATCTACAATTTCGTCCCTCACCACTTGCAGCTCTTCACGGCGTCTCAAACTGCCAGCTGATTTTGGAATGCTCCCAACATCGACTGTGGCACCGTCCGTAACCTTCAGCATCCGCGTCTTTTGCTTGTGAAGTACAGGAGGCGCCTGGGCCGTGTCATGCAAGGCAATCTTGCCCTCACCCCTCCGCTTCCTGAGCACTGCCCAAGGATCGTCCTTTCCGCCACGCTTCTTCTTCTTCCCGCCTGATGGTTCATCCAGGATGTAGGATGATGTGGTGTTTAGATTTACACCATCATTTTCCAATTCCTTCTCGGCCTCCAGCTCAAGCTCGTCCTCTCGCTGCTCGTGAATCTTGCGTTCCTCTGCTCTCCATTGGTCGTAGAGCTTGTGCATCTTCTTTTCCTTGCGCGTTCTGTAGACTTTCATTCCCTGTTCGTCCCTGCCGTCCTTCACAATCGCCTTCTTGGTGAGGCCGGAAACGGGCAACGCCGCATCGACGCGAGAGGCAAAGGTTCGCATGTCCTCGCCGGGCCGTATCCGTAACGGCTCGGCCTCTGGCTCTTGTGTAGATGATTCTTTACGATCTCCATTATCAAGACCCGATCGAAATTTCTTGCCCTGCGCCACCGCCATGAGCCGTCTGAAAGCACGCGGCGCATCGTCCTGGTTCTTGTTCCGCTTCTTGTTCTTTCTCTTGGGCTCTTGCGTCGACGAAGATTGGCCTTTTACAGGAAGGGCCCGAGCTTTCTGGGAAGGTGGGAGTTCATAACTAATCCAAGGTTAGAGGAGAATGCGCAGGCAAGAAGGTTGAACACTGACTCTCCATCATCACCCCTCTTTCGCTTATGCTTGTGAGGCATTTTGGCACTGGAAGTAAATACGTGGGGAGCGCAGAAAGTCCAGATGAATATCTGTCGGACTGTGTACTGTCCGGTGTGTCGGTCAAGGAAAAACGGCGAGGTCGTCGATGTCGAAATTCTTCAAACTGTTGATCATGAAGAGCATCGGCGGTAACTTTTTTTAAAGTGGGGTGCGATACCACGGTAAATAAGTGGAGAAACTAAGGATGCCCCACACTAAAGCGAGCTGCTCAAAGCTCCTTCAAGTTCCCAACAACATACATTAGCTCCTCTCCGAAGTTGCCGTTGTGCTGTAGAATTGACTTTTACTCATTGAAGTCTTCCTGGTATACCATCATGCATTATTATTTCATATAGTTGAAATCCATACTATCAACATTCCGGACCATATCCACGACCTATGAATCACCAAAAAAATAACATGTAGCAACCAAGACTAGCTTTCGGCAATCTCCCGAGAAGCGCTGCCCATCTCACCATGCACAAGAATGAAGACATTACCATTTACAATCATCCTAACTCGAGATCTCGAAATTCACATCTCGGGTATTTCTTGGCATTACGACTATTAGGATCAGCAATTATGTATGTTGGTCATGGCACACACCTTCTTTAATTAATGACTAACACCTTGCGAAGATGTATCATCTTTCTCTCAGCTCTTACCATCAAAACTTCTCCTTTATTATGTCCTTTACTATGCGGCAGGGAGACTTTTCCCGACTCTCTGCCTTCTTCCCCGGCTGCCATCCTACCAGTCTCATGCCATTCCCATAATGACTACTGGAGAAAAAGACCGTTATTCTCGGCCTTGGAGGCTGGCTGTGTGGGCGTTGAAGCTGATGTCTGGGCCTACAAGGATGAGCTTTTTGTTGCCCATGGCCTTGACACCATTGTGCCAAATCGCACCCTGAAGTCGATGTATCTCAACCCGCTTATGCAGCAGTTAGAGGGCACAGGAACGTCTCTGTCTGCTCTACCAGCTACGGCACCCCGGGGGCTATATAAATCCCGCCCGACACAGACATTGGTGCTCTTAGTGGACTTCAAGTCACATCCAGAAAAGACTTGGTCGCTCTTGATGAGGGAATTGGAGCCTCTTCGCCGATCTATGTGTCTAACATCATACGTTGGTAATCAGAAGATCATAAGACCTATCACTGTTGTCGTGACCGGGGATATCCCAGCACATTTGCTTAATCAAGATGAGTCCGCTGAATCCCGCGATGTGTTCCTTGATGCCCCTCTTTCAAACGTACACAGTGGACTTTACGATGCCGCCAATTCCCATTGGGCCAGCATGTCTCTCACCAAACTAGTCGGAAGAGTCTCGTCTTCAGGCTTAAGCTCCTTACAGTTGGCCAAGATTCGAAGCCATGTTCAATCAGCTCACGATCACGGACTCCAAGTACGCTTTTGGAAGTTGCCGACATGGCCCATTGGGTTGAGAAATAAAATATGGGCCTCATTGCGGGAAGAAGGTGTTGATATTCTCAATACCGATGACCTCCAAAACGCAGCAAATGCTCTTAGAGAAGACGCTGCCTCATAATGGCAATCACATGTTACAAGGATCCTTAATTGAAGTTTTTTTTCCCTGATGAGGAAGTAACATCTCACCTGAGATTCCGATGGGGCATGTAGCTCATTGCGAGTATCCGTATTATCGCCGAATACGACCAAGATATACCCGTAATATGAGCAACTTCGAGAGAACGTCACTCGAGTGTAATACACAACCCCGCAGAAGATAGATAGCTATTTACCTTAGTAATTGCTATGATAGTGCGTTCATTTATAGGCTATATAAATTGTGTCTCCCCTCTAGTCTCCTAAATATTGATCGAGGACAATCATTGAGTTTACCCACCTTTCAAGAGGAAAACAGTATTATAACCTCATTAGCCCAAACAAACCGCCACATAGTCTACTCCCTTGCAGCAGACACCATGTCCAACGAAGGCCGAATCGCTACCTTGGATGTACGTGCGCCCGTCTAATGGAAATGGCCTCTCCGGGAATCTGGACTAACATGACCCAGGCCTCCATTGCCCCTCGGCTACCTCCATATTCAACCACCCTCTTCAATGCAAAGGCAGCCAAGGGTGTAAGCTTCGAGGAGATCGCCAAGCATCTCGAGCGGAGCGAGGTCGCATGCGCGGCATTGTTCTATGGTCAGGCGACAGCCACCCCAGAGGATATAGACCGTCTCTCCCAGTTTCTCGGCATCCCCAAGAATGCTCTAGAAGCCGAGATGATGGGCTTCCCTGACCGGGGCCGCGCAGCACCAATGCCCCCAGTAGAGCCCTTGATCTATAGACTCTATGAGATTGTTCAAAATTACGGATATGCGTACAAGGCAATCCTGAATGAAAAGTTCGGGGACGGGATCATGAGCGCCATCTGCTTCTCGACCAAAGTGGACAAGGAGATAGATGAATCAGGTGCTCCCTGGGTTGTCATCACATTGAAAGGCAAATGGTAAGAATTTACACTCCCCTTTAGCTTCGAGTCCATGTTAACAAGGGCAGGCTTCCATTCTCTCGATTTTAGTCTTGGTCGGCCGACTCATGGTGTCCGAGTTAATGTATGTATCAGGGGTGGCAACGAAAAGTATTATCCCGAAGTTCATTCAAATTCTCCGAAAACCGACTTGAATTCTCCTAATCTAACAAAATTAATATATTCAGATGCTCGAGATGTTGCATGTGATCCACTTGGCAGAGCTCTGTCCTGTGATTATTCCTGCCCACCTCATCGCGGTGGCGCCGAGAACAATATTAAGCACAACAATACTAAGCGGCAGCCCACTTCGCGAACATATTGTCAAGAGCATCAACCAAGCTTCCATCTAGCCTATTTAGAAGACAACGGAACTTTTCTTTATGAATTGATCTGTTTTTAATGCAGAGGTTGAAGGAGGGGTGGCGCCCGAACACGATCCATTGGTTAACACCATAGTCATGTTGGTGAGAGAACTCTGAGAACAATACGAAGAGTCATGCCTAGATACCCTATTTCATACTAGCCAGTTGAAAGATGAATGGATGAGGCTTCTCAAAGACTTCATTCTAGATCTCGAGCAAACCTGTGTCCGAACAACTTCGATTTGTCCTCTCCAAGTATAAAAATCCCATAAACTTCTGGCCAAGTCTCTTCTCTCCTCCTCATCATCATCACTCAAACAAATCAAACAAGACTCCAAAAACCAAACAACAACTATCTTCCAAGACTTCCACCGCTGCCAAGCAACTCACTCAAAATGGCCCGCAACACACCTCTCACCTGCATCATCCAGAAGAACACTCCTCTTACCTGTGTGATCCAGAAGAACACCCCTCTTACCTGCATAATTCAAAAGAACACGCCTCTCACCTGCATAATCCAGAAGAACACGCCGCTCACCTGCACCACAATGTAAAGAGCACGCTCTTCTTCTACCATCGCCGGATTTGCTGGGCAATCCATCGACTAAAGCCGGCACATCACAAAACGCACAACCTCACATCGGCTTTTTCATGAAAAGAACTCGACATTGACGGCATGAATTTCAAATAGAATCTACAATTCGTCCAACGGCTTCAAAGTTTAACTTATATTTCACGGCTCTTGGCCCGCCGGACGCGGCACACTCAAGAGTTTCTTTACTCTCTTTATGGATCTTTCAGCGAGGTCTTCTAAAAATATACTCATCTTGGAGGAGGATCTGACGGCCTGGAAGTATATTCTAATTTTAGCTTCTTTTATCAATTGAACCGTTGGAGCCTATATATTCCCCGTAGTCACGATCTCTTCAGCGTGTGGATGTGATGGTAGACTTAAGAACCAAACACTAAGATACTCGTCGTAGGAAGGGAAATGTGTCATGAGAAATAGCACGCTTTTCCTCGCATACACCCCCAAAGTGAATAAACCTCCAGAAAGCCCATGAGCACCCCCTCCTTAATAGAATCGTGTGTAGTTGTGATTTGTCTTCAGTTTCTGAGAGCGTTACAGGGTAGTTTCACAGACATAGCCATGCCACCGCCTGTCCCACCTAAAAGCCATGGTGGGGCACTTTTAGGGCGGTGAGATTTTGGTTCGGCAGAATTGGAGATTTTTTGTTGCCCGTCGCATGCAACTTTTCCCAATTGACCTGAACCCCAGTATATGCGCTCGCTGCAATAAAACTTATATTTTCCCCGCCAACATTTATTCCATCAGGGAAATAATCTACCGACGCCCAGTATGGTTTCGAAAGGAAGACTCAAGATGGCCTTGGCCGCCGAAAAGGGCACCGATTTTAAGAAACTGAATCAGAAGAAGAAGGCCAAGGAGGCTGCAAAGAAGAAGGCAGCCAAGGTAGTAGTAGAAGAGAAGCCTACCGAGAGTGATGAAGAGGAGGAGGAGGAGGATGAAGAAGAAGAGGAGGAGGAGGAGGAGGAAGTTGAGGGTGAAGAAGACGAGGAAATGGGCAACGGGGTATGTGTCACACTACAGTTCCAAATGATATTCGGGATCTAATCAGAGGCACAGGTAAATTTGGACGCCATTGACGACAGCGATACATCCGAGTCCTCAATTGAGATGGAAAAGCGGTTACCTCGAAAGCCCAAGAAAGACCAAAAGACTCAGGCTGTCGAGGCAAAGCCCAATGCCGACGACGACGACGAAGATGATGAGGAAGAAGAGGAAGAGGACGAGGAGGACATCCCCATGTCCGACCTCGAGGACCTCTCCGATGCCGAGAAGGAAGACCTCATCCCCCACAGCCGCCTCACAATCAACAACACATCCGCCCTCCTCACCTCCCTCAAGCGGATAGCCATCCCCTCCGACAAGTCCGTCCCCTTCGCCACCCACCAGACCGTCACATCCACCACCCTGGCTTCAGAAGCCATCCCAGATGTCTCCGACGACCTCCAGCGCGAGCTGGGATTCTACACCCAGAGTCTCGAGGCGGTGCGACAGGCCCGCGCCAAGCTCCGCGCAGAGAAGGTCCCCTTCTCCCGCCCCAAGGACTACTTCGCCGAGATGCTCAAGGAGGACGCCCACATGGAGAAGATCAAGGCCAAGCTAGTCGAGGAGGCCTCGAACAAGAAGGCCGCCGCCGAGGCCCGCAAGCAGCGCGACCTCAAGAAGTTCGGCAAGCAGGTCCAAGTCGCCAAGCTCCAGGAGCGCCAGAAGGCCAAGCGTGAGACTCTAGAAAAGATCAAGACTCTCAAGAGAAGTAAGTGTCCTTCATTTACCCAATCATTAAATCAAATCAAACTAGAACATACACAATGATTTGGCATTCAATGAACCTAAAGTACTAACACAACCCCTACTCAGAACGTCAAGAAACAGGCGGCGCCGGCTTAGGCACCAACGAGGCCGACCTATTCGACGTCGGCGTCGACAATGAGCTTGCCAAGTACGACTCACGGTCGGGCTCCGGCCGCGGCAACATGGGTGGGCGCAATGGGGGCAACCAGAAGCGCCAGAAGAAGGATGAGAAGTACGGCTTCGGCGGTAAGAAGCGCCACGCCAAGTCCGGTGACGCCGTCAGCTCGTCCGACCTCAGCGGCTTCAACCCCAAGGCGATGAAGGCCAAGGGCAAGGTGGGCAAGTCGAGACCTGGGAAGGGCAGGCGCAAGGCCATGGCAAGTCGGTAAGCGGCCACAATGTTTGTTGGAGGCGAGCCTGATTTCGGAAAAGAGGGTTGCGGAAATTGGTAGAAAAGATTAGATATATGCATTAGGATTTCAGTTTCTTTAATTGTGAGGCAGGAGTCAGGTCTCTTTTGAAGTTCAGCTTTTTCCCCCTCCGATCCTTAGAATTGCACCCATTGAGCGCTTCTTGGCTCTTGACGTATGAATAATCAAGATTTCTGTCGGCTGTAGGAAGTAAGGGAACCTCAACTAATCAAGAAATTTGTGTGATTCATTCATCTATGAGTCAAGTGGATGTGCAGAAAGATTCTAAATAACGCTTGTTTGTGTTGTTATGAACTTGCGAATTGAGTTGTGGGTTATCAGACTTCATAAAAACCCTTGCCTCCTCTTCCTGTCCCCCTAGTCGAGACATCGATCCATTCGTCCCCGTTTCATGCCGGGTGAGAGCCGTATATCCCATGGGGACGCTCATAGAACCCATCCTCCCCTCCTCCCGATATATATGTACTAATTACAGCAACAGGAAATTCAACTTCCATGTGTTGCAGGAATGAGCCCTCGCACCTCATCATGCCAGTGCAAATGCATAGCCCGGTGATAAAAAATACTAATACTGTTCCTTCGCAAAAAGAGCGATGCCCAAATCATCTGCATTAAACCGACCTGTGCGCCGTAGTCCTGTGGTATCGAAGATAAATGCGGTGTGTGTACTAAAAACGCTTTGCAGTGCAAATGCATGTCGCATCAATGCGGCGAATGGTATCAAAACAAGCAGCTTTCTTTCGTCAAGGCTCGCGGTGTCACTCGACACCAAGCCTTCATGAGACCCAAAAAATCAAATTATTGAGAGGCAGCCACGCACCAGTGCCTATGGAAGGCCCAGGCGCTCTTTTGGCATTCTTTGCTGCAGTACTTGGTGCGGCGACATCGTCGGCACTTGGCAAACTGACGCGTGTACTCCTCCCACTTGCCACACTGGTAGTATGCACATTGCCGAATGCCACCACGGGTATCGTCCTTGCGGCATAGATTTCTCATAACAACACCAGCCCAGTACTGCATATCAGTGCTGTGATATCGGACTGTGAATTTTTCAACCAGAGGAAAGAGGTTGAAATCGTTTGCAAGGAGATACTCCTCGTCCTCTTCATCATCTTCTTCGGTCTCGGCCGCTTCCTCGCCGGTGACGCCACCGGCGAGCTCTTTATCAATCTTAAGCTTAGGAACTAGGTGGCTCTTTTGGAAATAAGAACGCAGACCACAGTACTTTGACACATAGGCGAGAAGCTGCAGCGACATCAGGACATCCTCCTCGCGAGGCATGACCGCGAGCAGCTCTGCACTGGGGATAATATGACGATCGAGAAGGTATCGGGGAACCGTCGAATTGGGTAGAGGCGGTTGTGGTGGTGTGACCATTGTTGGGCGGTTGGGGGAGAGTCCCAACTGAGGTGCAGGGGTGGGTGTGGCATTGCCATCAATAGGGCTTCGGTGCGTGATATTAAACGTCTCAGCATCCTGGTGAGTTTCCGACACCGTAGGGGTAGCCAAATCCATAGAGGTGCCAGCAAGCATGCTGTCACCATCCTCCATGATGATATCCTGGATACCAACAGCAGATTGGATACCAGTATTTCCGTTCATGTCGGTGTCGGGTGACTCATCAGACGGCAGACCGTCTGTATTGATATCATCCGAGTCCGCTGTAGAATTCTGGTGTCGGATGGAGGGCCTTCTCCTTGTGTGTGTGGGAGGTGCCACTGAGGTAGGGCGAACTGTAGGAGAGCGAATTTGAGGTGGAGGAAGAGGAGTGGTAGGGGATGTGGGCAATGAGGTCAGATCAGTACCAAAGGGTGCCATAGAAACAAGACGTTCAACTTCCCTAACAGGGCGGATGATAGAGTCGATGTTATCCATTTGGGCAGCAGCACCGCCCAGTGGCAGCATGCGTTGGCCGGAACCAGAGGGGGAGCCATTTCTAGACTCAGACGCCCTAAAGCCATGGCGACGCGAGCTGTGAAGGAAACTCAGGGTTTCCTGTGAAGAAATACCGCTCTGTGGTGTGGGCAGAGTGTTCTCTGTATTCTGTCGAGCAACAGCGGTAGATGGACCAGCCAGGCTGGATGCGACGTCGATGGGTTGTGGAGTCTGACGACGATTCGGTCGCTCCTCGTGCTCAGAAGGAGTAGAGGGAAAGGTAAGCGAGGAAGAAGCCCTCGAGTGCCCGCGGTGTCGGTGGTGGTGATGATCGTGGGCATGCTTCTGCTTAGCTTCCTCGACCTTTTCGCGGGATTTGTCCATCACTTTTATGTAATTATCCAGAATGGTGGCGATGACTGGGACCATGTCTGCCTCAACGACTCTGGTGCGAACATTCTCGGTGCCACGAACACCAATGTTCACGACGCACTGGAAAGCAAGATTCCACTTCCACATGCCCATCATGTCCTTGCTCCTCCCCTGTTTGAGAATACAAACAAGTCTTTCGATGCCTCCATCGACAGTGAGAATGTCACGGATACGAGCAGAGGATGTGGTTAGGTAGGCAAGGTGGTTGAGCGAGTTAATCAGCGGCAAGGTTGAGGTGCAGTCAAGCGCCCGCCGGTCATAAAGGGCCGTGGTGATTCCCACGGACGCCTTATTGACGTTGGGGATACTGAAGTTGACCTCCCTCATTGTGGTGTGATGGGACTCGTAGCGAGCGTCAAAACTGGATGCAAGAACGGGGCTTCGAAGGCCCCTTGAGGGGGATTGAGAGAGGTAGCTAAACCGCTGCTGATGTCAGTGAGCAAAAAGACTCGTAGCGATGATCGAGACGCTAATGGCGGAATGATTTTGTTCGATGACTATAGAGTTCGATTCGGGGTTGAGGTTCGGCGCCCTTTTTGCTGGCGTGAAGGCGTGCGAGATGACAAGCGAAGGGGGGAGGCGAATTATGAGCGCGACCCGCGGTACAGGGATGCGACAGGATCAAGCGACGGAAATAGGGAGTCGGAATCCGGTCGATTAAACAAAACTCGTCGTCGAGGCAGGAGTTGGTGAACGAGAATCGTATCGATAGTTTGATGGATGGATGGACAGGTGAGATAGAGGAGAAGGCGGTATGTAGTAGATGAGAGGAGGAGAAACAAATCAAGTTGGCTGGGCTGGGTGCGGTCAGGTCAGGCCGGGTCGGTGGGTGTGTGGTGTGTGGGCGATGTTTCAGGAGGTCTTTTGGTTGGTGCTTTTGTGGGTGCAGCGAGCCTCTGGGCGCTGGATGGGCGAATGGACGGGGAGGCCGCCTCAGTAGGCAGGTACCTAATTTACAGGACAAGCCAATTGCCGCCGGCTCATTATACCTCTCTCAGGCTTCCCTACCAGCCACTTGTTGGGCCCATATGTCGACTTACAGGCACCTCCATTCGCATTAATGGGGAGTAGCCACGCCCACGCAGCCCAGCAATCAGGTACCTGCAAGCCAGTGCCTCCAGGACATCCAGAGGCCATCACGCGCATCGCTGCTATAGATAGAACAAGGCAGGCACACGACTGCATCTCAGGTCGAACACTGCTCGCTCTCCACTGCGTTGCTTGCTCAGCACCTATTTTTCCATGGCATTCGATCCAGCAGCACCGAATATTATTCACGTTATGCCAGAACAGTCAGATGCAGAACCAAAACGGAATGCTGACTTGACAGAACACTGCCTGGTTGATCAAAACGGCAGATTGCCCGTTCCAGGCCGTCAGATTGCCTCCACTGCGCTGGGCCAGACCTCTGGAGAATGACGACAGTGGTTCTACCTGCTGGCCTTCAGCGTCCAGTCTCGGCCAGTACGTGGGTACGTACCATCAGCCGCAGAATAATTTGAGTCTTCAATACCGCAATTGATGCATTCGACCCCTATTGCAATGCATCGCCGGCTAAATGCTATTGTCGCTTTACGCTCAAAAACACCTGTGAAAATTTTTCCCACCGGACTCAGTCTCTACCGATTCTGTCTCCTGATCGCATTGTACCGCCATACGCATTCATTCACACAATCATCAGACTCCGATTTGAGTTGCGGTTCGGAGGTGGCTGCAGCCAGCCACACCTAGCAGATGGATGCCCAATGAGGTCCAAGGCCACAGCGCTACAGCATACCGTTAGCCCAAAAGGGTGCATGGGAGCCCCGTAGCCAGGACCCAAATTTACTTCCCTGCCACCACTCTTGTGGCAAGTTCTCGGTTCACCGATCCGCCTCCACTAGCAAACCAGCCCCTAAAAAAAACCATCAGATCGCTAGGCAAATTGCTGGAACGGGCAATGGCAAACTCGTCGCCAATCTTCGGTACCCAGCTTCTTTGCCTCGTTGTGCAGGCGAGCCACGCGGGCAAGGCTTATGGGCTCGGGAACTGTCAAGAATGTGCATTGATGTGACCTGGCTAGCCTTTGGACGTAGAACATCTCAGGCTAGTAACGTGGTATTACGGGGAATCGTATGCTGATTACATCCTACAGCAATCTCCTCGTGACATATAGGAGGCTATTTACTGGTCGTTCTATATACTCACCAGCGTCTACGAGCTGCATCAAATCGCTTCCTTTGACGCCTTCAACTGTTCAAGAATACCGATTTGGCTAGGCCGTATCCCAACAGCCTTAGATCCAACCAGCCGGAGTCTGATCTTATTTTGCTTTCGTGTTCGGAGGCATGAAGTAGTTTCATAAGCAGAGGGATCCAACGTACATCGAACGCTTACTCGAACCCCTGTCATTGCGGGAAACTCGCCACCCACTCGCCTTGCCAAGCCGCCTCAAAGCGCTCAGCTACAAATGCCAAGACAAAATACTGAGCAGTATGAGGTTGTGTGTAGTTCCTCTCCCCGGAAGGAACTGCGAAATGAAATATCGACCCTTTGGGACGCCTGTCCCATGAATCTGGAAAGGGTATCTCCAGATTCGCCCTGTAAACCCCGAAAGAGAGAATGCAAACAGAAATATGAAGTGGGGACTTAGAGATGTGGGTATATATAGAACAATAATTTTGAGTTTATCAGCCAACCAGCTTCAGCGGGTACAACCCGCTGATCCTATCCCCTGTGGCCCAGCTGGCTAAGGCGTCCGACTGTTAAGAAATCGCAATCGGAAGATCGACAGTTCAATCCTGTCCGGGGGAGATTTCCTTTTTGGGCGTTGCGTCGAGCTTCGCGTTCCTTTTTGCAACACTCTGTCGATACTCTTTTCAAGTAATTGAGTAAGTGGGGAATGCGTTGCCAGTTTGAATTGCTCCTGGGTTTGAGGTGTTCGGTCGAGAACCTGTTGATTTGGCTATTTTGGAGATCCGGGCTTGAAGAAGCACAAATTCGCAACACATATTAATATTGTAAATCCACACGATAAAAAGGAGTTCATTCAGGAATGTAATGGTCTACTATTAGGTTCATGCTATATTCGGCTCTAGACAACGAAAGTCGAGAGGAGATCGTATAATAACTTATTCATGGTTGATGATACATGAAAGTTATAGGGTAGTGCTGAAGACCAGTGCAGGTCGGCCACACTTGGTCTAGGCCTCCTTTCTAATAAAGATTCGCTATGTACATATTGCAATGATCAATGCTCAGTATATAAGTTGTTAGTATGTCCACGCTAAAAGCAGAGAGAAAATAGGCTCAGCCGTTTTAGTTGCTGGCTCGGGGATGTGATGTTTTCCCCAGATTTCTTGAACCGGCAGGGATCCAGCCTGGACCCAATACCGGCAAGAGGTCAGAGAGCCACGCAAGACCTGTTGTCATGTCCAAAATATTAGTCCAGGCCGTGCCGTGCCGCATGAAGTTCCCCGGGCCGCTCAGTTACACAATCGGAGCCGACGGGCTCGGAGCTTCTGCGTAACACCTCAGTCGCCACTGATCTTGGCATGGCGGAAATATTTCATGCCAACCCAGGCCACCACGACCCAGACCCAAGCCATGACGCCGGTCAGGATAATCAACGCTGGGTAATATCCCACAATGGGTAGTGTTTCGTCGTCCTCGAGTTCTGGAGGGGCATATGGGGTTGTGCCAACGTCCCATGCCCAACTCCAGATCCCGAAGCATGACCCCATTCCAATGACAAAGACAAACCAGGTCACGGACAATACTAGCCACCCCCACCACTCAGTCTCCGAGTAGTCCCAGTCGGAATCCGGAGGCTGGAGAGGCGTGGAGGCAAGGCCTGAATAAGAAAGAGGTGACTTGGCTTGGTGAAATGACGGTCGACGCTGCTGTATTGGGCTTATGTCGCCAAAATAAGAGCTTGGAGCTGGTGGCAAAGGCAGCCCCGAACGCAGGGAAGATGAGGCAAGGGGAAGCTGTGGCAGGTCCTCTTCATCTGTTGTTGAATTATACAAGGTTGAGGCTTCCCGGTCTCGGACGTCCCCGCTGTTGGTGGACGAGACCGAGGAATTTGTGAGGCTCGTGCGGCTGGCAAAACCGTCCATTGAAGGTCGGGGAGTGAGGTCGGATATATCTACGCCATACGGGTCGTCTCTAACTGCGACTTTGGGTGTCGATTGAGTCGAATGGAAGTCTGTCTGCGCGCGATCGGGGACCTCGATGGTCAATGGGCTGGCATCCCTCCTATCGCGCTGTGCCCCTCTCCCCAGAAGCGCAACCTTTCTAAGGGAGCCTTTGCGGCGCCTCGTTCTGACCTGTTGCTGAGTTGTAGTCGCCGTTGCGCGTTGCGTTGGCTCTGGAGCACTGTATTTGTCGACGGTCGCGGCGGCCTTGTCTTGCTCAGGAGTGGTGTTCTCACTCGAGGCCATTCTCATGAATGGAATCCTGGAAAGTAAGCCATGCGCGGATTGGCTTTTTCGAGAAGGAGAGTTCAGACCATGACCGCCATTTGGCTCGCCTCCTTTCGTTGTAGCGTCCATCGTTCGCGGCGGCGGGATGGAAGAGCTTATCGGCCACGCCACATATATCGGTCTCTTGCTTCGAGGCTGGGGGTGGAATTGCGCGTCGGTTGCTTCGACATGATGTAATTTGACGATTGACCGAATCGCAACTGGCGTGTCTTAATATCCAAGTGCCTCCATTGTCCGGAGAAGAGATCTGACAACGATATATTCTGGCACCTGTTAAGCGCTAAGGCACGTAATGTAGGTCTGGAGTTTATGACGGGAACGGACAAGAGGTTATTTAGTAGATTCCGCTCCTTGGTGGGGTATCTAGCGGGTGTTAGCGGCGCAGCTGCACTGTAGACGAACCCCAACTTGCCAAGTTGGCCTCTGGAGTGCGCTGTATTAGGCCGTCAGCACCTCACTGACCGGAGATTATTGGCGATATCAGATACCAAGAATGCGGCACGGAGCCAAACCTGACAACACTGTCGCACCTCCTTGATCGAGGAGGAATTGGCCATACAGGTTCACAACCCCCGAGCCCACCGACTTGTGAACATCGTCGCCAGCCCAAGCCCAGATAGTAGCGCAGTTCCAAATTTATCGCGTTTCCATTTCCCTTGCACGTTGTCTCTAGAACGCGGGAAGGCTGGTCTGCCAGCTGGTAACTATTCCAGATGGATACCTCGTCTCCTTCAACCGCCAATTTCACCCCACCCACTCTTGTGATTGAAGTAGACAGCGACTCGTCTTCCTCGGCTCCCTCCCATTCCTGGCAAAACCAAACCCGCGAGCCGTCAAGGCTAGGCCTCCCTGGTTCAGACTTCCTCGCACCTTCATCGACAATGTCGTCAAACGAGGAAGATGGCGCAACCATGACCCCCATAACCCCGGGCCCGAACCCCTTCAACTTCCAGACTCAAGTGATATCGACGACGCCTGTGAAATCGGTACGTCCTGCGCCCATTGCCTCATCGAAGCTCCAGCATTGGTCATTGCAGCTAACATACTGGCGTCTTGCAGAACATAGGGCAGCGCCGTGGTCACAGATACAAGCATAGTAGCATCTCGACCCAGCATCAGATCTTCCAGGAGCCACCGCCACGCCCGCCCCCCGTGCTTCCCGCCTCGCTACCGATCCCAACATTAAGAGAAGCATGGAAGAGTATGCGCAAGGACCAGCGCCTGCGGCTATACTGGTGCTTGTGCCACCTGGCTGTGGCCATGTACATCTTTTACAAGTCCGAGGGATCGCTTGCTGCCGTTGCTCTATCCCACCTGGTCTTCTTCGATGCCGGGAGCGCCGCTGTGTGCGTCGCAGTCGAGGTCCTCGGGAATTTCGAGGTTTGGCGTCGAAGCAGCATTCGCCACCCGTTCGGTCTTGAGAGAGCCGAAGTGCTGACCGGTTTCGCCATGTCGGTGTTCCTGCTTTTCGGGGGGTTTGATCTCGTGTCACACAACCTCAAGCATTTCCTCGAATCTCTCGGCAGCCACGAAGCCCACCACGAACACGAACATGGCCATGTGTCGGCCTCATCTATCGATATCATCGCTGGGGCAGCTATTGTGAGCACTCTGATCTCAGCATACGGACTCCGAAACCATGCCCGGATAGCCAAGGTTATGAGGGTCTCCTACTTGGCTCATCTTCCAAGCATTCTATCGAACCCTTTCCACTTTCTCACATTGTCCTTTTCGGCACTCATTGCTCTTCTGCCACTCATGTCGATTGCCCTATACACGTGGCTCGACCGTCTCATCTGCGCCGTCATTTCTTTCGCCATGTTCGCAGTTGGTATCCGCGTGGCCGTCGCCCAGGGCCTCATGCTCCTAATGTCATACGGCGGCAATGGTGGAAACAATGTCGTTTCCTCTATCCTGCGCGAGATCGAGTCCGATGCCGGCGTTCAACGAGTGGAAAACGCCCAGTTCTGGCAGGTCCATTATGGCTTGTGCATGGCAAACCTCAAACTCAGTGTTGCACGAGGCTACGATGAGGTCTCGCTTGGCAAATTGAGGAACCGGATTTCATCCCTGATCCAGAACCGCCTGGGCGAGGGATACGGGCATGGTGGATACACGCGTTGGGAAGTTACTCTCCAGATGGACACGGACCTCGTATCTTAGAACATAGCGACTTGGGCCTGCTTCTTGTCTGTTCTTTTTCTTTTTTGAATTCTTATTGGCGTCGATGTTTCTTTGGGTTATCACTGGGATTTGAATATTTTCATCGACTTGGCATGGTCATTAACTTCTGGGGAGTCCTTCATGTAAAGAACATTCTTGTATATTGTCTCTCCTATACCCCGGTTTCTATATAACAGCAGCACGTCGATGTACTATACGGGTAGAGGCAGACAGGCTAGAGTAGGGTATCATTCAGTCGCACGCAATATACCTATCTACATACGTTCATGACTAGTGATGACTGGAAAGGTGACCAGGTTTATAATGAGTACAAAAAAAAAAGAATCAACGCCGTCAAAACTCCAGAGTTATCATCATGTCTCATGTGAAGAAACCACTGCTGGCAACGTTATGCTCTAGAACAGACCCCATCGTCCGCCCCTCTTCTCGCCCTCGCGCTTCGACTTGGCGCCACCCCGTCGCTCTCGTTCCCGCCCCTCAAGCTGCCTCAAGCTCTCCATCTTCTCCAGGACGAGCTCGAGTAGTTCCTTCCGGCGGATGACCTCAAGATGATGTCTAATTCTGGGGTCTTCGCGGGCGAACTTCTCGACCTCGCTTTGGGCGAGCTGCCGTCCAAGACGTAGATCTAGCTCACGTGGGAAGTTGTAGTAGAACTCGGAGAGCAGCTCCACGTTCAGGAACAGAACCGCCGTAGAGGCCAGCTTCGACGCTGCAGCGTTCAGGAATACCTCGGGGCAGTAGTACTTGTTGTTGATGCCGGCACATTGCTTGGACTTGACGGCCAGCAGGCGCATCTTGATGATGTCTGCCCGGTCACGGAGAAATACGGCCTCTCGCCCTGCATGCTCTTGTTAGCCTGTTTGATCCTTGTGCTGGTGGTCATGGCGGAATGTCAACTTACCTCGAGCAAGAAGAGCGGCACTGAACCCCCCGGCGCCGGTTCGTCCGTCACCGCCCTCGACGATGACGTCTCCCTTGCGAGCCTTGTCCACGAAGCTCATAACCTCCTTCAACTTTCTCCTGCCTCCGACAGCGGACTCAAGAGACCCAAGAGCAGACTCACAGTCCTTGAGCTCCTTCTTAAGAACATTGCCAACCTGTTCACGACCAAGTCCCCACTCGCGCTCATCAACGTCGATTTCAAATTTGTAGGGCTTGATGCAGTTCTCGACCTGATCGCTAGTGCTATAATACCTCTCGTTGAGAATCGTAGATGTAGCCTCCATAATTGCATCGCGTGCAAATGGATGATTAGCAAAGGTGGACTGTCCGATAATTCTGTCGATATGTGCCTGGATTGAAGAGGCAACAACAGTTGTGGCCAGTCTGCCTACTCCCAACTTGGTAAGTGCCGATGTAGAGGCATCCAGCTGTCTGTGCCAGTAAAGGGAATCGGGATCAGCCTTGGGCAAGTCGTAAATGCTATCAACCTCGGGCTTAGCGGGTGATAGATCCTCGATAGGCTTGTTCCAATATCTAGCTGCAAGGAGATCAAGAACCTTCTGGTCGAGTTCATTCTTGAGCAACTCATGCATTTGGGGACGACCGAATTCTTCCGTGAACTGTTTGAACGAGTGCTTGAAGGCGTCGAGGCTCTCTGCGAGGTAAGATTCTGCAGATAGAGGCCTGTCGTTGTATTGTACCTTGAACTCATAGGTTGCCTCTTCCAGCTCCTGCTTGATGGCGTCGCTGGTGCCCTGAAGGCTGGACGACATAGTTTGTTCAAGAACATTCATTAGTTTTTTCCGAAGTGTGGTGGTCCCCACGTTGACCCCTGCCTCAGGGCCAAACTCAAGAGGATGCGAGGAAAAGTATGCATTCTCTTGCTTGGTGATGGTCGACATCAAGTTAGTGTGGCCAATCTTGAAGAGCCCAGGTGTCGATGGTGCCTTGGCGACAACACCCACATACCCGAGTCGAAGACCATATTGTTTATCATTCAAGATTGCTGCACCTCGAGTGGGATCAACGAGGTCCATTTTTGTAATGACACCAATGGTTCGCTCTCCCCGCGGGTCTACTCTTCTAGAGGCTCGCAACGCGGTTGAGTTGGCCAGGTCCACATCAGCTGCTGATATGGCCAGGATGACATTGGGAGGTTGAATGTACTTGTCACACAGCTCTGCAATCTTTTGTTTGAGTTGAAGAGGCTGGTTGGCGCCGACCACTTGAATATACCCGGGGAGGTCGATGAGCGATAGGTCTGGAACGTTGGGCGAATACACTGTGAGGTGAATCGGTTCGTGAGAGACACATTCGCTGTCCGGGACAGCAAGATTCAGCTCAGTCAGGGTGCGTTGGATGGACGAAAAATCCGTGATCCGTCGCAGTCCAAGGTCGGGAAACTCGCCATATTCCTCCTGGCCTTTGGGAGTGTTGACTAGAGTAAGCTCGATTGGTCTCCTGGTTACCATGTTTGTACCCTTGGGAAGGAACTCATGACCGACAATGGCTTCCAACACGGAACTTTTACCCGACGACTGAGATCCAATGACCACGATTGATGGAAGTGTGAGTGTGCTTGATTGACCGACTTTTTGAAGGATGCTCCGGATTTCGATCATTTTCTTCGTCAGGATCATCATTTGGTCATCCTTGGCCACCTCGGCTGTCTCCCGTGGGTCCTCCTCATCAGACTTATCATATCCATATGCAGCAGCAGTTGCACCGGCAGCGACAGCAGCGGATGCCCTGCTCTGTTTTGGTTCTTCGCCCCCAGGCCCGGATCCGTTGCCCCCAGTGCCGATGTTTTCGTGTATTCGTAATATTTTCTGGACCCAGTCGGGCACTTCGATTTGCTCTTTGGTGGCTTCCCATCCTTGTCGAGTCTGTGCAGCGATATCTTTGGCACCATCAAAGATGCCCGTCGCCGTGCCCGTAATGGTATCTTTTGTTGTGTTGAAAAGCTCAACCGCATAAGTGCCAGCTCCTATTATATTGGTTAGGAATGAACAGTGGATGCAGTGTGGTGTGGTGGTACTGACGGTTGGTTTGATATTGAACCCATGCAAAGCCAGCAAGCCCTATACCGCCAAACATAGCTGGTATCCTGACCAGCTTGACAACTAGCTTTGGCAGGAAGCGAGCGAATGATATATTCCTAACGGCCACCGCATTGTGGAATGAATTCCCCCCAAACCACATGCGTCTTCTCGTTGCCCGTATCGCGGCATCAGCCCGTAATAACCCGCCGGCCGGAAATCGATGAAGATTTCGGGTGATAGTAGCTGAGGTTGAGCTTCGTGAAACAGGCCGGAGCCCAGCGGAAAGCATTCGGCCGCTCATCTTGACAATTGATGTTTCTTGAAACACTCAGGCAGCTCGAGTGGTGTCTCGCGGAGCCATCAGTTGGCCTCGGTCGCGGGCGGTGCTGCTATGAGAGAGGTGGGTGATATGATATATAAGACAGCGGGAAATTGATGGGTCATGCATAATAAGATGGCATCATGCCCGCAACGTCCAACTTATCCATGTGGGTACATGGAATATACCGTTCACTATTCGGTGTGTGGGCGTGCTGACAGGTAGCGGCTTGTCCCGCCGTTATCGCCACGTGATACCGCTTATCAGGTTATCTTGGGGGAAATTTTTTGGGCTCGCGGGGACTTTGAGTAGGCGGTTTCTGAGCGAAGGCCAGCTTTTTGCTTTTCTTGAATTCCCCAAACGTCGCGATGGCGATCCAAAAGAAGCACGGCAAGGGCCGTTTGGACAAATGGTATAAGCTTGCAAAGGAGAAGGGCTACCGAGCCCGTGCTGCTTTCAAACTTATTCAATTGAACAAGAAATATGGTTTCCTCGAACAGAGCAAGGTCCTCCTGGATCTTTGCGCTGCGCCTGGTGTAAGTCGCTATATGTAAAAAACTTTTCCATGAGCACCACTGACATATAGGGACACAGTCATGGTGTCAAGTTGCCGCCGAGGTTATGCCCGTAGGTAGTTTGATTGTCGGTGTCGATTTATCACCTATCAAGCCCATCCCAAGAGTTATCACGTTCCAAAGCGACATTACGACCGATAAGTGTCGTGCGACTATTCGCCAGCATTTCAAGACATGGAAAGCAGATACAGTTCTTCACGATGGTGCGCCCAACGTCGGTACTGCCTGGGCGCAGGATTCCTTCAACCAGGCCGAGCTTGCCCTTCAGTCTATGAAGCTGGCGACTGAGTTCCTGGCTGAGGGTGGTACCTTTGTGACCAAAGTCTTCAGATCCAAGGACTACAACTCCTTACTGTGGGTGCTGAACCAACTCTTTACCAAAGTCGAAGCAACAAAGCCGCCGTCGTCTCGAAACGTCTCCGCCGAAATTTTCGTCGTCTGCCGTGGCTACAAGGCACCCAAGCGCATTGATCCACGATTCTTGGACCCGCGATCGGTTTTCGCTGACCTCGCCGGCGCCACGCCTAATAATGAGGCCAAGGTTTATAACCCTGAAGTGAAGAAGAGAAAGCGAGATGGTTACGATGAGGACGATTACCTGCAATTCAAGGAAATCTCGGCGAGCGAGTTCATCCAGACTGCCGATCCAATTTCTATTCTGGGAGAGTACAATAAGCTCAGCTTTGTGCAGCCTCCAAATGGGGATGTTGCACTGGCAGCTCTTGATCGCCTCCCAGAAACGACAGCAGAAATCCGGGAATACTGTAACGACCTCAAAGTCTTGGGACGAAGGGACTTCAAAATTCTTCTCAAATGGCGACTCAAAGTCAGAGAAATATTTGGTCTTGCCACCAAAAAGGACGCAGCGGCTCAGGAGGCCGAAGAAGTAGCGGAAATCGAGCCGATGGATGAGGAGCTCAAGATGCAAGAAGAGTTGCAAGCAATCAAGGATAAGGAGGGTGCGAAGAGGAAGAGAGAGAAGCGAAAAGAAAACGAGAAGAAGCAACGTGAGATTGTGCGCATGCAATTGAACATGGTTGCACCCATGGACATCGGTATGGAAGAGTCAGGCCCCATTGGCGAAGGTGCCATGTTCTCTCTGAAGAAGCTCGACAAATCAGACGCGCTACGACGTATTTCTCGCGGGCGAATGTCGGTCTTGCCTGCTGATCAGAAAAGGGAGAAAGACAGTGGCCTGGGTTCATCTGGAGAAACCGATGATGAGAGTGATGATGATGGTGATCGTCTTGAAGGTGAACTTGAATCCATGTACAATCAGTACCAGGAGCGCAAATCCGAGGCGGATGCCAAGTACAGGGCAAAGAAGGCTCGCGAGGAGCACAATGATGAAGAGTGGGAGGGAGTGTCTGTCGATGAAAAATCGGAGGACAGCGACTCCAGTGATTTGGAAGAGGAGGATGGAGACTCATCGGATGATGAGGGTGGTGCTTCTAATGGTCTGTTGCGGGACTTGGACCAATCCACTGGCGAAGGTGGTCTATCAAGACAAGCAACAGCTTTCTTCAACCAGGATATTTTCAAAGGCATGGACAGCGTGCTTGGCGGTCTCACTGGGCAGCAACCGGAGAGCGAAAAGAAGAATGAGAAGAAGAGTGAGACGAAGGTTAAGACGAGCGAGTCCTCGGCTGAGCCTTCGAAGAAAGAAAAGAAGAAGTCGGCCAAGGTACAGAACGACGGCTGGAGTGATTCCGACGTGGAGATGACCAACAACAAGGGTGGGTTCGAGATTGTCAAGACGGCGCCTGTGGAAGATGATGACGATTGGGAGGAAGAGAGCGAGCGACGCAGGGATAAACGGCCTGGTATGTTAAAGAGCCCCACCACTGCTTCAATATATGGCTAACAGGATCCAGACATCGACATCATTACAGCAGAGGCAATGACGCTTGCTCATCAGCTTGCGACTGGCCAGAAAACTACTTATGATGCCATTGACGATGGGTTTAACAAGCATGCACTCCGAGACCGCGATGGTTTACCAGACTGGTTCATAGACGACGAGGGCAAGCACGACAAACCCCACAAGCCCATCACCAAGGAGGCTGCCAGGGCAATCCAAGAGAAGATGAGAGCATATAACGCACGACCGATCAAGAAGGTGCGCGAGGCCAAGGCCAGGAAGAAGTTCAAGGCTGCCCAGAAGCTGGAGAAGCTGAAGAAGAAATCCGACATGCTCGCCAACGACCAAGGCATGACGGAGAAGGAGAAGGCGGACAGCATCTCCAGACTGCTCAGCAATGCAGCCAAGAAGAAGCGCACAGCACCCGCCAAGCTGGTCGTTGCCAGGGGTGTGCACAGAGGTGTCAAGGGAAGGCCACAGGGAGTGAAGGGTCGTTATCGTATTGTGGACCCAAGGATGAAGAAGGAATTACGGGCTCAAAAGAGGATAGCACAGAAGAAGAAGAGGTAGAGAGGGGTTCTTGTATATCCATATCCATAAGCATCGCTCACTATGGCGCATTGATTTTACGACTGGGCTTGGTAGTTATACTGTTGTTTCGGAGTTGAGACCAATATTACGAACAAAAGTTGTTAGTGGGTAGAATGGCCCGGAAAACTCCATGTCATACCTAAGAAGCGAAGCATGATTAGCGATATCTGAGAATATTGACCTTTCTACATGGTTGGACTCGAGTTGGGACTTACCAGTAATTGATTGCAGCGACGAATCCCTCATCGCCTTCTATACACGACTGCTTAACCTTGTGGTACCTGAGTACGAGTGTTAGTCACCAGCCACTACCACCGGAACTCGTGAGTGAAGACGTACCACATGGCTGGCAAATAGAGCATATCACCAGGGTTCAACGTGACAAGAAGAGGCTTGGCAAGATGCGAATACTTTGTGGTATTCTTGTCGGGGTCATCGGGGTCCCAAATTGCCAGCGGTACGTCATCCTCACCCTCATCCAGTTCCAGGGTTAAGCCCTGATCTACTGAACGACGGTATGTGGCTGGAAGGACGAGCTTCTCATTCACGCAAGCGTGACAAAGCGCCGGCAGGAGGACGAAGTGCTTTCTTCCTCGGATCTGAACGTAGATGTTTTCGAACGGGTCGCGGTGCAAGTTGGTCTGTGAGTGGGAGTTCCCAATCCACATGTTGATGGCCTCGGGAGACTTCTGGAGAGCTATGCGGGCAAACGGAATGTCTTTTGGCGCATCCGAAAATAGGGCAAGGTATTCATTGCGCAAGTTATCATTCTCTTAATTTGGATGGGACGTTTTCATAAGGTTAGCGAGGTGGCTCATATAAAGCGTGGAGAGTGGACATTAGTCAATATGTAGGAGATACGTGTGGCTTACGAGTCTGGGCATATCTGACCTCGGCTTCCGGGGAAAAGGTCTTATCCGTTTCCTGCTTGATTACATAGTCAAGGAATTCGTCAAAAGGCTGTTCCTCCTCATGTGGTTTTGATATGACTGTGGCATTATGCGCTGGAGAAAAGGTAGGAGCATCTGCGTTTCTAGAGAGGGTGAAACCTCACAGACGGTTAGTGAGGTTTCATGGGAGAAATGAAAAGCATTGAGGCGTTTTGAAACCGAAACAGGGATTTGGAGACACACCCGTGAGGCGTTACTGCTACATTGACATTCTGCTGCAGAACGGTTTTCAGATATGCCGAGTCCCATAGTTGGGTCGCCTTCCAGGTTGATGCGGCGCCCCTCACAACGAACGGAGTATTGCGGGAGACATAGCGCATGAACTCGAGGGGACTAGGCTCCTCATAGATCTCCTCGACTTCGCCGCCATTCAATTCGTTGAAGGATGAGATGAGCTCTTCCAGAGGCGATTGGTTGGTTTTTGGGGGCATGCCTGAAGGTGCAGGTTATTGCGGCTTGCAATAATGAAAGACGGTTCAAAATGTGCCACCAGCATCAGCGCTTGGACCACGCACTTTATTCAGGTACCGTTGTATAGATTGTGAGACGGTTTCATGAAGGAGAGTGGCTTGACTGGGCAGATGAGTTCCATGCATTCAAACGGGCCAATCAAAAGGTGGTTCCCTCGCGGAGGCGGCGCCGTGCAGATTGACTTCCGCCAGCCAATAATGTATCCATCGTACGAGATGTGGCAGAAAAAATGGACGAAAAAAAAAACTATAGCAGAGTTCAGCATAAAATTTCTTCTGCATTCTGTTCATAATTATAACTTTACGTTCAAAGCTGGCTCAAGACCGCCTTTGCTGCACTTCTATTCTTGAGACCAAGAATACTTTCTCTTTTGCTCACCATGCCGTCTCTACTTGCCTACTACCTGCGATATCGGGTCAAATAAGGTGAATCACATTGCTTCTTTCATATATAACTTGTGCCTACTCCTCGTATAAGACATTGCACGTAAGCTGTTCATCGAGATTCAGTAGACCCGAGCGAGACAGGGATTGAGGTCAAGGTTTTCGCCCTTACAGTAATGACATCTCAAGAGCCTCGATCGCTGGTTGGAGGTGTCTTGATATCAAAGTTGGCACACCAAGACCGACCGGCCTTGGGCCTCTCTCCTCCTCGAGCCAACTGAACTGAGGCGGTGAAGAAGCAATGAACAATGTTGCTCACCTTCCAGGTGTAGGACCTATGGAGCATTGTTCTCGATGAAAACCCGGAAGCCAACGCGGGAGGCGGTAGGGCCTCCACCCCGGGCAGTTCTGAGGCGATTCGGAAGTGAGCTCGGGAAGAGACGAAATTCTCCAAATCATAAAGTCGACTCTCCCCTGGCCAGAAATTGTTGGATTGACACGTCAGCTAATTGAACAGCGTTGATTCTCATACCCCTCCCAGCAGCATCTGCGTCTGTGGTTCAGTAGTAGAAGGCAAGGATCCAAGTCCCATTCCTTTCCGATTTTTTCCCCACCAGATATTGCTTCGATCAGTTCCTGCTTACCTGCTTCTCTCCCTTGTCGGTAGCCAACACATTTTACAGTTAGTGGTTTAGCCGCGGCCGTTGGGGCTAGGATTGGCTTCCTCACTAGGCGGAGATCTGATATGTGCCTGGGTTGGGGACTGAGTGATCTCCATGCAAACTGCCAGAAATGGATGATAAACCAAGAGAGCTGAAAAGCCTTGGTGAACAGTGCTCATTACAAGACATGGGAAAAAGCAAGGAAGCAGGTTGAACAGCACAAACTTTGTGGTGCTAATACAATTGTGTAATCACTCGGTAAGACGGAAGGAACACGATGCAATTATATCGAGCCAAGAAATATTCATGGAAAGACTCACTAGGTAGCCTTTTGCTTGTAGTCCATGCCTCTGAGAGCATGTGATCTTTAGCGAGATCCCCAACGGCAAGCAATCACTTCGTATTCATGTATGTCATGTTCTTCGGGCTATCACATACATAGTATCTCATCTCATCGGTGCAAATCGGGCAATGAAAATTGCTCAAACCCCCGTCAAAGGAAGAAAAAAAAACTTTGCTCTTACAGGGCCGAATTGCTGACCCGCGAACATTCCATGACGGGAGCAAGCGGAAATTTCCCTGTCGGCTTTTTTCTCTCGCTTTAATCCATCGTCTGTGACTGGACGGGGCACGATCCAAGACGTACGATTTCCAGAAAATAGGAAAGGCGTCGACATAGAGATACTGGGACCAGGCGTCTGCATAATGGCCATGCCCTGGTCTATAAGATGGCGCCAGTGGGGTGGAAGTCTTGGAAGCCTCGTAGTGGAAAGTCTTAGTCGCTGTGCCGGGTCTTTCGCAGGCTTCGGTACACCGGGCTACAGCGCCGGAGGTGTGCGCTCGCAGACGCCGCTGGTACCGGTACTTTTGCGACGCAGACGACTGTTGCAGGGTGGAGCTGATCGTTTGATTCGAGAACCTTTTCTAAGACATGTGCTTCCCACGTATAAGTTGATTACTGGAATGTGGCTGGCCCTCAATGTACCAAGACATGTACTGGCAAGCAGCTTGGGCTCGGCCGTAGCGAAAGAAGTTAGGTTGGGTGCATCACCGGCCGCTGCGGTGGTGCTAGTGCCCTCCTCCCGTCCACTTGGCTGCCAGTAACCAGATCAATGGCTCGTTGATGAGCACGCCGCACATGCAACAGGCGGACGTAGTGCTGTGATGTATGCATGTTGGGTGGAGGCAGTTTGTCCCTTCTGGGCCCATGTACATGATGTACAGGTGGGATCCTGGCAGGCAAAGAGCCCTGTCTCCCTAGCGGGCACCTCCCTGGAGGTACCTGGCGGGCAGGCCAGTTCCAGCAGGTGGCCCAGGTACCGCCAGAGGCAGCCTGGTGGCACTATTAGTGGCCGGGCGGTACCACTGCCGCCCACCCTTAGCAGCCGGGTCCTATATCCTCACCGCGCCTTAACCCCAAAATTCTTGCCTGGGTGCTGGCCTGGCCTTAGACTTGGAAGCTGTGTGCCTGCACTTGAAAACCTGTCCGACACAACGCCCGAGCATCTGCCATGTGAAAACGAGACCAGACTCATGTTGGTGGTGAATATTACCGTGTGCATGCGAAATACCATTTGGGCGACAAAACCCCGGGGCCTTAGAACTGTGGTTGCGACCCGGAGAACGGTCCTCCTCCCAGCCCGGATGCCAGGCTCAACCCGATATTGATCGGTCGACCCAATGCTTTCTCCTTCGCACCGACCACCCTCCTCTGGCTGCTTCGACCACGCGATCCCATGATTTGGTATCTGCTCTATCCGATACGGGGGTGAGTTCTGTTCAATGCCCCTCTGCCACCACCCGTTGCTGCGAATGTCCCGAGCCTGTTCCTAACCACCGCTATCTCTCAGTACTACGGAACCGCCTGTCCTCTCTCCGTCGCACCCGCTCCGTCTTGCCTTTGAGCGATACGGACGGTACGCTGCCCGCCATGTTGTTACGACCTTATTGATATCGGCCGCCGTGGCCACCATGCTCATCTATCCGATTCCCTTTCTCTTCACCAACGACTTTATCAATGGCGCTTCTAATCTCCCCCACCATGTCTGGACCGTGGCTCAACCTCTGCCCTACAACGCCGTCGCCGAACCCGACATAATAATGCGCTCTGCGTGGATTCATGGGTCTTATATGGAGGTTCTGGATCCGCAACTCCTCGCCTCAGCGCTCGATCTCCAAGACGAGCTCCTCGGCGACACCAAAGACTTCAATCCTCTCCGAGCACTTGATGGGCCTGTGGACACAGATGTCGATACCGACACCTTGGGGTTCTTGCGTGAGCTTTCGCCTTCCCAGCGCGACGCTCTCCACATTATCAATGACCAGTCTAGTCAGTCTTGGTTCTTCCACTCCCCGCTGCAGTACTGGAATTGCGATCGCGACACCATCTTGCTCGACCCAGATGCGGTTGCGACCGTCAACCGGAAGAAGACTCTCTCTACTTCGGTCAATGTCACTCTGCGGCATTCAGTCGTCTTTAGTGGAAAGCGGTTTGAGAGCCGTCAACTTGTGGC